TCTGATCAGCTGAAAGGAGTATGGCCCAGAGTCCAACTAATAGGTCAATGAAAAATGAATGAATGCTGCAGAAGCTATATGAGAATATAAATTATCCCTAAATTAAACTATCAGAATGATGGTCTTAAAGGGGGGGTAATGTTATGATTTTTCATTCTTTCTTACAGTAACTCCTATTTATGCTTAGTCAGGACATCTACACCAGCATTTAGGATTATGAGACTGAATTAGTCATCACAACAAGCCCAGTTGATCATTGTCTTTTGATGTGACAATGCTATCTGATAATATACAGTGATACTATTGTAGGCAGTAATGATACTCAAGGACAACAAGCATAATAACTATGAAAGACACAATTAGTAGTAGTATTTATAGTGACTCAGTACAACTGTATATAAGTAGGATAGCTCTCACTGGTATAACCTCAGCTTCAAGCTAAAGTTTATCTTCATACTATTTCACTCTTAAGCCAATCACAAGACCTTGAAGCATACTGATCAGTATTCACATCAAGTAGACTCTGATGTTTCACTTGAAGTGTGAAGTGACATTGGTTTATCATGTGTTTCTGATCATATGCAACTTGGGTCCAATATTATTTGATGACTTCTCAGAGCATTTATTTTTGAAGTGTTCTTTCTTTCCACATCTTCAGTATAATTTCTTGCCAGGTTTCTTGCCTTTTTTATTGCCATCTAAGCTTGATAAAACAGACATAGGTTCCTCTTACTTTGAGTCTTTTCTTTTTTCACACTGCTGGCTATGCTTGACTTGCTTATGCTCCAGTTAGTTGTATTCCTTGGAAATACCATAGATCAGATTCTCAGGATTGACTTCCTTGTTAGAACTGAAAAGCTTTGCTGCCATAAGGAGAGTTGATACATGCTTAGCAAGATAAGGGAGAATAGAGGTGAAAATTGTTGAGCAGTAATCCTTCTCCTCAATGATGACACTGATGGAAGCTAATAACTCCCATTTCATTGACAAACTGTCAAGAAACTCATGAACATTATCTTTGGCCAGGCAATGTGACTCCATAAACTGCTGCCAAAGGTCAGTTTGTGCATAGCTGCTCTTATCAGTAAACTCTTTTTTAATCTTTAATCAGACTTCAGTGACTGTGAAGAGATACTAAATCTTTATAGCAACTGAGTCAGAGATCTTTGAGAGCAGGAGATTCTTAGTTACAGCCTCACCTTTCTCTCATTCATCTAGCTCAGCTATGAGAGCTGTTGTGAATGCAGTGAGAGGGCTTAGGCTTTGATCCATTGAAGTGATCTCATCTTCTTTTGGCCTGAATGCCAGTGAAAAGGTGGAGGTAGAAGATGAACCAATTGTCACTAGACATATTCAGTGTGAGGATATTCAATGGTAGGCCTATAGTCAAGGCAGCAATAGTGGAAGTCATTTGAGTACAAAGAATAGAATAGAGTAATTCTTAGGGCTGTATAACCTCTAAGAAAGTGATATGCATTTATAGTATCTAATAGAGTATACTGTTAGCTATAGTGTAGACCTCACACAGTGTAGCAATAAACAGAAATGCAGTGAGGGTGCTCAATGGTCTATATTCAGTATATATTATCTATCCTGACATAAAGAGGTATCAAGCTCAGCTAGCAGGATATGACAGAGCTCCTGCTTGCTAATCCAACATCATGTTCATGCATCTACCTTGTTAACTCCAACAGATTATGGGCTCTGCTACCAGTATATCCATAACAACTGAAATAAAGCTAGTCAGCACAACAAAGCTTGCAGATAATGGATCAAACTGGATAGCATTTGAAGAGAAGCTCACAACAAGTTTCTGAACAAGGGCCTTGGCCAGCATCTTCAAGGAACAGCTCACAAACTCTTGTACTCTGTCAAGCACAAGAGAAACTTTTACCAGTCCTCTGATACTATATTTTCACACTCACTCTCAGATAATGATCTAGAAAAGCTGAAGACTAAACTGGAGGAATACAAGCAGAAGGAGGCAAAGATGTGTACCACCATTTATAAAGCCATTTCTGACTCTACCTTCAATGAGATCAAAGGTGAGGCAACAGCTGCTTTCATCTGAAAGAAGCTTATTGCTGTCATGATTGGCAAGAGTGATCTTGTACATGAACATCTCCTTACCTGGCTTGAAAACATGGCCTGCCTTGATGAAGGCAATATGCATGAACACCTTGCTGAAATGAAAATCCTCTATAAACAAATTGAAGGGATGGATCTAAAGATTGAAGACAATTAGTACACTTTAATGATCCAAAAATCACTTCCATCTTCCTATGACCATATTCATTGCACTCTCTCTGCTGCCAGCAAGTTTACTGGAAAGACTCTGACATCAGACATCCTTACTGCAGCTCTACACAAAGAATAGGATAAAAAGATCATATAAAAGGCCACTGCTGAAAATGTAGCAATATCTGCTTAATGACAGAGCAAAGAAAAGGGTCAGAGCTCTGGAGAGAAGTTGAAGAAAAAATCTGATTAATCTCACCTCAAATGCACAAATCCAGTATATGGTAAAACTGACCATCCCATCACAGATTGTCAGTATGAAGACAGTGGAAAGACAGGACAAGGTTCAGCTTCAACAAAGAATAAGACTAAAAGAAAAGAAAATCAAATAAGTAAGTGAATATGTTTGTACTGTACTAATTCTACATCTAACACTCTCCCTTGAAATGCATATGGTTCACTTACATGATGCCCAATGTCTCTGTAAACTTCTTAAACTTTGGACAAGCCAATGGCTGTTTAAGGATGTCAGCAATCATGTCATCAGTTGGGCAATACAGCAACTTGATGTGGCCTTGCTCAACAGTTTGCCAGATGAAATGGTATTGGACTCCAGTGTGCTTCATTTGTTCATGGAATACTGAATCCTTGGCAATAGAGAGCACATTTTGACTATCAGAGAAGAGGATAGTAGGTTTTATTGGATAAATGAAAGGGTTTGCAACAAAAATAGAGAGCTCAAAGGGAAGTTTGTGGAGCCAGATCATGTTCTTTGATGCTGATGTTAGTCCAACATATTCTGATTCACCAGTGGAGATGGTAATGATTGGCTGCTTCCTCAATGTCCATATGACAGTGCCTTGGCCCATGAATAGAATAAATCCAGACATGGATTTCCACCCAGGCTGGTTGGCATATACTGTATCATGATAGCTCTTAGGAGTGATGTCAGGACCATCAATTATAAGCCATTGGTCACATGTACTCTCAAGATAATAGAGAACTCAAAATCCAGCTCTCACATATGTCCCAGTTGGATCTTGCCCTAAAATCAGCTACTCAGTGTCAGCACTCTCACAATTCATGGAAGACCCATATTCAACTCACCTGAAAGCTGGATTTTGAGTTCTCTATTATCTTGAGAGTACATGTGACCAATGGCTTATAATTGATGGTCCTGACATCACTCCTAAGAGCTATCATGATACAGTATATGCCAACCAGCCTGGGTGGAAATCCATGTCTGGATTTATTCTATTCATGGGCCAAGGCACTGTCATATGGACATTGAGGAAGCAGCCAATCATTACCATCTCCACTGGTGAATCAGAATATGTTGGACTAACATCAGCATCAAAGAACATGATCTGGCTCCACAAACTTCCCTCTGAGCTCTCTATTTTTGTTGCAAACCCTTTCATTTATCCAATAAAACCTACTATCCTCTTCTCTGATAGTCAAAATGTGCTCTCTATTGCCAAGGATTCAGTATTCCATGAACAAATGAAGCACACTGGAGTCCAATACCATTTCATCTGGCAAACTGTTGAGCAAGGCCACATCAAGTTGCTGTATTGCCCAACTGATGACATGATTGCTGACATCCTTAAACAGCCATTGGCTTGTCCAAAGTTTAAGAAGTTTACAGAGACATTGGGCATCATGTAAGTGAACCATATGCATTTCAAGGGAGAGTGTTAGATGTAGAATTAGTATAGTACAAACATATTCACTTACTTATTTGATTTTCTTTCCTTTTTCAGTATGACGCACCGTTCCGCATGTCTCAGCTTTCAACGACAACACTGAGATGTGGGTATCTTCTGTACCTACCTCTGTTTGACTGTATTTACTCATTATCTATGTAGTAACATTACGATGTTCTATTCTAGTGCCCGTTCTCTTCTGAACTCTTTCTCGTTCACCACGTCCATGCACCTACCTCGTTAACTCCAACAAAAAGTTGGCTGAATTGGACAGGCTGACTTGATTGCGGGATTCGCCTCTGTCCAAGTTGAACCTATAGTAGACGTTGACAATGTTTGACACAAAAACGTTGCAACTTGTTTCGTTTGATACAGCAGTAGAGAAGTAGCTGAGAAATCATCGGCATACAGCGTCGGGACGCTTGACTAACCAGCTTCCGCCCCAACCGCCTATGCTAAGCTTGGCCTTTGTGTCATTGACATGACATCCTTTCACAAGGCGATTCAGAAGGGCAGGAGCCTCCGACCCATCCCAAGTCAAATTGAAGTTGATGTCAGGAATAGCAAACGCGAAATCAATCCAGTCATATAGCGCGTAGGTGATCATTTCAGGAGAGTAGTCGCTAGCCCAGCTTGGAAAATAAGCTATCACTGGAGGTCTTCGCCGCGTGAAATCTGCTTGAGACGATACTGTTTCCGAAGACTCAGATGAATAGAAAAGACGGCTTCTGAACTAGAAGACGAAGGTCCGACATCCACGCTGAAAGCTACATGCAATGTGGAATTTGACAACGGCGAGGTGGTTGAAGCTTTATTTTGTAGGGCGAAGTTGGGATTATCAGTAGTAGTAATGTCGTTATTGTCGAGGATTGGCAAGTACGCCTCCAGGGACAATATAACAAGGGTATTCAAAAGCATCATGAGAGAAGGAATGGTAGGTTGCCCAAAGAAATACATCGCCGTAGGGTAGAGACAAATAATGCGCACTGCCATGACGGTCACGGTCACGGAGAAGGTGTTTCATTCGTCTTGATTTGGTCTCTATCTTAGTTGTAGCACGCGGTTGCACAATCCCCAATATCACCTTGATATCACCTGCATATTCTCGTATCCTTTTGGCGTCCCTTATGAACTCAAGCTGCACATGGGAGTAGTGCTATATCTAAATGGGCAATGACCACATCTTCTTAGTGTTAACTCAAGAACTGTACTCATAATACATCGTCAGTGCCTATGACTCTGTGCAGATGGTGCAACGAAGACTTGAAACGGCAACCTATACTCTGCGAAACGAATTGGATTTTTTCGTCCTGTGTCAGAGAGGCACCACATGGCTGTCAAACCCTCATAACAATTATGCACTGCTTCGCTTCAGGAAGCAAGATGGTATCATCCCATCATCCTACATAAACTCGCGGGAATTCATACTGTATTTCATTCCCCACAATCACAGTCCCATGTACAGTATGCTGAGGCTGATCTCTTTCTTGTTCTTCTTCGCCTATGTACAAGCCTTGGACTGGACTGCGACGCCCTTCAATCCACCGTCTATTCCTCTTGCTGTGAGAACACCGTATCTCTCGGCCTGGCTTCCTCAAGGATCCGGTGCTGCTCTCAATGATGTTTGGCCAACGTTCTGGACGGGTTCTGTACGAGTCCGAACATCGCACCTTTTGTAATCTTACAGCAAGTCTCTAGGTCCTTGGTTGGGCCGGCTTTGTCAAGGTAGATGGAACTGCCTATAGTTTCCTTGGAAGCGCCAACGTTCCCGGCGCGACCTTTCAGAAAGCTGCTCAAACGAGTTTCATTGTAAGTGATTGTGACGCAATTCAGAGCATTTATAATGCTTGCGCCTCGTGATAGTTCACATCCACACAAAGCACCTTTGTCCTAGTGGCTGGACCCGTTCAACTCACTGTATCGTTCTTGAGTCCCGTGGATGTAGGTTTTTTCATGCAAATTAACGTACCCAGCACTCAATCATCTGGAAGGCAACGGACCTTGTAAAACAGTCGATCCCACTCGCATACATGACTGTTTCCGCCGCCTCGACGGATGGCGCTGAACACTCAGTCCGAGTATATACCGATATAAGCGCTGAATGGGTTTCTGGAGATACATCACTCACAGTCAACTGGACTACTTCTACCGGGAACGTCGTCGCCCATCAAGTTCAGCTGACAGATCCATCAGTACTCTCCGAGGTCAACGATCATACACAGTGTGAGTTAGCACTACTTACTATGTTCTCTCTGCATGGTTGATTACAACTTTTGAATAGATGGATCAGCTTTTTACTCTACCATCAGCGTATTTTTTCATTTCGTTGTTTTCCTGATTGACATATCTAACGTTACTGGATAGACCGATCGTACAACATATCAAACGGGAGCTGATGTCATGGTTCGTGCACAGTTCATCAGCAACGGTGTTCTACCCAACACCCAGGATACGGATTTCCGTGCAGTCAGCGACAACTGGCCTGTTTTTGCCCTGGCTAGCGATCTTGGTTCTGTTTCTAGTTCAACGGATTCACTGATCTTTGCTGTCGGTCATATTCGCGATCCTGCGATTAGTTATATCATCGCAAATAATGGGCATCAGGCCAGAAGCCTCTATTTCTGGAGCCAGTATTCCGATGCTGCTAGCTTAGTACGTATCTTTCACCTATTTGTATTGATCAATCCTGATGCCTGTCGTTCAGATTGAATCGTTTCTTCAAGGTTACCCAGACGCCCATTCCCAAGCGAGCGCTTTTGATTCCCAGGTTGAAAGCGATGCTTATGCGATCTCCGAAGACTACGCAGGGGTCGTTGCATTGTCTATTCGACAAGCTATGGGCTCAATGGAAGTGACTATCTCCAAGAGTACGGATGGATCATGGAATACGGATGACGTTCTGGTATTCATGAAAGGTGGGCTTTTTTACATTGCTAATCAACTTCCTACTCAAGTTTTCTCAACAGAAATCTCCAGCGACGGAGTAAGTTGAATGGTTATGTTAAGTTCTATAACCCCGTCTCTGAAATGCTTCTTGCCGTTGAAGAATGTAAACACAGTCGATGTCATATTCCCGGCGTGGCCTGTACTGTTATACACAAACCCGACGCTTGGAAAGCACTTGCTGGAACCGCTGTTCCGATACCAGGCAACGGGTCAGTATCCCAATGCTTGGAGTATTCATGACATCGGTAGGGGAAGATTTCGTTTTGTACCCTTGTAATTACAAATCTGTCCTTCAGGTTCGTCTTATCCCAAAGCATACGGGCATAATGACGGCGGCGACGAAGCTATGCCTGTGGAAGGTGAGATACTCATCTCTTTATCGTTGAGGCCAACTTTGGAAACTCACCTTCCAAACAGAGAGCGGAAACATGCTAATCATGTCTCTGAGCTATGCACAACGAACGGGGGATAATACCCATCTCACCACATACGTATGCTTTTTTTTTTCTTTAAATGGTATTCGCACCGTTCAAAGCATGTTGACAGTTTGATCTACTCGACCAATGGACCCAATTCTTGATCACGGACGCACTTATTCCTGCCAATCAGATCAGTACCGATGACTTTGCGGGATCTCTCGCAAATCAAACCAACCTGGCTATCAAAGGTATCATCGGCATTAGGGCCATGGCTGAAATTGCGTCTCTGTTGGGCAACACAGCTAAGAGCGACAACTACACTGTATGACATCCTCTATACAGTAGTATATTGCTCGGTCTGACCCATTGCCTTTGATTACTAGTCAATTGCGGAAAGCTACGTAACTCGATGGCAAACACTGGCGGTTTCTGACAGCGGTGAACACTTGACTTTATCTGTAAGTTTTAACCTGTCCGAATAATCAATGACAGTGGTGGTAACTTCTCAATAAAATAGTACGGCAATTCCTCAAGGTAAGGATACTTCACATGAATCTCGACAAACGTTGATGAATATTGATAGTTGGGGTTTGTCATACAACCTGTACGCTGATAAATTATTAGGATTGAACTTGTTCCCGACGTCGGTGTATGAAACGCGTATGTTCACTCTCCCTTTCGCTTTACAGTCAGCATGAAATCCTGTCTAGAAACCGCCTGGTATAAAACCGTGACAGGTAAGATCGTCATCTCAATGGCAAGCAATCACATATTCACGTACCAATCTGAACAGAACCCTTCGGGATACCACTAGACACTAGGTTTTTTCGTTCCATATTTAGTCGAGTGAGCGCTAACATTCCCTGCAGACATACTTACACCAAATCAGGTTCGTAGCAATTTCATAGTCGGAAGCAAGATAATAATCTGTGATCAGATTGGGAGATCTGGACGAGCGCATTCATGACCGATAATGAAACACGTGATATATTTATCTTGGCGGTAAGGAACTGGGCGTCGGATGGACGAAGTTCTCAGCCTCTCGGAGACTGGTATGAAACACTCAACGGTAACCCTGAAGGGTTCAGAGCAAGACCGGTCGTAGGGGGACATCGTAAGTATCAATAAAGTTGGTTTATTTTTAATGTACTGATTGTGGCGTTACAGTTGCCTTTGCAAGTACCATTTGACAACGATTACCTATGGCAACACTGACTTATTCGTTAGCTGGTGCTTTGAGGCCTATCGATAATTGACACACCCAATTCGAGCAAATTTTCAAACGTTCAAACCCACACAGCCACGAAGATACATACGAGACAAAAAGTATGACGATACCCATTATGATTACCTCTCAGATGAAGAATATATACGTCGGCGACGACGGTTGAAGCCACCAACGGTGCCACTTTGATCATTCGGGGTAGATGCGGATGCATCACCGCCATTTACGACTGGAGTCTGATTAGCAGTAAGTGAACCGCTAGTCACTGCCGAAATCTGGCTGGCTGTAGATGGACGACCAGAAGTTCCCGCGGTAGAATCGCCTCCGGTATTGGGACCCTGAACTGTCAAACCATCATTTTGCGTCTTCATCTGTATCGCCGTTGGTATTTCTGCCAGAGCCTCCGGGCTCTTCAGAAGCATCACGGAAGTTTGAGAACCTGAGGATGATGATTTCGACGAAATGCCCATCCCTTTCCTGGCCGCATTCATCAGCGCCCATCCTTTCGTATCTCCGCTGATATCCCACATATTCGTCCCCAGCATGCCAGACTCTTTGACAAATTGGCCTTTGAGCATGATCGACTGAGGATCGTCATAAGAGACGACTTGATCAGCGGTTTCCGAACGCAAGAACGGAGTACTAGAACATTTATCCCAGAGCCGTGTGAATCCTTTGGCTCCTTTGTAGTCGGACGTCAGAGCACCTTGCTTGATGAGGCTGTTGAACACAATCATGTTATTGCCACCTTGATCAGGAGTCAGGCTTATGCTCCCACTGGTCCTAATACTGTCACCCGCACTGCCAGTAGTGTCACTGGTGGTACTGTCGGCGGTATCATCAGTACTGCCATCAGTGGTATTTTTATCATCGTCACCGCCGGATGTTTTTTGGCTGGCAACATCATCCTCGACACCAGTTGAGGTAGTAGACGGGGTAGCAGAACGAGCGGCAGTGCTAATAGCACCAGAACCAAGTGCCGAGCCCGTAGGAGCACCTGTAATACCCGCGGTGTTACCAGTACCTACTTCCCCGGATGTTTCTTGCCTTTTGGCCGAACGGTCATCACGAATTACCAACTCTTTCGCCGTGGATTTTGAGATGTATCCGTATGATGCTATCCCGAGGACGATCTGATTAGCCGGGAAACCCGCTGACGTCCATGCTTTAAGACCTCCTTTAGCGTTGGTATTGGGCCGTTTGGCATTGGAGCAACTACCCAAAGGTGCATTGGAGCCTGGCGTCGAAGATGCTAAAATATGTGCTAGTTATTGGGTTCCTTCAGAATTCCAGATAAATCCCTCACATAATGAAACGTCATAGTTCATAATCGTAACCCAATCGAGAACCTTGGCAAATTTAGACATATCACTCATAGGTTGCCTGTAGTCACCAACAAAGGTGGTAGGCTGGACAGCAGCGCTGATTTTCGCACCGGAAGGCAGTGTTTCACGAAGAAGTTGTAAGAACGTGAGGAAGTTTGCGGAATCATCTTTTTGGAAGGCAGATGTGTCTCCAGCTTGTCCAGGATATTCCCAGTCAATATCAATGCCATCAAGCTTGTATTTCTTGTACAGGGAAAGCATGCTTTCGGCCATCGAGCTCCTGCCTTGTCCAGAGGAGACGATCTTGGAGAAATCCCTACCAATCTTATAAAGGAGGGCTTCATAAATTCAAACGAGATACTTACTTGCTACCAGTCCATCCACCAACACTAAGTTTAACTTTCGTATTGGCCGCATGCGCGGCTTTGACTAGTTCAGCCAAAAGCTTTGTTTCCGAGGATTCGTCCTGAAAGTCGACGCTACCGCTCGAACTGGGAATAGCGAAGGCGAAATCAATCCAGTCAAACACTCTAAAGTCGAGTTGTTCGGCAGTTATTCCAGCCCAGTCAGGGAAATAAGCCATTGCAAGGGGCCCTTTGGTTGAGCCGGAGTGGCCTGTAGTAGAATCTCGTCCACTAGGATCATTGCTACTGTCTGTTGCCCCATAGCTCGTGGCTTTATCGTCACCAATGGCTGAATTGTTGACTGCATCTGCGTCGTCGTCACTATCGGTTTCATTACCATTACCAGAGGTATAGGGATTTTGAGTGTTCCCACTAGCCGCCCCTGCATCAGACTTTGTACCGCTATGACTGAGAGTGCTTGTACTAGGAACGCCAACAGAGGCAGTGCTGGTAGGTATACCCTCAGATATGGTGTTTCCACCGTGACTGGCAGCAGGAACGCTATCAGTAGCGGCGGCATCGGACGTTGAAGGGGCAGCAGAAGGATGGTTAGCTCCTGGGGCTTGCCTTTTTGTTGCTAAGACAGAAATGGTTAATGAGAAAACAACAGCGAAGCGGACGACAGCGTACCTTTTGACATCATTTTGAATAGCGCGATACCGTCATCAGCATGCTCATATATATCCGTAGCAGACTCAGGTTCTGATGGAAGAGGCGCTGCCCAAGCCAGAACAAGGTAAGCAAGCAGAAGGAAGGAAAGTAGGAGAGGAACTCTGTTGCTGGCCATTATCATTGAGTATTTCATGGGATATAGCGCCACCAGGGCGAAGAAATAGCAGGGAACAACACCAGGGCGTTGAAAGAACAGAAGCACCACCTGGGTGTTAAGCTGGTTTTGAGACAAGCGACAGTGGAATGGAACAGCCATGGGTCTTATAGTAAGTTATGCGCATAGCCAGATTCGAAGGTAACTACTGTCATAGCCTCCGGACGATGTCACGTGGCCGTGATATACCATATGGATGACAGCTGCTGATAGACAGGTTGACTTCCCGTGCGGCATTGAGAATCAATGAAGAGCGGAACATTGTCTAATTCTAGCACTCAAGGCCATACCTCAGTTCAGAAATAAGAAGCGGGCGGGAGTCATGATCGTTGTTAGTGCGTCTGTTCGTTGACCATCACGTCGATCCCGGGGAGAAACAGTCAAATTGATTTTGAAGACTGTGGAGACATCCCCTTATAGTTCGATATCCATGCCGCTGAAGGCTGCAGGGCGTAGCAATGAGGATATCAGGCGTGCACACTGGCGGTGGAAGGCAAAGCGTCGAGCTGCCAAACAAACGCAAAAGGATTACGGCCCGATAATTCCTGGAGCATTTAACTTGCGCAGATATTTTCCAGAGTTTTCGGGATAGCTGACAAGATGCATGGTGGACTGCCTTGATCAAGAGAGGCCCATTAGCTGACTCTCTTTGCGGCGTTGCACCCTGCTTGCTTTACTACGAGCTTTCTTTTTTGCCGTCGTACAGCCGATATCCTTGTCCGCGTGAAATATTCCCACTAAGACACAAGTAGCAGCATCAGCATCAGCATGGGCCTATGTGCCAGATGACCAACTCGAAATAAATAAGAATGGATTCATTGAGGCAGTGGATCGGTTGTAAACAGTAGGTATCATCATTTTTTGATAAAGCTTATATGGGTCTCGACGCGAATTCGACGCGTCAATTTCCTTTCATGTGTAAAAGAGCGGGTGTAAGATGGGTAGTATGGCAATTCAAAGCCTTCGAACGAGATCGGATCTGCCTCTTCATCCGCCTTATCCGACTTGAGCATGGCAACGACAAGTCAACACAGTGGACATCCCAACTATCCGCATGGCGTGTCCTTTGGCGCGTCCCACGGGTACAAGTTAGACCAGACTGAAGGGCGCCAATCTGATATTCTACAAATCTTCAACGGAACTTGTACAATGATGATATGCAGTGGGTACAATACAGAACAAGTGAATACAAGGAGCGACGTGTGCGACAACTAGCAAGACAACAAGCAAGAATATGATGGAATAAAGTAAGTGATGTTGAAAAATATACTGTATATTATACGAAAGGCAAGGTGAAATACGAAGGTGGGATTAAACTAGTCCGAGTGGGGGTTACACGGCACATGCCGAGCGTGGCGGTATATGCGCGTTTCGCGACTTGAAAAACTTGAAACAAGTCATGCCGGCTGTTGAGGGAGCGGAGACATGACGTTTCTGGGGCACGACTCGGGGTGGAGGTGTAGTCGCTATTGGAGAGATGGCGTCAAAGTCGGGGAGATAGATGGGGGTGACAATTGGTGATGGTGGTGTATGGATTACGGGTCTTTTATCGGTGGGGTTGAGTGCAAAAGCGGGAATGGGCGGTACTGGTGGTGGTGCACTGGCCAACGTAGGGCTCGCAGGGGGAGAGCGATACGGGATGGCAAAGGAGAGCGAACGGCGGTGGGTGGGCCTGAAGCTGGGTGAGCGGGGCGGCGGGGAAGGTGCAGGCAGCGACCGGGGGGTGACCGGCTTCAGTGAGCTCTTTGAGGGTGTCTTTGTTAGCGCCGAGCGTGCCTTTTGGCTCAGGCTGTCGCAGGAACGGGCGGTGAGGCGTTGGGGCTGGATTGGGCGGAGATGGCGGCGGGGCGGGGGACCCAATGGGATGTAGGCGATGTCGGGCGACGGGCGACGGGGAGGCGGGGTGTGAGGACGGTATGAGGAGGGCATTGGCGATTGGCGATTGGCGACACTGAGGCTGCATTCATTGTCTGCTTTCTTTTTATCCAGCTAATGTATCCGCCGTTACATAAATGAAACGACATATTCCAAATCGGGCACTCTCCCATATCGGGATGCAAGATCTCATCACGTCTCTACTACTATTGGCTGCTATTAAACGTCAGTACCAGTGTCATCTCCATTGTTCAAATCCCACTGTTCGACATATCAAGCTAGCTTCCTGCACATTTCCTTCTCTATTCAGCCCGTTCATTCCGGGAGAATCGTTACAGCCCATATCCTGCCCGCCTCCCATTGTCCCTCAGTTCATCTTTTTGATTCTCCTTTCCTGCATTTCCCAGCGCCTGTCCTCGTATCCCACGATCTTTCGGCCTTCTTCTGCTAAAACTCCACGTTTTTTTTTGTGTAGATCGTACCTTGCCTCGAGGCTGCCTTCCTTTGGCAGCTCCTTCAATTTCTCGTCATTCCTAATTTGACGCGCTCATCAGCGCCCGTTGCACCCAATTCCTTTTCCTCCACATCAAATTCGCTCGGCAGCTTAAATTTTTCCCTGCCATTCCTTTCTCCTCTATAACGGCATCCCGACAATTCACGGAAAACGACATCCCAACATATAGGCACCCGTTCACCACTGCGTCCCTTTCGGTCCCTTTCTCCGCATGATCCTCAGAAGGGCTTTGTTGCGCTTACGACCTACTTTCATATTCTGTTTCTCTCTGTGTATCCCGATGTCGGCCTTTTTGCTTCTCGCCATGGTAACGGCTAAGCTCATTTAATACAGGTGTCTGCTCTTCTTCATTGTTTCTGCTGTCTACTTTGCCTTTTGGTTCGTGTCCTGACCCGTGGCTGGTCGTCGTTTGACATTCTGGAGTGCAATTACGACTCCATCGGCACTTCTTTTTTTCTTTTCGTCTTTTTCCTTGCCGCAGCTCTCCCATAAATATTTGTCAACAACCCATTTTTCCACCTGCAGCGCTTGTGACTGTCGACAACGCCGCGCGGTGGCTCCCGGCCACTATTTGTTCCATTCTCTTACGTCACAAAGTATACATGCACCCGCTATTGGAAAGCTCCTTTGATCATATATCAAGCGGTACCGGAAACTTCGCATTCATATACGCAATAGTCATCACCCGGTATTCTAGGCAAGGAATCCAGATGATGTATCAATACCCCGGTGATCATTTTTCAGCGTAAATCTCTATTCCATGAATATAAAGAATGAGATTTATTTCTGCCATATTTTTTCGCCTCCAGACTACGTGTTGCCATAGATGTCGCCAACAACTAAATTAGTCTCGCATGTACAACTAAGTACTAGCGTAGGATCCTAGGCAACTTCTTTCACTGCGGGCTCATCGGGGAGGCTTCGTTCCTGTATCGTCAGTCACATTCACCCTTATGTATATCCATTTGAATTTATTTTTCGCGATCGGTGGATTCGCGACGCCGACATCAATCCGTCGGAGAAGCTTAATTCGGAATACGGGCCGGCCTTCGTCGTTGCGCGACGTCAGTCAACTCGGGGCTAATAGCGCTCAGGCCAGGTTCAGGAGGTGGCACGCGGCGTATTGGATTGAATTGTAGTAGGCTTAATTATCATGGCGGTGAACTTTTTTGAGCCTGCAGCGCTTGTGGCGTCATTCTTTTCTTTCTTATTTCCCCTTGGCAGTGAAACGTATACAGAATGTTGGTTCAATGCCTAGACCGACGCGGGGGGAACGACGGCTGACGTGAGGACGGGACGAACGATAGGCCCGTGCGAAGGTGGCCGGTGGCGGAAGAAGAGTTCTTGCTTGGGCGGAACGATAAAGCGGAGAGTCTGAACACTCCAGGCGAGGCCGAAGACTACAGGAAGATCTATGTGGAGGTGGGATATTCGTATTTCTGAAACTAGGCATATGTTTATCCGAGCAACTTCTGCTGAGCTTTTTAGAAATGCGACGCTCGTTTTCCGCGATTGACCACAAGGGACAGGTACTGCAGCGACAATTTTCCGATTATGAACAGTGTACGCAGTTCCAAAAGGCCGTTGAAACGAGTCAGTGGGACTGAATGTGGAGTAATAAATTATCAACGGATGTAGCAGGTAACTCTTGACTACTATTTCTATTGATGTCCACCGTATACGTCTCAGCACCAGCGTATACCACTTATGTCCAACAATTCAATACATCCAGCCACATAGTCATGCCTAAGAAATTCAATTATGGATCCAGGATAATCCAATGGCCCGTACGTACATCGTCAAACTTACTTTCAGCGGGTCCAGGTAGACCTCCGTCCAGTTCCTTTAACCGTGATAGTGCTGACCATTACTCATACGCCCTGACGGAGGTGAGTCTAACATTATGCCCTCTTTTCGCTTCCGATTCATGAGCTGCAGTAACATAGCCCTCCCCAAATGCGTTTATACTCCCGCGAGCATACAGGCGTGACATTATACTTCCCCGGACCAGCGGGGTTAGCCTTGACAGGCCCTGAGTCCTGAGTCCTGAGTCGTCCAGTGGGCGTGTTAGGAACCGTGCGCAGAAAGCCGATGAAAACACTGTGGAGTTATGCATGGGTTTGTTCTATATCTTCCATTGAATTTTGATGCATCGATGGGGTCGAAACTTCCCAGATGCAGTTCTGACGACAACCCATGACATTCCCCATGTTTCTAATATATGGACACAAGAAGCAAAAGAATTATAAAGGTCACGAAGACATTCGGAGAACAAGTTCCAGAAGATGATGCTGTATTAGGTGCAGTTAACGAGCGAAGATATTTGGAGATGCACGCGGCCTTCTTTGATGCTTGCAAGAGATAACTTTTCTCAGCTTTGGCTGGCGCCTTTTTACAAGTAGAGTAGCCAGTGGTGCGGTAGGGAGAGCAGATGCCGCTTGCTATCAAAGTCCCCATAATGACAAGTTCACTAAGAGAAGTACAGTCATCATTCTGATGTATTTGAGAATAGCTGCCGCTGCAGTATTAACAGCAGTGAAATGTTGAAATTATTGGAGGAAGCATCGAAGCAGCAGTGACACTCAACTTGTCGATAACCAGTACACCGGGTCGGCGGAGTCAATGCGCATCCCACTCGACATCTTGACATGAAGTACCCTTTTTCTGATTATCGAAGGGGATTGCAAGCATCCCAGCTCGTCGACGGTATTTATATCGTCTCCTTCGTGGGTTGCATGAACGCTGGAAAGGAAGCTGGACTTCGGCGTCGTGCCGCGGCAGGCCGGCACGTTCAACGCCCGCCATTAGGGGAAGTCGAAGGACCCGGCGGCCAGTTGCCCCTGCTCGATCCGCATGGACCTACCATCTCCTCGCGAGCTCGAGCTCGAAACTGCTCTTCGACAACGGAACGTGCAGGTAGCCCAGCTCTCTGTGAGTACTGAGCTTCACGTCTCTGCGTACGAATAACTCGTGTTCGTCAATCCAGGACGAAATTACCCGTTTGCGAGCCTATGTTTCCTTGTCTTCATCTTCTCCAACGGCTCCGGATAACACAGATGCGACTGCAACGAGTATACCGCCGCCGTTGATGGCGTTGCTGCTGCCCCACATCCAACCGGAGGCGGGGTCGGGGTCCAGCAGTGTAACCTCCGCTCTGACCCAGAGGGTCAAGTGCCTGCAGGAGGAGAACGACGAGCTGTACGAGATCCTCAAACAGGGCGAGACGGGCCGGCTCAAGGAGGAGGTGTGCAGTCTCAGACGGGTGGTGCGAAAACTCGAAGATGCACTTGGTGGTACGTCGCTGTAGCCCCCGCAGTCTAGTACTTCACTCACGGTACACATAGAATCACACAAAGTCGTCCTTTCTCTCTCGTATGTCTCTTTCTTCCCTTCGATGTCGAAGCTCATCTTTGGTGCTGCAGGACGGAGCTCGATAAAACCTACGACGCACTCAAGCCCCAACACCACTCACCACGGAATACCGGCAATGCGAGTAATGCATACCACCGTAACGGGACGGCGTCGCCAACGCAGTCGAAACAGCCTCCGACAGGACCACGCGCCCACACACACAAGAAGCCGCGTTTATCAGAGCCCAGACGGCGCGAGGAAAGCCGTGGACGGAGCGGTCACCACCGCAGCGGCAGCAAGATGGACGTAGATGATGACCGGCGGGATAGAGACGACCGCGACGGTAACAGGTCAAGGAAGAGCGTGCATGTTAACCAGTCGACAGGGGGAAGCTTGGGAGGCCATGGTCACGGTCACCACAGAGGCGGTAGTGGCGGAAGACGCACCGGCTCCAGCGATCGGACGTTGGCAGAGCGTATGGGAGTTCCCACTCGCTTTTGATCATTCGTTTCGTTTCTCTTTGTTTTTTTTTTTTAGTTTTATGGACGGACACTCGTACATATACAATCCGGTATGGAATCTCTCAACTCATCCCTTTTTGTAGCCCTAGCTGACGTCTTCTGTAGTATGAATTTGTGTGTATTCCTAGGTCCCGCTATCGTCGTCTTGCTATTTGCCGTATCACTATCCTATTTACGTCTAGGAATGTTAATTTATCGTGGTCGACTGCTTTCGCGTCTTGGCCCACATCTCAACGTCGCCACTTATATCTTGGTTATCTTCACTCTATAATGTGGATCTAAAACTTCTACATCCTGACCAGTACTGGGGGTGCGACGCGACTGAGAATAAAGGTACATATCCCAAACCAGGTTATGTCGCCGGTGCTTTTTTGATCCCAGACTATATTTGTGAACATCTATCTACACAAATTCCGGCGCCATATCGTGCATAGTATAGTACAAGAGTAGAAAATCCGAGGACAGCCGGGAAATGGGTTCGACATGAGTAAGTTCCTTCAAAGTATTATATTATCAAAATTTTTATTGAACGACATCTGCGATCAAGGCCGTGGCATATGCCTGTCGCGTGATGGTACAACGACTCACGACGTGTCCTTTCCATCTAGAATGCCAACCTCGGTGCCGCCTCTTCTTCTGCACCCTGTTACCGCCGCTCTATGCAACCGTTGCCGGAGAAATTTTACCAAAGTCCTTTCTCCTTCCACGTTATCCTCTCGTGATTTTTTACTGTTCCCGTTTTGTACTTGTCTCCAGGAGCCAGCAGGCGACTTCGGGTCTACCCTTGACGCGCCTTTGGCGTGTGCTTAACCATCAGAACCGAGTATATGTGACTAAGTAGTTGGTTCCGGCACGGGAGTTGCTGTATATCTGCTAGTGGGGATGGAGGCCGCTGATTGCGGAGTCTCCAGATCGCGTTGATCTACCGGGACATCAACCCATCTATCCTCCGATGGCACCTCGTAAGTGATGCTCGACATTTGAAAACGCATGCCTTTTCACCTGAGGCTGCGAAAGTGATATGCGCTTATACGGTTGGTAACGCTCCTAAAGCTCACTTCTGCTTACATAGGATTCTCCTTCATCCGGGACTTCACAGCCAGAGTCCCTTAGCTGACCTGAAGTGACATAAACTTAATGATTTCGACACCCGTCGAGCAATTTTAAGGTCTTTGCCTTTTTCCTGTCCTACGACGACCGAATAATAAACTATGTGGGAGAATCCTACCGGAGCCTTGCATTCGAGGACAACTGGATACTTGAAACGGTAACAATCATTTAATTGTTGTGTGTAAAGTCTATATGCAAGCTGCGATTTGCGCGCGCTCGGGTTCTGAACACTCTCGTCACCACCATAATGATTATTTATTGATTGAACTGGGCGTTCGTATCAACCAATATTGGGCAGCGGCGCTGATGTTTACACGCCACCGATCGAGTCATCTCAGCTATAACCTGATTCGGTTGTTCTGGGTGCTTTTTGTGCTAACAGTGCGCGCGTTTAATATTCCAGAGGTTTGCACTGGAGAAAGCAAGTAGAGTTCCTGGTCTTTCATCACCATCTGATCATTATCATGAACTTTTTCGCCCTCTTTGGTTCAGGCGAGTCACACCAGCTGAACGAAAACATAGAAACAAGCTTGCGAACTTAATGCGTACGTAGTACCTTTCCGTTACACTGACTTCTTTCTGATGTCCGATTTAATCGACCATCGGAAGAGATGATATCAAAAAGGGCTGGTGAGGACTCAAATCATCTTCAGATTGTTCATTGCTGTTGGTGACATAGCAGGATATCTCGATACTCGCCAAGAGATGACAGAAAAAAAATGGGGAGAGCTTGAGGATACTTTGGGTTTGTATCTGGATATTTTAGGCGTAGGGCTATTCTGACATACAACAGGATGAAGTTTAAGAACAATCATGTCAAGGTAATGGCTGAGGCTGTCCGCCGAGATAGGCCCTAGGGATCTGGAAACTAAATGAACAAGTAAAACTGCCGAAACACATTCTGTCAAAAGGACCCAACCGTCTAGAAGATCGTTCTAGAGCTTGAAAATATACGATCATCAGATCATTGTTCCGTCATAGCAGATAGTGACCTGGTTGGCAATGCAAAGATCCACACCCGCAGTGGAATTACTGTTCGCCAAACACACCGTCACCATCACGATATGGATGGACGACAACGTACATGTCATCGTGTTACGAAGATGCGTCAAATGTCGGGAGGTCCGCCAGGAGAGTGCTAGAAAAAAAGAGGATATCTGGGCGGTTGAGGCAGCAGATGTGGCACGTGTCGCATTGATGGACTAACAACACCAAACACAGACAAGGCTTTTAAAATGCAGAAAATTTTCTCCCTCTCAGAAGTCGACCATTGTCTTCTCAGTCTGTTGATCGACTATGAAGTATGTTACTATGGTGAGTTACTTTTCTTTCTTCACACAGGCTATGATTACAATCATATTCACACTGAATGAACGCGTGGAACATAAGACTGTCCCTTGCTTCATGAATATTTTTACAACGGTAACTGAGCCTTCTATCACATCATCTCTGCTGTTGGCATATCGTATTCTGTTCTGTTACTCATGATCCATCTTTTCTCCAGGTCTGATTGGATTCGAAGCCTGCGGGTGGGTAAACACAGCGTTAATGTACACTTAAAGAAAACTAGCCAGGGTAATTTTAATGTACCGAAATACTATGCTATGTATTCCCATAATCTCTATCGAAAGCGTCAGAGGGGACTTGACCTTGCAACTGGGTCAGAGCGCCCGGCAAGAGGTAAATGAAGGGACCCGATTTCGCTGGCGGCGGCGTCGACTGGTATGCGACGGGCAAGGTACACCGAGGGCAGAGGAAGCGATATTGCCGTTCATGACCACCTTGTCTAATGAAGGACGGTGAGCCGGAAGCATCCATTGACCTACGGAGTAGACACCTTTCGATTAGAACTGGATCACCAAGATTTGCATTTAGCTTGAACACCCGAGCCTTTGCATCGTCGCTATCCTGACATCGAATGACAATAGCGCCGTCAGTCTTGCGCTTGGGGAGAGCCGTTAGGGATTTGTCGATGACAAGCTACGGGAAGGTGGTGACAAGTTGGAACATAAATATTAATAGCAAGTAATTTATGCATGACATACGATGAACTCGCCACAGATGCAATCTATCATGAGAAGAATCAATCAACTGCATCGCCTGAGAGAAATATATTCAACCATCAACGCACAGTAGACGCGTAGGCTAGCCGCGGATGAGGCTGTTGGCTGTGCTGCAAGGCGGTATGTTATTTCCGGATTTCATACTAAGCAGGAAACATACCATCTGTTGAAGATGAAACAGCAGAACGCGAAACAACCTTCGGCATACTGAAAAAAAAAAAAAAAAAAGAGGAAGAAGAGTGATCCTAACGGTGGGAAAGACAGAGAGCAAGTACAGCCGCCCGAGGATGGAAACGTCCGAAATCGGGAACACGAAGAATATGAAATTTATTTGAAATACAAGGCACCAAGACCTCGGCGTGATTATTCCGGCTGGGGATCTTTCGGCACAGCTTTCGTGGTCGTCACTTTCAAATTAGGTCACCCACTCTTTTAATTGTGCTCGTCAGCTGCGAATCCCGTTCTGTTCTTTACCACCTCCCATGGCTGAAAAGGACACCACCGCCCGTTTGCGCCGTGCCGTCAAGGGTATGTTTCTTTTCTACGGGGTCTCCATGTTCGCTCACCTTTGTCTTTGTACAGAGAACAACCTTTTTCTGGTGAAAAGGCTCATTGAACGGACCGACATACGCAACATTGACCCAGGACCACGTCGATATACGTCGCTAGCCTGGGCAGCAGTGTTGGGCCACGAGGAAACCTTCGAGTTCCTACTCTCCGAGGGCCACGATGACTACGAGTTCAGTCGGGTGCGTAGCTTACGTTGCGAGCGATGCTTACCTACTAATGCATGCCGCAGGACTCGGAAAACAACACAATTCTCATGTTGCTGGCAGACCAAAAGCCCCCTTCCGCCACGTCGTACCATTCCATACCAAGCAATGATACTCTCCGGGCTACTTTGCGGATGGCACGACTCTACTACGATCGCTACCCCCAAGTCCTGGATTGGTCAAATAGCCTCGGCAAAACCGCTCTTCATATAGCCGCTCTTAGAGGAAATGAGGAGCTCGTCAGGGTGCATAGGTCGTCGCTTCCGCCGTGTTTCAGCTTACATTCTGTATCTAGATGTTATGTGATCTTAATGCCGATGTTGACCTGCCGGATAACAAGGGAAACGCACCGCTGCATTCGTACGCCATTCAATACTTTGCAATTGTTCTCATATTAATATCCCATTTAGGGCTAGCTCATGGGGCCATATCACTGTAAGTGCTTCATTCCTCTCCCCGTCTTGGCTATCACTCAAATAGACTTCCAGGTTGTGCAACTTTTAATAGAACGAGGGTGCTCATATACCGCTCGCAACAATGACGGGTTCACCGCGTCTGACTATGCGTACTCGTAAGTTCAGGCTCGTCGTACTTGGGCGGTAACCTTATTGTCTCTGTCTATAGATACAGTACTCAGGAGACGCTGCAAGATACCGTTCGGCTTCAGTTTGAAAACAACAAAAAGTCGCGACGTGCTATATTTGCGCAGAACGCTGCCAGGAACAACGAATGGGGTGGAGCTGGGTCATCGATCTCGAACTCTACCCAAAATATCCGCTCAGCCACACCAAGGATGCGCAGTGGATCGGGGACCAGCAGGACGACGGTCACGTCGGACAGCGGAGAGTTGGAAAGCAACGGTTTAACTCCGGCTCCACTTAGCCAATCGTCGTTGTCCGCTTCTTCGTCGCCCTCACAACCGTCTGGAGGCTCAAGTACGCCCTACCACACCCCGCAGCACACAAATGGCACCATGTCAGCCCTATCGCCGTTCGCCACGCGAGTACGGAAAAAGGATGCCGACGCAATGGAGAAATACATGAAAAGAAATCGGAGTGGAAGCCAAGGCACATCCTCAACAGATAACAGGTCACAGAACGGGTCTTCATCAGCAGGCCCTTCAGTGCATGAGGACGATGTTTCCACTAATCTCCCTCCAAGTGGGTCAACAACACCACGACGACTGAGGCCATCCATGTCTGCGTCTCAGTTACTCTCAAAACCTCCGTCCCTATCACATTCCACACAGCCAGAGAACCGAATACGGGCTGGCACCAATCCTACATCTTCCCGTCCTTCGATATTTCCTCGGCCTTTGCTTTCGCGATCATCGTCAATATCCAACTCTACCCGTCCCCTAGCGTCGGTCAGCGATGACCTCTTTGAGGAGCCTGAGAATTATACCGGGCCTCCGAGCCAATACGCTCAGTTTCCGGAACCACCCCTTACTCCCGAAGACAGCAACACTCCAATAGCCGGACGAAGAATGGCTTTTCACCCTTTAGTCAAGCCTCTATATGGTATTGACTCGCTTACGAGTCACAGGAGGGGCCTATCCACGTCCTCGTTTCGCTCATAGTCCCCACTGGCGCACTAGTCCATGATGTATATCGGCCACCCTGTACTACTAGATATGTATGATTTATTATAGCCGTTCCCTCTTGCTCTACCTTGCTCTGTTGTTTTCCGTCGTTGACTGGACTCCTTGCAATACGTGCCATATGTATTGTTACAATATTCTGTATGAACTCTAGTATCACTTCGTCTGGAGTCTCTTTAAGCTTATTTGCTTATTATCCTACGTACATAGACAGTCTAACATTACTACTATAATGAGACATGATTGACTGGTGTCGCCTTGGGTGCTTGGACGTCGCGAGTCGACGAGGAAGGGTACATGTGAGCGTGAAGCACGGCCGGATATGGCAAAAGATGCCAAAAACGTGACAAATGGGCCTTACGTGGAAATAATGGTGCGAATGACTCGGATGCAAGGTTGCTCGGAACGTTTGTGCTGAAGGCATGCAAGACTGCTCGAAGGTTCCTTCCGACCGTCGTTGACGTCTGCTACATTTCTTAATTCTTCTTCAATGCATCATGCCATGGCCGACACTGAGGACCCGACAACCCAAATAGCCTGGCCTTCAAGACGTCACAATGACCCTTCACCAGAGACGAGGGACGATTCCGGGATCCAGCATGAGGAAATCGAATCAGCCAAGCAGGTGGAGACAACGTCGACAGCAAGGAGACGGCTCTCTACATGGGACCTTATAACGCTTAGTGTCGCCATGCTGGGCGCCCAAATTGCCTGGACAGTCGAGCTAGGGTGCGTGTCGGTGCAACGTGGTAACTAGAAGGCTGACAGATATCGTATCGGCAGATATGGGACACCCTTCTTGCTGGGATTGGGCATCTCTGAGCAGCTGACGTCGCTTGTCTGGCTCGCTGGGCCCATCAGTGGCCTCGTCGCGCAACCCGTTATTGGTATCTGCCGCCGGCCCACACTCCATCGATATCATTGACCATAATTTCTGTTCTAGGCGCTATCTCGGACTCGTCAACGTCCAAGTACCGTCGGCGCTTTTGGATTGTATCCTCGACGGTCGTCCTCGTTTTGACCACCCTTGTGCTCGCCTATTGTGAAGCCATCGCTGCCTTCTTTGTCGATCTTTTTGGGGTGGGCGCCGGAGATTGGGACGGGCAGCGCAACAGACAAGTATGTAGTCATTTCTTCAGTCTGCCTAGAATCTATTGACATCGAATGATACTAGGCTGTGAACGTGGCCATCGGTTTCGCAGTGACCGCATTCTATCTGTTAGACTTTGCCCTCAACGCGCTTCAGGCCTCTCTGCGGAACCTTCTTTTGGACGTCGCTCCAGCCTCTCAATTGAATGCTGGCAATGCCTGGCATGGTCGCATGACCCATGCTGGCAACATTGTTGGATTCGGATTTGGATTCTTTCCCTTGGCCAAGCTGCCCTTCCTGCAGATATTCGGGGGGAGCCAATTCCGCAAGTTTTGCATCCTGTGTAATATCATACTCACCGTCACTGTGTTCATCACATGCTATTGTCACGAAGAGCAAGAGCGTCCTGCCACCACCAAACAATCTGGGTCAGTCAAAGGTTACCGAGGACGACGCTTCCTGGCTCATGCTCCGTTAGAAAACTCCGCGAAATACTCGACAACATATATACGGCAATCATCAAGCTTCCCAAAGCTATCCGGCGCGTGTGTTATGTCCAGCTCTTTGCGTTCATGGGATGGTTCCCGTTCCTCTTTTATTCGTGCGTTTACTTCGTTGGGATCTGTTTCATATCTAAGTTCTGTGCAGCACCACATATATTGGGCAGGTCATGGCCCGTGAGATTGGCCAGGAACCTGACCGTGATGTTGCAGCACGGCGTGGGGAGTTAGCAATGCTTCTGTATAGCGTTGGTGCGTTCGCTGGTTTATCTCAGTGATAGAATTCTTTATCGTCATTCAGTGTCTGTGATTTCGGGCACTGTTCTCCCTCACTTGGCTAGCAGGGATCGCAGACTGATGGCGCACAAGCAGGATGTTGACGAAGACGCTGAACTCACTCGCATTCGAAATACAGTTCGTGAATGGCAGATGGAAGCCGCACGCAAACGCCGACCGCTGCGTCTGCCTATGATGCCCTTTTTACTCCGGAACATCTGGACGGGTGCAATGCTATGGTTTAGTCTTCTGACGTTTTCAACATTTTTTATTACCGATGTTATACAGGTAATTCCCAAATTCTTCCGGTCAATCACCGGCATGATCTTCTGTACAGGCATCTATATTTGTGGCCCTCGTAGGTGTATCCTGGGCCGTGGCAATGTGGGCGCCGTTCGCCATCATAATGGAGGTAGGTAATTCGTTGCAAGACTGCCTGTTACTGAAACAGTTCCCCTTCAGCTATTGAAAGACATGTCTTCGCCGCCGGCGCCCATTAGGTCACATACCCGTACTCTATCAACTCCTCCGCGAAGGATCGTCTCCGAGCGTCAGCCTTTGCTTCGCACTCGATCCCTGGACGAATTTGAAGCGGATGAAGATGAAGTACCGTCCGAAACTCCAGTTGCGGGAGGGACAATCCTCGGTGTTCACAACTTGGCCATTGTGATGCCGCAGTTTGTGGTATGTCCGGGGTTATTCACTTTAAGCAACGAGCAGGCTTTTCATGGTCCTTCCAGATCTCGTTGGTCTCGAGCTTCATATTCCGAGTTGTGGACAAGGGTGCCGATAACGACCCCTCCAATGTCTTTTACGGAAAGAACGGGGTAGTTTGGGTGCTTCGTTTTGGGGGACTCTGTACATTAGCTGGGTTTGTTTCTACGATTGTCTGGCCTTACGTGCGCTGAGTGTGGCTTCTCTTCAGTGCGATGATCGCCCGGATGGTGCCTCCGACTCCTACAGAGAAGGCGATGAGGCGGAGACTCGGAGAGATGAAGTTGCTTCAAACGACTGAGGCTGCGTAAATCTTTGAGCTGTATGAATATATACGCGCTGAACTGGTGTGTTGACTTAGTCTTTGGATAAATGCATGCCTTGACTTGTTTTGTATGGACTACTACTATTAACATACCTCATCGAACGATGCAGTGTATGCAATGCTATTCCCTAGTCTCTCTAATCCCCTGATAACGGTAGATGTGTTCCTTCACAAATATTAAAAATATGTCTTCTTTCAGCTAGGCTGGCTCTGTTTTCTTAGGCATAATACGAAGATACTGCTTTGATGCTTAGGCTGTGTGTACTAGTGCTACGGCGCCTCATTTTTCAGGTTTCCCTCGTCCTCCCCAGTTGAATAAATTATGAGTATTGATCAATTCGTAATGTGGCGTAGTCTTCTTGGCCTGTCTACGCGGTAATTAAACAAAGTACGAAATCGCAATTGTCTCTTCGTCTAGATGATAGAAATCGACACGGAATGCTTGTAATTGGGGGTAACCTTGTTGAACCAAAAAGGCTCTGCAACAGTGAATCCGCTGATGGCAAGTGCTATAAGATTCCGGTACAACGAGAGACTGATGAGAGCTTACCGTAAGTGTCCCGTGAATGGATATAAAACAAGCGTATTGACAAAATGCGTGGCCAACAGAAGGTCAGGGAAGAATTGTTTTTCAGTGTCTTGGCGACAGCTTCATTTGCTGATATTTTTACTTTTATAAGTGAAATAAAAGAAGTGAGGCGAAACGAACCTCTTCCGCGGACACTGACCACGACACAGGATGAAAGGCTGTCTTGAAACCGAGAAATTTCCCAATAAACCGAGTCATCTGCGGTGAAGTCCACGCCACCTATGGCGGTAAATTAACACCTGAGTTCGACGTAGAAATGATTTAGAGATACCAATGATTAACACCGGCGTTTGATTCTCGTAAACCATTTCATCGTCATACTCATCGCGCACTAAGCACCGGCCGGTGTGAAATAGGACTTGCTTCTCGACAAGGGCATCTTTGGGGATGGACTTAATCACCGCATATATCGCAGGACATCCGGAGCCTATATACTGTGACGGCATGAATCAAGGTATCAGAGTGATATAAATCGAATTACTTTCTCGTGTAGTTCATGAGCCACCGCAACCAAATCAAGGTAGCTGGTATTAGATAACCAAAAGATGGTCGCTTGACAGTGTCCCATCCAGTTCGAATTTTCTTTGAGAGCGGCGACGATACGATCAGCGTGTTGTATAGAAAGCACGGTCTCTACGGCTAAAGAAGACGGGGAAGGCATGGATAGACTTGGTGGAATTAACCCAATTTGACCTGATATGAATGCCCTTTCATCAGACTAAGATAGTACATCAACAAAACATGTAGACCGACCAACAAGACACGCACAATAATAGCCTGAGAATATGGACCTATGTTTGCGGGTGCCCAATAACTAAGACTTTGAACATGTAAAGCTTGTCGGTCTGCTGGAGATTTGTCTGCGAAGGCAATACAATCTATCTTGAGGCGCCTGGGACGAGGAAGATCTACAGCGACGCACGCCCTAGCCGGCGGGCTAGTACCGAAAAATGTCGCGTATACTGCATTAATTCGAGCAAAAAGATCCATGGAAGAAACAAAAATGTTTATATTTGTACATTGATATAATTGCACAGCATGTCGTGTGAGTTGGTCTATGATCACAAAAGTTAGAAATTGCATGGAACAAAATGACTGGAATATATACCTTGAAGGAGGTTGAAACACTCTGTAACCTCCTCTTCAATGATGACATTGTCCGGATTCTGGCTTTGCACGTTGCTCACGGTTATCCAAGGACCCACTCTTGCGGACAAAATACCAAATTCGCACTGTGTCTTGGAATCTACTGGAGTATCCAAGGATATTGAACGCGATAATGATGATGATTCTTTGGACGTGATAGTATGCAAGATGTTGGTGTATATGGGGCTGATCAACAATGGAGGTACGAGTACATTCATCGTTGTCGAATCTTTTGGCAGGAGAACGGCATTTTTCACTCGCAAATATGCGACGGTTGCGAAATCATTGTCTGAATGTATGACAACTTCGGTTTCTAAGCTGCGGAGGGCACATCAGCAGATGAGAACGTACAATGGAAAAAGTGCTAACAGAGAAATGCGACTTTTGAAAAGAGGACAGTCCAGTGTCAAGCTTTCATATTCGCCTCCCTCACCGCATATGTGAGATCCGTACTTTTCGTTCTGGGGATGCGTAAGAAGAGTCTAAGGACGAAATGAAGCGTCGGCACTGACAAGCTTGAATAGTAGAGGCTTCATGTCACCCAGCGATTTCCCTAGATGTTCTCTGGAAAGTCCAATACCAGCGACCTTGATCAGAACGGCATTTATCTTGGCGTCAATCATTTCCGATAAAAGTTCGTCCTGGGGTCTCTGCCACAGATAACAAAGTGCGGAAAGAGAAAGACGACGGCATCTATAGATCAGTGAAGGCGTATATCCGCCCCAAAATGGAAGAGACATACACATGTTCTACCCTTACTCTCTGGTAATTGGACAAAATAGCGCCAACCGATACACCTGTTATGTCGGGATGATGGGACTAATATAATGATAAGCATATATATGAACAAGTGGCTCAGTAATGCACCTTGACAGAAGTCAGTAGCTCGTACAGATCCTCGGTTTCATCGCCATCCACACCACCTTTCGAATTGCGGCCGCCATACTCAGCTCCCTGTTCCACGGCGCTTCCACGGATGACTCTCCGATACAATGGTACGTCCAACGCGCGTGCAACGATCTCGATGGCATCCTGGCCTACTGTCTGGTACAGATATGAGTCGAGTTCCTCTGAAGATGAGGAGTCAGTCGAGGCGAGTATTGGGGTGGTAAATGAGGACCTTTTCCAGGCTCGGGACCAAGAGATGCGGCTGCGACCAATTCATGGCCATTTTTTGCACAGTGTAGAAGATTGAAGCAGCTGTCCTTGCCGCCGCTGAGTAGGGCGACGTACTTCATAAAGACAGGTCTGCGCCAAGAAGGGGCGCCTAATCCGGACCGTGAGCCCTGTTGCCGTACCGCAATCAACTGCAATCCATGCTAGGCACTGGTCATTCTTATCCTTCCCTCTTTCGTTCTGTATCCTTATCTTATCGTTATATTCGTTTTCGTTCGAGTTTAATGTCGACCCACTCCTACAGGGAGGCCATCGAATGCCTCAATTCTCTGCAATCCAATGCCGTCGTGTTGGAAGCAGTGCGCGCATCTGGAGGCCGTTCGAGCGCCTTTGCCATCCCCGAAATGCTCGAGTATCTGGAACGCATCGGATATAGCGTACGTGCTTGCGAGCGACGCTCGATGTCCTGCTTTTAAATGATTCTGGCGACAGCCGGACGATCTCAATGCCCTCAATGTGATTCATATCACTGGAACAAAAGGAAAAGGTTCTGCCAGCGCTTTCACTAGCAACATTCTTCAGCATGCAAAGCCAGAATGGAAAATTGGTGAGTACCTCTCTGTATATTCATTCACGTGGCTGAATGGTATCAGGTTTGTATACATCCCCCCACCTGGTCGCTGTACGCGAGCGTATTCGCGTCAACGGAGAACCTATATCTGAGGAGCAATTTACAAAATACTTCTTCGAAATATGGGACAGGTTGGAGAAGAATGATAAGGTGCTTCATACAATCTACCGCTTGATAGTTTGCAAATCTAACTTCATCGCAGAGGAAATACGAGAACACTCCAGCAAAACCAGGATACTTCCGATATCTGACTTTGCTTGCTTTTCATGCTTTTTTGGACATAAAAGTGGACGCGACGATTCTCGAAGTTGGCGTGGGGGGCACTTACGATAGTACAAATATCGTTCCTAAGCCCGTGGTCACTGGTATCACAGCACTCGGCATAGACCACGTCACGGTGCTTGGAAAAAACCTGAAGGAAATTGCATGGCAAAAAGGAGGTATTTACAAGGAAGGCATCCCTGCTTTCACTATGGAGCAGCCTCAAGAAGGCATGGAGGTATTGCGCGAACGTGCTAAGGAGCTCAAGGCCTCCAGCTTTACAATTACCCCTGTGTTGCCTGGTCTTAGCGACGTGAAACTGGGTCTCGCGGGTGTCCATCAAGTACAGAACGCCAATCTTGCGGTTTATCTAGCCCAGACATACCTGCAGACCGACGTAGCGTTGGACGACTACGTTATAGAGGGTCTCAGGAAGACAAGCTGGCCTGGAAGGTGCCAAAGAGTATCAGATCCCTCATCATACAATTTGACCTGGTTTTTGGACGGGGCGCATACCCTTGAGAGCCTTGATTGCTGTATGCAGTGGCACGTCAGTCCAGGTGTTGGTTTGCCAGAAAAGTTTACCAGGTATGTCATTCATAAATTATCTTTGGAGTGTTCTGACAATGATTTAGCCCACGACCAAAACGTATACTTGTCTTTAATTGCACAAGCGGACGATCTGGTTCTTCCTTCCTGTCAGCCATGTACGCAAAACTGTCGGTGCAACTCCAATTTCATCAAAGCTCAGAGGCTCCCGATCGGTACTTCGACGAAGTCATTTTCTGCACTAACGTAACCTACGCGGACGGAGGCTTCAAAGGAGGCAAGTGCGAAGTATACTTCATATTAAGAGCTGACTTAGAAAGGATGTTTAGATTTAACTGCCGTCTCGATCCCAGAAGGTGATTTGGCCGAGTTAAAGACTCAGCACCGACTTGCAGCCGCCTGGCATGGCATAGTGCCTTCATATCCCCAGGAATCTGTCCATGTCCTGCCCTCTGTCGAACATGCGGTGGACCTAGTGCGGAACGTTACCTCACAGTCTACTAACGGCGTAGGCGTTCTGGTCACCGGTAGCCTGCATCTGGTGGGCGGCCTAATAGAGGTCGCAAATCTCGCCAGAGTTGCATTGTAGATTGATATTGATATCGCAGGTACACCTTTAACAGGTTAATTGAGATATAATGATTAAATACTATACATTGTAGAACCGTGAAACTCAACGTTTTCTACTTCTGTTCTGAGTAACTGCACTATAGAAGTGAATAGCCTACCATGATCGCTGTAAGCCGTTGACATTTGGTAGCTTCATGAATAATCTTACCTGACCATCAAGGAAGCATCGCAGTTTCAAGGTAAAGATGCCATTCGCTGGTCTGTCCTCTTCGGCTCCCGCAAGTCTCTCAAAAACGCTGAATTCAATTGGCTGACACTGCAACATCAGCTGACTTGAAAAAGTTGAAACTGCTAATCATCGGTATACTTGCCTCATATCGCAAGATACGTTGATAGAGTTCCGTATCACGCATTATTTTCTTTTTGAGCTCTTCTTCCCAGTTGGCGTCAAAATCTTTCTCTTTCCAGCGCTTTTTGACTGCTTTGCCTTTGCCTTTGCGTCTATCTTTTGCCGAAGATTTCTTTTCCGACGTTGTCGATGTCGCTGCCTTATTCCTTCTTTTCGCGGATTGAACAGGTATCGATTGCGTTGTATGTGGGCTAGAAGTTTCGATGTGATTATTATCTAGATGAGGGTCGAAATGCAGACATGCTTCGCTAAGATCTGAATAGTAGCCATCCTGTAGGGGCAACATGTCATATGGTGGAAGGAGACTGGCTGTAGGCAAGGGAGACCTCGGAGATCGAGCGTTTGAGCTGGACGGAGTGAGTGAAAGTGACGAATTCTGTGTGTTATCAGCCCTGTTTGAGGCACTTGAAATAGGGAGTACGTACAATAGAAGAACGATTCGAGCAATATGACAAGGGGGAGGATGAGGCTGCCTGTCGTGAACCGAGTTTGGAAGGAGCAAATGCTTGTGTTGCAGGAAATGGCTCGTCGACTGTCGGCGACGGCAGAGTGGAAGGAGTGGAAGAGGCAGGCTCTGCACCAAACTTGGAAGGTCCAAAAGCTTGTGTGGCCGGATACAGATCTGCATCACCATCGGAGTGTAGGGGGTTCCACAGCAAGGGTGAATTATCATAGGCCATACGTTCAGGTAAGACACTACGACCGGGGTCCTGCGTGGCCGCAATGCCATGGCCATTCGCGTCGGACAACAAAAGATGGGTAGATGATGAAGCGCTATGTCCAATGATAGTCTCTGCTTTCTGAAGGATAGCGTCACGGGTATCGACAAGGGCTTTCACGGTGCCCAGGACATCAACGCGTTTAGTCCGCTTCCTAGGTCCCACATCATGAACAACGTCACGGAAAAATGTTTCTGGTACTGTAGCGTCCTGGCTCTTTGCTCTGCCTCTACCCTTGGTGGCGAGATCTTTTGGATCTACGCTCTCCAATGCCTGACGGATGCGTGTACGGACAGCAGAGTCTGAGAAGCTGTTCTTCTTGGCGCATGACTGAACATGCTTCATCTTCTGGGCCGCACTCTTCCTGGTGGTCCAGGATATGTTACAGCAAATACATTTCAAGAGACCTCCGAGTTGCACATCGGTAAAGTCCTCAGAAAAGCGATCCGTACGATGCGGTTGCTTGGGAGCTACAGGCTTTGATATCACGTCTGCACTTTCGGTACGTGAAGTAACGGTTGATGACGACGCCTTTCGTGTCGGCTGAGCTGGGAAAGCAAACCGAGCCAAGTTCAACCCCAGTTCATCATCATCCTCATTCTCTAGAGAGTCGCTGAATATCGCAGAATCATTGAGGATAGGGTCTGCATATTTCTTCTTGGGCAATTGTGGTTCGGAAGAGGATGTGGTGCAGTCGTGGAGTCGTGCTGATTGAGAAACCCCTTTGACAGGGACCCCATGCCAGGAATGTGATGATGCAGCTGATACACTGTCGTCTGAAAAACGACGGGTTACTATGGCCATTAGGAAACATGCTGTTTCACTACTCACCAGATATCCCGATGACGCTACCTATCGACGCAGATGCAGGTACAACAGGTGCATCATTCTGATCATCGTCGCACAGATCAATACCAGATGCTACCGTTGGGACTCGAGCCTCTTTTCTTTTCTTCCGCTCCAGCCTCCTTTTCTGTCTCAGCGCCTCCCTCTCCGGCTCTGAATCCTCCACGACATCCTCTTCTACGAATGGCGACATTGATGGTTTCGATTGAATAAATTTGCGAGTTGCTTGGCAACGTGAGTAGAGATGTGCTGCAGGGGTACAGTACTTGCTGAGGGTTGACAGCATGAAAGTTTGAAAATCTTACATAAGATGCCTTAAGCGCGACGCGTTATTTGTGTGTGTTTACCGAGCTCTTCCTCTCTTGGATCTCTCCCCCTCTTTTGTATCCTTCATTCACTAGATCCATCGCCCCAATCGCTGGAATCTTTTGAAACTTTGTATCTCCTCTCCACATAGATATCAAAAACAATAGAATTCCTACCATCATCTACTCGATACTTCAGCCATGGATACCGCGCCAGACAGGCTTGTGGCGTCCACGGTAACTGTACCAGAAGTCTCCCCAGCAGAACTATATGAAGTCCTAGTTGGTGCGACATCCCAAGATCCAGCTTTATTGCGGGAATCCGATAAGCGCTTGAAGCAGATGATGGGTTTATTCGGCGCTTTCGATGCCCTGCATGATATCGCTTCCCAGAAAGCGCTCCCAGTCCCAGTCCGAAAGCAAGCCATAATACAATTCAAGAACGAAGCTCTCAAGTCGTGGAGGTCTCGAAAGTCAGCAGCAGGTTCAATCAGTGTTTACTTGCACTGATAATATTTTAGGGTCCAAAATGATCAGCATCGCCAAAGAATTCGCAACCGTTGTTTAACATTCTTGGATGATGAAGATGAGACAGTACGACGTGACCATTTTTATCTCTGATATCTCCGTACTCATAGTCCAAAGATCGCGATATTCAACAACGTTATTGCCTCCAAGTTGGCGCGACAGGACTACCCCTCGTCCTGGTGTGTATCAAAGCACCAATGGTATTCCCATACTGATCGTTTTCAGGCCAAACCTTGTGACAGATCTCATAGCAATCATGAATTCAAGTCTCCAGCGTCGCTATAATCCTCCATCTGAGGATTTGAAGGATACATTAATCCTGCAAAGAAGCCTTCACCTTCTAAACCTTATATTGGGCGAATTCGCTGCACACAAAATGCTAACCGGCGTCAGGACAATGTCAGAGGTGAGTTAGGCGTATCGTCCGTGCTTCATTCTGTTCAAATAAGTACAGCTTGTCGATCAACTACATGCCACCCTCTACGGATACTATTCGTCTATATCTTCCAATTTCACTGCTCTCAACCTGGAAGCCATCAACTCGCCCCGATCGTATAATGATATCTTAATAGCGCATCGGGTATACAAGTGCATCAGTAAGATTGCTGGCTGGCTGTGGCAAAGAAGTGACCGGACTGGCAAAGAACAGTTCACAAAAAAAGAAGCCTGGGTAAGTCGGCCACATATTCTCACGAGCACCTCTTTATCACAATATTCTTGTAGTTTCAGCAATTCTTTCAGAACTCCGCCGTTCAATTACAAGTTTTGTTGGATCTGCGATATAAGATTGTCACTTCCGGTTCAGTGAACACTCATCAATCTTTCAAGTTCATTGAAACTCTGACCACTCATATTCGCCACATCGGCAAATTTTTCCGTCGCCTATCTCAGCTATCTCACGCGCGCTTTGTCGAACTTCCGTTGTGTGGAAACCTTGTTATGTTCTATTGGTCGCTGGTTGTTCAAGCAACAACCCGGGAGTCTGGCCTTATTGAAGGTGTGTATCCAAAGCATTTCAATGAATTTGACGGCAATGTGAAAATTATAGATTCACCTACTGCCGTGTATCCTGTTCGAATTCTTGTACAAGGCATGGCGCTCTTCAACGAGAACCTGGCGCAATGGGCTCCGAAAAGAAGAGACGGGACCTTGAACAAAAACGGTATTCAAGATCTGACATCTGTGTTTTCTTGCCATGGGCTGACCATATATACCAGCTTTATCGAAAGAGTTCGTTGAAAACGCGGTGACATTAATAGTCGGTCGCTTTTTGCCCCTCAATCTGAAGGACCTCGAAAGTTGGATAGCAAATCCTGAAGAGTGGGTCAACATTGACGAGAAAGAAAGCGAACAGTGGGAATTCGAGATACGTGTATGTCCGCGAACGTTCTCTGCGTTGATGTGGCTGAACAGTCTGTGCAGCCTTGTAGTGAAAGGATTTTAATGCACTTGTCCAACCAGTTTGCGGACTACGTGATGCCATTGCTTGAAACAGCATTTAAGCAGGTTGCAAGTGAGTCAATCTGATGCAAGATACGAACTAGTACGACTGACCTCTTCTTTAGGCCAAAGCACCAATGATATGCAAGCTATAGTGCAAAAGGAAGCGCTTTATTGTGCAATTGGTCGTTGTGTTTTGAAGTTGAAGGCGTATATTCACTTCGAACAATGGGCTGCAGAGAGTTTGGTAGTTGAAGCCCGTAGCTCCGATCCCAAGTCCGTTCTTACTTCCCCATTTTTCATCCTCAGCATTGACATTCTTAAAGTTTTCGTATCATCAAGAGGCGTATAGCGTGGATGATAGGCCAGTGGGTGTCCCAAGCCTGTGTGTCGCCTAACCTTTCCATTCTTTGGGATATATTAGTACATCTTTTGAGTGACCGGGGCCCTGGTTCGGATATGGTTGTGCGGTTCACAGCTGCGACTGCAGTGAGGGAGTGTGTTGACGTGAGCCAGTAAATATTTGCTCAGATATACCATTCCTAATGATTTCCAGACTCTCGAATTCGACGTCAATGTTTTCGCCCCATATATCCCGACCACTATCACAGAACTTGTCAAATTGATGGGAGAAGCAGACACCCTTACGGGTAAAACCCGCATTGGAAACACACTCAATGTTGTGATTGACCAGGCAGGAAGCAGGGTATGTTTTATCCCCGAAGAAGCAAAGCACGAGTTTTACCGTGGCTCTCAGATTACGCCTTTTGTAGCAACAATCACAGAACCTCTTTCGAAACTCTGTAAGTTTTGGTCTCACCAGTAGTGCCTTACACTCATGTTTATATTTTTCCAAGGGAGTGATGCGGGTGCTGACTGGTCCTTCAAAGGATCTCTGCTTACTAGCGTTACAAATCTTGTCAAGGTAAGATATTTCTCACGACCTTGCCTGACCGACGTTCATCCGTAATTTTAGGCCCTGAAAGGAGACTCAACGTCTTTAGGACACATTATCGTTCCTTTGGTCCGAGCAAGTCTCAGAGAAGCGGTGAGTGGATATTTTCGCATTTCGAACTTTCCACTTATCCTTGTAGATCAATCTCGACGAGGATGGGCTCGGCCTGTGGAAGGCCGCATTGCACAATACATTGACAGTACAGAGTATCAATGGAGCCCCAGCGCTGCTAGATTTGGTCCCCGATGCCATAAAATTGCTGGCGACGAACCTAGATCTGCTTGGTAAAACTGTTGACATAATCGAATCATATATGCTTCTAGAGGGAGCGCAGATTCTTCAGGTTAGCCCAATGTTTGATGTCCATACGTAACCCGTTGAAGTCAGTCTGTAGGTCTGTGCCGTTGACCTTTTCAAAGCCTTCCGCCAGGGATTCGAAAATGTCAATATCACCGTCAATCGAAAGGATTTGCTAGTAGCACTTAATCTAATCGTGTCAATAACACCTTCTTCCTTATGGGGCGAAGCTTTGCATGTTTCTGGGCTGTTCGCCTACCTCATGAAAATACTCCTCGATGGGGAGGTAAATTACTTTTTTTTCAGTTAAACATGCGCTAAATTCATTTTGTTGAGATCGTCACTTATATCTTGGCTGAGCATATATACATCTGGGCCCGGATCGTCATGGCAGATCGTCAGATGTTCTTGCAGTTGATGACTGCTACCGTGCCAGTCCTTGGCATGACAGAAGCGAAGTTGTATGAACGGCTAATGGACGTGTGGTGGGACAAAGTATGTTCATTGTTTGGTCAGTTGAATGTGTACTGATTTATTTAGTTTGACTCTATGTCGGAACCAAAACACCGTAAACTGTGTGCTATGGGAATGGCCGCTCTTGTCTCAACTGGAAGACACGAAGTGCTGGAAAGACTCCCAACCGAAATTTTCAACTTGTGGTCGGAGGTATTTTTAGACCTCAAAGAGTCTAAGGAGCAAATGTATGACCTGTCCCCTCTTCTCAGCGCGAGATGTCGCTAAGAACCTTTTTAAGGGCATCGGCTGAGCCGTTACGTCGTTATTGGGAGTTTGATGACACCTCGTCAGATACTTTTTACAAGGATACTACTGGCACACCTGAACATGATCGGCGAAAACTAGTAAGTGTAGTTGTTGGGCGATTATTTAAGCCTGTTGTCTAACCATGCGCCCAGGTCAATGAGGCAGATCCGGTTCGCACCATCAAACTTACCGAGTATGTTGGAGCTTATCTGAGAGAGGCCGAGGCGCTTTACGGTGCAGAATCGTTTCGAGCCCAGTACATCTCCAAAGCAGACCCTATCATCTTACAGGAGATTGAAAAAGCGTTAGCAGAAGGGCTCTGAAGAATGATTTTTTCATCTCGTATACTTCTCCCATATATGTCATGCTTCCATCCCGGCTTCTCAGTTCTCATCTTTGGTTTGATATTAATGATACTAGATACGAACTAGTAATCATCAGAAAGACCGGATTCGCTGTAAGATCCAATTGAACCTGAGAGGTCTGTGGTGTCGATATCGAAGTCGCTACTGAAATCGTAGTCACTTCCACCGACTTCGTCGACTTCTACTGTGAACCGCTCAGCGCCACGGACAACCTCTGTGCACCTTAGACATTCCCAACTTTCGTCCTCTGCATCATCGGCCGCGCGCATCATTCGCTCGGCTATACAATGATAACAATACATATGACCACACGACGTGATATATGGTGTGTATAATGGATATGCGGGAGGCTCGCTTTGTGAGCCGCTAGACGCGACGTTAGAACTGGATTGTGAGACTGCAAGTGCGGTAAACGCGTTTGCTGAATCGGCCATATTGAGATTGAATGAAGCGTTTTCTGCACAGATCGCGCATTGATCTACAGGCAGTGAATGATACTTGCCAAATGCTTGGGATATACGCGGCGCTGCATTTGAAGGATATGATTGTTTGCCCAATGCCGATTGGAGTTTGGATGGTATTGACACTAATGATGCTGTGATGCGATTGACTCGATGGCGTACTTTCCGAGCACTGATGAGAGGCAAAAGGAATAGCAGAAATTCCTATGAGCGAATTTAAGACAAGTAACCTTTGTAAAGCCTTTGTACGTACGGTGAAAGCATGCCAGACCATCTGGCGATTCATGAATTCGTAACTGACATCGCGCCTGAGTAGAGCTCGAGACGGAACCAGTCGCATGTTCACTAATCGGTCGGCGACTGTACGGAAGCTGACAAATCATGAGATGAGGTTACTGGGATGAGTGTGATACATACCGACCATCCCAGAGGAATGCCACAAAGCTGGCGAGACCGAGTAGTGTGTACGATGATTCGAAGGAAGTCAACAGATCCCATGCTTTGTGACGAAGATCAGAGGTGGGTGCATCTGGCCAAGCACGGGAAAGCGCATGGGCGCGAAATCTGGAATGTGCATAGGGTACCAGTATGGTGAGGGTGCCATGAATTATTAGTATTCGTCTCGGTAGACCAGAAGCTGCAAAAGTTCTCAACAAGTTGTGAGACAGATAAGAAACAGGTGCGCACGAGTAAGAGAATGACCATGAGACGCTGAAGGCGCGACAGTGTAACGAAGATCCTGCAGCTTTGCACCGTAGCTGGCACCGGTATTCCAGATTGACAGCTTGTACAGCACTAAGTGAATAAGTAAAGTAAGCTCTTGTTCGAAACGTCCTTTAAATGAAGCCTTTGAAATGATTAGAGCAAGGTGAACATTAACCAAGAAATGGATTCACGTTTGCCAGCACTAGAGCCTTGTTTAGCGGCTCTTGAAGAAGGGTAATGAGCTCCTGGTCGAGGATCTCAGCGTCGAGCTGTCCGACGCGTGATATAGGCACATTTTCTGGCGACGAGAGGTGCAGAGATTGACGCAACGCGTTCAAGCGTGGCTGGGCAGCATTCCAGGCGTTCTCCCAAGTGGACGATGGTGACATGACGATTTTATACCACGTGATATCACGGACCGAGTCAAAAATATTTAATTGAATGTCCAAATCAATTCTGTGCTTTACCATCATGGCTGAAGCTCTCCAGCAGCTCATTCTCGATACCCTCGATGCTCAGTCTTCTATCAAAGACTCCAGGATCCTTGTTCTTCCGGGCCAGAAGGATCCTGCAACGTCGCATGAGGCCCAGATAACCGTTCTCGGTGCCCTGAATTCACTGCTCAGTCGCGAGGTTCGTCTGTTGACTTCATTTTATCGGGAGGTATTCACGAAATATCAAGATGATCAAATATGAAACACGCGAGGTCTTTACTCATGTATTAACTCCAGAAGGTGCTTCAATCGCAAAGGAAGGATCACATGAAGCTCGCGTCTGGTCTGCCCTTCCTATCAAGGGCCAGGGAATACCGGTGACACCACAACAGTTGAAGAAATTGGTTGGAGATGAGACAGCAAAAGTCGGGCAAGGTCGTGCTTTCAAGAATGGCTGGATCGGTAAAGAAGGTGGTGGTTTCGTTAAGATGGTACTTCTTTCTTTTTCTTTTAACAAAATTTACGGAACTCAATTGCTGGTTCGCCGCAGGCCAATACCATAAACGATGCAGCACAATTAGACTTGCAGGAAATAGAATCTACAGGAACACTGAAAACTGGAGAGAAGACCCTGGCGGATCTGCGAAAGCGTAAGCTGATCATACAAAAGTGAATTGTCATATCTCCCGCCCAGACGCATCTGACATCAATCAGGAAGGGCCAGTGGTTCACCGTGAACAAGGGTCCTGAATTCAGCACTTCCACGGCGAAACCGGAAACAGATCTGACTGCAGACATGCTAACATCGTAACTCACTTTTCCCCGTGATTCAATTGGTTCTCATTCTTTCTCAGTGGTGCGTGGAAAACGGCCAAATTCAAGAAGTACAATTTCGAGGCGGAAGGAATACCAACGAATGGAGGTGCTCTGCATATGCTCCTCAAAGTTCGGGAGGAAATCCGTAATATCTTCTTGGAGATGGGGTACGCAAATTGCCATGCCTCTGCTGCTCAGCACTTCTTATTTTTCATCAGTTTCGCAGAGATGCCTACCCAATCATATGTAGAATCCGGTTTCTGGTGCTTCGATGCCTTGTTTGTCCCCCAGCAACATCCCGCCCGGGATTTACAAGATACTTTTTACATCTCCGATCCCCCACATTCACTACCTCCAGAGCCTGAATATTATAAACGAGTTTCTACTGTACATGAACATGGCGCGTACAGTTCAACCGGGTATCGCGCCCCTTGGTCGCACGAAGAGTCATCCAAACTTCTTCTACGAACACACACGACTGCGTCGTCTGCACACATGCTATACAAATTGGCAGCAAAGTGTAGAGGAGAAAAGGTTGATGGAGAAAAGGAAGACTTCACTGGCACAAAATCTGCTGCTGACAATGGTGATGGATTCAAGCCGGCCAAACTTTTCAGTATCGACCGGGTGTTCCGAAACGAGACCATGGACGCAACTCATTTGGCCGAATTCCATCAAGTCGAAGGAGTTGTCGCCGACCGCAATCTTACCCTGTCGGACCTGATTGGTGAGCTCGTTGCCGTATTCTTGACACCATATTTTACGCCGTGATCGCAAAGGCTTTATGCGAGTTTTCTTCGAGAAAATGGGCATCGAAAAAGTCAGGTTCAAGCCAGCGTATAACCCTTATACCGAGGTTTGTCCGAATTCATCTTCTGCGGCGGTTCCGACCAACTAGTGCTTTACCCAGCCGTCACTTGAAATCTTCGCGTTTCACCCAATGTTGAACAAATGGGTTGAAGTCGGAAACAGCGGCATGTTCCGACCGGAGATGCTCGAACCCATGGGCTTCCCGAAAGACGTTCGGGTACATGGATGGGGCCTCAGTCTTGAGCGACCCACGATGATTCGGCAAGTACCTTTGACGTGAAAAATGTTCACGATGCTAAATGTTCCTTTAGTTACGGTATCAACAACATCCGCACACTTGTTGGACACAAGGTGCCCATTGAAAATGTAGAGAATTCGCCGGCCGTCCGTTTCTAGACATGATGATGCTGAGGACAATGCGATGTACACATCTGTTTCGTAGAGAATACATGAATACTCAGGAGGGAAAGGAAGGTGGCACAAAGCAACAAGGTAAAGAAAACGTGAGGTACTTTAAAAATGAGAAAACAGCTGCGTTTTTCCGGGTGCCGAACATGTATATACAAGCTCCGATGGCAGGGACGACGCCAGATTGATTGGAGATGTAGTGGTCGGCGACTTTATTTGAGGCATACGAGCAGCACGAAAGAAATCGCTACCAACCATGACAGGGAGCTGCTTGCTTTTAAGGGGTTGCAATTTGGCAAGAGACGAGAAGAGCGAGAAGACAGGGACGATGACGAAGGCGGTCCAGGTTGGGAAAGGCTGAAGGTACCAAGGAATGCTTTTCGGACGGTAGCAAGCCTCAACAATATCATGTTGAGTGAGCGAGACGGCATGCGTAAATGTCCAAGTGTCGACTAAGGGTATCGTACCGTTGACAGTGTCATTATCGGCAGTCCAAGCTCCCGTCAGAGACCAATGGTAGGGAGGCTGGAAACAAGTGCGTCCAGGCTGCGGCGTGTATGACGATCTAATAGAAGATAAAAGCCGGAGCCAATCTGGAGCCCGAATCCCTAGAGAATTCATGACTGGTCTGTATACGCGCTGAAGAACGAAATTGCATATTTTGAAGAAACATACGAATCAAATTTCCAAGGCAAAATGCAATGATGCTGGAAGAAGAAATTGCGGCGTAACAGAATGTTTGGCTGCGAATGCTACTCAATCCTCGAGCTGCAAATGACATGAGAATGGATGCGGTAATTCCGGGACGAAAAATGAGAAAGACGGGATGCCCGAGAATACTGTCCACGCTCACTCAAAGACGTTAGCGTGCACTCTTCGTCGTACATAGCTGGAGAACAGACAGAATGAAGGCGCCCGCGCCTGCAACCCACATATCCAAGAACGATCCACCAAACGCAAGGGGGCAGATTACAGCCGATAGACAGAAAGCAAGGAGACAGCGAAAAAGTAACAGAACAGAGCGGTGGGGCATTCAATGGATCGTCAAGCTGCGCCGAAGCCTTCTTCCCGCCAGTCTCGTTGTGAACAACAGATCGGTAAATCAAGTGAACCTTTTGCAACGCTCCCAAGGACAACCTACCCCCGCACTTCACGAAATGCGTCTCAGACCAGCCCAGTTCCTGATCGCCGGATCGCTGCTGGACCAGTCACACATCGTTGAACGGGTCGCTGACGTGAAAAAAAAGGATGCCGCTGAGGATTTCCTAGTGTCAGGCAGTGGTGGATGAGGCGGGGCAGTATAGCGAGAAGAGGGAACATTGGCAGGATATCGTTGAGTACGGTACTCGTCGTTGCCTGAGGAGAAGTATACGTGCGATGGCGATGGCAGTCTTTCTCCTGCATGTTCAGCAACAGCGAGGAGAAGGAAAAAGCAAAAAAGCGCAACGACGGTGAGAATTCGAAAGAAAGGCAACCAAATGGTAAAACTAAATATGGACATGGCTACAATTTGTTACAAGATAATAAGATACGTGAAGGCATTATACAGTGATCCCGTCTATTCTTCCATTGCTGCTAGCTGAGCCTCATTCAACACCTCAGCCTCAGCCATTAACTTCTCCTCTAGCGCAGATACTCGGGCTTCAGCCTCACGCTTCTCGTTCACCAACTCGGCGTATCGCTCCTGTAGGCCCTGCTCACGCCTTGCAAGGACCTCAACTTCTTCCTTCAAAGCAGAAACACGACGGGGACCAGCTGCCTCTTCGTTGATCCGTAGGCGTGCAAAACTCTCATAATCCAGATGTGTCTTTTGCAACTCTCCAAACGCGTCAGTAACCCGCTTTGACAATACTGCAAACCGCGCCTGATAGCCGCCTAGTGTCACACCCAGCTTTTTCTCCACCTTGCCCGCCTTGGCCGCGTCCCTAGTCATGGTTTCCTGGGCCTCCGCAATCAGAGCTTGGTACCCTGAAACCCGTTCCTCGGCCGATAGCTCCGACGGCTCAACCCATTCACCAGACAAAGGACTAAATACCAGTCGCTTCCGTATTTGCGCCCAGGATTGGCTGTCATCATCAAAAGAATCTGCTTTCGCTAAGCGCATAAGACCGTCTCGTATTTGCGCGGGGCTGGCATTGGGAAATCCTACTAACGACGCCAATTCTTCGTGAAGCGCTTGCTTAGCACTGTCAATGTCGTCGTCCGCAAGCATGATGTAAGTTGATTTTGTACTCCCAGGCCGTGAGGTGCCGGGTAATGGGTATGCAATGGAATCGTGCTCCAACAACCTCACGAGTTCAGCGTTGATAAGCCGCTCCGTCTCATCTCCTTCTGCACTGTTGAAACGACGTAGCATCACATCCGCGTCGACATTAGCTGGTCTTGGTAGACCTAACCGCACCGCTTGTGATCTGCGAGCCAAAGCCTTCCTTTCTTCTTCTTCCTGGATCCGTTTGAGTAGGGCGTCTCGTTCTGCTGCATCAATCTCTGAAAGCGTGGAAGCATCCGCGTCCCCAGTCTCTTCCTCATCTTCCGGGACCATTAATTCAAAGTTATTTTCCGGTTTGGGCAAGTTCATGAACCCAACCTGCAAGGCCCGTTTTGAAGAGTTAAGGTGTAACCTCTGCTCTCGTGGAGTACTTTCAACTGCATTAAAGCCCTCCGGGTTGATTGATAGATTGTCTCGTAAAGGCGTCCGCAGCGGTGTCCCGGCGACGACATCACCCCTCGGCGTAGCTGCAACATTACCTCCGGCTCGAAGAGGTGTTGCTAGAGGATTAGGTGTGAACGCAACTTGATGTCGGGGTGTAGCACCTTCAAAGCCTGTTCCACCAGAAGGTCCAGCATGCAGAGGTGTATTTTCCTCTCCAAGTAGGGGAGTCTGTGCAATTGTCATGTTGCGTAAGTTTCGCGCCTCGGACATAACGTTGTCCTCTAAGAAACAGAAATTAGATACCTTGGCATGACCACCAATAAAAACTTACGTTGAGGGGCAGTGCGAGGGGTCCGTGCCATCCTAGCTCCTTCTAAGCCTTCATAGTCGCTCAACAGCCGTCCGCTAGCTTCGCTGCCTCCGCTGACCAGTGATTTCGCATTCTCTCCTGCCAGGCCAATCTTGACGATGTCCTCTAACTCGGCCTCACCAACCTGGGCAGCAGGAAGCACTAACTTCTGCCGTCTCCCCATTGACTCGGCCTCCTTCAGTTTCTGGATTTGTGCATCCCGGGCCGCAAGGAATTTTGTTTGATGTTCCCCGTTTTCTTTCGTGCGCTGTCTTTTCTTCCTTTCCTCCTCCTCACGATCAGGTTTACGCTTATTTTCAAGCCGTCGAAGACTTTGGCCTACAGGTGCAGCAGCCACACGCGCCTGCTCCTCTGACGTGTCATAGAAACCTGCCGCTGGCTTCTTCTCGAAAGGAATGTCTGCATTGTACTGTGAATGCAATCTCAGAGTCTAATTAAAGATAAAATGAAAGGGTGGACTCACATCCATGCCTTTCTTTTTTGTTTTGGAACGCGTTCTGAGAATGGTCAATTAGAACAGTCCTCAAATGATAGCTATGGATACTCACATTATTCCAGCTGCCTTCAACTCACGTTTCTTCTGAAGTACGGCGAGCCGACGCGCTTCTTCCAACTGGCGTTCGCGAGCCTTCCGCTTAGCTTTCTTACCTTGCGTATTTGCCAGACGTGCTCGAGCCTCGGACAACATTTCCTTCTCTGAAAGATGATGAGACAGCGGCAGATGAATAAAAAGAGCCAGTTCACCGTCTTCGTCCATATCAATGGGGTCAGGCCGCGCAGGTTTGGTTTCAGGGTCAGGGTCAATTTCCCCAGGTCTCAGTCGCCGAACGTCGTCAGCACTCGGTCCAGTATCTTCAGATGGACCTGTAAACCCAAGTTCTTCATTTTCCTTTGCTTCTGCCTCATCCAATAACCTCTGATACCGTTCCAAGCACTGGGTGGCCGTCCGACCGACTATGGGCGCAATGGTACGCCATTGCGTGGGCATCAACTTTGCAAGATGTAAAAGCTTTTCGTCCTCCGTCTATATAAATTGAGCATATATGAGAGAGATAGACGTGCTGACTACAACTCACTTTGGACCATTCTGTCTTCTTTATAGAAGGATCCAGCCATTCATACCAGCGAGCTTTGCATTGCTTTGGTGTCTTGCGCACCAGCAAAGAAGATATACGCGCCCTGCACTGCATTAAATAGGAACTAAAAAATAAGAGAAGTGTAACTCACCATTGATTCTTGCCGTACTTTGCTATCGCAGCCTTGAGAACTTCATCCTCAGTATTCTGCAAAAAAAGTTAACTCGCGTTCAGGCATTAGCAGTGAAGTCAAAGCACCTTCCAAACACCTATGAAAAGGTTATTTATTGCATTTAAGGATGCTGAGAAGACACGTACCTCCTTTGATAATTATTCGGACCATGAGTGGTGGTGGTGAGGAGACGAGTCGAATCTAAACAGAAACAAACATTCTTCGTTTGTTCGTTCACCCAATTTGGAAATGCATCTTCGTCCCTCCTCTCATTCTGCTGTATAAACACTATTTATGGGTTTTTTTTTCCATAATGGAGAAATATTTCGTGGTCGTCAAGTCGGCATCACGTCGTAAAGGATTCGACACCAAAGAGAGCAAGTCTATACGATACCAGCCATATAACGCGCCTGAGTGCCGACCGCTTAGACCCAAGGAGAAGATAAAGTATGTCTTGTTTTCATGCTTAATCTCCGAAGCTTACGATTTGTGGGTAGTCTTCTTCTAGAGCAACTGCCTGACTTTGAGACTGAACCATCTCCGGCCAATCTTACGAAACTATTATTGAGCACACTGCCCGACGAATCAAATCCTCTCACTCATTCTGATCTCGTTGATCGTTCAGGTTCAAAGCATCTTGATGTGCACTTGAATTGGCATTGAACTTTGTGACAGATCATGTTATTTCAACGTCAACGGGTCACCAAGTTGCTGAAGCGCGTATCTCTCGTAGAACAGAATATTTTGAGGCTCGTGCCCAGAAGCTCGCCCAACAGAGAGAACAAGGACGCTCTGAGAGTCAAATCTTGCGCAATACCCGCATCTACATCGACGGATATCTGTCTGGCACAACTGACATCGAAATGAAACGAATTGTTACAGAGGCCGGTGGTACTGTTCTGTAGGTTTGCACAATTTATTCGTATACCTAACGAATTTTAATTTTTTTAATGTTAGAATGAGCGCCTCCGGTGCGACGCATATATTGTCGTCCCAATGCCTCAACGGCTCCAAGACGCACAAAGTACTTACAAGCAAGTCAAGGACACAAGTGCAGGTCGTTAAACCTGAATGGGTATTAGATAGCATTCAATCGGGAAGACGACTACCGGAGAGAACGTACAAGTTGATCAAGAGCAACTCTACGAAGACATTGCATGATATGTGGCACAGATGAGGATTTCGCAAGTATTATTCTATGTACAAGAACTTGTAAAGGCTGCGTGAATTTGTGTCATAGTAATTTATATCTCTGTACATGTGTGGGTCTGCAATATTATTTAGACCAATGGAACATGATGCATAAATTCTTATTTGGCTCAACATAGCCACATTGGTTATTTCTCACCGTCACCCGCCAATGTCTTCTAAACCGAGCAGTACGCATTCATTGCCGCCTTTCTACCCGTTATCCATCGTATCTAATATTTAGCAGGTACCCTCAAGTTGGATCAATTCTGTACGTATCAAAGGTGCCTCTGTAGACTCTATCCAATGCGTGTCGACAAGATTCTAGTCGCGAGAGAGATTTCTTAGAACTTCATGAACAAGTGCAGGTACATGTTACCGTACTATTTTCTGCCACACCTTTGAAGGACATGCTTTAGACGAGCGTCAAACTTCTCGATTCCTTGGAAACTTTCCTCTCCACATTTCAAAAGGATCTCTCAGCGGTATCAGGGCAAATATCAGAACTTCAAGATAGAAGTAAAGACATTGATAACAGGCTCAAGAGTCGTCGCGTTAGTGTCCAGTATGCACTATTAGTCCAAACATTCAATTGTTCTTCAGAAAATCGAGAAGCCGCTATCTAGCTTGATAGCTGACATTGCGATACCGCCGTCAATAGCGACTGTTATCTTAGACACAGACGTCGGGGAACCTTGGATTGATATCATCGACGACTTGGAGCGAAGGCTAGATACATGTAAAGCGCGAGCACGAGTGAAGGCGGCGAGAGACGTGGGCGAAGTTGCGGAGGGTCTGCGGATAGTCGTACGTTCGCTTTCTTTATGCCAGCGTATATCGTTTACCTGCTCTCTAAACCAAGGCAGCATCCAAGACGCGCGCTTTCTTCCTTGCCCTCTTTCAGCCTATACACAGGAGCGTTACGACAAACATGCAAGTCATTCAGACATCTATAATACTGAAATATCGGCCACTTTTTGCGTTTCTACAACGGCAGGCTCCAGATGTCGCACATGAAGTGCAAAGGTCTTATGTTCGCGCAGCCCGGGTTTATTATGAGACTGGCTTTCGTCGTTATGTGCGGAGTCTGGGATGGGTTAAGGTGTGCTGCCTTTGTGCTACACATAACTGCTTTCCTTCACTCATCTATTTCAGGCTCGCTCGGCGCAGAAATTCGAGCCAATAACATCATCTGAGCAGAAAACCACATCCATCGATCTTGAGCGGCTTGCTTACAGTAAGATAGATGGTCCCAGTGTCACCTTAGCGTATATGGCGGATGATAAATCATACGTGAGTACTGTCATTGCGCGTGTGTTAATCCAATTGATGTCATTTTTCAGACTGAGCCGATTGAAGCGCTATTACGGTCCTTACTTCTGGTTTTCATGGATAATGCAACGGCGGAATACACCTTCGTGAAGACGTTTTTCCTTCTGCAGACACCTCTTCCACCTCTAGACTCAGAAAGCGTCCTGTCACCTGCGTTTTCTCCTCCCGATAATAACTCTTATGCTGGCTCCGAATTTGGTGGTCTTCGAACGCCGGTGCCCCCTTCAATATCAGCTCAACTAGCCTCTTTAAAGGAAGAGCAAGCTGTTACGGATGCTATCTGGAAACAGGTATTTGACCCCGTACTTGAATATGTGCAGGTACGTCTTGACATACTTGTACTCTAAACCATATTTATGTCATACGTTCAGAACTTTGTCCGTTCAATACTGGAACCAATCCCTTCTATCATTCCACTGCTCACTGTGATCCGTCTCATCGAAGACGTTGCCGCAGAAATTGAAAATCGCGCTTGTCCTGCTGCTGTGACGTTCATGTTCGGCATTCGCATGGATCTATGGCTGGTTTTTCAGAAGATGATGTCTGAAAATATCGATGGTGTTAAGAAACTTGCGGAGGGTGGTGGCTCGAGTTATTTCAGTCGTACTGCTGCTTTGACAGAATCCACCGTCATAAACGTGAGGTGTTCATTGCAAAGAGAAATCACTCTTCTGACAATCTTTAGCTATGTAATCATTACATTGTCATTTTCAACTCTTTTGTGGCCTTGACAGAGCAGTCAGACGAAACCATGATTTTCTCAAAGCAAGTTGGTTTTTATGTCTTTGTTGTCTTTTCTGAAGCTTTGTTACAGTCTTCTACGTTTAAGACAAGAGCTTGCCAAAACAATCCAACGCTACGTTAACCAAATCAGCGACACAATATCTAAAGCTATTGCGCAGTCATCCACGTATGAGAGGTTATTACAAGGACTAAGCGTATGTTGTCCATCTAACTATATTCGACACTCACCCTCAGTGAAAAAAAACTCAATAGAAAGGCAATCTTTTCGCAGCGCATCCTAAATCTCAGTTAGAGCTAGCGTATTGGTCCAATCTAGAAGAGGAAGCACGACGTAAGATAATATCAGCAAAACAAACTAAACAGCGACGGTAGAACCTCTAATCGTAACGTCAACCACACGAACTATTATTTATCATGGAATAATTTTATAGTTAGTCAACATTCCATAATGCCCCCGAGCCAAAGGTAACAATGCTAATAATAATACGCTGAAATAAGAAGTGGATGGTTTGTGCTGTGCAGTCACAGAATGGATCAACCTCTACCGCTTACACGAGCCGGATCTTTCTGCAACGTCGGGAAGGACGCCTTCAAAAGACTGCCATTTTGTTTACCAATCCCCAGCCGATTGAGAACATCTCTCACTTCCCCCGTGCCGGAGGTGATGGTACGTTTCTTCGTCCTTGACCGTGTCTTCGTCAAACGACTGTCCCCCACAGACGAGCCGTGGTCGAGTGTGGATATGGAGGATGGTCGACCTCCCAAAGCTAACGCCGGATTTGACATGCTGCTTCGACCTTCCAGCGCCTCCCGTAACTCTGTCACTCCTACACCCCGAGTAGAGCGAGCGAGACTTTGAAGTGACATGTTTTCGATGTGCATGAAACCCGGCGATATCTTAAGAAGGGGCGAGATCCCATCGCCACGTATCGTATTGTCGTACGGTGTGGATTTTTTATAGGCTAGGAAATTTGGTCAATCAATGATTAAGAGTATTGAAAACGGAAGACAGCTTACAGTCCTTCAATGCCCCTTCGGCTGTCCACTTGACTGAAAATCGTCGCAGAAGACTCTGACTATCCAGACCTGTCGCTTCTTGCACATTCCGGTTCGCAACAATAAGCGAAAGAGCTGTCTCGGCATCAACACCAGACCAAGCAAGCTCATCAGAAGATACGTCTTCCGAAGAAAAATGTACAGACTGTGGCGCTGAATGATACGTCCCTATATCCCAGGGCTGATTCGTAGGCAACTTTGATAATTTAGGCACATTCGTTAAGGCCTTGAACCACATTATTAAGACAATTCGATGCTTATGAGCAAAAGGCATCTACCTTCTCGGCCACATCCACTAGTTGCCTACAATCCCATTGAGACCCTAACAGCAACCAGAGTTTTGCAAGGACGGCCTTCATTGTGTTAATCCGACGAACGGTCGCAGGGTCGCCAACGTTGTCTTTGCACGTAGCACCGTCTAATGCTAATAGCATTGGCAGACCGGTCAACAAACCACGAACGGGCAGTTGTGCGTGAACAGTTGTTAAGACGTCAAGTATATGGGTGTAGTCCGATAAACATGCTGAGTCAGCGGATGTCACTTGGGAGGACGCCCTTTCGAGCAGACGGAATGCTAACGATATTTTTCGTGATCGAGGCGTCTGGGAAGCGGAAAATGAAGGATCGGGTATAAGTGACTCTCCTATTGGGTCGTGATCGACGTGATGCTCTGCAGACCGGGCGGCATGGTCGTGACCATTGACTGAGGCAGAGTAAGAGATAGAAGGACTAGATGTAAGGCCTAGTGATGCGGCGGTGGCGAGGATATATATATAAGCATGGAGGGCGTTAAGAAACTTGGCACCAATGTCTCCAGAATACAGAAGCACATGTTTGCTTACAGTCTGCAGCCGATGAGGACCATCGGCATCGGCTAGGTCTGGGTGCTTAGGCATTTCATTTGCTAGATAGAAAACCAACGTCTGCGCGTAATCCACACGTACTGCATACTCTTTGTCGCACAGCAGGCTCAGAGTGTCATGCCAGATATCGGAAGAAACTCTCGTCCTCCTGGATGCTCTTTCATCGACGCCAGCGTCCTTATTAGTAGCGTCAATAGAAGGAGAGGATGTTTTAGCTGATACTGATTCAGGCCGTTTTCTGGATTCAGCATTACCGGAAGATTCGTGGATGTCAGCAGAATGTACTAGGCCAGAAAGACCGGCGAGTAATTCACGAATGACTTCTGTCCGGACTTGCCCACTGGAAGACCCGCCACGAACGACAACGCCTTGCATTTCAATCAATGTTAGCCTGTTGATCAGTTCAACCTACGAACGACAATAAGCCTGGGACGACATGCACAAACACTGTTGACTGACTGCAAGGTCTTGGATCTGATCTGAGTAATAGACATGAGTGCCTAGAGACGATATGCACCGGACAAGGTCTGGGAGGAGGGAATCTTCAGGGTCAAGGGACGTGCGACGTACAACCATAGTCATTAAGTTTGATAGAATGTCGGAGGTAGAAAGATTGATGAGAGGCGTAGGAGAGTTAAAGACAGTCGTCACCATAAATGTAAGAGCTTTATGCATCGAACTTGTGACAGGTTCGTCTTGACCTTGTAAGAGTCGTTCTACGAGCCATGTTGGAACAGCATATCTATATTGATATTGTGACCAATCGGCAGTCTTTTGGGCGAACCAGCAACAATGCTGCAGGTTGGTCCAGCCCTTCATATCATCGAGATTGTCAAAAGATGACCGCATTATGTATCCTAATTGTAAGCCGTTGGCATGTTCCAGCAAAGTGACAAAGGCACGCAGACACGCGCTGGAGACGTCTGAGATTGAAGGACCCTTGTCTCCGTCGATGTGGAGATGGATAGAAGCAGCTCGTCTCTCGATGATTGGTCGCGTACGAAATTCTGAAAGATAAGGCGATAATGGGGCTCTTTTGACGCCTTCGGCCCTGCTCAGCATTCAACCACCGATACCCAAGCCACGGAAAAGACCGCTTACTGGTCGTCCAAAACTTTGAGGCCTGTCTGAAACATGGTGACTAGAATGGGGCGCATGATGATAGAAACTTGGGAGCGAAACTGAAGAGAATCATTGTATAATGCCTCGGAGCTTAACGCTCCTGTGAGCGCGGCAAATCCGACAAGGCGCATCCTGAAGGACGTAAATATTCGATAATTTGCGCACGCGAGCCGGACACACCGATTCTGAATTTCAGGGTCTTTCGCCTGAGAACAACTCAATGTGGCAAAACCTCTGAGTGCCGAGAGATAATCCCGAGTAAAGTTACTGTCGGCCCCAATAAGCTGACCATTGGTATAGGTTGTCCACGCGGTGAACTGTGCGACTAAGTGAGCGGTCTGGTGGGACATGATGTCCCAGCACGTACGACGCTAGCGGCCCTTGCTATGACCTCGAGATCAGAGGGAACAGAAGATAAAGCTGCATCAACTGAGGCCACCAAAGAGGGAGAAAGGAGAGCAATGTCTCGACGGCACTCGGTAGCGAGAGCACGAAATATCGCCAGAGTTATCAAGAGAGACCTTGTGGGCGGCGGCCATTAGTCAGTCAGAGCATATCAACGAGAGTTACATACGCTCTTGTGCGGATATTTCCTGAGCGAGCCTTCCTGCATTCTACTCTAAGACGCTTCTCGAGTTCGCTGCCTAATTTCGTCAACTTTCCTGGGTGATTCGAGCTGTTGAACCGAGGATAAGCGAGGAACAACGAAGGATCCTTGATGGTACGAACGCATAATAGGTGAGACGACTCAGTTCTTGGGAATTTGGGGAGTAGTCTGGACCGGCCGTCAAGAGCGAAGAAGCAGGAGGGTAGCACGAGTTGAGGAGCTGCACGTGATTGGGGGTGAAGATGAGGTTCATGACAAGGGCGTATGACGGCGAAAAAGAAGGGATCTGTCCCTCGACACGCGCAGTGCACTACTTGACTGGCAATTCCCGGCCACCGCGACATCCCCCGTGGGAACTTTGGCCCTATTTAGCCCTTGACAACATTTTTTTTTTCTTACTGACTACCATCATAGTAGGTGAGCATCCCTCCCATTATCGCGTACAGGATGAATCTTTGCTGTGCACCAGTCCAAGTACCCTTCATGTGATGTGCACTGCGGACAAATTCCCTGGCTCTCTATTTACGCTCGGGAGCCCTGATCTTTCTCTCTCTCAGTACACTGTTTCGTTGTTGACTAACTGGATTCCTGTACAGAAATATATACGTTGACTCCCAAATATACTGTCTGCCTGGCTCGTGGATCTGGTTGACGTCCAACTCAGAATTGTTGATTGCATCAATCCACGACGACCAAGCACAAGTGTTTTTCATAGAACAGCAACGGACCTCCATGGCTTACTTAGGCATCCATGTTAATCTTTGGCGTTACTGTTGCCTCCAATTTGTATGTAATGTAAAGACAATTCGGTCTCAGTTGTAGAGGTAACACAGCGACACAGACGCGCCGCTGTGATGACAGTTCCCGGGAACCCTTTTCACCAGTAGGATTAACCAAGGTGAACATAACAACGCTTGACGTCCTTTTCACTATGGACCATATACGGTGATTATAATCAGAACACCCGTCATGTAGTGAATTGGTTCCATTCTCATTCTCCGGCACATAACACTTATTTGACCCTGAAGGGCCTTTGGAGATGGGAGTCGTGACACTGATTCTGAATCCTATTTGCATACCTTTGTGCATATTGGAAGCGCGTCGTGGATGCTTCTTTACGAGAACGTACCTCCCTACAACGGGTCCAAAATTAGGATGGTTGGGGTCCGTCACGTACATCATCTAATACAGTCTGCGAATTGGTGTGAAGACACGGTTGGGACTGGCAACGTATGAGGTTGTCATAGCCAAGCAAGATATCCCAAAACTCCCTGTTCTAGGACGGAACAAGGACATTCTTGTCGGCACTTATGTATCAGTGCTCCTGCTGTACCTTGTCTTTCACCCAGAATATGGTCGTCGCTGCTCCTAAGGGTATGAAACTGGCCAATTGAATATCTCAAAGGGCTCTAGGGCGTGTTCAGATGATGAAAAGGTCAATTGTTGTGAACAGTACATCGTCCGTCAAGACCTGAGGCTTCCGTGGGGAAGTAGTGCAGAAAGGAATACCAGCGACGTCGACATCCACAACATTTGAGAAGAGACGGGTGTGTCCGAGTGATACAACCGCATGGAATGTATACTCTTTCATGGCAGAGATATGGAATTTCTGCTCAACTGACCTGTTGCAACCAAAGTCGGTGACGGTAGTGCGATCCACAGGCTGTTATATGTGCGAGGATTTTGCGTGAGTGGACCGTCGTAGTCGACAGGGCCGATGCCGATTTGGGCTTCGCGTAGAGATCTCCACCTTGGAGTTAAATCGAGCGATCACTATGATTTTGGCTGCAAGTCCCAATGCGCTCTCCGTCTACTTAGGCTAGCATTTGACGCGCCACTTCGCAAGGCTCAACAACAATAAGCCGAATTTCTCCAGATGAATGCCAGACGACACAAAGTTTACTAAATATAAACGAGGAAATCGTGTATTGAATGTTTACCAAGTTGGCTACAACCATATAAGTTATCAAGAGAAAGCATATTGCAAAGATGAGTTATTGGCGATATTGTAATGCATAGATAATGGTTGCAAGTTCAAAGTCGTATTGGGATTCGTACGCTGAAAGTATTCGTCGTCGCTATCATCATCCAGGATAGTACATTTCTGGACCACGGAATCGAAATCAGGCAAGTTACTAAGGATCGGTTCCAGCAAACGCGGCAAGTCAGATCTCGTCAACTGAGTTTCGGCTATCCATCGTCGACTGATCATCCAACTAGCCACACCTTTGGGAGGGAGATGGAAGCCTTCCTTCAATGGTCCAACCGCTCTGTCCTTCTTTCCAACACCTCTTTTGGGTTTGGACGCCTTGTCCCCGATGTCTTCCTTGTCCAGTATCTCGTAGAATCTGATCAGACGCTTACTACGCCAGGGATATCCCCGGGAACACAGCAAACCGTCGTCTTCGGAGTCAGAATCATCGGAAGACATGCATTCGAGTTGGAATGTGCCATCGAAAGCTATATGCTCGAAAGCTTCAATGCGCAAGCGTGCATCGGCACGATTCGTGAGTTTCTGGGGGAGACATGAGACTTATAATCCAAGTCCAGTTGGACATGTGAACTGACGATTTTTCTGCGAGATACATGCCTGGCTTTATGTGCTTTCCGGTCTTCCCGAGCCTTGGCACGATCAGCTTCTCTATCATCCCGCTGCGCCTTGAACTTCTGCCGAAAAGTAGTGAAGCATTGGTCGAAAGCGGAATCTAGATTCTTCTTGCTGAACTCCCCGTCGGGAAGATCTTTGTATCGTCGACGGTTCTCCTTGATGTTGGCGATAATGCGAGCCTTCATACGTGCGTTGTGTACAGACTGTTTAGCCGTCTTGTCCCAAACAAAACGCACAGGGTCGGTGTCCTTTAGTGATTGGCCTTCGGTATGACTATCAGGAAGATCATTTGCATTTAAGACATCCATGAGCAGCAATATATGCGTTCTCATTGCATGCTACAGCAAAAATACAAGATCAGTGGATACGCCCAAAAAAGACAGAGAAAAGAAACTGACATGGATGGTGATACAACGTTTATCGTGATGATTTCGACGTTTCTTTTTCCGATCGCGCATCAGGACAGAGCTGTCCGAATTACTACCAGAATCTGATTCTTCGCTACTGCTCGATGATGCTCGTCGCTTTTTGCGCGTCTTGGATGCTGTATTCCGGGACCGTTGCGTGGGCACAATGGGATGTGGGGAAGGTGATGGTGTCATGGCGCCCATTGGAGACTCATCAGGTAGCAGATGCTGTTGTTGCTGGTCTGGAGCAGCTGCGTATTGTTGAGAATAGTTGATGATTGGCTGACTCGAAGAGCCTTGGATAAATGTGGGATAATGCACGCCCGGTGGTTGTGGAACAGGCGAAATGAGAGAAGAGGACTGTGCTTGTTGCAAAAATGGCGCATTGCGAGCTGATGAAAGTGACGGAGACGCGCCGGTGTTCTGTTGAGTATTTCCAGGAACTGCCGTGCGAAGAGTGACGAGTTCTTGTCGCAGCTCGAATAGTTGGCGCTCCATCTCTGCTTGTCGCTGGGCATATTTCGCTTCCTGCTCCTGCTCCCATGCTATTCTCCTCTTGCGTTCTATCTCTTGCGTCTGGCTGGTTGCCGACACTATCCGAAGCAATTCATGGACTGCATGACCTGTCGAGGGTTGGGTTTGTCTAGGTAATCTCTCAGAAGCAATGGGGCAGATTGACATCAAGAGGTGCTTACCTGGTGGGCGGTAGAGGCTGAGGTTCTGAGATTGCGAGCTCTAATTCACTTCTATGAGGGGCATACTGCTGAGGGGGTTGGACAACGGGATGATATGGCTCCGGATAAGAATTTTGTGGCGGACGGTTTCGATATGGAACAGCAACAGCATAAGATGGATTGAGGGCATCCGAGAGTTCGCTAGTGCCCATACCCCTCAATCATGAAGGGCCAACGTTCGATTCCTTGTCGTCGAAGGATAGAACGTCTATTTATTTGTTTCCAACGGAAATTGCCGAACGTCGCCCAAGAAGGAAGCGACGCGTCACTTTGAATTCGTTCACGCTCTTGCCACCAACCCGTTTACTGCTCATTAGACTTCCATGGATGAGTTACTCATGCAGCAGTCGCAAATTCGACAAGGAGGTCCCAGACCTGATGCTACCACTCCAGACAAGCACGTCTTCTTCCCTCCATCGACAACTTGCACTAACATAGTACCACAGTGGAGAAGTTATTCATATCTCATCTCTTGCGCTTCTGAAGGCAAGCCTTCACACAGTGCAAAAAGCGTGGCTCACCGAAATTTAGATGCTTAAACACGGAAGGGCTGGTGTACCTATGGAAGTCATGGGCCTTATGCTGGGAGAGTTTGTGGACGAATATACGGTCCAAGTCATTGACGTGTTCGCCATGCCGCAGTCGGGAACAACTGTTAGTGTTGAGTCAGTTGATCATGTTTTCCAAGCCAAAATGGTGGACATGTTGAAGCAAACCGGGAGGTGCGTAATATCCGTGATGCATGTTGGTCTCGGCTGACCGGTGTCGTAGACCGGAGATGGTCGTGGGTTGGTATCATTCGCATCCTGGCTTTGGCTGTTGGTTATCGAGCGTAGATATAAACACACAACAGGCGAGTTCTTGCTGCAAGTTCGCCCATCCCTGTATCTCACCCTCGCATAGTCATTCGAATCCCTCAATCCCCGCTCCGTTGCTGTCGTAGTGGACCCGATCCAATCAGTAAAGGGAAAGGTTGTAATCGACGCCTTCCGCCTAATTAACCCGCAGACCGTTATTTCTGGGCGTGAACCCCGTCAGACGACATCTAACATTGGCCATATCAACAAACCATCGATTCAAGCTCTGATACATGGTCTCAACCGGCATTATTACTCCATTGCCGTCAACTACCGAAAGACAGAGCTTGAGCAGGCAATGCTAATGAACTTGCACAAGAGAAACTGGACAGAAGGATTGCGACTCCGTGATTTCCACTCTCATAAAGAGGACAACGAGAAAGCCATCAAGGTAATATATTTCCGTTCTCATTCCGATCATCTCTGACCACCTTTTATAGTCTATGCTCACACTTTCAGAAGCATATAACAAATCTGTGCAAGAAGAATCTACATTAACTGCTGAGCAGCTCAAAACACGGCATGTGGGCAAGCAAGACCCCAAACGTCATCTCGAGGAAGCGGTTGAAAAAGCGATGGGAGACCAGGTTGTGCAGAACCTTGGGACCATGTTGCTGGCGGAACTATGAGCGTATTTTGTATGGCATCATGATCATGCGATGTAAATACTTACTGAATGAACACCGTAAGCGTATAAATCCAACCTTTGATAACAGTATTTTAAAACTATCAGCGGTTTCAGCAGTGTAGCTTGAAGGCCTTAAGTTCCAACTACGAAGGGGGGTATGATGCAGTGAAACCGTAGGATGTTCCGGGCAAGCAAGTGAGCGAAGCCGGGCCCATCACGATGGCGCAGGGCCTTGGAAAGCTGATACCCCGGACTCTCTGCCATGCCTGGATCTACTTTCTGTCATGACGGTATACTGCTGTTCTCACGCGGATGCCAATTAGACCCGCTAACGCCAGCGCGGTGGCACATGTCCTATAACTGATCACGAAAGGCATGGAGAAGAGCAGTCAGATGATTGAAGAGGTTGGCCGGAAAGTTATACAATCTATATAGCACCCGCGTAAGTGGAAGGGATGGCCCCTTGTCCCCGTTTCAAACTAAACGTCGGCATGATGCCCATCTTTTTGGATCGTCTGACAGCCTTCCCTAACCGCCTTTGGCTCTTCCGGGTGAGAGAGGTGACACTGCGCGAGTAAATCTTGCCCATTGGGGACATGAAATGATTGAGAACGCCCGGATGACAAGCATAATCGACGGGATTAAGGTTTAGTTGATGGAAATAGTCGCGTTGACGAGCCTCGTCACGAGGGGGACCCACCCGGGGGGGCCTCTTGAAGGGAGAGAAATGATTCTGACGCGACTTGAGCGTGAACTCGTAAGGCCGGATGATCTGAAATGAACGGGTAAGTGTCAGGAAAAACAAAGGATTGGTTTTACACAAACAGAGGTGGAAGCAAAAGGTCTGACTGAAGGGGCATCTTGACTCGGACCACCTTCAATTCGAATCGGTGCTACGTAAACCACTTAGCACGGCAGAACTCGGAAAACGAAAGAGTATACCTGGTGATTCTGCAGCCACGCTGTCGAGAAACTTGGAAGTCTCCTTCATGGCGCCAGAGGCGCTCTTATTGGTTTGTGTTCTCGTGCCAAAGTCAGTGGCATTCCTGACCACAAGGGAGGTGGATATCCAACGAACCCGAAGACTCTCTAATGGACGGTGGCAGACTGGACGAAACATGAGGCGTAACGCGTTATGTCACGTTCTTGCCAAATGCGGAGGCCAAGGACCCAAGATACCCTTACTTCGACGCCCATACCTATCAGCCGTAGTACTGCCACCGAGAGAGCTGCGAGTCGCTGTCGTTGCAGATAAGATTATTGGGGACTGGGACTGGAGATGAAATGCAGCAGTGTGACGGGATGGTTGGGTAGTAAAGAACCGGCTTAATCGTTCCCAGACAGCTTAGAGTCGATATACTGGAGATAATATAATTAATATAATTAATACGTGACAGCCTGGCCCCGTGTTCCTTGCCTTCAGCCATCATCGCAGTCGTTGGTCACTATCCCTCAGCGCCCTTCTGTCCTTTCAATGTCGCCCTGATCTATTCTGTCTTCCTGTACTTCATTTACTTTATCTCTCTATCTGTGTCACCGCTCTCAAATCTTACCTTGCAATTTCTCCCTTTCCCTTCCAATGACGGATTCCGGTACATCTCGAAGACAGCCCCCCAGTCCTCTCGTTTTCTCTCCAGAATCTGTCCTGTCGCCTCCCACAGCTCCCGGTCTCAACGCCAGCACGAGCAACGGGACAGGCGGTCCCAACACCGTCTCCATGCCCTTCGTACGCCGGCATGTGACCCGCCGTCTCAAGGCTGCCAAGGCGGAGTGCGACAAGGAATTGCAACGAATCACGAACAATATCACTGCGTTTTTCGAGGAGAGACTTAGAGAGGCGGATCATGAAACAGACTACAGAGACAGAGATTCTCAGCAAGGGGACTATGATTCTTACTTCCATCCCGCTGATCTTCGTTCTGATTTTCAGACGGATGAATCTAGCTCAGATGGTGGCTACGAGGCCGAGATGGAGTATGGTGGTCGACATAGCCGTCAACGTGCGTATCCAGCCGAAGACTTCATATCTGCACCTCCGTTGATGCATTCATCTTCCTTGTCTGGCCTTTCTACAGCTTCTACCTCTTCAGTAAGTCCAGGATCCTTACGGCAGAACATGTCCTGGGAGAACAGGCCTCTCAGTTCGTCAGTTTCCTCAAGCGGGCTTGCATCTAGTCCGGCGAACTCGACGATCGTTCTTCCCGACGCTCCTCTAACTCGCAAGCCCACTACTTCCTCAGCCGGATCGTCCTCATGGGCAGCTCAACCAACTCCTTCACGCCGACTCTCTCGCACGATTCATATTCCTACTCGTCCTACTCGTTCCGGTCAAAGCTCTCGTTCCACGTCCCGGTCTCGTTCCCCTTTACCAAACCTCCAAACGCACACTTCATTTGCTGACTATGGCTCTTCCTCTACTAACAGACGCTCATCACGAATTATTGTTGACGACCCAGTTGATCCAATTATGACCGCGCTGTATGAAATTATTGCCGTCGCGACCGATGTTACCGAAATGTCTATTGCCCAACTTACGGCACAACCAAAAGCCTGTGAAAGTCTCGTGCAAAGGGTTCAAAATATTGGTAGGGCATGGGATGATCATCCTGACTGGCATGGCAGAAATTGGTATGTACAGGTGCTGCTCGCTATCGCTGGGCTTAGCCGGGTCGTGGAGTGGTGGGAGGCTGAAAAGCAGTTCTGGAATTTTGACGACGACGACGAGCTGGATGAGCCACTGACGTTCGTGATGAAACCAGCTGACGATTATCCCCCTGCACCAACACCAACTGTCAAACGAGATATGGAGCTGGAGGGTTTCAAACTCAACCCTGAAGGTGAAGGCAAGCTTCGGTCATCGAGACCTGCCAGTCAAATTCGGAGATCCAGAGACGAGCAGACAAAGGACTTGGCGTTTTTTAGTTCGAATGAAGCGGCCGATGCGCACTCTCGAACCCCTTCCAAAGTCCAAGAAAACACAGAATCGGCGAGGGTTTTGGCGACAGAGAGGCTGCGGTTACAAGCGGAGACAGCGCAGAACCAGAACATAGTTATGGAGCTGAGCCTGGATGGTGATCACTTTATTTGGATCAATTATGCATGGAGTATTGTTGTCGGGTAAGTAGTGTTGAAATTTGTTGACATTTGTTAAACGAGAATGAGTCTGATTCTATTCCTTTAGCACGGATCCAGAGGGCTTGTTTGGAACCCGCATTTCGGTTTTGATACATCCTGCGGATGCTTATGTTTTCTCGACGGCCACCCAACGCCTCCTCGAGGATGATTCCCACACTGTTGAAGCTCAGTTCCGTCTTCGAGTTGATCGTGACGATGATAGGATCCCTCCCAGCGGTCAAACACTGTATCAGAAAATGGAAGGGAAAGGGATGCTTATGATCGACCGCGATATTGGAGAGCCATCTTACACGATGTGGGTTGTCAAGCCTATCGCTCCTCCTCGATACGAGCATGATTCTCCAGCTATCACTCTCATTGCAGCAGGAGATATAGAATTTGACGACTTGCCATCGTCAACAGGCCTGGAGACGCCAGCACCTCAGGAAACGGAATCGAATGCCAACGATCTCGAAAGCCCTTTTCCCTTCAGCCAGCCTATCAGCACAGATCCCATTCTTTGCCGCATTTGTGAATGCCAGATACCCCAGTGGTATTTCGAAAAACACAGCGAGACATGTGCAGAGACGCACCGACTGGAAGCCGAGATTTCCGAGTGCAACGAGTCGATTGCAGAGCTCAGAAATACCATCCGAGATCTAGGTGCGACCTTTGACCGGGACTCGCCTTCATCCACTCCTTATTATCGAGGGAAAGCCGTCTTCTCTCCTTCAACTTCTCCCCTCATATCAGCACCCTTACAGCTTTTCCGTGCCAATAAGCTGCAGAAGATGGGCGTAAAGAAGATGCAGAGGAGGTTGTTGGATCAGCTGGAGGACATTTTGCAGGTAGCTTCTGAGGTTTCTATGCCCTCTCTTAAGGAAGAGGAAGCTAAGGAGCCGATAGAGCGGCAACGATTACTGTCGCCGGGATCGGAGAGGAAGATGTCGCAGGTGAAGAATTGGTCTAAACCTATGACCGAAGACAGTGCCTTGGGCATGTTGGTCCAGGATGCAGAGAGAGTTATGAGGCAAAAGATTGATAATGTCGTGAGGATGCAGAATATCATACGATATGCGGAAAAGATCTGGCATGAAGCAGAGGAGAAGGTCGGAGCTTATATGGCATCCTTCGAGAGTGACAGTAGCGGGAGCGGTGGCGGAAGTTCCACCAGCGATGGCGAAGGCGAAGATGAAGACGGCTTGGAGAACCAAGTACGTGATCTTGTGATATCTACTCGTGGTGGACAGCGAGAGGCAGAAGACGATCACTCGAGCACAACGTCTGAGTATGCATTCCTTGGTGGGGATAATAACCATTCATCTCCAGATCCAACGCCCATGGCATCCACATCACCTATTCCTTTAGCGACTCCCCCCGAAAGCCGACCTGGCTCAGTGCCTATGCCGCCACCCCTCCCTCCTCGTCAGATTTTACACACGCGATCTTCTACACCTTCTTCTATATCTTCCCCTCTGGCTTTGGCTGCCCCCATTGTTGCACAATCTCTAGAAGAATTGGTACCCACTATGGAGCTCGATCCTGGCCCTCTTACGATTCAAACGCGTAAATCATCTCAGAGCCTGCTGGAGCCTCGTCTTGTTGTTACTCCCCCTGCATCACCTCAAGTCACCGCCAAAGATGGTCTTGGTCGAGAACGCTCCATGAAGCGTGGGCATCGCCGTCATTCTACTGTAAATCATTCCTCGAGTTCTTCGGGTCCGATATCTCCTCGACAGCCATCGGTTGCCCCTCTGTCTCGGACTTCCCCGGCATCCATCAAGGATTTCGACATCATCAAGCCTATCAGTAAAGGTGCCTTTGGCTCCGTTTTTTTGGCTAAGAAGAAAGTCACAGGTGACTACTATGCGATCAAAGTGCTCAAGAAGGCAGATATGATTGCAAAGAATCAAATTACGAATGTGAAAGCTGAAAGGATGATTCTTATGAAACAAGCGGAATCACCGTTCGTTGCCAAGTTATACTTCACGTTCCAGAGCAAAGAAAACCTGTATCTTGTCATGGAGTACCTGAATGGTGGTGACTGTGCTGCATTGATCAAGTCACTAGGATCACTTCCGGAAGAATGGACCAAAAACTACATTGCTGAAGTCGTTCTGGGCCTAGAGTATTTGCATCAACGTGGTGTCGTTCATCGGCAAGTATCCAGTCCTTCTCTTTGGAGATTATTATTGATTTGTGCCCGACCGTAGTGATCTAAAGCCTGATAATTTACTCATTGATCAGCACGGTCATCTGAAACTGACTGACTTTGGCTTAAGTAGAATCGGTCTTCTTGGTCGGCAAACCCGCGAGAGTCAACCTGATCGTCTATATACGAGATATAACTCTCGTTCTCGTCCACCTTCCATGGATTCTGCATACTTGTCATCTCCGTTAGTATACGCCGAACCCGGAGGTTCGTATTTTACGCAACGGGCCCAATCGATTTCCCGTGTAGGAACTTCGCCTTATCTGCCTCCCACAGATGATGTCAGCGAATCAAGCGGATCGGAATCTCTAAGCGGATTTTTACCTCGTCGCAGCGTGAAGAGTGATAGTCCCCTGCAATCCTTCGCCACTGAGCTCACGACCGATCTGCGTTCGCATTCTAATTCCAATTCTACCGGCGGGACACCCCCGGGGGAACAGAAATTCGTTGGTACACCGGACTATCTTGCCCCTGAGACAATTCTAGGTTTGCGTGTTGACGACGCAGCGGTCGATTGGGTGCGTACGCCCATTTACACTTAGTCGTCTTTCTGACAACCTCTTAGTGGGCTCTCGGAGTAATCACGTACGAGTTTTTATATGGTATTCCTCCATTTCATGCAGAGACACCCGAGAAGGTGTTTGAAAACATTCTCTCCGGACACATCGAGTGGCATGAGGAGTACGTGGACTTCTCTGAAGAAGCTCATGACTTTATGGCCCGGTTAATGATCCTAGATCCCTCCGTTCGTCTCGGTGCGCAAGGTGCCGACGAGGTCAAAGCTCACCTATTCTTCGAGGGCATCATCTGGGACAAGGTAACGACTACTGAAGCGGCATTCATTCCTCAGGTTACCGATCCTGAGTCAACGGATTACTTTGACCCTCGTGGCGCTATCCCTCAGCTATTTCACGATGACGACCAGGTTGCTATTGCCGGTCAGTCTGCCTTGAACAGCCCGGTCGTCGATCCTTCAATGCCTCCTCCCCCTGTCCCCATTCCTGTCGGCAACCGTGATCCCATTCTTTCATCCGCGAGCGATGACTTTGGGTCTTTCAGCTTCAAGAATCTACCAATCCTCAAACAAGCCAACGACGATGTTATACGGAAGCTCAAGACTGATCAAATGGCTCCTCTTGCTCATGCAGTTTCAGAAACCTCAGGCCTTCATAACCGGCGGCGCAGTGTTTCTCACAGAATCAAGAAACCGCCAAGCGTCGTGACAACGGTGGATCCCAAGGCCACAGTAACCAATCCACCATCTCCTGCCACCTCGACTTCGTCCATAGCATCTTCACCTTCCCGGTCTTCTCTACCAACTTCAGCGCCGGCGAGCGCGGGCCATGCCCGCAAACCGTCTGAGTATGGACCCGTCGACCGCTTCAAACTCAATCATATGGATGGCCTGGATCGACGAAATTCTATGCCTAGCAGGTTACGCACTGCATCGGTTTCCAGTGGGGGTGATGGTTCGGGATCCGAAACTTGGAATTCCTCGATGGGGCCCGGATCAGTGGGCACACCTCCCTCATCCGTTCATTCTATTGACTTGCGAAAGGGTCCTGATCCCAGCGATCGTGCAGTGACCTGTTTGCTTGCGGAAGACAACCCCATCACAGCCAAAATCATCGAGACAATTTTGATTCGGTTGGGTTGTCGTTGTGTTGTCGTTGCCGATGGTTCTGAAGCTATCAGCGTCGCTATGGGGGATATCAGTACGTGCATACAGTTAAAGTTACAGCACTGACTAAACAACGATACTGACAGAGTTTGACTGTATCCTAATGGATCTGCATATGCCAGTTTGTAAGCAACATCGGTAATTGACAGACACCTCATTGCATACTAATGTTTCGCCATAGTGGATGGAGAAGGCGCCGCGCGGTACATCAGAAGTACCAACAGCAAAAATACCAGCACGCCGATTATTGCTGTTAGCGCCTACAGTGGTTCGGACCCAAGTGATGCCACGCATAACCTATTCTCTGGTTTCTTGTCAAAACCATTGCAAAAAGCTGATTTATTATGTATGAAATCGAGCCTTAATATGATGCTTATCACTAACAATATACATCTTAGCCGTCATGCGCCAACTGGGCTTTAAAACGACCACCATTCCTGGCGGGCTCGGCGCCACAAAAGTCACTGCATCTCACATAATTTCATGACCACGACATAGTCCACGTTCCTTTTTTTTTGCTGCTTCCGTTTGTCCTCTGCGGTTTCGTCCACAGCCATGCCAAATCATCCTTTTTTTTCTGATACAAGTCGCAAGCATTTTCATTCTATCCCAGCATTCTTCTCGTCGTCCTGCATTGTACGCTATTTAGACCCCACATTGTGTGCTAACAACTTCTGCAAGCTCTGCTTGTTCTTTTACTGATGAATTGACGTATGTTTGGTGGAAACTGCGCGATGTCCCAAAACGATCGACGCTTAGATTGTAGCATATCTTTAACTGCCAGTGCCGTTTGCCGCGCGATCATCGGCGGTCTCTGATACTCATCCCGTGGTACTGGTAAAGGTATGTACAGAAAAATAAATATTTCGAGCAAAAATGAATTACATATACCATGATATATGTGGAATGCGCAACTTCATGTTAAGCGCCCGCGACGGCACTGTTTCCGACCACAACTACGACCACGACCACAACCGTGACCAGCCCGCCAGTACCTCCGTTCCAGACGTTAGACTGGATCATAGCCTTCGCTTTCCAGGTGAGATGTACTCCTATAACAACCCTTCTGGTACGCAGTCTTTGCCGTATTCTGCGTGATTCTAATGCTGGGGTACGCAGCGCCGTGGCAGAATACATCGCATCCATCGTCAGAACCTCCAAATCACGATATCAGAGATCCCAGACACTTTCGAGCCTCCACAGCACCCACGTACAACCTTTACGCCCACCCGCCACATCCAATATCGCATCCGAGAGCCCTGACGCCAGGCCATATACCACCTACTATTCATGATCCTAGCCTTTACTTCTGTAATCGTCCGGTAATGGCGACCCCCGGGCCATATCTTACTGAACGCCCTTCTTTCCCTCATCCCACGACGACCGACTATCAGCGGTTGCAACAGTGGCCTTACGACGCTGATAGCTACTTCCCTCCCTCCAAACCACCCCCGGCTTCCGAACCGATACTCCGGCTTCCATCTCCGTCGCGTCCCAGGGACGTGTTGCCTATTCCTGAGGAAGTAACACCGATTTCACCATCACCATCAAATGCTAAAGAGTTGGCAGCAGCTCTACAAATCTCGAAATCTGAATCTACGAAGCAGGCACAGTTCCTCGAGAAGCTGTCGAATCAGGAAGAGGAGGATCTTGCTCGTGCACTTCAAGAATCCCTTCACTCCGTTTCATTGAACTCGTACACATCTGGCAGCCCGCATTTCTATAAGTCAGATGCAGGACCATCTACGGATACTGGCCGGTGGCCTACGTCAACTTCAGTGCCCTCTCGCTCCTCCCGACCACTTGCGTCAGACATAAATGACGATGAAGCTTTGGCGCGCAGACTCGCTGCCGAAGACGACGTACGTCCGTCAGAATCGAGCATGGCAGACGACGAGGCACTTGCAAGACGACTCGCGGCCGAGGAGGAGGAAGAGGAACAAAGGTATAGACAGCAAGAGCTTGACCAATCTTCCCAGTCCCATGGTGATAGGCCTGATGCAGGAGGCCCTACTGAGCAGGCAGTCTTACCGGACGAGGGACTAGCACGAAGACTTGCAGCTGAAGAGGAGATGGAAAAGTCCAGGGCTATCGACGCCGGTCCGGCACCTGCCGTTGCCCCTCCGCCTGCCTACGATGCCCTTCCCTCACCGACGTCTCCGAATTTGACGCCTAAGGAATCTGACTCGTGTCTGACGGTAGATCCCCAATTGTATCGCAGCAACTCATCGGGCTCTGCAGCATCTTACGCCTCTTCAGAAAGTCAATCCAACTTCCCCACGCAGGCGTCCCGTCGTTCCAGCGCTGAAACATCTTCGCACAGCGATGTAAACTCTGCATCCTCAAGTATACCTGCGGCGTCATCCGTGTCTCGACCCACTCTTCCTGAAGCCAGCGAAAATGTGGCCAATGTAAACCAATTTGTAGATGCAGATCTACTCCACGGTGTCTGTAAGCCAGTTCACAACTCTATTAACAGTTCATCACTCACCATGTTCGTGTCGTTGCAGCAATCGGCTTCGTTCCTCCTGTCATCACATCCGTAATGCAGCAAATGCCCACAGCAATGCCAAACATAATATCACTTCCTTACGGCCGATGTCCTCCCCTTCATTTCCAAACTCCGAACTGGCGCCATCTTCTTAAGCTGATGGCCAGGTTATCGGGTACAAGGATCGAGCCTACAATAGAGGCTGTAGCCGTGGTGAAAACAGAGATGTTTCTTAGAACCGTCGTTCAGTTCGTCAGGGTAAGCTTTCTCTGCCTTGACGTCGCCCACGTTAATTCTTGAATTTCGTACAGCCTCATCCTGCCTCTGAAGATTGGAGGACGATCATATGGCTAACGATTGACCATCCTGTCCCAGCATCACTGCCTGGAGCTCGGAAATATACTAATGGTGATGTTGATGTCCTCCCGTGGTCATACACACTATCTGCGCAGCCCGCTCTCCTGAGAGATAATGCCGATTCGCAGATATCCCAAACATACACTATCCCTTCAACAGAAGCGGTGCCGTACCCGAAGCTGCCTATCACATTTCCCAATATGGCGCTATACCTTCAAGCGGCATTGGATGAGTCGCGTCGGTACTCAAACGATGGCTCGAGCGGCATGCGAAAGTTGTCACGAATGATGGATAGGTGTTATCCTACACTTGAGAGTATGAACCTAGCTGAGAGCTCTGAGAGGAGTGGGATGGGTCGAGTCTTCAGAAAGGTGATGGGCCGAGGAAACAAAAATAACAAGCAAGGACGAGGTGGCAATATGGACACATATGAACTTGTGACACCATTTGTGTCAGAGGAGTGGGGGTAAACGTACTCGCTTGCCATGCAACTACTGCTACTACTGCTATACTTGTGTCATTACTTTTTATTGAGCCGTAAAATATCTATACATCAAAATCGGCTGGTTCGGCGGATTAGGCCGGCCATCCGTACGATCTCTGTCACTGTGACGTGTCACGTCACAATCCTACCCTGCCCCTTACAAACCACCTTGCATCTCTTGCATCCCTTGTCATGTCCGTGGCTTCATCTTCGTTGTCAACGCAGCCGCTAGCACCACTGAGTCTCGAACAAGAAGGTCCATCCAGCAACTCTTATTATATATCGAGCTCATTCTATCTTAGACCAAATCATCCTCGCCCGTATAACCAATGATGAACGATACCTGCGTCGCGTCATCAAGAAATTTCACAACTATGCTTCCGTAGCGCATGGCTCTAGTGCCGAGTCTAAGCAAGATGCAAAAGAGGCTTTTATCGTCGAGCTATCGACATTTCGACTGGCGCTGAAAAAGAGCGCCATGGTCTGTGAAGCGGAGGCGCGGCAAGTGGAAGAGTACCAGCGCGAGAAGCTTAGAATAGGTTGTTGGATTGACCTTTAACCTCTATTCTTCATCTAATATCTGTACAGACGATGAACATGGGAAGTTACGGGGTCAGATTGAGCAGTTGAAAACATCATTGGAGCATGCTCAAATGCTACGACGCCGGAAGATGGAGTATGACTTTGTCACGGAAAAGATTAACACGCTTCCCAACCGAGAAGAGCTGAACCAGTGCGTATATGGTACTATCCTTGTCCGTGCGCTAACTTAGTATAATTCCAGAATGATTCAAGCATTTGAAAACGACATGATGGCAATACGCTCTGAACATGACACACAGAATCGGACTATTCAATCACAGAAAAGCGCATTGGACACCATCATATCAGATCTGGGGGCCCTTCGTTCGCTGGGAAAAGATACCACCGAAATCCCTGTTTCCCTGCTGGCTAGTCCAAGAGACACCCCTGCCCTTGAGGGTAGTGGCGTTGAAGACATGGCCGAAACACGTACTGCTACGCCAGCAATGAAGATGGAGGATAGCGAGAAGGAGGAGGGAGAAACGGACAAAGCTACTTCTCAAGATATTGAGATGGGTGAAGTCGAAGAGGAAGACAAAAGTCAGAAAAGCAAGAAGAAAACTAGAGAAGACATGGAGGAGGGTGAGGCTACGGATGCCAGTAGCGAATTGTCTGACCCTCCAGATGATGACTAGCGGCAGGAGATCTATGTTTTTATTGCTTTGCTTTCTGGATGGCGAATATCTACACTCATTAAGTCGCGCGCGCACGTTACCGCACCGCCATATTCATCCTGTGCCAGCTGAGCAATGGCATCCATGACCTTTTTTGCATCCTCGTCAATGTCGTCATTGCCTGGATATCTTGAGGAAAAATGATTTAAGACGAGACGTCGGGCTCCGATTTTTTTCGCAAATCTGCCTGCCATCTGTGGGGTAGAGTGTCCCCTTGATATTGCTCGTGCCTGGACAGTTTCATAGGTGTCCGTGTGCTTTGTGTCATCGTCGATGCCGGGTAAATGGGCGTTCGTCGCTTCATGGATGAGCAGGTCTGCTTCTCTAGCAATTTCTGCAATCTGGGATGGGTCGTACGTATCCCCAAGTATGACGACTTTGCGACCATTTTTTGGCGGGGGACCGTGAAGGATGGTGCCATCGGAGAGCTGCACAGATTGGCCTAGCTGCAGCTGCCTCATGATGGACACTGACGTGTTCGCTCTCTTCAAATCCGGGATGTACTTTTTGGGGTCCACCTTACCTGGGACCTTGGCTTCGGTAACAACATAGCCCACGCAAGGGGCTGAATGCAAGATGGATGCAGCCGAGACTGAGAGGACGGAGTCCAAGTAAATGTCCGACCAGACTCGGTTGGTCTGTTGTATATTTCGACCGGTGGGCGACTCTGACGCAAGCAAGGGCATTGAGGTGAAGTCTCCCTCTGCTGGATCCGAAGGAAGACGGAGTTCGTGGACAACATATGGTCTCCCTAGGAGTGAGTGGGTATATGCGAGGCCATTACGAACATAGGCACGAGTGCCCAACGGACCATATATCTCCAAAGGCTAATAGCGAAAAGAGTTGAAACAAGTACTATGGGGGAAAACGCGAAGGCTGACCGGCTGCTGGATATTCAGCTGCGTCCTTGGATCGTCTGCGCCTTCAATTTGTCCACCGGCACCATTTAGACACGAGGCCAGCAGAGGTAGCAAGCCAAAGATATGATCGCCTTGATATCCTGCGAGTAAGTCAAAGATACGTCGACCCAAGGCGAGGACTGACCGTGGGTATGTGTGATGAAGATTTTCTCAATCCTACCCATCTTGACGGCGCTCCGTTGCAGCTGATGCTGGGTCGCTTCGCCACAGTCGAACAGCCAGACATCGGAGCCTAGTCGTAGAGCAAGAGCTGAATGGTTCCTTGTTGAAGATGGCTGGGCGGACGCGGTGCCGAGAAAAGTGACGGTGATTGGACTATGATGGATTGGGAGCCTGGTAGAGGCCATGCTGTGAATGCGATGCTGGAAGAGAAGGGTAGGACGAATCCATTCGTACCACCACGTGAAGGTCCGACGCATAAATGTACGGCTCAGCAAGCTGACAAAATTCACAAAACCCTTAGTACCTTGATGATACGCAGCAAGTGGACTTGGGTGAACCAATCATTTGTTTCTATGGTTATGTCGCGCTGCACCTACCCCCAGCACGCACTGAAGACTGCTGAGAATATGACGACGAGTTCATCAACTGGATGTTCTTTGGTGGATATGCATTGACCATCCTCAGCTCTGAATTGAATCTTATCGTCATCATAGCGACAAGTGACGCATTATCTTGAAGAGAACGCGACTTTTCGCTCTCCTACGGTGCAAAGTCTGAATGAAACGAAGTTATCTACCGGCGTACTGTGATCCGGGACGGGGACGACGACGACGACGACGACGACGACGACGACTCGGAGCAGAGCCCAAGGAATATACAGTATGCGTTCAACATCAGTCACTCTCAAAGATTCTAAACCGAATATCCAACAGCCCTTTTCGATTATGACCTATCCGCTATGGACACGTCATTAGACGTGGAAAAGAATAACATTGTCAAAAACTGGGCTCACCTTCTACGCCCAGAGGTACTGCGGGTGTTTATCATCTTTGAGGATTCAAATCAATGGAAAAAGAGACAGCGGCTAGTACTTGAAATTTCAAGTTTGAAACATGTCTTTCCGACACCACAACGATCGCGCCCGCCGTCGCGTCTTGGTCTGAGACGAGCTGGCTCGTCAAACGACACCCAACAGTGCCGTGCTGCTCTTGATTCCCCGTCCTCGTGCGGCCGCCAAGCTAATACACATGCAGCTTAATATAAAGCCCGTAAATCTGTTTTGAAGCCATGATGACAATCCAACGAAACATAGTGAATAGCTTACCGGAAAAATGCGATACGAGAAATTGACCGTTCCTCGTTGGGTGTCCGAGACGATGCAAATATTGACCGAAGAAGAGCGGGAGTGACGGGAATGTGTCGTTTAGCGCTGTCGGCAGGCTGTGGTAGTGAATGTTGGAGAGGCCGCGCCGTGGGCGTCGATGAGGTCGACGTGGTGGACGACATGGTTGTTTAATAGCTGCGGCCCCGAGTAAGCTGATCTCGTCATCCGACCAACACAACCGCCGTGACTACAAAGTTAATTTTATTTAAGTAGTCGGCGCGTAAAATTTACGCGGCCCTTGTACGTCTTCAAATTTGTACTACATGTTCAGCTAACGATATTTCTTCCAACTCCAAGTTTAACGTGGAGCCACGATGTACAAGGGCACTTCACCATTCCACGAGGATATGATAAGGATAACAGACCGTCTTCCTTCAAAGGACGAGTATCGTCGTGTCAGACATCTAGTCCTCCAGCGAAAAACCGGCCTCGACATCACTGACGACGAACTGGCCCAAGTCGTTGGAGCGTGTCCGCATCTCGAGACCGCCGTCCTCTCTGGCGTACGTGACACTTCTGACCGAACCATCATCACTCTCGCAAAGGTCGCAATCAACCTCATGGGCATCGATGTTTCTGGCTGCCAACAAGTCACAGACCTCGGAATTTTGGATATACTTTCCCAATCTCTACCGCTGCAATGGGTCATGCTTAATGGCGTCAGGGCCCTCACAGATCCTTCCATCTCTGCCATATCCAAATCGTGCTCGCGCCTAATCGAGCTGGAGCTATGCGACCTTGCTTTGCTATCTCCGCTCTCCGTGAGAGATGTATGGACCTATTCACGGTACGTCATCTTTTGATTAGCTGCACATACGCCCTGAAATCGAGCTACTCAACAGGAAGCTACGCACGCTGCGGTTAGCTCGCTGTCCTCTGCTCAGCGATAAGGCCTTTCCTTCTTCACTTTCCCTTTCAGAATCCGATTTCGACCAAGACGGCGAGAAGCCTCTGCCCCACAGACCGGTTACATGGCTAGAGGTCCTCCCTCCGCTCATTTTATCGCATACGGCTGAGAATCTTCGTATCCTGGATCTTGCCTCGTGCAAAATTACCGATGACGCGATTGCTGGTATCGCAAGGCATGCCCCCAAAATCCAGACCCTGAATTTGTCGGGATGCGTGTCTCTTACCGACAGGGCACTAGAATGTATATGCTCGTTGGGAGAACACCTGGATGTGCTCATTCTCGCTCATGTTTCCAACATCACCGATTCTGGAGTCGTCAAACTGGCGCGATCGTGTTTCAACTTGAGGTGTGTCGATGTAGCTTGTACGTTTTGTAAGCATGCAATTTTTGCATCTGACTGAAGCGCCCGCCATTTGTGCAGTTTGTCGTAATCTCACGGACATGGCGGTTTTTGAACTGGCAGGCATTAGCAGCCTACGCCGGCTGAGCCTCGTTAGGGTGCATAAGCTCACAGATATCGGCATTTTTGCGTTGGCAGAGCATGCTATTGCGCTAGAACGGCTTCATCTGTGCTACTGTGATCGGATTTCTCTCGACGCGGTGCATCTGCTTTTGAAAAAGTTGGATCACCTACAGCATCTCACGGTGACTGGTATACCTTCTTTTAAAAGAGGAGGCGTACGTCGGTTCTCTGATCCTCCGCCAGCGGTCAGTTTAGCTCTGTTTCTTTTCATGTAAGGCTCAGATCCGTTATGGTAGAGTTATGATGCGGATCAACAAGCCTCGTTCCTTGTATTCGATGGAATGAACGTGGGGAACCTAAGAAGGTTCCTGAACAAGGAGGAAATGCGACGGCGAGAAGCTGAAACTAGGAATATACCGTTCACACCGCGCTCGGATGATAAGATGGATTTGTATTAGAGTATATGTGTACGTTTTGCCGAAAGACAGAGTTTGTACCGTGACTGTCTAATGTGTTGGCTCGGTTGGTAATAAAAAGCTGAGCCGCAACAGTCTGACCCCCTAGCTTGCGTTTGGTCTCAAATTCGTTCTCTGTTTTTATATCCCCCCCCTTGTTGACCGCAAAACTATGCAGTCGTCCGTTCCTCTTGCTTAACGCTCAACAAAAGCGAGCACCGTCCTTCGCCCTTGCAGGCTGTTGCTCGAAGCAAGGGCGTCGCCATCACGGACGTTGAGCAACCGCAGTTCCATTCGTCGCCATCCCTTGTCTCCTACAGCTGGCCGCAACTGCCGTCGAGGGCAATATATACATACGTACGCTCTGTCCTATTCCATTCTGGTATTTAATACGGGCAGCAGCAGTTCCACTTCCCCCTATGGAGGTCATCTCGCTGGCTATCGACCCTTCATCGACGCCCAACTACAACCGCAGACACCTGAATCCTCATAGGCCCCTTTCAGTCACCATTCGTCAAGATTCCGATTTCGACCGCCTGTTCGACCAGGAAGCGCAATCACCAGTCGTGCTAGCAAAGGACCGGCAATCGCGACGACCAACTACCTGTGGTTTTCCTCCTCTGCCGTCGATAAGCGCCTCGCCAGTATGCACGCCCACGACCAGTATGTCGTCGCGGGACTTTGACGATTTCTCGGTCCGTGATTTTGGCTCGTCGTCAAGCGGAACAAACGGTTTCATCACTGCCCCGTCGACACCAGCTTCACTCAAGCTCGCATTTACCCCACCCACATGGATATCCATACCCCCGACTCCCCCGCCAAAGTTATTTAGACGTTCAGTCACTTGCGTCACGCGTCGCCCTTCCATATCCTCTTCCGCCTCTTTCCCAGCAACAGCCTCGCGACACGGCAAAGGTCCAAAGCGGAGTGCCTCCGTTCCATTCATGTCGCTACACCCACGGTCGACATTCACCTCATTCTCGCAGCGACATACTGCTCGCTCCACAAAGGTGGATGCAATCATAGCCGCGAATACGCGCACCGCTGCGCCCGAGCGTGATACGCGTTTCCGGCTTCATCCTGTCTTTGACATCGCACATCAAGTCAGCAGTGACCTTGAGGATAATGGCTTTGGCGAGGAAGTGGAAGAAACTAGCCCCGAAGCTAATTCAAGCGATCAACAGTACGGGCTTTGGCAGACAGAGAATCAGAAAGACCAAGTCAGGAAATACTATGTCTTAACAGAGCTGCTGTCAACAGAGGTACGATATTTGATGGATCTGAGAGTATTGGTGACGGTTCGTTTTCTCGTTCTTACCTTCGCCACCACATGGCTAACGCGTTGTATCGCAGATATATCTTCGCAACTTATCCACAATGACGTGCCGAACACTGTTAACTTCGGCATTCGGTCGAACATCGTCTTTTACTTCTGCGTCGCGCTCCAGCTCGAATACCCACCTGCCTACCCCCCTCAGTGCTTCTCTACCTGATCCGCAGAGTCTGCAACCTTTGACTGCGATTACGCTCAAGGACAATAAGGCCCAGTCTCGGTGTCTTTTCACGAACAGTGATATTGAATTGCTGACGCGGAACGCGGAAGAAGTCCTTCAGTTCCACGAAATCTTTGTGGAGGAGATTCGCGCAGCATTGGTTCCACTTGGGTTCCCTGTGGAGGAGGTGGATAAGCTTGACAAGCGCCTGGGCGTCAGAGATGGTCGCATCGATAATCTGGAGGCCTGTATATCATTTGTCTCGGCCAAGTTTGCGACCGAGGTAAGCCCCACCGATATTTTTTTGATCAGTTTTAACCTAACTTTAAATGGCAGGCCTTAAGTTTTAACTTGTACGAAGTCTTCTGCGCTGGGCATCCCGAGGCGATAGACATCGTGCGTAGGGCACAGCAACAATACCCCCATGAATGGGAAGGATACGAGCAGCGATGTTCAGTACTCATCGCCGACTTAGTTGGGACAGATTCGCCTATCATGCCTATCGATAGTGATCCCGTCCCACATACTCCAGTTGAAATGACGCTCAAGAGACGACGAACTTCGGCTTCGTCACTTGATGGTGTTCGCACTTTGGTTTCAAGATCTGGGACCACACGAGAACATGTGCAAGATCTTCGGAGGGACAAAAAGCGGCTAACCTTCCTCGACTATTTGATCATGCCGGTGCAAAGAATATGTCGTTACCCTCTCTTACTCGATCAATTGAAACCCGGAAAGGCCTTCCATGCCCTATCGCTCCCACAGCCTGTTGGACATGCTGATTTCGATGTTATAGTGGAAAGTGCAGCTCAGGCCATGAGATCTGTAGCCACTAGGGTCGACGAGGCTCGTCATAGACACGATGTTGAGTTGCAGTCGTATCTTATTGTCGCTAGGATATCTAGAGCAATGCCTGTGCCATCCTCTACTCAAACATCTTCTGTTGATGCCACTCCCCAGTTCTTAACGCCCAATTTCTTGTCTTCACTTGGTGTCTGCCTCCTCGCTGGTTCATTAGACGTCATGCATTCCAGGTCGTACACAAGTATCTCTAATATCAACGCTAAATATCTTGGTGCCTTTCTATACCTTGGGGGCTATCTGATTTTGGTCAAGGTCATCAAAGGAAAGGTCTACGAGCCCAGACATTGGTTTCGCCTTACGGATTTCGATGTCGAGGATGTCACCGAAGATGGTTGGTCCTTCAGTTGTGAAGATTTGTTATTTTTTAATTCCCCAGTAGCTCTTCTCCCGTGCTCGTTCAGACTGATTTGTAAGGGTCACCGATTCGAATTGGCTGCTGCATGTCAGAAGGAGAAGGAAACGTGGATGTCGTCAATACGAGAGTCTCTTTCTCATCCATCTTCCAGCTGGATCAACGAGCCAACGTCAAGCCTACAGTTCGATGGAAAAGGCGAGATTGTGCCCTCCGCCTTGGATGGACCCTACGAGACTATTCACGCTCTGCCGACCATTCAATCGACTCCGGACATCGAGAAGAATCTGAACCAACCTGAACTCACGGCAACACTTCTAGACACACTGGCCCAAGATCCCCATCCTTCACAGCCCTATACCAATAAGGCCGAGACCATAGCCCGCACTCGCAGGTCGTCGACCGCGTCCGTCAGAGCCATATTTACTCCCATGTCTTCTTCCGAGCCAGATATTATCGTCATCCGACGCTCATCGCCTTCGGCAAGATTGCAGGTTGATCATTGGCTTCGTGACGTTGTATCTGAACTTTGTCTCACGGCGAGATTTCTTGCAACCAGTCGTGAAGAGGAATTATTCCAAGCTCCTAATATCGCTCGGCCCGGTTTACCACGTAATAGCTCAGGTTTGAGCATGAAGAGTAGGTTGAAGAAGCATGAGAATGTGAGGGTGCGAAGGGGGAAGAGTACCATCGACAGTTCTGAGGTTTTCCAGCCTCCTGACAAGAAATCTTCCAACTCTCGTGCGCAATCTTTGACGAACAAAAAGCGCCCAAAGGAACGGAGCATTATTTCTGTTAATATGGATGGCGATTGTATATTTTTCCTGCCTAATTCTGAACGATCTGAACGGTCACCATCTCCCTTCACGCAATCGCCCTCGACTACCACTTCTTTTCCGCATTCAGAACGCAGTAGCCCCACAGAAGAAGCTTCTCCTGTCACTGCTTCCGACACAGGCCACCGGCCGTGTAGTGCTCGCCCAAATTCCCTCGTCAGCACTTTCTTTCATCCACGATCGTCGTCGCCCAGTTTAACAATATCAAAATCACCCGCTAATGATAATAAACGCCCTTCGAATCCTGGTATGTTCAAGCGCTGGCTGAAGGGATCTTTCCACCATCGTTCGTGCAGCGCGCCAGAAGATATATTTCTGGAGTCGTCGAAAACCAAAGAGGAATCTCCTACACTTCCCGACCTTAGCTTTGGAGACGAACTGAGATTAACTCAGTCACCGATCGTGGCTGGGACGCCTATATGATTATTTTCCAAAAAATACGATAATGCACTCCTGGACCTCCGATGGATGTAATTTTTATCGCTTAGATACGACCTAACACATTGTACCGTTATCCTGACATCTGATACCATATATCGACCTTTATTTGTTCTTTATGTTTATACATACACTTTCGCTTCCTCCATTCGTTCACTTTGTATAGGTACCGCATAATGGTTTCATTATTTGTATAATTACTGGCAATGCTTTAGCATTTCATATTTTTTAAGTCGTTTGGCTTGATAATATGTGCCTTCGACACGAACATCGATGTGCTGCAGCCGACAATCATGACCGGCTACTTTCCTGTCAGAACGCTGCAGACGTCTGCGCATGTGTCTTCATTGACATTCGGACATTCGGGTCACATCTTTGCTGGCTGTGGTAAATGCTATCCATACTACTGTGGTCCCACGGCTAACGAATCGATGCAGACGACGGGACTCTTCGCGTCTACGACCTCTCTACTTTCAAGGTGCTTAAGGCGGTCCGAAGTTTGGGCTCAGAGGTCTCTTCAATTGCATGTGTGAAGCGCCCGGGCTCGGATTTGCGAGATGCCTGGATTGCCTGTGGGAGGGGGGTGCGTACAAGGTCGACTTTTTACTACGATGAGACGAATGATTTTATTTAGGTCTATCTGTTCCAAATGGACAGTCCAGCAATGGTCCTGACGCCCTCTGATTCCCTGGCATCGGTTGACATATGTTCGCCGGACGGGGATGATGTACTGAACGAAGTAAGAATCTGTTCTCTTGTGACCTGGCGGCGTTTTCGTCTAAGAAAGTCAGTCAGATCAGCCTGGATGCCAGCAAGAGTCGGCTTGCCTTTTGCACGGATAACGGTCTGGTAGGAGTAATAGAACTGGGCAGCAAAAGCGTTTCCATCATGAAGACAAAACACGACAACGTGGGCAGAATTTCAGTTGGTCACCAAAATTTTGCTGAACCGTATGTAGGTATGTGGATGTGTCAAGTTCATCCCGGACCGACCTCGGGAGCTCGTGAGCGGTGGATATGACAAGGCCCTTATCCACTTTGATTACACGCAGGAGAGTGTTCTATCTAGGCATGACATCTGTGTGTACTTCCTCCCTTCGACTGTCTCCATATAATTACGCTTTACCAAGCATTACAACCAACAAACGGGTCAATGTCGTTTTCCCCGCCTTTCATACTTTGCACGGCACTTTCAGATGCTGGTGTTATCGCAGCAGGAACTGCCGATGGCCACATCTGGCTTGGGCGTGGTGGAGTGAGGCTTCCGTCCAAGGGAAAGAAAACCCGGAAATGGAATGGTTTAGATTCCGAGAGGGCGTCCTTGCACAAGCTGGCTAATGGACCCATTGTCACCATGTACGTTACCTGGATCTTTGTTCTGCAGCATCTGATTCACAAATAACAGCGCGTTTTGTAACTCCAATACACTCATATTTTCAACCTTATTGGGCAACATAACAGAGCTTCGCTTGAATCATGACCGCAAGCAAGGAGAAGAACATGTTTTACCTGTCTGGCAGCAACAAGCGAAATGTCTAGCCAAGGTCAATGCACTAGTCGTTGATGACAAAAAATTAGTCCTGGGAGGGATATGTAGAGATGGGAAAGGTATTATAGAGATATGGCGAAAGGACGTTATTACACCGTGAACAGTCTATGTTTTTGAAGATGCACTACTATCTAGTTTCTGCTCCGCTCGCTCTCTTTCCAGTTGTCGCTCAAGTTCACCAATCCTTGCCAGATACTGCAATCTTTGAGCCTTCATCGACTCCAAAAATTCTTCGTCCGAGTACTTCGATAATCCGAACCACGACATGACAGTCGCGCGTCGATCTGCCCATCGGTTCTGCGTTGGTCCAGGATCTGCAGGCCGACTGGATTGTTGAGACACGTATTTAAGCCGTGTCACTCGAAGTTCGTTATAACCTAGTTGGACCAGAATAGAGGCGATACCAGCTGTTATACCTCCAGATACAACAGCGTATCTTCCTGCTAAATAAGTCGGTCAGTAGATGCCTTGAAAGATGGTGCCTTGTGCTCGCCAGTTATTCCGCGAAGGAACCCGCCAGTAATAGCTCCACTGATGCCAGTGTCAAGGAGCTTGCTAGACCGCATCTCTGTCCATGATACATTCTCTGACATATCTCCGTCGGTGGGAAGCTTGGAAATACCAGCATCACGCCGTCGCCTAGCATACTGAACTCCTGGAATCGTCCTGACGAGAACAGGGCTTATCACATATTCGCGTAGACCTACAGACAAAAAGTTCAGCACCAGTAATCCACGACGTGTTTATGATACGTGCTGAAAAATGTCGCTGCAGTAGCCCCACTGTTTATCGCAGCAGCCGCTGAAAGCTCTGCATAGTTAGGAAACCTGTTGAGGATACCGTAGACGCCTGTTATGAACGCGCAAGTGGTAGCTATTCCGTTCGTTAAAGCCAGGTCCCTATGTCGTAGAATAACACTCACATGTAATGGCCGTTCCTTGTATAACGGTCTGCCAACCCGCCTTCCAATTTGAACTGCTCATGAAGCTGATGAACAGCAAAAAATTATCCGACGGCCGGCCCGATTAGCCCTAACCCTAAACAGTAATGAAATAATATTACAAACACCGGACCAGGTAGAAAACTAAGTAAATAGGCTCATATGTCTCATGTAAAACTCAAAGTCAAAAAGAAGTTATGGTAGAAGACCGTGACTACGCAACAAGGTCGCCCATCTGTAACCGAGTCAATGCCCCCCCTCGTGAAAAACAACAACTACAAGTGCTTACTCTTCTTGCTTCAATTCTGCCTCAGCCAATTGTCTTTTGAGATGCCTGATGTCCTATGAGGCAGCTCATTCAGGTAGAGCAGATGATACTACGTACGAATTCTCCTTTGACATGGTATTTCTGGCCTCCTTCGTTTTCCGTAGATCGATCGACATAGCTATCCAAGCTTCTTCTTCAGGAAGGTTGACATCATTAAACATACCATCTAACTCTTCATTGAAAGCCTGTTTGCAGATGAGTGCAAGTCGTCTTCCCTCTAGAGATAATGCCGACGTTACCTCGTAGAGGATCTCCCTTTCGGCTGTAGCGTCGTCCAACAAACTCTTCATAACCTCACACTGCCGCCTCGTATTCTGCACTTCAACCTTGGACTTTTCAAGTTCCCTGGTTTTCTGGACTGGTGTCAATGACTGGCTATCGGATAGCAGGAGTGACCGACCTCCGCTAGTATAGAAGGCACCTTGTCAAGGGATGCCTTCAAGTTTTCATAGTTGGAGATTCCTCGGGAAAGACTTCCCTCGGCATCTGATATTAGCGAATCCAAAGTATTGAAATTAAGGTTATTATCAGCTCCGGGAGTGACGGAGCGGAAAGGCGTATCGAAGACAGGGTTTCGAGCACGATTTACCGGTGTATTGTCACCAGTGCGTTGACCTATCAACGTACGCATCTCGTTTAAACGTTCCTGGGCTGCCTTTGTCTAGGGAAATTATGTCAGTCCTAGTCAAGCAAGGCCAAACTCCGGTTTACCAATGCAGGAGGACGTTGAGGTGTAGAAAACCCTTTCACGGGTGATGAAGGCCTTGAGATCGTCTCTCCATCGCGTTTGATCATCGCAGAACGCAGATTCTCAACTTCAAGTTTGATCCGCTTGACCGCCCGATGAGCGGATTCGAGCTGATACCATGTTACAATGGGACTGTTTCTTGAGAGAGAGAAATGGCTCACGTCTTCCTTCGTCACACAGGATATTTGAAGAACCTCGTCTATGTCGACGTCTTGCGGACCATCAGACATAGCAGGTGTTGAGGCACGAATTTGAGTAGCGGTTCGTCTAGGGGATGTCCTCCGTGCATGAGACCTAGACAATGGAGATCCGTGGGTCTTGCGTGTCGGTGCAACAGGTGTCGTATTCGTTTCGTTTCTTGGGTGGCTGGAGTGGTTTGACGATGTACTTGGGCTAGTGGAGGGCCTTGACTGATCTGAATGACTTGAGTGACCAGAGTCCGACTGCGTTGCCGAGCGCGTCGCTGTATACGCGGAGCGCGTGGAGTATGTCGTTGTCGTTGTAGCATTAGTAGCCGAACGGGCGAGGGGCTTCTTCTTAATGGAGAGTGGTTCAACCACAGTGGTTTGGCTACTATGCGGTCTCGGAGTTGCGTCGGCGTTTCCTGTTGGATAAAATGGTTGGCGCTTACTACGGGGAATTCCCGTGGAACGGGCAGGAGTCGAAGGACGAGACGAGTCAGACTCAGAATCGATTTCTCTAGTTAAGGTGGGAGAGGGAGGGCGGCTCTTAGGAGGTAACGGGGATGGGCTTCTAGGTCCCATAGGGCGACTTTCAGAAACATGAAGAGATCGCGACTGGCGAAGATTTTCGGTGTTGTACCCTGTCACCGTGCATTGGCTGTTGGAATCTCTGGAGGTTGCATTTGAACTTCTCGAAGTTGAGGCACGCGAGGGTGGTCGTACAGGATGAGGCGATTCTTCTGAGAGAGACTAAGTCACCGAAGCCCTTTCTTGAGACAAGTGCAACTAACCTTCATAGATAGCTCCTTCTGAGGGTGTAATCAGAGGCACCACAGCCTGCCTCTCATTCTGGTTCTTGCTGTTCTTTCTAGCCAGTCTTAGCTGCAACACCAAATTGCGCTCTGAGGCGTCGAAGTGACGAATATTGTCCATCAAGGAGGTGTCTTCGTCCTCAAGGTCACTATAATCAGAGTCACCTTCTCTCGACGTCGACCGAGATGAAGAAGCTCTTGACAGGCTCCTGCTAGAACCCCGCTCTACAGAGCTAGCTGGAGACATTCCTCTCTTGATAGAACGCTTGGGAGATGATCTTGAAAGGAAGGAATCTTCATCTACGGAAGTGGCCAGCGTCGTGGTGGATCGCTGTGAAAATCTTCCTATACTATCGTCGCCTGTCGTCGTAGTGTGGGTGTATGTCGATGAACGGCTGGTGGCCGATTTAGAACGTCTATGGCTGTTAATTGAACCTGCTAAAAAGTCTCCAACAGACGAAGCTGGTCGGGAATTGAAGAGATTACGAGAGATAGCATCTAGGCCGAAGATAGACGCTTTAGAACGTGCAGTAGGTGTCGAGGGCCGTGAGTTCCTCCCGGAGCGGAATTCGAACAGGCCATATTGGTGTACTAGAAAACTCATCAGTCAGACGGCGCAGGATAATAAACGAAACCAACAAACTCGTAAGAACTATACGATTGGGAACACGCGCAGTCTGAACAATGTCCTCTTCTCCCTGATCAGAAGGGTCGCTTGAAGTAACCTTGTATCGACAGACACCACCAGCAAGAGGTTGTAACCGTATGACGGCAAACGGTGGACCGCCGATGCCGAAGGGAAGCTTATCGGCAGATCCAAGAGCGTCGATATGAACAACAATCTTCGTCTATAATTTAAGTGTTTGGTAAATGTGTGAAAACGGAGAGCAGTCGAAGGCTTGCCTTCTTTAACTCTTGGAGGAAGGCTTTCCGTTGATACACGTTGTAATATGTTCTGGCCATCGTGGATTTCGAACTCTTCGAATCAACCTCAACCTCATCGGAACGAAGTACCACAGATTGTCCGGCCTTAGCCCGGTACTTGGCTTGGGCGTTCCACAAATTTTCTAAGAAGCGAATCTTGTCATTTTCTGTGGATGATGGTTCAAAGTTCACAGAGGATGGTGGGTGTACCACAGACAAACAACGAAGCGGACGGTTGGACCAGCGGCCACTTTGATCTTGGGGAGGACTTTCCAGGTATAAATGAAAATCTAGGCGGACCATAAGTAGAAATATATGAAAATATATGAAACAGAAGCCCACCAGCGCCTCCAACATCGGCCACAGCAACTTCAGTAATATCAACAACGCCTTTACAAGTCATAGCATTCTTCCTTCTCCCATTGCCCATTCCACTTGCTTTGGTGACCTTATCCAAGTCATCTAAACCTGCCAGTACACGACATCCTTTCTCTCCGTTACCGGGCCGCTTGACTATTAGCAATTTGTCATCGAACAAAATGAGAGAACAATGCAAGGACACTGCCGATGAGTTAGCAACAGATACTGATGATGAGCCGGGCGCGTCCGAAATGACATCCTCGACATCTATGCAATCGATAAAGCGGCGAGAGTTAGAGAACAAATCAGGTGGGAATTCGTGGATATTCGAGCTCAAACAATAGAATATCGACGCGCGCTTTGTTTGTTCGTCAGTTTCAGCCAAAGCGATCTTGCTCGCGATCTCGTCAGCTTCTATGAGTTTCGCTCGCTGCGGGTCACTAGGCGACATATGCTTGACCATGATGCGAAACATCAGCGTATATCTAGGTATCCGTTGGACGGGGTCCATAAGAAGTTCTCGTAGTCCGACGCGATTTTTCGTGTCGGCTGACTGGTATTTTATTCGCTGAGATGCATTTCTTTAGATCGGGGGAGGCGAGACAAATCATAACAACGCACGTCAATGTAAGCCGCAAAGGGTGAAGATCTTCTTGAAACCTCTCTCTCGAATATTATCTGTGCATCTTCCCTTTTCACGTAATATTGCTTGTACTGTTCAAAGCCTCTAAGTTGCTTAAAATGGCGGAGTGCCACATCGCCGACACCGCCAACAGTTTTGGGCCCATTCGGTGCCATCATCTTCTCGAGGTCCGTAAGGAAGGCTTCATTAACGGGGAGAAGGTTATCGATGTTGCCAAAGAGTGTCTTGGCTTCATAGGCAGGAAGGATGGCAGTACTCTTGCTCTTTGCAAAGTTCCGCAGTGGGTCGGCGTAGTCATTCTTGAGTATCTGAAGGCGCCTAACATAAGACTTCTCAGTGGAAACCAGTTCGCTGATAACAGCAGACAGAGCCGACGAGTCCGTGAGCGCACGTTTCCGGGACATACCGTTCTACGACGAGCATCAGTGGCGCGGGGAGGACGTGTAGTTGGAGTAGCTACGCACCGAGTCATTTACCTGTCCGTCTCCCTCCGATGATAAAATGCTCGCATTAGAATTTGTTTCGAGCAGGTCCCCCAACGATAAGACTAGTTCTTGTATTTCTACGACAGCAACAATCTATTGGCATAAGAGCAAAATGAACTGGTTGGACACACCTTCGGGCAATCTCTTTCCGCTTTCTGAGCCTTCGACGACCACTCCACAGAAAAATACGCGCTTTGTTGATAGCCCGGGGCCAACAGATTCCTGTCGATACCTTGCTTCATCGCCAGTGGCAAGGGGAATCACCTTGCGAGGTGATGTGCTGAGTGCCATTAGAGCATTTAAAAATCAGTGGGACGTGCAGCAGACTTGTGCAGTGCGAGGGTCGGTCAGTAGAGAGGGAAAGAAGGCATCCGAAATTCAGAATCGTTCAACAGACCGCGCTCACGTGATAGGCAACATACGGTCACATATCTACATCGGGAAGGCATCGCCCCTGAATGGCCCGTATCCGGGACCGCTTTGAAGCCGCCCGCTCCAATGGCACGCACACTAGTCAGTGTCAACATTCATACGCATTATCTGCTTAATGGTCCCCACATAGGTAGTGATTCCGCGTTGAATTGAAAGCACAGCATCGAGCATGACAAGAAGAATATGAAGATGAAATATGGTACAGTGGAACAAACGTTCCAGAATAAACCCTACTCAAATCGGCTACAGCCCATGACGGGGGCGGCTGGTCAACCCGAACCCGCGAGGTCGACAGCCTCAAAAAATCAAATTGCGAAAGTGTTCTTGAAGGAAGATGTTGTAGTGCATTAGCTGCTGTAAATTGGATTATGGTCAATAAAAATAGCGTCCAGTGTCATGAGGTGAAGGAAGCGTCGTGGGGGAATGTCGTTAATGGCTAGTCTTGGACAATGCGGCGGATGATGGTTTAGTGGACTTCGACTGGGAGTGGAGGGACAAACGAATCGCTCGTAGGGGTGCCTGCTCTGGACCGCTCTGCAATAGTGGCGGTCGGACCGACGACTGACCCTGTCTGAGACTGGGATAATGTCCGGTCTTCAGATACACCAGATGCAGTAGCGAAGGTCGTCACAGGTTGATTATCAGGATAATAAGACTTTCGTTTTGACTTGGTAAAGTCATAAACGGTGAACCTGGATCAAAAAGTTACAGATGCGCTCCTAGAAGAATACTGATACTCACTGCTCTTCTAGCTGTCGTAGCTCTGGTTTCAACTTGTCCAAGTCGGCATTCGCCCTGCGTTTAGTATGCGTCAGGGGTTTCTCAACCATCAAAAACTCATCCAGTTCGTGTGATACATCAAAGTTTGCGTGTTTCATCTATCAACCTGTTAAACGCTACATATAACGGTAGCGAAAAATACTCACGTCAGGAACGAACGGAGGTTTCAGGCTTCTCTCCTCCAGAACATCCCAGTCGATGCTGGCGAACCAAGGATGTTGCTGGATATCCTCCATCCCTAATCCACTCTTTCTGCATCCGAGACGCGCCGTTACGTCTCGTTCGATAAACTAACAGCCTATTAGAACAAATGAAACAGAATTCAAGTAGTTAACGCACCCCTTTGAGTGCTTGTATCCCAGCCTGACTACAGACGTTATGCGCGTTTTCTGGGAACCTCAATGTGTCTCTTAGTATCGAATGCCTCATTGTGTCCGCAGTTTTCCCATCGAACGGCCGCTTGTTGAACAGGAGTTCGTAAGCCGTGATTCCAAGACTCCACCAGTCTATCTCCCATGAATATCCCTTTTTGCCTATAACTTGAGGGGCCATGTAGGCCATACTCCCAGCAACGCTAGTGTGAAGCCGGCGATCCGAGTAGTGTATGGCGACATTGAAATCTGTGAGATGGGCATGACCATGCACGTCTAGCAGGATATTGTCTGGTTTTATGTCGCTGCGAAAGAGATAGGCACACGTATACAAGTGGCGAATGTGAGGAAAACGTACCGGTGGATTATCCGTTGACGATGAAGATACTCTAGTCCAGACGATAGCTCGGCTATCCAAAACTTGACCACATTCTCCTCCATCCGACCCTTTCTTTCCAAATGAACTGAAATCGCCGTCAGTGAAGGGGTCCCAGAAGCGGTACATATAGACATACATCGCAGGTCCCCTCCGAGCATAAGGTCAAGAACAAAGAAGCAATTCTCGTCGTCCTGGAAAGCATAGCGTAGGTTGACGACGAATGCATGATCGATCTGGGAGGGTCACTCTTAGCACAAGGGTTGCTCGACGCAAATCATTCATGCCAACCTCCTCCAGTAGCCGGCGTTCCTGAATGACATTGGCCACTGCTCTCTGCCTTATACACTGGCTCTTCTCGATGTACTTGAGCGCATACACGACTTTCGTCTTCTTGTGCTCCACAACACGGACCTGTGCCACCTAAGAGAAGCCGAGAACGTAAAAGAACACGCCGTACCTTGCCAAATGCACCTCTCCCGACTGCACGGTGGAGGTCGAAGTGATAAAGATTAACCTCGCCGTCGAAGTCGATTGGCTCGGAGAAACAGCAGCCCATCGCATAACGGGGAAAGAGACAGAGGCCAACGAGTGAAGAATGTGGGCTAATAATCAGGACTTGAAGTATAAGGAACACCTAGAATCTCCTTAGGGTATACTTTGTTTTTGAAATCAATGGCGTCCGGTGACTGAGCGGTAACCGGCTAACCCCTGTAAACCCCCCACTTCTTCCGCTTTTGAACGCGCCCACAACCCCCTCATCCTTTGTCCCAAAATGTCTTTCTCTTACAAACAAAATAATTTTAAAAATACGGCGATACATAGCGGAAGTAAAAAAAAAAAAAAGAAAAAACTGCATATCACAGCGTCCTCGCCCAATTCTAGCCCGCTCACTGGAAAGATATTCATCCTTGACACTAATAGGCGATCGATCGTGGGACTAATGTATCCGCTCCAGGAGAACATGAAGATATGCATGAAGACAAGGCGAGTTAACTGTTACTCAAGACAGCCGCCTTTTCTTGCGGCGTTCTTCAGCCAGGTGCGCCAGTCGCTCTCTTTTGACCTTCAACGGGGATTGAGCGTAAGATGACGGGTTTGCACCTTCGTCCGAGTGTTCACCATTCTTACTGATCATATCATCTTCTTCTTCTGTTGTATTCGCATCGTTTAAGGGTGACGACACAGAACTATTCACACGGAGGTCAGTAGAATTCCAGAAAGGAACAACAGTTCGTATAGCAACCTTGTTCTATCGTTGATGAAGTCTTCTTGTGCTTCCTCCTCACTCGTTTCTTCTTCCCCACACTTGTCCATAGCACCCCATGCCTGTGCAACTTCTAGGAGTCGATCCCATCGTTCGGTCTCTGTCATATAAACGATTTCGACATCGTCTCGCGGGCAAACGCGTCGACATTGCGGACATTGAAGGGTTTCATCTACACCCTTTGAGATCCCTGGCAAGCAGGCATTACAGATGACATGTTCACAGGGTAGACTAAACTCAGCACTTAGCAGAAGTAAAACGTCGAGGCATGAATCGACGCGCCTAGAACATTTGTTCGCGACAAATACCTCCATGCAGATAGGGCAATCCTCGGCTTTACCTTCTGCATCGGTAGGGAGGGGGGTAACCAGCATGATATCATTGTGTCTCCTTAAAAGCTAAGAGTTCCGTCAGATCACAAAGAGGCATGAAGAGCTATAGGTAATACTTTTCTCATTTTGTGAGGGGAATCACCAGATCTGCTTCCGCTGTCCGAATCATTGAGGAGATCTTTGGCTTCAGCCTTTGCTTCCCGTGCCCTAAGCTTCGTAGTAAAGCAGATTAAGAGAGCTTGAAAATGCACCATGTTTATTTACCCGTACCGCAGAGATCTTTTGCTTGTCCTTCCTACGTCCCTTGCGAGCATGCTTTAGGTCGAATTGGAGTTATTTGCACATATATTCCGGGCTCACCCGTTCTAAGAAACTGACTTTTTCCTCCAACTGCTTAATTTGAGAATCCAATCCTGTGAAACGGCCGCGTGGTTTCTTCGGTTGTCCATTCACGCAAGATTGTAGTCGTTCGACCTGGCCCTGCAAATCCTGGTTCATTCGTACCAGCTTCTTCAGTTTTCTACGGTACTTCTCGAGACTTCGCTTCAAGGCATTTACATGACACTAGATGCATCTTCAGACAAAGACTCAGTACTGGTAATGTGCGGGCCACACACCTCAATATCATCGGTATCTTCAAGTTCGCTCGATGACTCGTCGATGTTTTCAACTTTAATCTTGGATGATGCCTCCCTGGCTTGTGCTCGTGTTCTAAGCCTGAGGGACATGTGCAAGGGTTTTACGGTGATTGCAAGGATTCAGTAGGGACCACGTGGCTCACTGATCGACCAATTCTATGCCAGTGGTTTCCTATCGACAGATCCAATACTAGCATGCTACTCTTTGTGATGATTTTTGCAGGATGTTGTTCATAATATTTACATGTGTGCTCCGACTCTTGGGTACTCCAATAACTCGTGGACTTGCCAAGTATCTCCCTTGACAATGACGCATGTAGAGGCTACCATCATGATAACCTACTATGGTGACATGGGAACAAATTCTGGACTGACTAATGTGCTATCATCAATTCCAGCAGCAAAGCAGCGCTATCTACTGGTATGGGAAATCATGCTAGACTCGTACTCGGACCAGGTGTACTACTTGGTACCTGTCGCTGGATTCGTGGCCCTCGCTGCCTCGCCTTCTTTCTTCCACATGGCCCTCTCCCATTCGTCCCACTCTTCTTTGGCATCGATCCATCGCTCCTGAACATCCTTCACATCGTACCCACCAGCTGAGTTTATAGCACTCGAGAAGAGGGCATATGTGTTCGGTCGAGTAGACGACGGGAGACCATGTTGGTCTGGGACGACATCGGGAGGCATTGGCGAGTCAACCGGGGGCACAAAAACATACCCGGTAACGCGGTCAATGGTGCGCGAGAGGTGCGTCATAGACGTCTTGTCCTCTACAGCTAAGGTCTCAAAACCGACGAGATTATAGTCTTCAATCAGTGATACGAGGGCCATGTTGAGTGCTGCATAGCGTCGGGGAGATGAAGCCTCTAGCGCATTGGATAGATACGAGAGGTCTTGCACCTCAGTGTAAAATGACAGATTGAAATCTTCACTAGCATAAGCAAGCAATCCGGGTTCGCAGCATGACTCACCCAGATCACCGTATTGGGATATCAAATCAATTTTCGAAAGCACATTCACGTGCGGGAGTTCGAGATGAAGCATCGCACGCAAAGATAGAAGGAGGACCGAAACGTATTTCGATGCGTCCGTTATATAGTGAGCGTCACATAGGTGAATGGCCGCCAACTGTTTAATATCACGTTTTCTGTAAAAAAAAAAAACAGCAGCAAAAAGACAAGCATACCCGAAACCCACCCTTGGTCAGCCATTCTATAATTCTCTTCACGCTCTCGTGATTCGTACTCAACTCTACCTGACCTGGGAGGTCGAAAAGCACATAAGCATCTTTTCCAAGCTCCTTCAGTCGGTCCTCTAGCCAGTCATAGTTGGCTTCGAGATATTCCATACAATAGAGCATGCCACCGTTGGGGCCCAGTTGATATTCATTCATCACATCCCGCAGAGTAATGAGGGAGGAGATATCGATTGCGCATGGGTATGGAATATTGTCATTGGCTGGGTCGAGATTGACAATAGATATTGGTCGGCTGAGAGCAGTGAACAATTGGTGCTTTCCGTAGCAGTATGTTGATTTTCCAGACCCTGGAGAGCCACAGACAATTTCTCCGAATGGCATAGTTAGTGGTAAGGAAGAAACAAATCTGTTGTTTGTTAATAGCCTCTCAGCCAACTTCAATGTGTCACTGTTTTTCTTCTTGCCCTCCACCATACACTTTTACGCGTATGCCACTGGATTCTGGCGATTTTTTGGCGTCTGATGACCCTGCTGTAAGTAAAGTCGCATCTTCTCGCAAAATAACCACTATAGGTCTTTTCAGATTGATGAAATCTTGGCCCAGTCGCGAAGGGAACTCGACGCGGCAGGACCGTCGGACGTGGCGATGTCTCGAAACAACCATATCAGGAGAGAACGACATCGTATCGAAGAAGAGATAAGTCAAATCGAAGCAGAACTCACGAAATACGACGACCAGATCAAGACCCTACAGATACTACGGGAAACACGCAAACAAGATTTGTGTAAATTTGTGGCAGAGCTGAATGCATTAATCGGAGTGGGGAATCAGAAGGGCAAAGGCAAGGCTAAGGGTGGTATAGATTACGGCCACGAATCGTTTGAGTGGTCGAATTCGCTCAGGTCGACCATGAGAAATGTGTTCAAAATCAACAACTTCCGACTATGCCAGCTTGGGTGTGTCCTTTCCCTTTGGACCGTTTGTCCTGCTCTTACAGATGTCACAGAGTTTGTAATGCGAACATGGATGGTCGGGATATCGTCTGCGTCATGCCAACAGGTTTGGCTTCCTCTGTAATTCTATTATATTCTTACTCCAAGTTGTGCTAGGCGGTGGTAAATCACTAACATACCAATTACCGGCACTGCTACATCGAGGCTGTACCCTGGTCATCTCCCCTTTAATTTCGCTCATCAGCGATCAAATAATGCATTTGCAAGACGCCGGCAGTTCGTAAATCATTCCAACTGGTATCTTCCGAGTCATCCTCATACTCCTATCTTCAGTCAATGCCGTCAAGTTCACTGGATCCACATCCAAAGAGGAACAGAAAGCAATTACGCGTAATCTATATGACCTGATTGCCGGAAAGCTGAAGCCTGAGCAGGAAATTCGACTTGTTTATGTGACAGTTCGCTAGTTCCACCTTCTTCACCGCCTATGTCGTCTTACAAGATTACACAGCCAGAGAAAATAGCGAGAAGTAACCCGTTCAAGTTGCTGATGACCAAATTGGCGGAGAATAAGAAATTATGTAGGTAATCCCGCCGTCATCACAGTATTCCGACGATAATGTTGTCATAGCGCGAATAGTAATAGACGAGGCCCACTGCGTCTCACAGCTTGGCCATGATTTTCGGTCCGTTCGACGACGCATACGTTTTACCTTGTGTTTACATTGTGTAGCCCAGACTACAAACAACTCCGTATTCTAAGGGAACTATTCCCTCGTGTACCGATATTAGCCCTCTCTGCTACATGTCCTCCTAGAGTTCTTCAGGATTTGCGAAGCATTCTTCAGTTGCCGGAGATATGCGATGGAAATAGTGAGTCTCCCTGATATTTAGGAAGTACAATTCGTTGAAGTTTAATACTTAGGCGCTGACCTTCGGGGTACCACCTACTTCTCGGCCCCGTTATACAGAAAAAATCTACACTACAAGGCGTTCCCTAAGGACTCAAATATGAAGAATATGATTAAGCTCATGACCGATTATATATTGGAATACCATCCTCATGATAGCGGAATTGTATACTGTCTAACGCGAAACGTAAGTTGCGCCCATTTGTGGCAATTCTCCTGTCTCGACAACGTTTATAGGATGCCGAAATCGTTGCCCAGAAGCTGTACGAACAGAGCGAGAGGAAGATACGGACCGGAGTGTACCACGCAGAAAAGAAGGATGTCGAGAAAGAAAACCTGCACGTACAATGGAGGAAAGGCAACATTAAAGTTGTCTGTGCCACAATAGGTTAGTGAGACTCATTCTGTTTTGAGATTGAGTCTAACGTTGATGTCTTGAAGCCTTTGGACTGGGTATCGATAAAGGCGATGTAAGGTTTGTACTTCATCATTCGGTGCGAATTCAATTATTCTCACTCGATGTACATGCTGATTGTTCTATAGATTTCGGTTTGTGATATTTCATGCATTCTGTACCACATCCCTCTAAATGTTCAGTAGAAATCTCTTGATGGGTTCTACCAAGAATCAGGACGCGCCGGGCGCGACGGTAAAGATGCTGACTGTGTCCTGTACTACCGTCCGCAAGATGCATGGGATATTGCTGCGATGACCATGGGGGACAAGGACAGCTCTGAAAAATGTAGGTCTTTACGATCATTCTATGTTCCTCACTAACTATTTCTATTGCAGTGATGCCCATGGTCCTTTTCAGTCAGAATACTTCAGAGTGTCGAAAGCTGCAATTTGCCAAGTAAGTGTTCTGATTGTCAGTATGTGCAATCTGAACCAATCCTTTTAGGTACTTTTCTCATACCTCCGATTTATCCATCAGTGATTGGGCAACCGAAGAAACTGGAGCACTCGATCGGTGTGGTCATTGCGACAATTGTCTTCGAGAGGGAAACAGCCTGGTCCGGGACGTAACTTACGAAGCTTGGCAGTTGACAAAACTCGTCGCAACCATATGCGATACCAAAAACAAACACACTGCTCGGAGCATAGCAACCATTGCCAAGACCAAAGCCTGGGATCCATCGAAACCGAAGATGAAGCGGCCAGAACACCAGTTAGAGAAGATCTGTGATGGTCCTGTAGCCCTTCACAAGGATGTGCGTGATTGATTTCTTTATGTTAATTCAAGCAATATTATTGACTGAAACAACGTCCAGGATATTGAGTTACTGTTGATTCACTTGTGGTCGGAACGATACCTGAAGCCCAAGTTTGTCCCAAATGCACACAAAACCACTGCCTATGTTGAAAAAGGAGTCATGGCCGGACGACTCACGTCTCTACCGGGTGAGAGGGTGAAGAACAACCTTTCGGGTCTGACTATACGATGCGCCTTCCCACTGAGGACGCGACAAGCCAGAAAGCATCAAGAGAGTGGGAGTGGGCCTAGGAAAGGGAAAGCAAAGCAACATGATGACATAGAAGACGTAGATAGCGATGAGGACGATTTGTATGTCTCGGATCGTGAGGATGAGGTACCGAAAGACCCGAGGAAACGGTCGTCGAACCGGATAACGGAGGACGAGGAGGATGACTCAAACGAGTGGATGGCTAGTCTTCGTGGAGACAGATTACCTCGAAAGAGACCTAGAACAATATTTAATAGTGCACCTAATGGAGGTGGAAGGGGACGGGACTCTGGTGGTACCCCCATCATAGAAATATCAGATTCAGACTAATGGTTGATATATGTAACCGTATATAATATAATATGTACTTACTAGTTGTATAAGATGAACATAAGGGAATGGGTATAGACCAATTGACCACCGCGTTTGCTGTCCAGCGGTCTTTATTAAATGAAAGAGAGAGTGTTATCATTACAAGGTATATTCAGAGACTCATTGCTGACTGCGAAAGCTGGCTTCGTGTGTTTGGCTTGAGAGCCGACCGAAGGGGTGCCTTAGGAACGAGACGATGCATCACGTCAATACGCACACCATCTTCATTCATCCAGCCCTGACCAGGCTCCGGATATCCGTCCAGATCAAGGGGGAACTCGTCACCAGGTTCGGGCGCTTTGTACGTGCCAGTATTCGTCCACAGTTGATCCCTGGGGCAAAGGTCAGAGTGAAGACTAACAAGGGAGAAACATGAAACATACCCTCGTCGATTAAACCATCCCTTCCGACGCTGTTCAGGCCAGATCGGGGAGGGGCATATAAGGTTCTGATTCCAACGTACCGACCGTGAGGCACCAGCGTTTGAGGACAACCTGATAGGATTGAAGACCGCGTGAGAAGGTACCTGATCACCATCTGAACGTCTTCGAAATACTGAAGCACCAGAATCTTTTCGGTCTCTTGGAGAGCCTAAGGATGATGGATCAGGAGCTGGATCTTCACCTTCCGAATAACGCCTGGGTGGTTTCGGTAATGAACGCTGCGTCGAAGAAGGATCCTTAGTAGATGAGACACATCCAGTGGGCGAATGTGAAGATCCTGAGGCATCATTCCTTGAGCGACTGGAGGCGGCTTGCGGCTGTTGTGGGTCTAGGCTGGGGCTAATAGATCTTGAAGGCATGTTTGGCGTCTTAGAAGGAACGACTGCAGGAATGCTCTGATGAGGAGAGACTTCCTTCGATACAGCACGGTGAGAAAAGCTTAAGGAATCACGACGGGGACGACTCCGCTCAGTTTCAATCCGCGAAGAAGTGACCGGGATAGTTTGAGGCACCCCATTCACCAGCTGAATAGCTGGTGCCAGAGAGACAGACCCTCGACGAGGACGATCGCGGTCAATTTGCCATGAAGTCGGGTATGAGGGCCTTGCGACTGCGGCGGACGTTCCTACACTACCGTTCTTGGGCTCAGTGGACACCTGGGAGACTTGCTCCATATGTCCTGAGCCCTGCGTCGGGTGGCGGGTCTCTGAAGATGAACGTCGATCATTCGAGGGTCGAGGTAAATCTGGTAAACCCGGTGCACGCCCTGGCTGTGCTGGAGGATCCTGGGTAGGACGAAATGGTCCTTCGGTTCGGCTAGGTGTCCGCGTTGTCTCCTCTCGTGGAGAACGGCGCTGTTCGTGTGATAAAATATTTGTATCAACCGTACTGATATGGAGAGCTGACGATTGGGAAGTACCCCCTGGAGCAATTGTGGGCGGAAGAGCCATGTTGGGAACAGATGTAGTCGACCGGTGGGGAGGGGGGGCAGTTGTTTCAGCCGCACGCACAGATAATGTTCGCTGAATGCCTACGTTTGTATGTAAGGACGACGTTGGCCGTAAGTTATACGGTGGGGATTGAGAAGATAAATTATCCGGATTGTCAGGCTGAGGGAAAGACGTCGCTACTTTTGAGGACTCTGGCATGCCTGATGCTGCAACAGCTGCATACGTGCGCTTCTGCCCCAGCACCTCCACCTTCTGTGAACTGTAGGTGGCGCTACCATTGCATGGCACATCCACGCCGGTCGCATGTGCCGCAGGCGGCGAAACAGTTTCGTTATAGGATAATATTGGTATCCCAGAAAGGTCATCACCCGAAGAACCTTCGTGGAGATCTGGGATGCCGTTTCGACTTTGGGGATTGGAGCTCATCTCTGAATCTGGACTCTGACGTCCAGCCGTCTCTGGATGCGCAAGACCAGGTGGTACAGCCGGACGAGGAAGTTCAATGGAGTTTTGGGGGCTTATGTTTTGCTGCTGTGGGTCGTCCGAAACTACCGCATCGGGAAAATAATAGGGCATAAATGCCGTGTTTCTCCTGAATGCAGCATTATAGGACATAGAGGCCGAGGCGACGACATTTTGTAAAGGGGGGTTATCGAGAGCTGAGGGTAATGGAATGGAACGTTGCGTGTTGGGGGCTGGAAGATCCATTTGTGGTAACGTAGCTGCGCCAAGTGCACATAGACTTCGTGACGTACCAGCAAGACCGGGAGCAGCCTGAAAGGACAATCTGTAGCTGTCCGCATTATCCGTGGACGTGTACTCCGACTGTGTCATCTGGACAGGTCTGAATGCCTGAGGATACAAAGTCCGAGAGTTGTATTCAGTATTTCTCCTAGAAATTCGATTGAACTCCTCGTCATCAGATTCCGCAGGTATCTGCACAGAAGTATTGCCTCTGGCAGCCTCATGAGCACCCTGGTATGTCGAAGTTGTAGAATAAGGTTGAAAAGCAGGCCTTTGATCGCTCGCCTCTCGAGGAAGGGGGACAAGTCGGACGTCGGTTCCGGTCTGAGACGAATGTCGGTCAGATGCGGCGTTAAACTGAACTCCTGAAGAGGATAGCGCCTTTGCAAGTGCTGGAGCAGGAGCGGGTAGGGGAAGTGATAAATTGTGGGAGGATGGACTAGTCAAAGCAGTGTCGGTTGACAATGGAGACGACAAAATGGACGAGGCCGTGGCGAGCGACGCGGTGGATGCGTCATAATCAGAATTAGAATAAATATCTGACTTGGCAGAATTTATGGAAGGCTGGTAGATATAGGTACCATTAGTAGAGGCACTTGGATAAATGTAAAAGCTGGACGTGGCCGTCTGGTGGGGTGGCTGTGTCTCCCCACCGAAAGACGGTGCTTTACCAGCGCCTTTGGGAGGATTGGCAGTTGAATTGAACCAGGACCATGAAGAAATCCGATGCTGTTGGCCCTGGTGAACTCCGGAATTTTGAGAAGAAGAACTTCTGTTGAATTTTATGGTACCGGCGCTCTGAAAGGAAGAAAGAGTGGGCGCTTTGAAAATACTGACGGAGAAGCCCTTGGAAGCCTACACGAGGGGAAATTTAGCGCCGACGGCTGTGAAAGTGACGTTTATACCTTAACTGGACTGGCTCCGGACTGGCTCCTCCTTGATGCTGACATGCTGGACACACTGGTACTGGCTGAAGAGAACATGTCGAATGTGCTCGAAAAAAAAGGTCCTCAGAGAGCAGTCTATATAGTGTGTCGACCGCCTGTGAATGTCGGCTTCGTGCTTGCGCCACGAGTTGAACTTGCAAGAAAACATGAGGTGCTCGATCAAGTTGAGACTCCACCCATTTGTGGGTTTACACGCAGGCAGTATGTGTGATTCCGAAAGCAATGAAGTGCCACGCCGTTTGGCAATTTACAAGGGGGAGGCGTCGGCGTCAAGCCAGTGATGTGAGGCCCAGATGTGAAGGTTCTCCAGGTAACAAAGGTGCCTTTAAGAACGTGGTTTGCACTCGAATGGTACTGGCTCGGCTAGCAGGCAGCAAAGAGGGATGAAACAGTAAACTAATGCAACGAAGGCCCCTTCAGGATGAGCTCAAGGCCGTGGCATTGTCATTCCTGGAACAATGTATAACTCAAATAAACTGCTCACTCGTTTCTTTTGGGAACTTGAAGCTCGCAGCAAAGTGAAGGTCGAAGGTCAAATACATAGGCATTTCATGGGAACAGCGCGGCATCATTTTGATTCCGGGCCGCTTTCACGTGCCGCGCTAATCAGGGGCTCTCACGTTCGGCATCCTCGTTGAAGCCTCCATTTGCCAATCCTTGTCCATTGTTACATCTAGCGAGACACGTATAAATCCGACGGCTGAATGCGCTACCTATGGGGTGATACACGCACCTCGCCAAGTACTCTACTACTAAGTATTAAATATTAGAAGGCTCAATCCAGGGTAATATATCCTTCGAGTTTCTGGGTCCGGTATAAAAAAAAGGTCAAGCACCGAACATATCGACTCCCTGGCGCTGAGGAGAAATGACCGCGATAGCTTTACTCGATAGATCGAATAAGCTACCCCCATCATAAACAACAACGTCTCTGTTGACTTCTCTCACACCAAGTAAGATATCGAGATTTCTCGAAGCTAACGCCAATACTTCGAGTCTATCCATGGATTTTAGAGCCTGAAAAGCAATCTTTCTTTCATTGAGACTGGTGATGCTCTCGAAAAAAGAAACCCGGCAATCTCTTACAGATGCAAGGTCAAAACGCATGATTTGCGCCATCTGAGGACCCTTCATTCCCATTCCGACAGTCACTCCATGCTTCAGGAGGGTAGACAATGTGGTATCATTCGTTACAGGTGGGCCGGCCAATCTAAAAAACCTTTCAATCAACGGTTACAATACTGAATGGCATTCCGTACATTCTCCGTCCGTCCCAGGTTGTCGGATATGGTTTCAACGAATTTAAGATAATACCGACACCCGAGTTACCTAAGAGGTCGTTTGTTTTATAAATACCAATGAAAAATACACCCACTGATTTCCGGCGCAAGAAGGTGGGCTTCTGTGGCTCCCGAAAACACCATCCTCATTCTAGACCCAATCCTGTCCTCCACTTCACCTTTGAGTAGCAGAAGTGTAGTCATGATATCAGCATTATTAACGTTGATCACCAATGGCACTTCTCCCTACAGAAGCTATTCAGAAACGAGATTCGAACAGGGCGCGCCGGAGCATTTTATTACCTCTGCCGCTCTTTTGAACCACAGACCTATGAGACATCAGTTGATACTGTGCAAGTCGGTGCTGTAGGAAGAACGTACCTGTTTCTGTATCCGTACTTTCCCAACCAAACAGCAGTCGCCGAAGAGCCGCGACTTGGTCACTGACTCCGACATGATCCTTTCCGACAGTGGGCATAGCTATTGAAATGTGGAGCGCAGTAACATCCTGTATTACAGCTCCGTATTGCATACTATGAGCCGATCCAGTTCGGAAAGTCGTTGACAGCCCTAAGACGACGCGAGGGTAGGCTCCTTGTGGTCCGGTCAAATAGGAAGTTGCAGCTGTTACCCCACTACGATATGCTACTCTACGACACCAACATCAAAAAATGTGAAAGCGGATATGAAGGGACTCGTACTTGGCATTCCGTGTTCCGAAAGTCAAGGCGTCTGCTGCCCGAGTTATGCCACCAACATCATGAAGAATCTGCGGAATATCGTCCATGAAAGGATTGTAAATCGTGTGACCACTTCCTGTGGATGGTTCGGAAGGTATCTCTTCCAGGCCAAGACTTGTACCGTATGCGTGCAGTCCAGGTGATATGGAACCCCCGTGAAGGTTAATGTAGTCGACTGCGTCATACTCACTAACCAAACACATATCATTGCCTCCGACGCATATAAGGCTCCCGCGTTCAACCACAACTCTGCCGCGTCCATTCATGTCGGGATCTGTAGGTGAAGGGAAAATCTCCTCAATGTCCCCATTAGAGCGACGCGTCCAAACTTCTTTGACATTGTAGAAGACGATCTTCCTGTCTTCTTTACGGTTACTCAAAGGGGGGAGTCCATCCCACACTGAAGCGGTAAGTCTTTCCTTATCCCAGTTGGGCGCTGTAGGCATTTTCCGTCTTTCGGGATTTGCAATATTCATTGCAGGCTTGTAAGCTGGAGAGGGGATTTGAAGGGCACCATCGATCCAAACCATCGCTGCAGTTGCTTCCACCCTCAAAGGATGTGAGTCCCACATAACGACGTCAGCATCCCATCCTTCTCGTAGTTTGCCGATCCTGTGTGAAAGACCCGCAATCATAGCAGGAACCGATGTGACCGACGCAAGGGCAAGGTGTGCAGGAAGGCCAAAATGATATGCTTGTTGCGCTTCAAACATAAGATCCCTAGAACTCATAGCCGGCTGTCCAGATTAGTTAGGTATCTACGCATTGCGCCGGGATACAGATACGCGTACCTGCATCGCAATGGATATGTTGGCTTCAGCCAACGTTCGAGGCGCAAACTCCGACCCTCGGAATGATTCACGTTTGGATCTATCAGTGCAATAGTTTCTGGGTTGTTCACAGATTCGGAAGCAGAGGTCAACTGACCTATGTTTAGTCGCGTAAAGAGAGACTGCTGGCGCTCCTCCCCATCTGTTGGTGTATCAGAGTTGAAATCGCCAGGCGATACCATTGCCGATAACTCACGTTTCGTTCAAAACACCGTTCGTAACAAGCCAGGCTTCTGAAGCTTGGTGAAAAACAGAGATAGGGAATTGAAATTCGTTTGACAGCTTGAAGCACTTCAATACATGAGTCTCTCTCTAGGCTTGGTGCTTACCCTAATCATGCTATCGATATCGACAGCTTCGTTACAGTGAACTGAAACCTGCCATCCGAGAGCTGAAGTCAGTGCATTCAAAATCACATCAGGAAGGTATGGATACCTTCACTTTGCCTCGTAGAACCTCGGTTAACAGTTCCCATTTCACACTCCGTGGAAATTCAGTAGGAAGGGACGCCCATAGACCTGCTTGAGCATCAGCGCAATATCCATCTTGAACTTTTTTGTGTTGAAGAGCCTCAATATATGCTGATCTCAAGGTCCACATCGTGTCCATGCGAGTCAAGTTGTATACTATCAGGTCTTCACCGCAGCCTTGACTAAGAAATGTCACTTGATGAAATACGCTGTCAGAAAATGTTAAAAAACTTACTGAAGATAGCGCCAGGGTACATACTTCCCCTCTTGCTTTGTTACATTCCAGAGGTCGGGAAGCTCAATGACCATCGAAGAGGGAGACCGCTTTGAGGTAGGTCGAGTCTTGATCATGAATGCCTCACCCGCTATTTAAGATAATAGCAATTATGCAAAATATAACGAGAAACAATGACTACATACCAATAGCGTTCAGATTCCCCGGGATCACCTTCACCGAAGTGACGCCGCCGGCGACTGCAAGCTTGAATCCATCGTCATGGGTGTTCAAAGCGTCGATGCTTCGCAACCAAGGAACTGTCGGTCCTTTTTTTGAGTTTGCGTCGGATGCGCCTGGCAAGTTAGCGTGATTAATAGAGATGCAATGGATATGATTACTTTCACCTACCCTCGGTCAGCGGAATACTCATGACACCAAGGTGGGAGTGAAGGTCGACTTCAACGGAAATCAACATCTCGGAAGTGTGAAAAACATGACAAGAGAACTTCACTTAATCCTGGGGTGACCCAAGCCCCATTGGCATAGACGACAGATATGTTCGAGTCTCCATAAGTGAGTGAAAGGTTCCCAATGGCTTTTACGATCCCCATATCTAATAGGATATCTGAGCGTGTCAAAACCACCTTTTCACCATCCGAGATTTCTCCCGTGAAGATCGTTGCATTCTTGATCAAAGTCGCATTAGTTCCTGGCTCGTACCTATCAGATGTATCTCGAGTGATAAAGTCTGACTCTACGACTCCCGGAACACTTTCTAGACTTGCGCATATCGACAGAATATTCCCTTGTTGCTTAGCAGACCAGAAGAGAGAGTCATGGTGTTTCGGCGACGCGAAGAAGCCAACATTGCTGACAAAAAGTCGTAGAGCGATTGTAGCAATACAAAAGGCCCAAAGGTGGGGAGAAGAAAAAGAAACCCAGGAGCGATTTGCGATGCTCTCTCGATTCTCAGACATGGTGGGCTATGACAAGATGTAAACTGGTCCTCATGGCACTATGTAGGTATGGTCGTGCTCATCGTCTCCCTTGTGACGTAAGTGATATGGCAGAGAGTGCATGTGAAGCAATTAATGATATTTGATAAATGCATGTAGATACTTTTCAAAGTTTGAATATTATAAAACACTGTATGATGATATGAATCTCACGTCAGCGTCTCTACTTCTTGGATGAAGCGCTTGGTCCCGCGACAGGCATGTCGCTTTGAGTATCGGTTTCGGCAATCGCGTTGGCGCTCGTAACCTTGCGTCCAGCACGCTTCTTTGTACCGCTAGTGATAGGTGCATTAACCTTCTTAGCTTTTAATATCTCCATGATTTCTGCTTGTGTTGAGACTGATGGAGCCAACAAGTAAACAGAAACTGACACACCTTGATGTGTCATAAACTCGTACCCTTTAACACCCCTTTTCATGGTCAGCCATCTTCGTTGTAGGATGTGGGGACTCCATAGGTTCCACTGGGGATCAGGTATTGTTTTCCAATCAATTTCACTGTCATCGAAGATCTGTAGGGAGTCAAGTCTACAAAGAAGTCATGTACCAAGGGAATATGAACTGATCTCACTGGGCTTACTTATGAACGAGGATGTACGAGTCTTGATTACCCCAACGAGGTTTTTGTCCCGCGTTTTTTGTACTTGGATTTAAACAGTCGGTCCTTGGAGGAACTTCAAACAAAGGCGGCATACTAGAATTAGAAGTCACACGCACCATTTAATGCGACACTGCTGACGACTTCGTTTCCCGCACATTCTTTGGCTGACAACGCCCCAAAAGACATCATTATCAGCATCGCGTCCTTGTTTCAGAGTTAAATCTGTGACAATTTTTGTGAGCTCCTCCTCTTCTTCTTTCGACCATTGCCCTGGAAAACTGTTAAATTTCCGTGTACACTCATCTTGGAAAAAACGCACCGTTCACTCTCAATTCCCGGTTTTGTATATGGTTTCGATAGCGGTCACGACAGTCCATGCCTCTGCGTCCGACGTCTAAACCAACTTTCTCCCAAGACTGACCATGATTTGCCACCGCTCTACCAGTAGTTCGTCAACAAGGCACATGAGGAAAAATGATACTCACTGTTTGAGCACCAGATCTTCTGCAGGTGTCCATCTTCCTTGCTGTTTAACTGGATGATGAGAACGTCGAACGTGATGATAAACAGCGATGATGGGTCTTTGAGGTACAGCAACGGCTATTTTCAATTAAAAACCATGAACTGGTGTCAGCGGAACCGACATACTGATTTCAGACCAGAACGCATTGTCTTTACTTTTCTCGTCTTTGGGAAATATGACTTCATACATTTGTTCTTCAGATAACGATTTGGACTGATCGTGACGGTTAAGTTATAATACGTGAGGCATGTGTATTCACATACGAGGCGATACTGCTCTATCGCAGAACTGAGTTGTTGCTCTTCGATGACAGAAAATTTTCCTTTCTTATAGATAAGACCTATCGATAAGTTAGAAGCTATAAACGGCTACGATTGTCAAAAATACCTTGAGAACTAGCGAGCTGATTTAATTGGCCGGCGCTTAACCATTTAGTAGCGAGCATATGGGCGTGGTCTTCACGAGTAAATTCATCGACTCCAGCTACCCTACGTTCAACTTCATGAGAGCCATCAGAAGACCTCAAAATGCTTTCTGAGGTGGCGGGAATCTGACCAACAGGTGTTGGCACGGAAGGAATGAGCACGGGTGGAACACCGAAAGGAACATTAGCAGCCGTCGCCGCCTCCTCTAGCGACTTGAGGACGTTCGCGATTTTAGATACATCAAGCTCCTGTAAAGCTCGAAGAACAAGGTCATTGGAGTTGGCATCAGAGAGCAGCGGATTTGAATGGGAAGTGTTTTGCAGATTGTCGGGAGATATAGCATCAGTGGCAAAACCAGAAGGGTGATAAGGAAGCGGTAAATGCGCAGCTTGGTCATCCTGAGGCGCAGTGCCGCTGGAAGCAGCTACCAGAGCAGATAAGAGCGCGTTTGCCATGAGCTGGGAAGCGGAGTCTGACTCTGATCCATGGTCTGAAATTGGCTCATTCGCGTCAAAAACGACGGTGCCATTAGAAACTCCATCCCTTTTCTGCATATCTTCGCCATGGGGATTCGCGCTCGACGTTCCAACACCTGCGACAGCATCACTGACAGTCGAATGGTGTTTCTTGCGTTTTTTCTTTTTCCGTGGTTTCAAAGTGGCGTCGACATTCGCAGGCTCTTCAGCAGGTCGGCCTTCATCTTCACGCTTGCGTTTCTTTTTCTTTTTGGAGGAGTCATGGTGTTTATGCGAGGAAAGGCTGGCTATAGGAGGAAACGACGATGTCCTGGACATGAGGGCTGGTCAGAAAATGATCCCAAAAAGACTTGTCACGTCTGTCATACATATGTGACATTGTGGCAGTGTGGAGTAAGGCTGGCCCCGCCTTACTGAAGCCCACTGCCTTTACAGGGCCGTACCCAACGAATCTATCATGACTTTCCGACCTCGGAACCCTTACTATCTGCGAATATCTGAAAGACATGTTCTGCCTCTCTATGTGAGTATTGTCTCCAGGACTCTATGAATCTGATCCTAATGTCGACAACAGCTTTATTTGGACGACCGCCATCTCGACTGGATGTCAGACAGGATTTTGCAACACGTATTAGAGGATCTTCGACCAATGTTCTTCCATTTTATGTTGTCACTGTGTTTCTGCCGTTGAACTTGAATTCAGCATTGTATCCAAACTGAGAACTGAATCAGAGTTACAAAGGGGATCTAATAAGAATGGAACGGTTGAAACGCACAGAGGAGGTAGGTCTCCACTCTCTTCAATCCTTATTGCTCATGTAGAAAGTGTATACAGAAGCATATCAATTCTGTTACTTCCTCCGTAAGGCTCAACCCCATTCAGTCCTTCTAAAAGTCAGTCCTCATATTTACGTGCTTCAGCATGGTCATCTTGACATCTATTAGTCACGAACTTTCATAACTGCTTCAAAGCAATTAACAGTCTCACTACCTGCGGCACCGCCGAGCCCTAAATCGCAGAAACGGAAGCCCAACACCAACACGGAGAAGTCGCGGAAAAAGCCAAAGACAAAAGGGAAAGGCAGAGCCAAGGATGACAACGATAACTACGATGAAGATGTCCGAGAAGAAGCAATGGAACGCCCTACTCGTCGTTCCCGTAGGAATAGACAAGTCGATGAAGATGTCGCTATGGATGAAGACAGCAATCATTCGCCGCCCGATTCTTTGTCATTAGAACTCGAAATCGGAGAAGAAGAAAAACCCAAACCGATGCTAAGGGTCGGGTACCAAGGTTTCGATATATCTGAGCTTTGTCTCTGCATTGTCGTAGAGCCTTGTCCTCCCATCCGAATGTCATCCATAGCTCCTCCATTCTTGCGCGCACGGTCACAAACTCCCGCCTTGACCGGAAATAGTATGCCTCCACCACCCGTGCCGGAGGCGAACACTGCGCGTCGTGAAAAGACGCCCCTGTTTCTCCCCGATGAACACGAGCGTGAGCGAAGAGAGACACCAGCACCGTTCCCAGGGAAGTACACTTCTGTGGCCCCTCCAAGCCATGGTGATGACGACGACGATGGATGGGGGATGATGGAGTTCAGCCAAGTTCTGAACGCGGTAGGAGATTCTCGCGCCGGAGCCATTGATGAAGATGAAGACATGGACGGCGCTGTATTTTTTGGTGATGCCGACGAAGTCAAGGAGCTGTGATTTATCTTTATTCCTATTGTATACTAGATTCTACTGTTTTAGATTTGCACGCACCCCTCTATCTCATGTTGTTACGTCCTCGTGAAGCTGAGCCTCCGTGTACTACACAAGTCCAAAACACCTTGATGTCTTCGACCGTCATGCTCTGCCAATTTCCCGCAATATTTCCAACTGGCGTGAAGGCGACACTTCTCGGAAGCCCGCGTTGGTCATCTCGAATTGCCCATGTCCTCCCGACAGAGCGCGAAGTCGATTATTGTAATCTAACATTCGGCTAAGAGGCGCTAGAGCGTGAATAGACCGTTTCAGCGACGAAGAGTTGCCTTTGAGTGCCGTTACATTAGATGCAGAAGGTGAGAGAAAGGTGGGTGGTATGTAAACACCATCAGTCGAATATGCTCGACCCTCCTCTTCTTCAGTCATCCCCGAACTCATATCAAGGAGCTCAGAGCCATGCTCTGTGAGATCTTTGGCCACCTTACCAAGAGTATCTTCGTTCACAGAAATTTTGAACCGCGTAAACGGTTCCATGATATGCCCCATACCCGCAGTACGGAGACGGTTCCGTAAAATCTTGGAACAGGCACCGCTTAGTAGACTGATCGAAGGGGGCTTGGTGTAGCTTTTAACCTGGATGTGGACATGCGACATCGGCAGTGATGAATGCGGGGAGTTGGACAAGCAACTGTCTATGCCGGCGGCAATGCACGATTCCTCGGTTTCTTTCATTCCGGTCTGGGGATACGCAATCGGCATGCCCTTTTGATTAAGTACAACGTTCCCGTCCCAGAGCGAATCCCCAACCTCCCCTTCTTCTAGAGGGCGTATATCAAAAGCTACTCTGACCTCGGTGCCAGCAACATTGGCGACTTCATCCCCTGGTCGGACTACTGAGTAACTGGGTCCAAGTGCTTCTCGATAGCTGACTCGGCGCTGACCAAACTCGAATCGCGCACCCCATTCATCTCGCAGACGGCCTTCAACGATTTCAAGGTGTAGAGCGCCCAAACCATGCACGAGCATCTGTCCCTCTTGGGTATCGACACGAACAGAGGGATCAGTGCGTGATATGGACTCCAGAGCCTCCATTACTGGGTCCAAATCAGAATGAGACTGGGGCACTACCGAGGCGGAGATGACGGAGGGAGGAGTCACAATAGTTGGAAGTATGTCCGAGTCATTGGCTACCTTTGCTCCAGTAGATATGAGAGTATCACCGGTACGCGTGAATCTAAGCCCAACAATAACGCCCACTGAACCAAACGGAAGTTCCTCGACATCCTGAGCTTCTGAGGCGTACAACAATTGGAGTTTCCCGACGCGCTCCCGTTCGTTGCGATTGGTGTTGAGAAGAACACTTTGCCGTTTCAGAATGCCTGTAAAATGGCGTTAGGACTGGGTATTTTTACCAGAACGCATAAGTATACCTGAATAAACTCTGATAAAAGTGAGCCACCCCTTCTTCTTATCCCACCCTACTTTCCAAGCAAGCACACGCACAGGTGTATTTATTGGAGGTGATGGACCACGAAGTACATCCAACGGACTGGCAAAGAGCTCTCCGATGTAGTCCATCACCAAATCCGTTCCTATGTTCTTTATGGCAGAGCCGCATAACACAGGTAGGATCTTGTTGCTGATAGATGCCTGTCGCAGATGGGGCATGATTTCATCACACTCTATGCCGGCGTATGCCATGGGGTCTGAGGGCAGGCCAATGAGTCTCTCCATCAATGGTTCAGAAAAATTTGAGAGGTTATCAAGGAGAGCCATACGGGCAGGAAGGAGTTCGGAAAGAAGCGGATGAGAAGGCGGAAGGATGTCAAATGCTTGAAACTCCTCTGTCGAGCGGGGCAGAGGATGGCGAGATGTTTGTTCATTCTCGTCCCATTTCCATACCTCCCATTTGACCAAATCGACCAGACCCTGTATACCAGGTTCTGCACGCGAGTAATCAGCAGATTCAAAGGACGCAATTGGTAGCGTCAAGGCAACTGGGAGAGAATGTAGTCGGTGTGTAAGTAACGAGGACAGAGAAGTGCTGAATGAAGCGCCAGGCCTGTCGAGTTTGTTTAGAAAAATCAATCTTGTCGCGACTTTATACCTGGATATGGCTTTCATGAGTATCCAGAGCCACGCTGAGGGTGCAACCACACCTGTCCAGTTGGCGCCAGACCCGTTTTGTTTGGGATTCGACACCTTCCACCGAATCGATAAGAACTACCGCACCATCCACAACCCTGCTCGCACTTTCTACTTCCATGCCAAAGTCTGCATGACCGGGGGTGTCAATGAGATTGAACGTCCATTTCTTCCACTTGACAGGGATACTAGCCGATTGAATGGTAATTCCTCTTTCTCGTTCAGCAGGTAAAAAGTCGGTTGTGGTGCTTCCAGTGTCCACTGACCCCGATGATGACAGGTACTCGGACTGCAACAAAATAGACTCGGTGAGGGTAGTTTTTCCGGAATCTTCACTTTGTTAGAATAGAGCACGTCTTTACCTTAAACACTCGTACCAATGTGAGCAACAAGAGCCATATTTCGTATATCGGCGGCTGCAGTCGTCACCATTCCGCGCCTGGAGAAACGGATCCATAATGTTCTGGCAGTTGACTGTGGCCAGAATCGAGCCAGCATGGAAGTCGGCCAACAAAGGCAAGCCAGTTGCCGATTTCGATTCCTTTTTGTTTTCTTTTGTCATGCATCCTTTTTGTCTATTCATCTCCCTCTTTTCCCTCTTTGACCATGGCAGACCCTGTGGATAGAATCGACTCTACAATACGCCAACGACAAGCAGCGGCAGATCACCCTTTAAATACTGTTCCTAGTAACATTAAACCGAATGGGCGAATTCCAAATACCCCGTTGGCTGCGTCTACCATCTCGTTTCTTCTCGGATCACTATTTTCGCTCGGAATGCTCACTTACGTGGTCGGCGGGTATGAATCTTATTGGTGGTCGACGTATCAGCTTGGACTCTTCATCGCGGCATGGTCAGCCTTTCACTGGGGCGAATTTGCCGTGACCGCTGGATGGAATCTCGAAAAGTGTAGTGTTGACTGTGAGTTGAGATTCTATCCCTATGTCATGTTCTCATCTTCCTCAGCCTTTCTCTTGGATAATGGCTCAATGTATCATATTGCCCACGGAACGGCACTGGTTGAATATTTCTTGACGTTGTACTTTAAACCATCCTGGAAATCGTATCCCCATGTCAGCACTGCCGGTCAGCACTTTTCCTTGCTGATTACCCCATTAATAATGCCTGTGTCCTCAGGTGTTGTTCTCGTCCTCGTGGGACAAGTGTTACGGTCAACAGCAATGATACATGCTACCACTAATTTTTCCCATATGGTTGCCTTCAAGAAACAAGACAGTCACGTATTGGTCACTGATGGTGTTTACGCGTAAGACTTTGCTTCGCTTTACACCATGTTATTAATGCTTGTGCAGATGGTTTCGTCATCCATCATACGCCGGATTCTTCTATTGGGCACTAGGAACGCAGCTAGTCCTTCAGAATCCGCTAAGCTTCGTCGGCTTCATCGTCGTTCTCTGGCGCTTTTTCTACTTCAGGACTAGAGGCAAGTCAGTTTCATTCCCAAACTCAGCTATGCATTAACCCCACCTCTAGCCGAAGAACGAGCATTAATCAAATTTTTCGGAGATGAATATGTCCAATACCGACGCTCTGTCGGTACTAAGATCCCATTTATACCATAGATTTTTATAGACAATAGTTCTTTGAATTTTATAAGTTCATTCGGTCATACCACGCACTCTTAGGAAAAAGAAATACTATATGCAGCATGTAGCCCGTCCATATTGCATAATGTCACAGTAGGGTTGACAAGGTGTGTAGGCATCAACTACTCATCAGTCTTGATTGCGCCCTTCTCCGACACGTAGATACCATCCAGGAACTTCCGAATATCCTTGTTCCGCACACGACAGATGCCATGGATAGATGCGGCTAAAGCGAAAGATAAGCGACAACGTCTGCACAACGAGACTAGTTAGAGCGCACCTGACTGGGAAACGTTGTCGATGTCATTGCCCTCCAGGATAAGCTCATCCTTCTGGGCTTTTGATTCTGCGACGAGGACACCATCCAACATGTTTACGTGTCGGACAGTCTTGAAGACGTTGAGCTGACGATGAATATTTTACTCCACAACAGACGAACCTTTTCGCCCAAAAAATTACGGATTTCCAATGCACGACCCGACTCCTGGATGATACAGTTGATAGGGAAATGAGCGTAGACAGAACGCATCTTGTATTGGAAGCCCTAGATGATGTTCAACTTCACTGTACAATATCGTGAACAAACCCGCCCACCTTTGTAACACCAGTAATCATGTTAGTAATGAGACTTTTGATTGTTCGCAGGCAAGCTACGTGCTTCCTGCCACCCTGCCACACTGCAAGGGTGACCTTTGTGGTCTTTCCCTTGATAAGCCGAATGTCCATGTCGACATGGCGTACATTCTTGGTTAATGTTCCCCGGGGCCCTTTGACTGTGATGAGGCGGGACTTGACGGATACGTCAATGCCCTCAGGGATGTCGAGCTCTTCTGTCTGGAGTACGTCCCGCATCTAGAAAACAAATAGTCAGCCAAAGGTCATCCGAATACCATCTCTTGCATCCAACACAAAATTCTGCAGGAAACGGGCAAGGGTGGTATCAAGAGAGTGCTAACACCAGTGGGAGTCGTGTAGAGATGGTCTTGAAGAAGTAGGATAGCAATACTCACCACTGAAGCGTAGTTTCTTGAAGCTGTCGAGGACCAATTGAAGATTTTTGCTGCCGGAAATCGGCGCGGGGATTCAAGCGGAGTTTTAAATGTGATCGTAAGAGTGGTGCGCTGTCGACACTCGTTAGTACCAAACCACCATCTTGATCATCGTTCGTCGCTGTCCGTGGCAGTGGGTGTAAGAGCCAGTATTTCATTACTTGAAGTCTTTTTACTCTTTATCGCATTTCGTGTCTGATCGCCGCGGGCGAGAGTCGAATCTGTTCTTAAGTCTAGCCATGTCGCTCTACCACCAGAGTTACTATGCCCAACCTGCCTATTCTACCCTTGCTTTCTCTCCTCCAGTCGTTGGGTACGGTGGACCAACATATCCTTATCCTTCGCCATTTCCGCCACCATCAGTCCACCATGTTGATCCAGTGTCTTTCCGCAAGGAATTCACAAATCGTCTTGCTGAATTATCGGTCAATTCTCGTCCTATCATCCAGGGACTTTCTATACTCGCACACGAGTACACCCGCTTTGCAGATATCGTCGCCCAGTGTCTCGAGAACCACATTCGAAGGGTGAGTCATCCTTTCATCATCGTTATCGCCAGCTGCCACTCGCCATCGCTGTGACCTATACCTCACGGTTGTTCGCCTACTATATGTGCGGTGTCGCTGTCATGTATATGTAGTTTAGTTACATTTTATTGAGTGAAACATCGCATAAGACTGTCTATAGGCGATATCGCACGATTTCCGTTGATTGTCTCAAAATTCTCCGTTCTTGTTTTTCGCATTCCGCGGATGGCTGACTAATCATTCAGGTGCCTCCATGGATGAAGCTCCCGGCCTTTTATCTCCTCGACATGATCTCCAAGAACATTTACGATCCCTATGCTCGCCACTTCGCCGCCTTCGTCGTCCCGTTGTTTCTAGAGACATATGGTGAAGTTGACCCACCGACGCGTAGCAAGATGGAAGAACTCGTTCTCACTTGGCGCTCCGGATCTCCCTCCGGCAAAGAACTGTTTGGTGTATCTTCGCAAGTGTCAATAGAGCGCGGAATATGGGGCGATGGAGCGACGAGCAGCAGCGTACGTTTCTATGCCAAACGCAGACCTCGTAAGACTAAAACAACAATTCAGTCTACGAGTTTCCGTGGTCCGACGCAAATAACGAAGTCGCAAGTCTTGAGCGAACTGGAATTTACTCTTGGTCAGAAGGAGCGTGCGCGGCAAGCAAACCCTTACGATCCTGCCAATCAACAACATATAGTTGTTCTTCAGCAAGTATGTTTCATATCAGTTCTTTCCCGACCCTGTGCTCACTGTCATTGTCAGCTTCGGAAGCTTGTTGAAACCGGTGTCTCCCAGCAAGAGCTTCAGCAGATCCTTGGTCAACTGCGAGTTCTTAGTCAAAGTACGAGCCCTCCTCCGCCTCCGGTTGCCCAGTGGCCTGTTCAAAGCGGCTTCTCTGGTCCCAGCCAGTCATATCCTCCGTCGACGGCACCACCAGCACCTGCGGATATAATGCCTGTCTTTCCACCCTTAGACGTTGCAGAGCCTAAGTCTTCTGTTCTATCCGTAGCGTCTATGTCGACGCCTGTAGCCAATACAAACATAGCTCCTGCAAACTATGCCGACCTTCTATCATCCTTACTCAAAGCTGGTGTCGTTTCGAACACAGGTACGCCACTAGGAGCCGGTACAACTGCCCAAGAAGCCAAGGCAGAGACTGATAATACCCGACGCCAAACGGAACGTTTGTATCGAGAGTCGGTCCTTGCATATGACGTTCAGTTAAGCACCAACGGGATAACAAAGTAAGCCTTTTGTAGCCGGATAATGCCATGATCACTCATTATGTCCATAGAATGCATTCGCCAATTCGTGATCTGTTGTACTCGAAGTTGTCCGCGCAGTGTAAACAATGTGGAATTCGCTTTGCTGATATTCCTGCGGGGAAAGAATCATTGCAGTCGCATTTAGACATGCATTTTAGACAGAATCGTAAAGCAAATCAGAATTTGGGTCGTGGTCACAGTAGAAGCTGGTTTGTTGCAGTGGAGGTGCGTATTTTGCGATCATGACATGCTGGTATAATAGACTTACTGGTCTCTTAGGATTGGATACATGATACGACTGATATTAAGGGCAAAGGTCATAGACGCTTGAACCCGACTGCTGCCGCTGCAGCTGAGAAACTTCAACGGGAAGCTGAACTACGACAACAATTTGTTGTTGTACCTCCTGGGGATGAGGCGAAAATAATTACCTGTCCGATTTGTAAGGAAAGTTTGAAATCTGAATTTTTGGAGGACGACGAGGAGTGGGTGTGGAAGAACGCTGTGATGAAAGAGGGTAGGGTGAGTTCTACCAATTCTTATCTCTCCAAGCCATGGACTGACCGTATGTTGCTCTATTAGGTGTACCATGCGACATGCCGCGCAGAAACACTATCTTCAAACAGTCTTGCAGCGAGGTTACGCACTGAGTTGGCGGTTAAGTTGCGTAGTCGTTCCGGGACTCCTGAAGCCCAAGCCCGGGCGTCGACGCCACCATCACAAAGTTCTACTCCCGTGTCGAAACTCGCGGGTTCAAAACGTAAGGTCGACGAGACACTGTCGACGACAGGTAACAACGAAGCCGAGGGTTCTCCACCTGCGAAGAAACTCGCCTCAACTGTGATATAAGCATAAGCATAAGGTTTTTTTTTTCCTTTTATTATAATTTAGTGTGGACATAAGCGCACATATTATATTATTTCATCCCCGAGATTCCTCTGCATTTTGTACACACATGCATTTCATTAGATACACTGGCAATACATTTTCTGAGCATTTCATCTCGTGTATATATGTAGCGTGGCAAATGGAACGGAATATTCGATTTTATACTTAGCCCAATACTAAGTGAGACTGTTACCCGACTTGGACAGCAACCATAAGGGAAGGCTCACGATTCATTGCACACACTTTGCATGTGAGTGTCTGCAATGACTTTCACTAACTTTCCTAGCGTGTATTCGTCGGATTCGGGCTTCTCTATTCTTCCAGGTGGGCGTTGAACTCCCAAAAGTCGCGTCTTATTCAACCTTTACCATAGTCCATACACATGTTGAAGATCCTTTGAACGATTTGACCTTACAGGCTTTCAATCAGTTTGTTAATGAAGATGTTGAGATGCAGGTAAGTCTGATACAAAGTATCTCTCATCAGATTCATCCCGGCAGATTGTTCCAGACTGACAACGCAGTTCAGGCACCTCTTTCAGAGAGCGGCGCATTCGTAGTGGTGGACACGAACATATTGCTACATGATTTTGATGTCCTGGTTCAATTCGTCGAAGACATTGAAAGAGAAAATGTTTCGGTAATTGTTATCATCCCTGGGGTGGTCATCCAGGAACTAGATGGGTGCGTTATGCTCTTATTTTGATGTCCTCTGCTGATGTTGGGCCTGAAGACACAAACACAATCAGTCATTGAGATGGTTTGCCAGACGATCTTCTACTTGGCTGTTGAAGAAGGTCCAGGAAAGGCGGTCCGTGAAAGGACAGGCGACTGAGGAGACTCTTAGACGATCAGGCAACTGGAGAGTCGCGCTGCGGGATGAGGTGATATCTTTACTGGACTGCCGCAAAGTTGGCTATAAACGTGTTCACAGGTCCAGAAAGATGGTGACAGAGGCAACGATGAGCTGATCGTCGATTGCTGCAAGTATTTCGCACTAATCCGCCGCACTGTCCTTTGGAGTGGCGACAAGAATCTTTGTATTGACGTGCATGCCGAAAGTGAGCAGCTCGTGTCCCGTTTTCTTACTATTTGCTCATCATATACCAAGGAACCATTGGCGCATTGTCTACTGATCATCGCCAATGGACAAGTCGCTATCTCATTGGTGTCATTTTTGAAAACACTCTCGACCCGAACAGATTCGCATCTGAGAAACCGACATATAAAAGAGACACGCGCATTGTCGAAGAAACGAGCCAGCTTCCAAGCCATACACGAGACCCTGACGGCATGGACATCGATGAAGAGGATGATGACGGTCTGGTCATCATTCGAACAGACGCTCGCGATCTCCTTCACGTCCAAGTTGTCAATCACTTCTCTATGCTGTTGGCTCAACTTGTTCTGCGCGTTGGGAATGCCGAAATACGCTCATACCAGCCACGCTCGGTGTCCAGATATGCTCCTGAATGGCAACAGAATAGGAAACCGATTGTGGATTGGAATGTTTCTGAGCTGTTGGAGTATCTGGATGGTAAGAAATGCCGCGAGGCTACGAACCCCAAACTGGAGTGGTTCCTGCAGCTTCCCCCTAGTTATCGACCAGACCCAAAAAGCAATGATTCACGTGGCTCGCGAAGAGGACAAGATTGGTCGCGAACAGACTGGTTGAATGCGCTTGGTAGTCTGAAGAAAATTGGGATTGACTGGGTAGATACTCCCATTCAAGAATCCCTGGCTATGTTAGAGCGAGAATTATCATTCGTGTTTTCACAGGGGATGGTAATCATATGAGCAGTTCTGGTACATACATTTATTAAACTGTTAGGCTATCTGGCATACATTGTGTGGCTGGAAACAAGCTGGATAACGCTGGATTTGTCTCGACACAGTAAATGTCAATTACCGGATAAAGATGCTTACACTCGGGGCAGGTACCCGTCGTAGAAGCTTACGCAAGATGCGGCTATGCTATCCGAATGCGAGCGGTTCATTTTGTATAGAAGGGCCCTCTTCTCCTCCCATCATCATTTCCATGGCACGTCGTCGTCCCCTGTGCATATTTCTCTCTCTCCTGGGCCTTTTTCTGCTTGGCACAGTCATCGTTCTCTCTTCTATAACGTACTACCTTTCCATTGACCCTAATGCCTATCTTTCCGAAGACCAGGTACCCATCCTTGGGCGCTACGACCGGTGGAATGCCTCAGAGTACGGCCAGGTTGAACGTATCCCACGAATCCTCCACCAGACATGGCGGACGGAGACCCTTCCCGAGAAATGGAGGCCAGTTTCTCAAGAATGTCGGGATCTGATGCCAGATTAGTGCGTCATCGTTTTGCACAAACTCTTTTATTTGACTAACGGTTCTTTCAGTGAATACAAACTCTGGACTGATGACGGCTCTCGCGATTTCATATCAGAATATTATCCTTGGTTTTTGGACACATTCAACGATTACCGATATCCTATACAGCGAGCAGACGCCATTCGCTATTTCATTCTTCATCACTACGGTGGTGTCTACTTGGACCTTGACATTGGATGTAAACGACGTTTAGACCCCCTTCTGGCTTATCCTGTCATCCTTCCAAAAACAATTCCCGTGGGCATCTCGAACGACCTCATTTTCTCCGAAAAAGGACATCCATTCATGGCGCAGGTTATTCACAGTCTCGTCACCTTTGACCACTCCTGGGTACTCAACTATCCAACCGTAATGTTCTCCACAGGACCCATGTTCCTGTCAGCGCAATACAGTATTTTCACCTCATCTCACGCCAGTGCCGCCAGTGATCCCATCCGTGTTCTCCCAAAGGCATTGTATGGAAAAAATGCAAAGGAGGGAGAGGCACCACATTCCTTCTTTTCGCATTTCTATGGAAGCAGCTGGCATGCTGATGATGCTGCTTTCATCGGTTTCCTTGGCCATTGGGGCAAAGTATTAATGTGGATTGGATTGATTGTCCTGCTATTGGGATTGCTCTTCACCGCGTTCCCCGGTAAACAGCGCAGATACAGCTTGCGTCGTATTGGGGGGTACGAGGTTCTCCTTCCACGCTGGTCTTCAGGGACAGGCCACTGGCATTTCGGTTCTTCATCTTCGTCATCATCCGACAGTGATAGCGACGCCCCCATCGACCAAGATGTTCCCGTTTTGCAGCTCCCATTTAACGTTCGACCGAGTTCCCCAATGTCATCAGATATATCTACAGAGCCATATGCTGGCCGTCCGTCTAGTCCTTTGGTTGACGCTTTCCAGCGGTTGCGCAACAGAGTAGCGGCACTGGCCAGTCCGCGAGAAGATTTCCCCCGAACCCCAGTCCGCAACAGGCGTCAGCGTTACAGCCGTGGTGTCCTATTCTTCCTTCCCGCGATATTCACGCAGTCACAAGATGTTGAGCTTGGTCCTGCCCCTGCATATTCAGATCCACAGGTGCCGCTGCTACCTCGGCCTTCCTCGCGCAATGGTATTCAGCCACCAGACAAGCTCCATCAGGAGGACTCTCGATCGGGCATTATCGAGGCCCGGGGTCCGCTACCAGAAGGAACTTCCGGCTCGAGGTCGCCGGTCGAGAATAACACCCTTATAGACTTTGGTCGCGACTCCCGCCCATCTTCGTCATCGCAGCATACGCGGTCTCGCAGCTCACCGCATCGAGAATCATAGGAATTTCACGGCCTATACCTTATATTTATCCGACGACTGCTTCAGATGGGGGAGTGATTTTATTGCACAGTATACCCATTTCATATCCTACGGCATTGGCTCCGTGTACCAATTATTCCAACTCCTCCTGTTCAGTCAAGTTTATATTTAGCGGCTAGACTTAGGTAGCAGGGGACATACGATAGAACACTATGCTGGTTACAAGAGTTGTCACTAGAGCGCGATAAATAACCCTTCCTTTCCTTTGGCTTTTTTCAGGCCTGGGCCGGCTTTGCGATACGTTTCATACCAGAACTAAGGACGAGCATTGCAATAGCACTGCCAGCGTACGTGTACGATGGACCGACGGTCCAGTAGGAAGCACATGCTGCGAATGAAGTTCATGTCAATATGTATTATCTCCTCAGTTAGCTGGATTCTCACCAAGAAGAGGTCCCACTGCCCGACCAAGCTGTCCGGATGATCTGAAATTTCCCAAAGCCTTGCCCTTTGCAAGCTGAGGGTGCTCTTTAACATTTTTGCCAGTAACAGGGTCGAATCCTCCTTCGTCGCATTGTAACGAAGCGAATGCAGTCAGAGAGTTCACCACAGTCGCAGATGTGAACGCCATGCAAACCGCCGCACCCTGCAACAACTTATGTGCCAGCACGGGATTCGATACAACGAACTGGGGAAGCAGAGCTAGGAGGACAAGCCCAACAGCGCAGCTTGAAACTCCTCGTTGAGCCATCACTCCTTCGCCTACTTTCGAAGTAGCCCGTCGGACGTATCCACCCTGAAGCAATGCACTGATAATCCCAATGGAGCCAATAAGCATGCCGTTTTGTTTGTTGTTCCAATCGAACACTAAATAACATATAATGAATGCATTACTATATGCTTTCAGCCTGATTATGCAACTTACGATCGAATGTCAAGAAGGTAAGGGTGAATTCGACCCCCGAAAAGAGTCCTAAGAATAAGAGATGGAAGTGACGTAGAGACTGTAGTGTGGCCAAACGTCTTTCGATACTAGCTTTCTTGGATACGGAAGGTTTCCCGTCAGGCGGTTTGCCATTGGGAAATGCTGCTTTCTCTTCAGTACTCAGCCGAAGGCCTTTTCCACGAGTCTCGGGTAAAGCAATGGCCAAGAAAGCAGTCTCTACCGTTAGTAGTATCAACGTGAGAATTGCAGGAACCGCAAAGATATTTAGGTCGCCAATCAGGGTGTTGGCGGAGAGGGATGGTGGCAGCGGCTTGGACGCAAAGTACGCTCCTATGGGAGGGCCGATACAGAAGCAAATGGCGAAGGCTATGCCGACGTGAGCAAGTGCCCTTGAACGATTGGTTGGGGTGGTTATATCAGAGAGAATTGCACTGCAAATTATGATCAACTTATAATCAAGACGATCTAGGGGATGATGAACAAACATTGCTAGTTGAACATTTCCCTCACTTAAGCCGCCAATGACTCTTGAGAGCATGTACGATGCAAAGGTAGTCGACTTGATCCATCTGTGAACTGTATCAGCATTCATTGGTTCTGCACTCGGTGAACGACTTGCTCACACGAGGGCCGATAGAAGGTTTCCAATCATAGTAAGCAATAGAATGCGCTTTCTGCCATACTTGTCTGATAGGGATCCAATCCTCGGTGAAACTATGAATTGAAGTGTTCTAACACTCGCTTGAGTTACGGGCAGGAAATATCGACAACAAAGAGACGCACGAGAATGCAGAGCCCATGAGACCACCTGAACGGTCATTAGAGACATCCCTGCAAAATCGACGCGTTTACACACCTAGCAATACCACGTCCCATCTCCCAGAATGCGCGGTGACAGCTGGATTGTACAAAAAACTCCGGATGTACGAAACGAAACCCAGCGTTCGTGAAAGAAAGCCATTGGCATCAGATATCTCTCGCTGCAGTGGCTGCGTTAACGGAAGAATTACAAGTATTGCAAGACCTTACCAATGTATACCATTCAATTAACCGAGGAAACAAGGGTAGCGGAATGGTGAATGCAAAGAGGTCGAGAACAAGCGAAAGAAAAACGACTGTTTCAATCTTGGCCATTGGCGCTGGTGGTGGCCGAAGAAGAATGAAAGACAAGAAAGAAAAAGGTCGGTTTATTATTACAGTCGACGTGGAAGCTATGTCAACTCCGGCTATTGATCGCCGGCAAAGGATACAACGGCAATCGCGAGTACCAGATACGTTAATAAATTTACTCTTCGGCTATCTCTTCGTCTTCAATTGCAACATCAGCCGCTTCCCCTTCTCCTGTTCCTCGGAACTTTTGGTCTTCAGACGTAGCAGTCAAGCCTGTCTGAAAATGAGAGCTCGTCTCTGTTTTAGTGATCTCCCTAAGGGCCATGGTAGCATAGGCTGCCGTTCCAAGCGTTAGCTGTATTTGGAGGGCCATAAACTTGCCGTCCTCAACAGTAACTGGAGCATCAAATCCAAGCAGCTTGTCCTCATCTGCCTGCGCAAGTGGAACATCTGGGTCCGTGTATCGCAGCACAGACCAGGACATTTCTTTCGGAAGGTGCAGAATCTTTCTATACGATCCGTTGAGCGTGTAGATCCTAGATGTCCAAGGCATTAGATAGAATTTGGCTGCAAGATACCCACAGTTGCTTTACCTTTGCTTCCTAACAAAATTGTCGGCATCGAGGCCATCCATCTGAAGAAACTCCCGGTATCTTGCCCCCAGTTTTCCGCCCGGGTAGGCAACGTCAGTGCCCGGTAGAGGCATAATAACGTCGAAGATGGTGTACTTGTAGACGTCCCCTTCTGTAAGGGTTTTTACTACTGGAGCAACATAAGGCTTCCTCGCCTTCTTCCAACCCCGAGATGAGGTAGGTTCTTCTGCTAAGGCGTGAATCCCGTTGAAAATCTGTACGAATTGAAAAATGACTTTACCTCGTTCTTCTTCTTTCTCTGCGCCAGGTTCGTCGGCATTGTTATTCATTTCTGCATCCGCGCTCGAGGTATCGAATACCAGATCACCAGGGACGGGCTTGTCCGCTCCATATGTTCGTATACGTTCCGAGACAATGGCATTCCACACGTATGACTGATATGCATGAACGTACATTAGACGAAGATTCTTGGGAATCTGTTGGTCCATCAGTATACAGGACGCATATATATATTCTTTGGCTTACTGTATCTAATGCACCCATGGCATTCCTAGTATCACCTTTTTGAGTCTTGAAGCTTTCTAGTAGACACCGTTCGGCGACAACCCGTCTCGGCATGAGTTCAAGAGCTTTGTCCAAGTCATGGTCGACGAGCCAAGCATTGCGGGCAGCTTCAACGTCAGGATGTTCACCATGCCGAGGCTGGAGGATGAGGGATACGGCTTTCTGCCAATTGGATTGCAGTAGTGCGAGTCCAATGGCATGTGTAGGTACCGATGCCGTCCCAAAGCGCTGCATACCTATCATTTTGTGAGTCCGGCAGTCTCTTCTTCTATTCAGTGCCTAAAAAAAGAAATAATCACCGTAGTAATTGATGAACCCTTTGTTCTTGATGACATTCAGTGCTTCATTCATGCTTTGCTCAGATTCGATGCGGACATTCCTATGGTATGTGTGGAATCAAAGTGTCATTGACGTAGCCACGGAGCGGACATACCGCAGTGTGATTAGGAATGCGTTACCCTTCAACATCCCTAATTCCAAAGCAGCTTTGCGATAGTTGAAGTCTGAAATCCTCAGTCCCCTTTCACCACGGTACTTGAGAGCATCTTCAATTGTCCTACGCCCAGTGAGACCATTGGCAAGCTTCCACACATCTTCGACCTTTTTGCTGCCTCTCTTAAGCGACACCCGCTGGATGGTCACACCACGCTTGTCTTTCGTACCTGCGACGGAAAGATCTTTCACACTGACATGCAAGGAACGAGAAAGGTGGCCAAGAGCATCCTGAGTGTCGCGATTGGTCTTCTGGAGCGTGAAGTGAATATAAGGAGGGTATGTCCCTCGCGGAGCTCGTTCTCCTCGACCTCCTGGAACAATGTGAACAAAGGGCAGCCCTATTGGGTGTGAAATAGCTTATCCCTACCTCCGCGACCTCCACGACCTCCGCGGCTCTTCGACCATTTAATAATAATTCTTGATCCTGAGTCAGTATCAGGAGCGGTAGCATCCGTCTCACTGTCAAGCTTTCCATTGAAAAGTTCGCGAATGGCTTGATGTAATCCAGTTCTAGTAGCCTTTGAAGCAATCGGCTACATTGAAGGTTCTGAGTTATGTTGCAATGGAGAAAGTATGAACATGACGGGATACAGACGTCCGACAAGACTCTCCTCGTATCTTCTCTTCCACTTCCACTTCCGCCTCCACGTCCACGTCTACCACGACCGCCTCTACCGCCTCTGCCTCCGCGTTTGCCGCGAAGGGAGGGTTCTGGCTCTTCAAATTCTGGTTCTAGTGCAGAGTCAGAATTGGTCACGGTCTTGGCTCCGTCTTCAGTCGATTTGGGAACTCGGCCAGCCCAACCTGAGTCGCTGACACGGGGTGGCTCTGGTCCCTGTAGATACATTTCTTTCACTTCAGTAATCGCGCTTCCCGAGAGGAAGGCAGAGAGGCGTGTTGTGAACGATTCGGGCCAAGGCTCGTCGGAGGAGGTTTCGGAAGGATTTTCCTCCAATTTTTCGTCCTTAGCCTTCGCAGCAGGTTCCTCACTTACTACCTTATCTTCATCGGTAGCCGGCTCTCCCATCTGAACGTCCTCTGAAAATAGCTGCTTGACCGGTGTCGATTCGGTTGGCGCAGATTCGGGTTTGGATTCAGGCTTGTCGAGCGATTTTAGGTGGATTACTTTACTGTCCTGGTCAACTTCGAAGACCAAGAAGTCAGTGAACCTATCATTATTTATCAGTATGACATTTTTCTGAGTAGTGGATAGAACACGGACTAACCTCTGCTTGATGATACCCTCAATTTTTGGTATACCATGCCCCACGTACTCCGAAATTCCAACATCTTTTTCCAGAAAGCTCATCGCGCCTTGCTCAGTAGCAACGGGAAGAGGAACGCCCAGAAGTGCATGACTGGGAGGTAAAATATGTTCATGCTTTTCTTCGACAGTTGTGGCATCCCCTTCAACATTATCTGTCACTGCGTCGTCCAGCTTTGTACGCTTTGAGGACCGTTCAAAATCCTCGTTATCGTCCTCACGCTCGCGGACCGCCGCGGCAGATGCAGACATGGTAGACCGGAAGAGAAAAACGGTATCCTAAATCGGGTTGCAACCTCTTGAACTATTACCATCATGTTCCGCCGGACTTACGGTCAACGGGCCACAAAGCATGGCAATCCTGCAGCAAGGCTTCTCCTCGATACGATGGAGAGAAAAAAATCCAACCTCGCTGTCAGTGTCGATGTAATCAAATCCAAGGACTTCCTCGCCATCGTGGATGCTGTCGGTCCTTTTGTTTGTCTGATAAAGGCATCGATTTCTTCAACAATTTTGTATCTATTCTCATCTTGAAATTCAAGACTCATATCGACATTATCGAAGATTTTGGGCCACCTCTTATCGATGAGCTTCAAGCCTTGAGCTCGAAACACGATTTTGTGATATTCGAAGACAGAAAGTTCGCTGATATAGGTAAGTTAAATTGCAATTTCCAGGAGCAAAGGGCTAATGTCAATCTCCAGGAAACACCGTTGCTCTACAATATTCTAGTGGCGTACACAAAATCGCGAGCTGGTCTCATATCACCAATGCCCACCCAGTACCTGGACCATCCATCATCACTGGTCTTTCATCCGTTGGTCTACCTTTGGGTCGAGGCCTTTTGCTTCTGGCGGAAATGAGCACCAAGGGCTCGCTCGCTACAGGGAGCTATACCAAAGATGCCGTACGTATGGCACGAGCACACCGCGATTTTGTTATTGGTTTCATCGCACAGCGACGGATGGATGGAATTGGTGCCTACGAGAATGATTTCACTGAGGATGAAGATTTTCTTGTTTTGACACCCGGCGTCGGATTGGATACGAAGGGTGACTCGATGGGCCAACAATACAGAACCCCTCGAGAAATTGTTTTCGGGTCAGGATGCGATGTGATTATCGTCGGCCGAGGCGTCTATGGCAAAGACTATCATTTGACTGAAAAAATTGCCGAGCAAGCGAAACGATACCGGGAAGAAGGTTGGGCGGCTTATCTGGAGCGAACGATTGCCCTGTAACGAAAGCCGAACAGGACGATGGTACAGAGTAGGAATGGTATGAATGATTTACATAGATGATGCCGATAAGAATAAATGTAAGTCCCACGCCGTACTCTCTTCGATATAAGTCTCTAACCAAGTCCCCAGCACCGCCTATTTATACTGTCCTAGATGTGCGTATCCTTCTGTCATATGTGCTCAATCCCGAGCCTCCTATAGATGCAACATATGTGATGTGGCGACGCAGAATGCTTTGGTGTTCAAAGTGCTTGTGCCCTTAACAACTTCTTCAACCTGAAAACCCTGGAGAATGCTGATTTCCTCTGCTGCTCATATGCATCCTCCTGGTACGTATTCGATGGGCGCAAGATGCCGCGAAAGTCTTCGTACATGATATATGTCTCTCGTGGAGATTGGTTTGGGATGAAGAGGGTGAATGCATTGGCAGACGGCATCGACGTCGCTAAGAATGAGAATGGGTTGAACGAGGAAGACATTGGATAGTGGATTGCAGGGTGGTGATCGGCGGTGCTACTGCTGAAGCTGGATGTTGATCCTGGGTTCCCTTATATATGTTGGAAGCGAATTTCAACCAATTCTCAGAAGCTACACTCATTTTCCTAGTGGAGCAAGTATTGTCAGTGACCCACAAGGCCAAATGCTAGCAAATGGAGTGTCCAGGAGGCATTTACTATGGCAACGAGCCAATCCCGATTCCACGTGGACCCCACACTGCAAAATAATCTACAAATCCGGCATTCCAGCTGAATTCGGATGAAGAGCAAGCTCTTGTTTCTCTCCTCCGTCCGTCGCTAGGCCTTGTACATTGTATCATTTTGAGCTCATCCTTTCAAGTGATCGGATTCCGGTAGTGACGGGCTTTTGGATCTGAAGAAGCGATAAGAATGAGATCTTCCTCGCGGTTATATAGCCTTTCCTTCTTGTTCTCTAAGCGGTATCATTCAAACTTGAGACCCATGTTCCCCTCTGGCGCTCCCTCAATGGCTGTGAATCCCAGTCTTTTGTAAAACTTCCTAGCATCCTCATTTCTAGGATCCAGCCCCAACCATACCCCACCACCATCTATGTTCTCGCCCTTCAGGTAATCCACTGCCTTTTGCATAAGCTTCCTTCCCCACCCTTGGTTCTGGTACTCTGGTAAAATGTCGATATGAAGATGGGCAGAAGCAAAGGCAATATTGGCAGCAGGCGCCGTGTGCATGTTCCTCAGCAGTTGCATGTATCTTACATCGGCAGGTTTCGTAGCCGATGCGGGTGGGTATTTCTCTGCAAGGGCAGGCCACCAATGTTCAGCAGCATATTGCTCATACGCACGGGTATCCTTGGAACCGAGGATGTATCCCACGACCTCGTGTGTCCCATCGACCAGAACGAAGCCCCAGGCGGTTGGGAGCTTGACGTATGGGATGGCATACACAAGACCCGGCAGTTCGCCAAAGTCATGGAGATACTCTGCTGGTTTCCCTGCATCTGCGGTGAGAAGACAGATGCGAGATAAAGCAGCTTCGTCGGCTTCCGTAGCTCTGCGAATGACGATCGAAGCCATATCCTTGTTTCTTTCTTGAACAAGGTCACTAAGGCAGCCTGAAGAAGATTTCCCAGACGAAGCCTGGAAATTGATATAATATACTAAGCAGGTGACCAACAACACATATATATTTACAACTAGAGACAGTCCACCAATAAGGATAGTACCAGAAACTACAACTCTTCATTGGAGAAAACTACAATAATCCTGCTGCTCTAAGATCATCCTGCAATCTTCTCTCGCTTTCCAATGCTTCGCGAATTCTCTGAGCACGGTTGGGGTCGTCTGCAGGAATATCCAGCAGGGCAGCCAATTCTTCCTCTGCTCGGCCTTCTTCAGCCTGGGACTGTCCTCCCGAATCAGTTTCCTCCTCATGGCTTCTCCCGAATCCGAAACCTTGACGCAGGATATCGCCGCCGCCGCTTGTCAGGCGATGCAGACCAAACGCCCTCTCGAATTGGGACATGGCACGCTGCTGAGGATCCTGATTGATGTTGGTATTCGTATTAGTGTGCTGTTGTGTGGCTAGAATCCCACGCTCCCAGCGTTTAACACGCCAGAAGCCCAGGAGAGAAGTCAGTAGGATGAACCACCCTAATCAATAGTAAGCAAGCGAACAAAAAAATGACATAAACACGAACCAACTGTCATAAGGAAGAAGGAAAGCCACTCTGTCGTGGCATCCGCAACGAGCATGCTTGCCTGCTCATCCGTGAGAGTGGAAGGATTGCCCTCCATGCCATTCATCATACCAGAGACAGTAGAGTTTTGTTCCTGGTCATGATGGCTGTAGTACGCGTCAGCCTCTGCGGCTGTCGCCATGGTCGGTGCCGGCTCGTCTGCTCGCCACTGGCCCCATCCACCTTCGCCGTCGGTTGAGTCTAGGCGGCCACGCAGGGCAAAGCCATATTGTATAAGCGTGACACCGAGTCCGGCACGCGAACCAAGACGGGCGGCATGAGTCGTGTGTAGGAGATACGTCAAGAGAAAGCCCACGAATTGGAATGAGATCGACACAAGCATGTTCCAGAGGAACGAGAAGAGTGATCCCGTGGGAAGTGCATCGATGATCATTTCGCCAAGCGAGTCGGAAGAGAGGGGAGCATGGACGGTGGTTTCCCAGTATGGGGGGACAGCGTCTGCCTGGGCAGATGCATACGATGGCGGAGCTTCTGGACGCGCGTCTTCAGAGACTATCAATATTTCGTCACCTGAAAAGTAGTCAATGATAAACATCAAGAAAAGAGTAGAAAAGAACATACCTTGTTGTACCCTCATTGCTCTAGACGGTTTCGCGGTGACATTCGCAAACACGCCGTCATTACTGGTCCCTCCACCGAACACACCCTCTGGGTGTTGGGGGCTCCGATTGACGTAATGCGAAGGTAAAATGGCCCCGACAGTTCGTTTGAACCATCCCTGCCGTGATAAAGGTTCTCGAAGGCTACCGATATTGAAAGACGGTATGAGTCCGTTGGAATTACCGAAGTTATTGGGAAGCGCAGTCGATGAGAGCGGCGGTGGCGACCCTGGCGGTGGGTAGTCATAATCTACATTTTCGAAATCATACGATCCTGGTATGGGAGAGGCTGTAGCTGGCTGAGGAGCGGTAACAGCTGAACGGTAAGTGACATTCAAAGGCTGGGATTCCGTGGCGTCTTCATCGTCCGAGTCGTCAAAGGCGGCTTCCATCTCATGCTGTGCATCGCGGTCTGATCTGGGATTTGGGAGAGGCGCATACCGGTTAGACATAGATTACAGAGGAAAACAGAGACAGAAAGAGTGGCTAGCTGGTTGCAACAAGAAAATAACTGAGTAGTAAGGCTTGTGGAACGGTGCTGCAAAGGGTGCAAAGTGCAAATTGGAATCCGAATCGTAAGCGACAGCTCATCACGTGCGTGGAAGTGCCAGGCGGGAAAACCCGTGTACGACTAAAACGTACCCAGTTGCGGCCAGGAATGCAGCCAAACCTTGCATTTTTCTGGCTTGACTTTATTCACTTGTTTGAAAAGAAAACAAATGTCAGTACGAGGCATTTCAGGATGCCCGAGATGAAAACATCTCAGTGGCCAAAGCATCAGATGCAACTATTTCACGTCGTCTGTTGTTCAACCAATGCACGATGTTGGCTATGACTGATAAAGAACGATGTTATTCTATGCGAAACATTGTAATGAGTAAGTTTAGTATATGCCAATGTCTGTTATCTGCTAAGATGCAAAGGTTCAAGGGAGATTTGACGGAAGCAAGCTCATTTCCTTGTTTTGTAGGATTCCTCTGGAATATATGTTCAGAACTTCGCAGCAATGATGGGATGGCATGTAGTAGTTGAGAAGACAGCAAAACTCACGGTTTGATAAAATGAAATGGAAACTGACGACCCGACAATCATTCGTCAGGACTCTGGCTCCAATATGGAGCTTGCGTTTGCAGCGGAGGAATAGGCTGAGAAGGGATGACAGACAAATCTTCCCATTGAGATCCATCAGCGTCATCCGACCATTCGGGAGGTTTGGCTTGGATTGAACTAGGGCAGATTTCTGCTGACGATGAGGTAGGTGATGCAGTGTGCGATAGGGGTGACCTTGCCGCAACTGATGTTTTAGAGCTGCGAGATCTCTTTCTGGGCGTTCGTGTTTGGTACCAGCTTTGAGTGGGACGGTGGAAAGATATGGTGTCAGAAGGTGACACCGGACTGTTTGGACCTGTATCTGATGTGGGCGACTGCGGTAAGTGAGAATGGGAAGAGGACGGATGGTCTGTACGATCATTCACGGACGACCAACACAGCTCATTGGCATAGGTTAAGGAGCTAGGTCTTGCTGGTATCGGCCCCGTCCCTTGCGGTACAAAATCTATTTCCTCAGGATCATCCAAGTCATCGGATTTGGACTTTTCATCTTGCGTTAATTGCTGTTCGACTGCGTCACAAGACTCTGAGGATGATGCAGAGCCTTGCGATGATTGAGAGCTCCGAGACTTGGGAGTAACAGCATCTTCAATCATGGAACTGAAAGTAGGTGAGACAGGAATTTGTTGTACAGCAGGAGAGGGTGATGGGGATGATAGCGCAGCAAAAGATCGATACTCGTCATAGGACTGCGGAAAGAGAAATGTGGCTGGAGGAAGGGGAGATAGATTTGGAGGTGTCGACGCGGGGGGTGACGGTAATGACGAGCTGATGGTAAGGTCCAGATGACGATTGGCTGGAGGGCCAAAATTTGAAGACCAAATGGAGGATACACAAAAATCAAAGAGACATATCATCAGCTTTGGAAAAGCATGAACGAGAATTTAAAAGAATAGGAAGAAATAAGCTTACCTATTGCGTTCTCGCGACTTCTGCCACCACTATTCCCTGCGCGAGGAAAGTTCAAACTCTCCCCTTCTCCCTCCTCTACTTTCCTCGAGAGACTATATTCTCTTCGTGAACAAGGGACTGAGTTTTGTACGTGATCATCAAGGACATGATGGACGAGTTCATTCTTTGAGAGGAATGTGTTACTGCACCACTTCCATCGACAGATGTGCAAGTCCACAGACTGGGACTCCGAGAAATTGGCCTGGGACATCGCAGTGACTAGAGCGTGTAGTAGACAAAGGTTGTGCGACACATTTTGTGACAATGTCATGTGATGTGACATATAAGTAATCCGGGCCGGGATAATCCGGATGATAGTCTACCATTCATGTCGAGCTTAACCAGTGCGTTCAACGAGAGAGAAATTCTTTCATTCATTGTGCTTCCTTTAGATGGAACCTACCATCCATCTCCAACTGCAGAGCCCATCAATTTTCTGAAACGGCATCTACACCATCTACCTCCACATCTTCTAACCCAATTTTCATTTGTCACAACTCCGAAGCAACGCGCTGTCATACCTACTGTACGGAATAGGCGATTGAAATATGCTGAATCTAACCCTACCGATCTCTCATTCACTACTGCTCGGAGTACTTGGCCAACTCTCTGGGAAGGGAGAGAGGGGCGTGGCGTAGAGGAAGGAAAGGAGGAAAAGGAATGGGCTCAGCAAGAATTTTTGGATGGTTTGACAAAGCATGTTGGAAAGCTGGGTGATCTACTTGGTGGGTATGAGGAGGAAAGAGAAGCTGAGCGTGTCAGGAGCTTAAGGCGGGAGGAGGCAGGGAAGGAGGAATTTATTCCGGAAGAAGATGAGAGCGATAGCGACGAAGATGAATCAGAGCAAGTGTCAAACGCACTAGCCAACCTAGAATTCGAGGCAGAAGAGGATCAAAAGATATTGTTCCTGAGGAGAGTCAAAGAGCGATTGATCTATGGCTTGCTAGAGGTATAGTCCTTCATTCGTGTTCAAATTCGTACTAAAGGAAACTCAGAACATGGATTATGACGCCGTTGATTGGGATGAATCTCTAGATACAGAAAATGACAGAGAAGCTGAGGAACGGTGGTTCGACGACGAGGAAGAAGATTAAGTAGCCTCAGTATTCGTTAGTAGAAGACATTATACGTTTACGTAGTTCACGTTGCGGAATAGAATGGTCTTCCTTACTGAATGAAGCTGGGGTTCTAGCCCAGAGAGCATATCGACCAACATTTGATATATCATTTCATTCCGCGTACATTGCAAAATCTGTCAAAATTCACCCCCAGGGTTGGACAAGTCTGAACCTTCTTTTAAGTACCGAATCAAAACCTAATTATCTTCCAGTGAAACGTCGGGTCCTGATATAATGGCCTTGATAACACCTTTACCGTCAGCACTCTTTCCGGCTTTGGTCGTATTGAATGCAACGAGGGCATCTTGGAAAGGGAATCTGAAACATAGGGTTGGGACATTCAAAAAAACAATTCAGTGTCAGTAGGACACACCTGTGTGTCACCAGAGGCTTCAAGTCAATTTTCCCTTGTGCTACAAGGTCAATGGCAAGTGGATAATCTCCAGGCTACGACGACCTAGTCAGATACAGGCGATGTATTCAAGACTGTCGACACTTACACCGTAACGAAAAGAGCCTTTGTAGTTCAACTCCTTGTTTGTCAACATGCTCATGTTGATAGGAACATCTGGCGTCCCCATCCCGACCTGTTCAAGTGATCACGGAATTCAGAAACACGACACGGCAGTGAAATTCAAAGACCCACCTGAATAACAATTCCTCCTGACTTGGCGACCTGGAATCCGGTTTGAATGGAAACTTCAGCGCCACTGGCGTCTATAACCAAATCGAGGCTTTTCTTTCCTCGTTCGGTGACACCGAGAACAGCTTTCAGATTATCCCCATTCCTCTTGCTATAGTCCACTTTGTTCTCCCCTGGATTGAAACGCAGGGGAAGATAGACATCGGTAGCAACGTAGTTCTTTGCGAAGTCGAGGCGTTCTTGAACGATATCGACGGCGATGATGCGAGAGGCGCCGAGAGCCTTCGCGACAGCCATACAGAGTAAACCGACAGGACCGCAGCCAAAGACGATAATGGATTGGCCAGAGCGGAATCCACCCAAGTTGGCGACGGAATGAACACCCACGGCTAAAGGCTCGATCTATAACTGCGATTAACACAAATAAATAATATACTGTGCGTGAAAAGGACAAACCATAGCGCCGTCTTCAAGGCTGACTCCTTCGGGAAGGGTGTAGGTAAGGTCGGAAGGAACCTTGTAGTAACGGCAAAGGGTGCCATCATAGGGCGGTGTCGCGGCGAAGATAACGTCGGGACATAGCTGTGGCCAGGAATTAGTCTACATCAGATGGCGATTGAAGAACGAAAGTACCTCATAGCGGCCGGATTTACATGCTTCACACGTGCCTGCGTCCAAGACAACGAGGTCGGTCAAACGAACTTTAGTAATTGAAAAATAGGACACTGACGGCATGTCGCGCCTGGTTCCACCGCAACTCGATCTCCTACACTGACATTCTTGACATTTGATCCAACTGCACAATTAATTTAGGCACAGAGCGGGAAGAGTCGTGTAGCACTGGCGAACCTTTATGAATAATACCTGCAGACTCATGGCCAAGAACCTGTGTTATATCTAATCAATTGTTGTTCGGGAGGCACAGATAGAGATACCACACCATAGGGTTAGTGACTACGAAGTCACCAATGCGACCATGTACGAGATAGTGAATCTAAAGTTGAATCAGTACACGAATCACAACAAGGAAAGTCAAGAAACTCGCATCGGATCCACAGATACCTGAGATCGGATCAGATTGTGAAGAAGAATCGATAGGAAAAAAAATCTCTTACCGGTCTTCATCACCTTGACCAAGACATCGTCCTCAGCAACTACAACAACAGAGTGAGCACTGTACGTCGTCTAGTATGGACACCCGAGACATACTGTCTGGAATGGGGCGTTCCTCGTAAGAAACGTTCTCGATGGCGTTCAAGACAAAGGAAGGGTTATCGGACATGAGAGAGAAGATGATAGTATGTGAAGAGCAACGCGATGCAATTTAAAGGAATTGGGAGCTGTCGAGACCGTGGATCTGGATAGACGGTCCGGAACCGCCGGTACCTCAAGATGGCCAATTTATACAGTTTAGAAAGGCTCTGAGAGTGAATGCAATCGTCGGCCAAAGCACTGGCTAATTTCGTTTGTCTTCCATGATGTACACCTTGAGTCAACAATCCAATAAGTCGGTGAGCGCCGGGCAATGGTGAAAAAATGGGGTCGAAAACTGACAAAGGAGCCCAGGTTGCTAGCGCACGTGTTCTGGGCGATACAGTCTCCTTGATGGTTAGGGATTGAAATTACTTATCAGCGGCTGGCACCCGCTTTGAAACGAGCACAACCGTAAAGAACGTCCAATGTCGACTTACAGCGACTTAGGCAACGTTCAAGCTGCCGTTCAGCAATTCGGGATTTCGGAGTTTGTTACCGAGCCACGTGCCATCGACATACAAAAATTCGCAAGATTGCGAATCCATCTTTACATCGTACCATTACTATCCATTCACTTTTTTCTCTTTCACGAATAGAAAATGGTCGCCTCCAGCGTTCTTGGTTTTCCTCGCATCGGTAAGCACTCAATTTTCTTTTAGCCTTCCTTGACTTTTGCTAACCCCTAGTTGTCTAGGTGCTAATCGTGAAGTGAAAAAGGCAGTTGAAGCCTACTGGGCTGGCAAAATCTCTGCGGATGACCTTACTAAGACTTCAGCCGATGTTAAAAGGACAAGCTGGACTTCTGTCAAAGCCAAAGGCGTTGACTTTGTCCCAAGGTGAAGCGATCTTCTTATCTGATCTTGAGTGTCTGTCTCACTTTTCTTTTCTTTTTTTTTTTTTTTTTCGTCCGACAGTGGCGAGTTCTCTTTGTACGATCACGTTCTTGATCATTCTGCTGCTTTCAATGTGATCCCCAAGCGATACACTGGCCATGGTCTCTCCCCTCTTGATGTCTACTTCGCCATGGGACGAGGTCGTCAGGCTGATGGTGTCGACGTCCCTGCCTCGGAGATGAAGAAGTGGTATGCATCTAGATCATCTCCTCTCATTTATATAATCCAGTCTGATTTAGGTTTGACTCCAACTACCACTACGTTGTTCCGGAATTCTCGGAGGAGACTGACTTCCAGTTGAAGTTCAACAAGGCCCTCGAGGAGTACCGAGAGGCCAAGGCTGCTGGTGTTACCACACGCCCCGTCATTTTGGGTCCCATCTCCTTCCTCGTCCTCGGTAAGGCGTCAAAGGAGGCCAAGCCCGGTTTCCAGGCTATATCTCTCCTTCCCAAGCTTTTGCCCGTTTATAAGACACTTTTGGCTGACCTCAAGGGGGCCGGTGTTGAATGGGTTCAAATTGATGAACCCGTCCTTGTTCTCGATGTTGCCGCCAACTTGGAGAAACAGTTCACCTCTGCCTATACCGAGCTGGCGCCTGTTTCTCCCAAGATTATGCTGACCACCTACTTCTCTCGGCTCGACGCCAACCTTTCATACGTTGCTCAGTTGCCTATCGCTGGCCTCCATATTGATCTTGATCGTGCTCCTGGCCAACTTGACGAAGTCATTGCCGCTATCAAACCTACCGCCATCGTCCTTTCTCTGGGATTGGTTTCAGGACGTAACATCTGGAAGGCGGATTTTGCTGCTGCCCTTAAAGAGGGACAGAAGGCTGTGGATGCCCTCGGCTCGGAGCGTGTCATCGTTTCAACTTCATCTTCTCTCCTTCACACCCCGGTCACCCTTGCTTCGGAGAAGAAGCTCACTGAGGAGCAGAAGGATTGGTTCTCCTTTGCCTTGGAGAAGGCGGCTGAAGTTTCCACCCTCGCTGCAGCTCTTTCTGGTTCTCAGGATCCTGGTGTCGCCGCAGCCCTTGAGGCTAACCGAATTTCCATCGCGAAACGTCGTGAGTTCGAGAGCACTTCGGATGACACCGTTCGCAAGCGCGTTGCTGCCATAACCCCTGATCAACTTGACCGTAAGAGTCCGTTCGCTGTACGCAAGGACATTCAGGCCAAGGCGCTCAACTTGCCAAAGTTCCCTACCACCACCATTGGATCTTTCCCTGTAAGTTCTCCCTGAACGTCCTCTAGGCAGCTGTCTAACAGGTGAATCAAGCAAACCAAGGAAATTCGCCAAGCCCGTGCCAAGCTTGGCAAGGGTGAGATTAGCGAAGCTGAGTACGAAGAGTTCATCAAGAAGGAGATCGAAAGTGTTGTGAGGTTCCAGGAGAAGATTGGCCTTGATCTCCTCGTCCACGGTGAACCTGAGAGGAACGACATGGTTCAATACTTTGGAGAGCGGCTCTCTGGTTTCGTTTTCACTCAGAATGCATGGGTTCAGAGTTATGGATCACGGTAAGTTTTCATATTCAAAATAAAGAACATATTCTAATATGTATGTTGCTCCTGGCAGTTATGTCCGACCTCCCATCATTGTTTCTGATGTCAGCCGGCCCAGTCCCATCACGGTGCAATGGAGTAGCTATGCTCAGAGCTTGACCAAGAAGCCCATGAAGGGAATGCTGACTGGCCCAGTCACCATCCTCAACTGGTCATTCCCTCGTGCCGATGTCTCCCGCGAATTGCAATCCAAGCAGCTTGCTCTCGCTCTCCGTGACGAAGTCATCGACCTCGAGAAGGCTGGCATTAGCGCTATCCAAGTCGACGAACCTGCTATTCGTGAGGGTGTAAGTGGGAAGGTTTCCATGTCTGCAAAGACACTCGCCTGACCATACTTGTTTGACTAGCTGCCTCTTCGTCGTTCGGACTGGGATGCCTACCTCAAGTGGGCTGTCGACTCTTTCAAGTTGTCGACTGCTGGTGTCACCGACCAGCTGCAGACTCACTCTCACTTCTGCTACTCTGACTTTGATGACATCTTCCCCTCCATCCAGCGTCTCGATGCCGACGTTATCTCCATTGAAGCCTCGAAGAGTGATATGAAACTCATCAACACTTTCAAGACTTATGGATACTCCAACCAGATCGGGCCTGGTGTCTACGACATTCACTCGCCTCGTGTCCCTGGCGACCAGGAGATCAAGGACCGACTTAGTGCTATGCTTGAGATTCTTCCCGACTCTCTGCTCTTTGTCAACCCTGTAAGTTGTATACATTTCTTCTCGGATGGACTGGACTTATCTAATGATCATTAGGACTGTGGTTTGAAGACTCGTGGCTGGAAAGAAACCGAAGCCTCGCTCGTCAACCTTGTTGCCGGTGCTCGCTGGGCTCGTGAAAACTACGCTTAAATATCCCCTATCATTCCGCTTCAACAGCGCTCTTTGACTGGTTAACTTATGGGCTTCATCAGTCCTGTGACCGTTGGGTAGTTGTGGCGATATTGTTGCTGGCGTTAGGACATGCATGCATAAAAGGGAAGCAGAGTAGACTGCTGCACGCTCACTCAGTGGGAGCTTTCGCTTAGCGAGGCCGTGGCTGAGGAGGGTTGGTGCGGCAGTAATTCATGTGCTCGGATTTCAACAATCCCCGAATTTGTATCATTAAGCATCATCGCAATTGCATTTTTCGCTAATCGCATACGTAAAGTATATGGAGTTGCTGTGTTTCTTTGTCTTGGACGGTGAATAGAAAGGACCATTTGTAAGCGAACTGCTTGATCTCGTCACCTCCCCATCGTAGATCGAGAGTATTCTTGCCGTAATCCCAGAGTTTCCGAGCTGTAACGAGTTTCTTCACGAGCTCGCCATACAAGCAATTTACTCACTTCCAGTCAGTTTGTAACCGTCCCCATCAAGAATGATCTTTTCCGGTAGCATGCAGAACTTTTGACCGACAAAGAGACGCTGAATAGCTTTCTATTCGTTGACAATTGATGCAGCCGCATTGCACCAAGTATGGGTAGAATCGCGTACGGAAATATCATCTTGGGCATTGTGATACGCGACCAGCTCGGGTACAGTAGGGTCTCTTGGAACGGATGGATCAGTACGACTAGGGTCCCGGGATGCTATAAGATGGAGCATACTTGGTTGTGGTCTCCACGGTGACTTGGCCGACATGTGCGCAATCCAAACCGTCCTGTTGAGGATAAAAGCACAGAACTGTCTTATTGAGTGGCAGATATTCTGAAACTGGGTAGGTCGTGGCACGCATGATGAGATGAGAATGGATTAAGCCTTTGAGTGAACGTAGCCTTCCGAATCCGATCGGCGTTTTCCGTTTGGATAGCCGTTAATTTTCCAGCACGACCACCCGAGCTAAAAAAGATATGTAAAAATAAAGTCGTCCGATATTAAAAAATTAGCCGTGTTACAACATGTATCGTCAAACTAAAGTAGCGGAATAACTCATTCACTCATAAATTTACGATGCCCTCAAACTGTTCTTTCTTTTCTCTGCAGCCGCAGCCGCAGCTGAGATTGTCATTTCCTCCTCAATGATGACTTCCGGTGGTGATGACGGGCTCCATGGGCTGTGGGGGTCTTTCTCCGTGGAGACAGAGACGGAGAACGAATGTACTGAATCTGGTTGGCTGCTTCGCGTAGCCTCTGCTTGGGGAAGATCATCCTCGTGATCTTGCATTGCCAGTGCGGCCCGGAGCCTGTCCTCCACCTCGCGCTTTCGTTTCGTTTTTGCACTACCCCGGGCGATGAAGACAGCCGAGAAGATACCGCACAAGAAACTAGCTGGAATAAGCGAACCCGTTGTCCACGCTGGGCGCTGAAACCTTTCCGTGACGCGTCATTATATGGGGAGAAGGATAAAATGTCATAACTGCTGACCGATTAAGCCCCCACATACAACCACAGAGTATAATCTGAATGTGAAGATGATAAAGTGAATAAGTTTATACATAAGTCATATTACTTACCTGGAAAAAAGAGTTGCCGTCATTAAACAAGCAAATCACAAGAGCAGTGCTAAATAAATGTCAGTCATGGCCCGGTATAACATGGCAAGGTACAAACTTGATCGGGAAAGCTCGATGTGTTGCAGTTCCATGAGGCCTGTACCACGTCTGATGATGCTGAAATTTCAGTTGTTCTAGAGACAATTGTCAGTTCAAGGATACAATTCCGAGAAAACGACACCAACGTCGATGCAAATCATTTTGCTCTTTTTCCGTTAGAACATGGACATAATTCGGATCGTAGGCAGGATCAGGTAAATCATCTTCGTCAAATAATGGTGGGAGATCTGCTTTCCGACGGAGGTTTCGTGACTGGCGTTTGTAATGCCATATTTTATATACTCCTGTACTGATTGAGAGGGAACGTTAGCATTTGTGTGATGCTGCTCACGATATGTGTCAAGGACTCGCGAGGGAATGAGGCCGATACCGGTGATAGTGAAAAGACCTGAAAGAGATATATCAGCTAGTAAAAACCGGGAGAAATTCCAAAGCACCATTTGTAACTTGAGAACTGACTTCTACCCAAAACCCTTGACGGTCGGCATTGTGTAGATTAATGATTTTTGTGAGAAATAAAACGATAGCGGCGCCCCAGAATACTGAAAGCCAATCAAGATTAGTTGAAGGCGGGTAATTTGCCATAACCCACCGACACAAAAACCGTATATGCCCGCGACGATCTATGACACGACAAATGTTTTATGTCCTCGGTCTTTTGACAGAAAGGGGGGCTGACTTACACCCATAGCTAGACATAGCTCAGTTTCTAATGATGGGTAAAGATGGATTTAAACTCACGAGTCTTTAAAAATGACCAAACACCTTTAAGAGAACGTCTAATTTTTGAAGGTCGACGTAGCACATCATCGACATGTCTATCCAACTCGTCGTCGAATTTGTGCTGTCCTTTCTCCTTATCGGCCTCCTCTGCTAGAGGCGGATCAAGAACAACAACAGGCTTTCTAGAATACCATGAAAATGGGGGTCTAGGTGTATCGATAAGTGCAGTTCAGAAGAGGATGAGTATTGAAATTACATTAAAATGGAATTGGCGGCGTTCGTCAGATTTGACACGGTAGCGACTTGAGGGTCTACAAAGACTTATTGTAAGGATGAGGAAAAGCATATGAAAGAGCGCACATACCGATAACATCCAAATGCTCAACGATATCATCATGGTGGTGATCATCTATTGAAGTGTAGGATTGGTAGCTGGCGTTGGCGTCGTCGGAGCGGGGAAGACTCAAAGCGCTCCCAACAAGACCTGGTTCTCCATCGCCCGAGCGAACCTGGATGTCCGCATTGTGGCCCTCAATGGTCAGGACACCGTCAATGGCACTGAAATGAATGGGCGATGTCGTCCGATGTGAACCATCAAGAGAACTTGCGCTAGTCTGATCGCGCAGAGGGCTCCCACTCCCTTGGCTACGAAGCGGTAGAGATGACAGCCGTAGCGACTGGGATAAGAGGAGGTCCTGCACCCTGCTGCCTGCTCGTGGTCTGCCCCTCCGCAGTGGCGCTATCGGCTGGTCAACAGTAATAGCTGGTGTCAGGGCCGTGGGTGAATTCGTGAGCAATGGCGAGGATGTTTGTGAGGGCGGCGTTATCACTGGTGAGGCAGGCGGCGACGTCGCAGGCTCTGGTATATCACTGGCAGGCTCCGAGGTGGGACGTCTGAAAATGTTGGTCAGGGTGCGCTGCTCGTCGTAAGCAGGCCTGTCATTCAACGACGCATACTGGCTTCGCCTGACACGAACAGAAGGCATGGTATAGAGCGCGCTTGACACAGCGGCAGGCGACAAGAGAGAATAAGCTGGCGGTCAAAGGGACAGCAGTCGTGACACAGAGTAAATCCACCCTTATAAGTTCTAAATTTAGTTTATTGTTGATGTCATTCCACTAACGTAAACATCGCCGCTGCCCTTTGGACAGCGGCCTCGAGTGCCATGACCACTATTGCTCAAATAAATAGATGTGATGATATGGTACAGATGCGTCGAGGAAGAAAAAAACGTCCATCGATATCTTAAAGTGTTCCATCTCCTGATTCCGTAGATCGTCTAGTACTAGTAGCCATAGAATTCTTCTTCGGCGGTTTTGAAGACGAACCCGTAGGCTTTGGTGTAGTCTAGAATGCCGAGAAGAGTCAAATTAGAACGAGGGAAATATAGATGCACTTACACTGCCGGATTTGTCACTTTTTTTGGACGACGAACCACGACCTAGCAGGGAAAGCATTCTGTTCCTATTGCTGGATCGAATGGGCTCCGCCGGCAAGGTCTCTGGCTCCTCACAAAGGCGCGCATTTGCCAATATCTGTGGAGAGGTGTCGGACTTCCTCTTTGAGGCTTTCCGCCAACCTCGATGAGGCGAAGGTGTTCGTAGCCGCTCGCGGGTATCGTGACTATTGTCGGAACGGTTAGTATCGTCGTCAACCGGAAGTAAAAGGTCATGGCGAGAGGCATTTGGCAATGCACGGTGGTGGAACTCTGGTACGGCCACGCCCTTCGTAGCAATCCACTTCGTTTTGGAAAAAATCTCCCGAGCAACTGGGAGTACAGGAACCAGAGGCTGATGGAATGCCATCTTGATCCAACCTTTCCAGCTAGTATCAGACGGGATGAGCTGATCGACGAGTTCTTCGAACTACAAAGATGTGAGAAGCGGCAGTGGTTGATGATCCTGAGCCACTTACACTCCATGTTTGATTCCTGTACTCCAGGTCTCTAGTTGTGATGCGTGCATCGCGGCAAACGAAAGATTCCTCTTTCATAATACTCAACAGGAGGTGCAAACTAAAAGATACAGTCAGCTGTGACTCAATCGTTGCCTTGAAACACTTTCCTTGATATTTTAACCAGCACGAATGTCTTTTGAGAACTTCGCGTCCTCATCTCTGCAGCATCTCCTCTTCGCGGTACAGGACCAGAGTCATGCCTACTGTCTCCCCTGCGCAGCTTACGTGGCTCGGTATGATCAATTGTGCTCGCATGCTGCCCCAAAGCCTCGGACGAACGTGTTCGTGGCAGCGATTTTACAGGTGACGGAAAGTCTCTGAGATTCGAAAAAGATCGTGACGTACCGAGCCTTCTTAAAGCCATCGGCGGTGCAAGTCGGGATGAATTATTAGAGTCAGAAGATTGCCGTGAGTGCGTTCGCCTGGTCGCATCGAGGGAAATTCTGGAAGGTGGGAAGGATTGCTTGTTTGGCGGATGTTCGTGGGCAGTTTGAGAAGACTCGGTACGTCTGTCTTGGATAGCTTTCTTTCGATCTCTTCGACCTGGCCATAAGTATTCCATGATACGACGACCAACTCGAGTGTCAATCTGCAAACGCATGGGATGCAAGTTAAGCTCGAAAAACTCATAGATGCCTATTCCTCCGACAGGCGGAAGAACGGACCATTTCGCTACGAGGAAGAGTCCACGCTAGATGGAGAGTCAGTACCGTGCAAAATCCGAGCTGAAAGAAATAAACCTTCAGTAGCGGATGGTTTGGAGGTTCATTATACTTGGAAAGAATCTCTGTCCACACAGCGTCTTTAGATCCGTCAAAGGCCTGTAGACTGCCGATCGCTAGATCGTTATAAGTGGAACTGTCCTGTCTGCTGAGCCAATAGTAATCGATATCTTTCACAACATGCTTAGCCAAAAGTTCCCGCTGCTCATCCAACATGTTCCATGATATTTCAGATGAGGAGGCATTCAGGAGAAGTGCCGATTTTTGATCCGTTTGGTCGTCAAACCTATCCTGCGCCAGTTTGATCGCATCGAATATGAAGTTAAGCTCGTCTCCCAACAGGTAGATGTGGGCCTTGAGTTTCAATAGTTCGATTTCATCCTCTCGACTCTGAATCTGCTGCGTGTGCATCGCTAATTCCTCCACCTCTATAGACTTTCGCAGTCGGCCCTGAAGATCAGTGATCACCCTGGACGCTGAAGCATAATCTGTGAAGTCATAGGTGAATAACAAGGTCTCAAGCCTGTCAACACGGGTCTTATGGGTTGCATCTGAGAAGAGTAAGAGCTTCGTCACAATGTTGGAAATGGTCTTAAAATGTTGGTCGCTGGCTGACACTGTGAATTTTGGTGTAATGACTTTGATGAGATCCTAGGCATATGCCCCATAAATAAGCCCACGGTGACTATGTTTTAGGAAACCTACTGTCTGGTCCTGTAAGTGTGTACGCCCCATATGTGAATGTCCTGCAGAGGATTTGTTGACCACAGATGTAACATTGTTGCGCAGTCGCAGTCGGTTAAATTTGTCATAATGGAAGGTGGCGTCAGTTTGGGGTACTAGGCGATCGAATTCATCACTCTCGCATCGAAAATCGATGAGGACTTCCAAGGGGACACAGCTATCTCCACTCAATTTAGCTGTAGGAGCAAATGTTTGCATGCCGGACAGAATAGCATATGTCCTAAGGTTTAAATTAGTTGATACAAAGCGCAGGATTACAAGACACTACCTGGACATGACTTTGCCGCTGATGGGATCCTTGGCGTTGGAATCATCCATGATAGTAAACGACTGCAGTTTGGCTTGCAAGGCGGCTACCACGCATGTCTCTTGTGGCTTCTCCCTGTTTTGTAGTATGACCTGCGGCTTTAGAAGAAGACAGCAGTGGCCTTTTTTCAAAGACACGCCATCGGACCAGCCATGCAAAGGGTCGAGAATTGAAGACGAAGAATCGGAATCAACGATGTACTCCACGGAGTCCTCAGAGTCAGAATCCGAGTTGTCGCGAACGAACATGTGCTTTAGTGCGCTTGCGGCAGCATGAGCTGCTTTCTTGGTCGGTTCAGCATTGCTTTGAAGCTGTGATCTCAGTAACTCGTTTGCTTGGTCTCGTACAAACTTCACGGCACTATGATGAATGAGCACAATTTCATGTCATACAGACAAGATGCTTACCGGGAAGCCATATGATATTCCAATCCTTTGCGATCACGGGAACAATAATAATACTGCATCATGATCTGACTGAAATTGAACAAAGCAAGTATAAGAAAAAATAAGGTGAACTCACATCACGGACAGTGGCATCCATGAAGATCCTCGGACAATGTATCTGGTAGACATTATCGAATTCTGCCCATTCATCAGGAGAAACGGTGTCAGACGGTATCTGATAATGGGAGCTAGCATCATTTCTGTCAGGACTGATATAAGGCTCGTGAAGGTGAGATATATATTTCTCTAGCAGCACGACTTTCTTATCGGAGGATGCTTCCTGGAAAACACAGTAATGAGATTCTATCGGCGGCAAATGCCGTACTGCCTGACTCGCCTGGTTAGAGTTTATGAGACATTTGAGCTCCTCGATGCGAGATGAAGTTAGAGCAGCTTGGATCTCAGGCACAGCTAAAAGGTCAAGATGAGCGGGCGACGACAAAGAAGAATGAGACAGGCACTTACAAGGTCCCTTCCCGAGTAGGCAAACATGACTATCCTCGTTGCCAAATCTGCTGGTCTCCGAAGGATTTTCGACGAGAGCATCGTTACGTTTGAAGTACATGAAATGAGAGCACGCCGCAACAGGCAAGACATGGAAAGTGGGATCAAGCGGTGACAACCAGTCGGTTTCCACAAAGTCGTCTGGATCATACCAAGCTGAAGGTATAGATGTTGTAGGATAGCGGTTCCTCGTCCTGTAGTTACTGCCATCTTGAGGGACATTGACCGGAATGAATTGCTTCTTGGGGTCGGCAAAGATAGCAAATATAGCACGAAGATCCAAGCCTTTCAACACAACCTCTGCCGCGTAGAAAGGCTTCCTTCGTAACACCTTGGTAGAATGAGGGCCAAAACCAGGCACAACGGTTTCTTGATCCCGTTGATGCATATCAACTTGGAATTCATCGATCTTACCCTTCACGCCAACCCAGGGTGTAACTCCATCTACCCAAGCTGATTCAAGTTGAGAGCCTGACCAAAGACAAGGTTGGAAGTGGTTGTACTTACTTTCTCTACTGTTGTCTATGTAACCATGCATGATAGACAGCTGACGAATTGATACACGATATTTCAGAGTGGCGATATGCCGTCCAAACTTGGGAGACAGTGTACGCCTTGGATAATAAGTACCCTGGCGAATTGGCAGAGACATGACAGCGTCGAACAAAGACCACCATGACCAGAAATGTGCAAAAGCTTTGGGTGTAAGGTATAAACCACTCGTGTCGTGATCTTCAGTCTTCGTACTTCGTACTGAAGAAGTCAAAGAAACCGACAGGTGGATGAAATCAGATCTGAAACCGTCATACGAATCGTCGGGTCCCTAGGAGCATCATCATAAGTATAATTTATCATTGTGAGCAATCCCCGCTTACCTTCATTTCAGGGGCTACATTCTTTTTCTCCAGTTTAACATTATAGTGAGGTTTGAAATCAAAAAACCTGCATTTTCTATGGAAGGCAGAACCACTGCAATGTCGTTGGCAATCATATCCGCAAGACCGTTCAAGCACAAGGCCGACACCAAAGCGAACACCAGAGAGGACTTTGGCACAGATCTTTTTGAATGGCCGAGATGCAGGGGCGAATGCAAGTGGACCGGCATCGCTCCGATGAAAGCTGGCACTGATAAGCGTGAATTTGAATTACAGGGTATAATTCTCACTTCGGTATAACAATCATCATCGAATCACTGATAACTTGCACGAGTTCCTTGTCGTCATTATGACGCCCAATCAAAAGCTTAACATTGCCTTGCCAGGATAGAGCAAAACCGGCACCCTTCCCGAGTATCTCGTGAGGATCTCGAAGACCTATGTGATGTGAGTTCCTATTTTCGCGACGGAAACAGTCAAACCTTTCATGTGAAATCGTACTTCGCCCTTGAACGACGCTCTTATGCTCCAATGAAATATGAATCTCAACTGTAGGAAGGCTTAGATGACATCAGGGAGCAGCTGGAGATAACTGACCTTATCCCAAAAACCTAAACCAGGAGAAGAATCACGGGGTGTGCTAGTGATTGTGTCTAGAATTTTCATGAGATCTTGGGTCGCGGGCCCATAGCTCATACCCCAAGAAAAAACTGTCGCATTAGGTGTAGACACCAGAATTTCTGGGTTGGCGTAGCTCTTCACTGGCATAATTGTCTTGGGAACGGAAATGCATAGCGGCGCAGCACCATGAATGCCGTCGTTAGCATATGATACAGGACACAGGACCCAATCGACAGACGCGCCTCCCGCCAATTCTTCTGCAATGACTAGATCAGTATCGAAAGTCCAAGCCGTCTGACCCGGGTCTTGATGAGGCGGAATATCGAATAACGGTAATGGGTAGTCTCTGATTGTCATGCTCAGCGACGAGAGGGTAAAATTTAGGTGAAATGGGAGTAACAAAGAGAACTCGGTGATCCGAGGAAGGCCCCCTTGCTCATACAAATATTCTGGAAGTGAACTGGCGGGGAATGAAGGCGGCGCAGTAGACAGCGATAGATCTCTGATCAAGGCACGAAAGAGGGGTGTGCATGAGTCATCGGGAGAAACGTCAACGATGTTTCGACTCCTGCTTTCCGATTGAAAAGAGGGATGAAATTCCATCTTTACAGCTTCTTCATTCCTAATTTGATCCTTCTGGAAATAGCCAAGTCGTAAACCCCAATCCATTGAATGGACCTTATAGAGCCGTTGTCGCGCATCTTCGATTGGCACAGAGTGCTTCGAGGAAAAACGATATTCTGCCCGAAGTTCAGCAGGGGATTTGCCTTGAGCGACATCGGCGTTGATAATAGTCGCTACTTTGTCCTCGTAGGCTTGCTCCCGGTCTACGCGAATTTTGGCAGCCTCAAGTCCAGCTTTCCAAGCTAAATTCAATCGCCCTTCGAATGGATCATCGGCGATCTCGACACAGAAAGACGCGACGGCCAAAGTCATATACGGCATACGCTTGGGACCTTCGGCTTCTGGGAAAGGTATCTCACTGTATGAACCCCGGGCAGTCATATGATACAGATGCTTGAGTGCCTTCAGTGACACAGTTGCATCTTGAACCAGATTGCTCAAGACGTATCCATAGGGAAGTCTGAAGCGAGCAGACTGTCCTTCCATGTGAACGGATGTCAGCATGGCGGTAGATGAATCCCACATGCGCCAACACCGTAGGTACATGATTTCTTTCCACTTTCCTCCTTCATCTTCCTGCCAACGGTTTGTCGGTGACGAAAGATGCACCCATGCAACTAAGTGTTCAAATTGTACTTCAGACTGAAGCTGGGGGGACAGAGTAGCTGTAACCGAGTCAAGCCGAAGAGCGATTCGCTCATTGGGAAGTTCGCAGGACACTTGAACTGTGTCAAGAGCAATCCGAACTCTGATGGAGGGCATAGCCTTTGATGTTCGCTGGGGAGCTCTAAGGGAAGAAACAGTAGGTCTGTGGTCCAAGAGTGCCAGACATCGGCTGGCGAGGAGAATGTGATAACAATGGGACAAGGATAATAAGACCTTGATATCGGGAACGTGGAGATATACATGGAGATTGTCGATTGCATTACGGCCGCAGTCCGTGGACCAAGACAGCTCTGTTAGAAGGCGAGTATTGAATAACTCTCGTGAGGAGAGAGTCGGGTGATCTCGTTCCGCCATGAATGGATCGTCCACAACATATTGAGTGGCCAACGCGTCACGGAGACTTAAATTCCCAACCTGAAAGCATATGAAACCGGATATGCCCTCTAGCCCGTTGGCTGCTTCAGTATCCAGCAAAGTTTGAGGGACGGTCTTTTCCGGCAGATACAACTTGTTTCTCTTTTCTGTCATTGCAGGATCTCTAGGACAGTATACCTCATTGTGCTGAGTGCAACGTAGTTGTAGGACCGTTTGTTCTGCTCGACAGGCAATTCCACGAGATAATTCCATTGTGTCGGCCGGATTGATATCGGGCGACGTTATGAATAGAATCGATCGCCCTACAAATAAGGATGCATTGATTCCGGGTGGCAGGTGGTGCAAAGGATATTGTGAGGAATCTCTTTTGACTCGTTTCGGAAAGAGTGCGATCAAACGGCTGATAGCGTCCTGGACGGATAGATGCCATAGCTCCAAAACAACTGCCTCCGTGAGGCAAGCCAGTTCAATCGTTAGAGTGGACATGTCCATGGCGGCAATGTTACTTGTATCATCCTTGATGGAACCCAGCAGTTTCCCTCCACCACCCAAGTCGAATGATTCCAGAGAAAGAAAAACGGGATCCTCACAAAAATCCTCTTCTGTGGTTGTCAAACAAGACAGACGCGTATGTGAGTTCTGAGAGTGCCTAGGCCGAACTCTTACGAAAGCTGGTTGAAGTGTGAAGTTGAACGTGAAGGCCATGGAAAGAGGTAAGGTGTCGAAGTCCCCCTGTGGAATTGACGTCATAGGAATGGGTGAGTAGAAAGAAGTGCAAGCTACTGAAAAGCCATCCGTGCGCATTTCCATTGCTTTGGATGTTCCGGTGTCCTGGTTCTGATAGATGAGGCGTGCACTAATTATTCCGCAGCTAGCCTCAAATGCAAACCGAGGCATGTCAACTATGGCTGGTAATGCGGACTTCGATTTGAAGGGACGTGGTGAAGTCCATGTGGAAAACAGTGTAGACAACAAATCATCACGTTCCGTGACTTGTATTCCGCCAACATTTAGAGTGATCACGACGAGGGGTCCATTTGGATCGCCACCAATGAAGGGAGTAGAAACCAGGAAAGGCGATGGGTACTGAGATACAAGTGAGCAAACATCAATGGAATCCGCAACCAGGATCCGGAGGTAATGCCGCGTTGTATAGCGGTCAAGTTTGACACTCTCGACATGAAAAGAAAGAGAGTAAACGTCAGGATCGAAGACCTCGCCCTTCACAGATTTACCGAGCCACTGACGGTGCAATCGGTTCGAGAGGGGGTTGCTCAGTACAATCGAGAAAGATATGCCCTGGAAGGTCATCTTGTAGCTTTCGTTTTCACTTCGATTGCGACTATTTAGGGTAATACCCGAAATGTTAGCGGTGAATGAGCAGAGAAAAGCGATGAGGGCCTATAAGTGAATGAATATTGAACGATCGGAGCATAGAAAAGATGTTACCGGATTTTTGATGTCCCTCAGCCTCATGCATGGAAGATATAGATAGCGACGACGTAAGATTGATGCCCTCTGCTTGAAGAATTGATGGGGTGCACTTATGTAGATGAAACATAACTTACTGAAAACGCTCTCATGAACGGAGATGTAGGCACATCAGAAGAGGTAGAAGCAGGATCCGACATCGAAGCCGCTGAGGAAGGAGGAGTTGCCGGCTGTGATTCGGACGGCAGCAGGTAAGAGGTCGAAGGCGGAGACGTATCATATTTCTTCCTCGTCTGGATGATCTCGAACAGAGATCGAAGATGGTCTAGTTCAATAACACATTGACGAACATTGAGAGTCGTGTTCGAGCTATGTGTGACGATAGCCCAGCTTTGCGGATCAAAGGATAAAGTGGTAGAAAAGTCGACGAGGCCTGGAAAACTCAAGAATTCTCCATCCTTAACATCTGTTACGAAGACCGTTAGCCTGAGTGCAGCGTACGACGAGAAAATGGGCACAAAATACCAGTTGTTAAAGTTCGAACAGGTATCGATCCAGTGATATTCGTGAGGTGCATCGAAAGGATCGCATTTCCTTGGGTCTGTTCAACGACTCGATTCCAGGACCTACGGAAGCTATCGCCGAGCCGATGTTTCCAAGCAGACACACTATATGACGCCCGCAAAGGCTTTGCTACCCGAGCGGTTCTATCGCGCGATGCAGCGAAGTGCTCTTTCTCGTGCTTGTCCTTCTTGATATTCGCGATTTTGAGGTTTGTGTGTACATAGACTGTTTCCGCGGAAACCTTTGCGTCGCCGGCATCAGGAAATATGAATGTCGCGGGTTGAAATTCTACAGTAACTTGTTGCGTGATGCTTGGTAACCACCGAATAAACATCCCGAGACATGACATAACGTAAACGCGCATGACTGGTCGGACGACAGGATCCAATACCGCGTATAACGCTGATAATCCATTCCAAAACTGCCGCCGAACGTGGGAAATGGTCTCAACTGTGGCAGACCTCCGATGAGACTTCCGTGGCACTTGGGTCCTGTCGCGCTGGTAGACTTCAATACTGAGCCCCTCCACTTTAATGGTTATACCTATCTCGAAACCGTACCAAACATAGCTGATGCGTTCTATGCGAATGGTTTGGCGACCTTGACGGAGGTACAATCCTCGGATTGAACGCAAGCTAATGCTTCGAACTCGTATATGCCTGGACATGCGTGCCAATGTCCACGGTATGATGAATGTTCGCAAAAGTAGACCAAACGTCATGAATCGCGCGACGCATAGCAGCACGGTGAACCACATGCCACTTCTCTCCGGTGTCTTCAGTAGAAGTATCGACAGCAGCGAAGAGACAGGATGAATTACGCTAGAAATTGGCATAATCTACCATCGCATTAGTGTCGCAGAGGTGATAAGGCAGGCGTCAAGGACTGACGATTGTCGTGGAACGTTGACAAGGTAAAATTAAGACCAAAGGAATGAGGTGGATATTTAGAAAAGAAAAATGTGACAGAAGATGATTGTTTCCGAGCAGTACTGTCGGTGTATTATGGTGCTGACAACATGGCGGAATAATGCAAAAGGTATGTTGCCGTTAGCGTTGCTGCCAATTCAGGATGCCGGCGGGAATTCTAGTTGCCGACAGCTTTTCAATTACAGTATTTAAATTGATAGGCACACTCTACAAAAACTGTAGTGGCAATGAGTATTATAGACCAAGCTAGTTCATTCCCTCTTCTTGTTCCAGATCCAGAACACTACATAGAAGTTTAAAAAAGTTGGTCGAGGAAGATTGAAAATAGTCATACCACTCTTCGGAGTTCATTTCGGCTGGTTTATATGTCGAAAACACGAATGAGCTGCCGACAAAGCTGCCTGGGTTGAAAACATGACATCCGGTGTATGTTACCTTGTACCTGTCGTACTTGTCCGCAAGAATGAGCTACACAAAATGTCAGTTAATGTGCGTTCAAGGAATAAGTACAAAAACCGGTACCGCGGTTGGGAGAGGATACAGTCGTAAAGAGTGATCAAAGTCGGATAGCGTTGGCTGTACATTGTTAATGAGTGGGCTAAGGTGCCCTTGGTCCAGGATAGATTGAACGAGCTAAATCCCTTCATGAGCAAAATACCCTACAGTATCTAAGATAGGCCAGAGCTTACGAATCGTTTTAGATCGTCACTACGCGCGTCAGGTTTAACGCCAACGACATTTCTCAACATCTTCGACATGCAGTCTTCTCTGAAGATTACAATCTCCTGGTTGAAAAACTTGATTCTACAAGGGTTGGTGGCAAAATGCGCCCTTGGAATCTTGGATTTCAGTCGTGAAACAAAGGAGGAAACCAAGGCTCTTCTGGGTAACACGGAATTCCCAGTTATATCGCGAGGACCCGGAACAAATACAAAGTGTGTCGTCCTCGTTAATGAAGGATAAGAAGCAATCAGATCAGCCAATGCATCAAAATTGTCTAAACATGTATCAGGGACAGATGCGTAGAATAGATAGGAGGCTACCTTGATATCGCTGTATGTCGCGGCTATTGCCATGGGATATAGACCGGCTGCTAAAATTACCACAAAGAACAATAACTTTTGGGATGAAGCTGTTCTCTATACAGTTGTCGAACATCTTTTGTAGGCCAGGAAGGGTTTGTGGGTGATCCAACCACACATCTGACAAAAAGAAAAAATGGAGATCGGACAACTCATCCCTGATACGAATGGCAAATTGGCCCTGAGAAGAACCATCAGGATGTGATGTACCAAGTCAAAATGTGACTTACGTCTTCAAGAAGGGATGTAGCACCTTTTCCCATAAAGTCGATATGCCCATATATTGATCTGGGTTTTCGTCAATTCATGAGATGTTATAAACGATGGATGAGAACAGACCTAGCCGTTTCGCGAGGTTCGCAAGGGGGTTGACCTATGGCGATGATCTCCAAAGTCGCGTCCTCCGTGTATTCGCCTTCAACAAGAGCAAAGCATCCTTCAGTGAACAGGCCCTCGCCAGGCTCATCCTGTCAAGATCTCCGTTTCTCGGTCTGTAAGGCAATCGAGTAACGAAAGGCTTGGCTTACCAGCCTCGAAAAGTCCAGCTCAACCGAACCGTCTGCATCTTCTATACACAGCGTCCCTTCCTTGGAATGTGTTAGCATTCCCAGTATCAAAAACCGTTCCCCTGCCCGTCCAAGCAATTGTTTTGTTGATTTGAGCTGCACCGAATGATATTTTAGGAAATACAGACGCTTTTCGAGACGTAAGTGATAACATACCGTAACCAACCGGTCGCGATCTCCCGAAGGCAATGTTGACGGCGCAAAATGCTCGTTGCGAAGGACACATTGCTTGATAACATGCAGGCGGTCTCGTACAGCCGAAACGCGTGACTCAGGCGATGCCGACACAGTCAGAGGTGTATTTACCCTAAAAATTCGTTAGCAGGAAGCGAGATAGTTGTCCAGTACGCGCACCGCTCAAAGGTCCCTCTCTCTATGGACCAGTGCCACAGAGGCATCTCAAATGCATCAATGATAAAAAGGTGGCTTTCTGGATCAATGGTATCGACTTCCACTTCCGATCCTTGGTCTTGATCCTGGAAAGATTCGTAGACCCGACGCAGGACCTCGACAGACACTTTCATTGCCGCATCTATGCCCACAACCATCATTGCGATGTCGAAAATGTTGTTGCCCTGGACTCACCATCCTGTTTATTATATTCCTTCGCTATCGTATCAATAGAAGACTCGATTTCTTCCTCGTCTATCTCATTCTCGTCCAATATCTCCTCTAGAAGGTCCAAGGCGTCTGGTCCAAGAGAATTGCTGTATTTGCGAAAGACCTTGGTACTGGATTAGTGTAAGGCTGCGGTACAAAATGAGGGGTCCGTACCTTGATAATCGCTCTCTGTCGTGCATCTGCCATGGAAGTTGAACGCGTTTTGCTGACCGTGAAGGTGAGAAGCAAAATCGGCAGGGTAGCCCCACGTGCTACGCGTCACTACCGTTTACGGCGATCCACGACTTGTCCCCTTACCACATGTTCGCTGTGCTAGACATCGATATTCGTCCGGGGATAGGACTGGGGATCTTCGAGATTGGTTTGTCTTCTGCTTCTCAACGATGGCTCTCCTTGACTTAGCCAACGATGCAGGCTCATCGCTGTGGAGCGTCCTAGATATGCTTCGGAGAATGCAGACCACCTTTCCGCAAGTCGACATTAAATATGATCCCGACGGTTCGTCTACAACTCCAATCGTGCTGCATCTACGGCCCCACTTGGATCTCTTGTTTTCTGGAAAGCACCAACGTCTTCGAACAATCTGTCTACGTAAACTACGAGACCCTAATCCTCCCCTGACCCTTCGCTACAAGGATGCATCAATTTTGTCTTCAGACAAAGTGCTTCGGAAAGTTGATGTCCGACGTTTCTTTGGACCCACATATCCCGGCGATGACTTGCGATATCCGGGACTATGGTTCAGTTTCGACGAGGATGGAATAACTGAAGGAATCAAAGCAGTTCAATCCGACGATAGGACGCAAGAGGTGAAGCGAGTGTTCATTTCTCAAAAAGAAACGAACAAAGATCAAGCCGATGCCTTGGACGAAGTTCAGGAATGCCCCATCATGGATGGCGATGTTGCTTTGGCCGTCGTGAAAGTAAGGCCGAGTTTTACTTCTTCGCATGTATTTCTGAATTCTTGGCCAGGTAAAGGATGGTGTTACACTTCATTTTCATCCTTTAGGTTCAAAAACATTGCACGTCCGGATAGGTCAGACAACTGCACAGGACCTCAACATTGGACTCGGGCCGCCACTTCGCGTACACCATAAGGAAGATGAGCGAATGTCTATACATTCAAGCAACCAAATCTCTGATCTTGGTACAGAGACCGGATGTATGTTCGCCTTTTATATGTCATTCTCTCCGTCAGTGCTGACTTGAAATCAGATTTCTACAACTATTTCCACCACGGATTGGACTTTCTTATTTCCAGTACAAGCCATGTTGTTCAGAAAATTGTCCTACACACAAATATCGTACGCCCACCAGCCGTGACCTTCTTCAGTAATTCATTATATGTTCAGCCAGGATCGCCCCTATTTCAACGTTACAAAAGATGCAACTGGGAAATAGAAAGCTCCCCAGAGGATGACGAAGACGGTGAACATACACATTTTTCTGTTTTCCGTCTATGTTTGACCCTCATCCAGACAGTCCGCCGCGAAAGCGTTTCTATGATAGGGTAACCCTCCGTGTGACATTTCTTTCCACTTTTGCTCTAACCATATTGACCAGTTCGAGACGATAAGCCACTTCCTCAGTCCACATGAAACCCCGCCTTCAATGCTGTTAGATCGCACAGACGACGAGGAATCTATTACGCTACCAAGTTCAACGACCCGTCGTGAGTGCACCACTAAAGTTTCTATGCTCTTCCTGACACCGTTAGTTCATGGTTACGATGGTATCATCCTGGAGGTGACAGAACCCTCGCAGGTTGTGTCTGTCATGCTCTTTTGAAAGCAAGCACCACTTATCATACCTTCTGTACTTTTATCCTTCGTTGCTGTATTATATGCGCGACGGTGTCAATAGTCTTAGGGAAATCGAGCTCCATTTTTCCCCGAGACATTATTTATAGATGAATACCAGCTTCGTTGGCGCTCTCTGCTACAATACCATTCGTCTGATCTCCAGCTACAAGGTCCCCTCTCCGTTGGATGTCGTGTTCAGCGGGAATGCTGTTAGAAGGAGCCACGTTGTAATGGCTGCCTGTAATCATTCCTTTCTCAGCTAGGGCCATTCTCAAGATGCCTATACGCTCCTCCTGCGATCCACTAGCGTTGTATATCAATCAGACACACCTTGACCGACCGACACAGGACAACGCACATTACAGTCTCATTCTCCTCGAGAGCTTTCTCTATTTCAACATCCTGGTCGTTAGGATTCTCTGTTATATGCTGCCCAAGGAGTTCCTGGGTTTCACGGAGATGCTGAAGTGAGTTCTGCAGCCGGACGATTTCTGCATCGATTAAAATGGGCCAATCCATGATAGCACATAGTTGTGAATCAACCTTCAGTGATCACAGGAATATCCAACTGGATCGCCTGGTTTAAGGTAAATGGCTGGGCATAACGAGGAGTGTACTCCATGAAAGTAAAGTGTAAGGCGCGCCAGTTCGTGTTACCGTTTTCGGAAGCCATCACCAGCTTACATGCACGGTCTCTAGAAATTGTAGAAAGGTATAGATACATGTATATGGTATTTCAAGAAGTAAATATGTCTGCCCATACTGTCCTCAATTCTTTCAAGTCGCTTATAACAACTACTCCATTATCTGCGCCACCATTTGTGCTACTGGTAATTTGCTGGACCTTGCCACCTTCGACGTGGTTTAAGCCATGCTCGCAAAAGTGCACACAGTTTTTCCAGCCGAGAGCGCGCGCCGCATCAACATTGCGTCTATTGTCATCTACAAAGAAACATTTCGAGGGATCGGACACGTTTGCTTGTCTAAGAGCCTATTCAAGTCAGCACACTCTTTGGTGAACTTATGGTAATTCGTAACTTACTTTGTGGTAGTATTCAGGCTCTGGTTTGCTGATAAGATCTTTCTCCGCGTAATCGCAAAAGACGAGGCCTTCAATTTGATCATGGAGATTGAGAATTCGAAGAACACGCTCTGCATGCTAGGAAAAGAATATCAAACGGTAATCACGACATTGGTACGAGGTAAGACCCACTGGACGATATGCATTAGTTAAAGCCCACACACGTGCTTTGCTCCGATCTATGTCTTCAAAGAGTTTGCGAAGGAAGGGGTCGGGCTCTATCATCTCTTCGAGAGGCAGTGAACCATCGCACTTTTCGTCAAAATCTAACGGGTCTGTGCAGGATAAGCCCACAAGTCCAAGCCCAATCAAAGCAAGCACAAACCTACGGCGTGATGCCGGACCAATCCAGCCAGTGCAAGTCCATATTGTGTATAATATCTCAAGTGTAGCTCAGAGGCCTCCTTGTCATCTAAGCCCAAGGTCAAAAAGTAGGCTGAGAGTGTGTTAGGCCTCAATCAGCATTCCGATGAGGAACATGCCGTGAATTCTCTTGCCCATGGCCCGGGACACATCAGCACTGTGGGAGTGTCAGCCTGCCGAAAAGGACCCAGAATGTGTTCATAGACGCTCCTAGTGGAATACAAGGTATTGTCTATGTCAAACCATACGATGTAACGATCGTCTGAGAGAAATGATGATCAGAGACGAGTGCACGGATGGAGGCAGTCAACGCTTGCCTTCCGAGTCTGTGGACATGGCTGTTGAGGATAAGATGCAAGATATTACGGAGACCCCTTTGGTCCTTGAGATGGGCAGCTTGCGTTGGAAGATGATGGCTTTCGTAAGATCTTTAGTGCTGAGTCATACGATCATCAATGATTACATTGATAATGATTCGTGGTAAAGGAAAATTGAACCGAATGGTTCTCGTCAACAGAAGGTTTTTCACCCTAGATGACGCTTGTTCGCTGTGAGTGGTACGAGACAACATATGTGAAGTAGGTTTCCTACCGGCTCAACGAGAGTGAGAAATGCTAGTATTTACAATACCTAGTTGGCGCAGAGGCGGCTCTCGACACTTGTCGTCCGAGATCCCCGAAGATCACGTGTAACAAGGAAGTTGTGACGGCAAATCCCGTAACTGTACAGTTATCGGATAGTGCCGAACTCGCATGGACAACAACAGGACTACAATTATCGGCATCGGCCTCAACGACCTCAAGACAAAGTGCGTATCGTTAAGATGTTTGACTTGCCGCTACTGAAAGGATCCGTTGTAGATGGCCAGAAGTAAAGAACTCGTCCCCCATATCGGCCGTCTCTCGCGCTCAAAACTCGCTGCCAAGCGGGGTCTTTACAAGGGACTGAAAAAGTCGGGGAAGCCTACTGTTGACACCCCCCCCGAGACCGTGGAGAAGACCATTGGTGGTGACAAGAACGGTGGGAAGCGTCTTGTCCCAACATCGAAGGCTCCTCGTTTCTACCCTGCTGAGGACGTCTCCCAACCCAAAAAGAGCCGCAAAACCCCCAAGCCAACACAACTTCGTGGCTCCATAACTCCCGGTACTGTTTTGATTCTGTTGGCTGGAAGATTCCGGGGAAAGAGGGTTGTGTTCTTGAAGCAGTTGGATAGCGGGCTTTTGCTGGTGACGGGTCCGTTCAAGATTAATGGTGTGCCATTGCGACGGGTCAATCAGGCATATGTGATTGCTACGTCTACCCACATTGATATCTCCAAAGTCAACGTTCGTCCGCTTTTTTTAAAAAAATCTGCTTTTATGAACTCTCACGGCTTTGCAGTTGGATGGCAAATTCAATGACAAATACTTTGCGAAGACTGACTCCAAAGGTGTTGTCTCTGCTGAGGCCGAGTTCTTTGAGGAGGGAAAACCCAAGGCGAAGGCGGCTCTTCCTGAATCAAAGACAGCTGACCAGAAGGCTGTCGACGATGCTATCATTGTATCCGTCAAGAAGACGAGCAACCTGGCCAAGTATTTGGCAGCAAGCTGGGGTCTATCGAAGGGCCAGTTCCCTCACCAGCTGGTATTTTAGATGTAGCACAAGTTGGGGCTGCCGTTAGGGGCGGGCGAGGGCTTAAGACTTGACTATGTTATATGTTACATCTATGATGATACATGCACGCCGCCGTTTGAAAGCCAAATTCACTAGCGCCCAGTAAAGGAAAAAGTACCAAATTGTTGGCGTTGTGACACATGTGACAGCCGTGTTCTATGTTTCGTACATGCCATCGTGGTCTGCGTCTCTCCAGTCATCCTCACCATCGCTTTCGAGCACTGGCTCCCAGGCGCGACTTATCCTCCGTCGCCAATAGTTTTCTTGACTTTGCCACTGCCATTCCATACCCTGCATCCTTCCCTCCTTACTCCTCGACAATCATCCTCGTCACCGTTCTAACGCGTATTGCCGTGCTACCAATCGCAGCATGGGTATGCGAGTCCACTCCCCCTCCAAAACGACAGAAGTAACACAAATGTACAGGGAAATAATCGCATGCTTCGCTACCAACAGCTCGTAATTCCCCAAATCGAAAAACGGAAACCGTATATCTGGCAGGAAGAGCTGATCAAGATGAGAAAGGATGGCTTTCGTGGAGACAAGGAAGAAGCTCGCAAACTTCTTTCCAAACGCATACAACCTATTGTGGGTGCCTGCAAATGCTGGGTTGCAGCATGCATTGACATTGAACAGTTCAAAGGTCTTGAAAAGCAGCTGTGCAAAGCGTATCGCTGCCAAAAGATACCTACCATGGTTGTGCCTCCGCTCTCCCAGATGGCACTGTTCTTTCCTCTGTCAATTTTCTTTGGCGGTGTCGCTGCCGACCCGTTCTCTGGCTTTGACGCAGAATCATTCATGACGCTGACCAGCCTATCACTCCCTGACGAAACCCTTACAGTACCCATCCTCGTCGGTCTTATTACCATGGCCAATGTTGAGTCCAGCACTTGGTTCATGACGGTAACCGAGAAACAGGCTGTCGCGCAAAGGGAACAGCAGCGGAAGGATGCAGCCTCGAAGGGGGTTCATCATATCGTACCTGCAAACGGTATCAAGCAGGCCTTACGCGTCGTGTCTGTCTTACGTATAGTCTTTGCTGCGCAGGTATCAGGTGTACGTGTCTCTTTCTAATCATCAAACTATGCGTGCCTATATACCGTCGTAGGCTGTTGCCTTGTACTGGGCCACTTCTTCCTTGTGTGGCCTGTTCCAGACTTGGTTCATGGAGTCTCTTCGTCGACGTAAACTCGGCCCATCCCCATCCAACAACAAGGGAATATAGCCAAACTTTGGAGGGCCAACACGATGTGAGTCTAGGACCTTATTCTTGGGGATGAAAATAAAAGTGGTATAGAGGGACCCGCTTTCTGGTTCTCCGGAGAGCTGGAGCTTCATGAGAATGTCTTGATCTAATATGACCTATCCCCCTTCTCTTTCCTCTAATGAATAATCCCTGACGCTCTGCTTCAGACCGTCTGCTCTTGTCTTACACCCAGATCTCTTTCCTGTCGGAGAAGAACATCGACTCCGAGCTCAGGGTGGCAAAGACAACCTTTCGTCAGAGGAAAATGTGACGTATCTAGAATGAAATAAGTATAGATAGATAGTCGCGTTTACAAAGCTAATACAAGGATATCTGTCCAGTACACACTTAGGCCATGCCACCCCACGGACCGCGTATCCGTCGTGCTAGTTGGATGTCTCTTTGCATAATGGTGACCCGCTTGGCATGGAGTGCACACAAATTACTGAAGAACAGAATTATTAGCAGAGGCAACCACTGAGACGTGGTCATTACTGACGCATCCTCAAACAAATGGACCAGAAAAGCCTCCGTGGCTTCTTGAAGAGCCAGTAAAGCAGTAGTCTGCCATCGAAGTTGGCCGGTGTCGTAGTTGTCGTTCAAATCCGTGGTCATATCAAGGGCAATTTCCCGGACCTGGATCATATGAGAGTAGGACAGCACATGACGGCGCAGAGACGCACCAGGCGAGAAAACGGTAGCTTTCGAAGCAACAGGTCCGTGCTCTTTTGATACTTTCGTATCTCCCGCAACGCGACCGTTCCAGGACGGAACCTATGAGGCTTTCGTGGGGGACCTTGGCCTACTAGAAATCAATAGAATTTCAATGTTGAAGTAGAAAGGGCAACTAGACCTTGTCCACCACGGGGGGCTGATCCACCTGTGCTTTTACGCGCAGTGGCCTTCGACCTCTTGGAAGCAGGTTCTGGAGAAGAGCCTGACGGCCGTTCCTTTCGTTTTGACGACTGAGCAGACGGAGCCATGGTGAAAGAAAAAGACAAGGGGACAGATGAGGAACCAAGGCAAGCCACTTCGATCGTGGTTGGACTTGGTCCCAAAAAGGCAACACTCAGTCGCGTCTTGGACTCTTACCACCATCATCGCTGCAATAATCGAATCCATTCCATATCCTTTGAAAATAACAGATGCCTCAAGAAGTTCTGACAGGCGGGTACTATCGATACACAGATATCTGGTTCGACTGGTAAGATCGATGGGCTCGGTGGTGACAGTGTCAAAGAACACCTTTCCTACAGGGCGGAGAACAATACAACAGATCGTCCGCGATTAAAAGCGATGTTGGGTGAGTAATTCTTGTTTCTCGAATACTTTGCCTGATCAGTGGATAGCCCATGATTCCTTGGTGAGCCCCGATCATCCACTGCACATCGAAGGCGTGGAGGGCGTACAGCTGTACATGGGTACGCGTTTGCAGATTTGGACTTGGAGTGAGCCCCACATTGTGTGTCTAGGACAGCTTCATAATGGGGAGTCACGTATTCTGTTCTCCTCAAAACAAGTCGATTATGTGCGCTACTGGCTTGTGAGTGGCCATGTTGCCACATGCTACAATCTCACCCTCCTGTCCCTATAGCACGCCATGAAGCTCACGGAAAATATGGTTCCCCTTCCATATTCCAACTGCCTTCTTACCAAGGCTGATCTCAAGACCGTCTCCCCCGTAATTTACAAAACTGGAGGCGATCTCAAATTAGCCTGCACGGTACAGTCATGAGTTTCTTCCAGGAAAGAACTCACACATTTCTAGAATATGACCAAGTTTAACAAGCGTCTCAAGGGCTCAAACCCTCTCTTGATGTCCAGGCGCCTTGCCTTTGAACGTGTTCGCTCCTTCTGGGCGGAGAAAAAGGGTGTTTGGTGTGCAATGGATTTTGAAGGATGGGAGAGAGAACACGCTATGATAACAGAATTTGGGTGGAGCGTTGTTCGATGGGATAAAGGTGTAGAAGTGGCGGATCACGGCCATCTCAAGGTGAAGGAAGCCCTGAATTACAGGAATGGTGTATACGTGGCTGATAACCGTATGGTATGCTCGCTGATTTTTTTTTTTTGCTTTTTCTCTGTTTGACCTTTCCATTAGAATTACGACTTTGGTGAAAGCCAGGTTATCTCCAAAAGAGAGCTCCCCAAGTTCATTGAGAAGATGATTCAAGATTTAGCGGAGTACGGTGCCATCTTCTTGGTCTTCCATGATAACTCCCAAGACATCAAGTGCGTATATTTCTTTGTGAACATGTCTCTTAAATGGTCTCTATCATGGCCTTAGGTACCTTCGACAGATCGAAGCCCCGATAGAGGGTTACTCTCACATACTGCCAGATGCCGTCCCTGAAACTGGCGTCTATGTGGTTGATACTGCAGACCTTTTTGGTGGTTTATTGGGTGAAGACTCGCCCGGAAATAAGCGTGGTCTTGAACAGATGTGCCACCACCTCCTGGTCCCCACCCAACATCTCCACAATGCAGGAAACGATGCCTATGTAAGTTATCTTCTGAATAAGTTATGGGTTTTCTCGACATGCTGTTCTAGTACACTCTTACTGCATTAAAGTCAATGGCAACAGAAGGTCCTCTTGATGCTCAAAGAGAGAAGAGGTGGCCAAACCACACTGGTCCTCGCGGAGGCGTGAAAGTCGAGTTTACTGCAGAAGAGGAGGACAGCGACTCCGATTTCTACTAAGGTTTGACAACTGAATCCGTATCTTGACAAATATCTTTGTATTTTACCCGTTGTATGTAAGTAACCATGTACCAGTTCAATTGTTTTTTGGAATTACCAGCGTCGCGTCGCAGACTACTGGATGCAAGATCCGAAATAAATTAATCCTCCTTGGTATCTTTACCGCCATCTTCGCCATCGTCCTCATCATCGGAACGCACATCGTCGGTCACTGATGTCATGACAGCCCTGTGTAAAACAAGTCAGGACTTTAAAACTACATGACACGAGAACATCTGTTACCTGTATAGAACGCGCATGATCAGATAGTACCAGAAGAGATTGAGAAGCTGAAGCAGTGCAATGGGTACAAAGATCTGATACTTCATCCACCAAGTCAACCAAACGCCCTCCGAGGGTTCCCATACTCTTGAATGCTCACTTGTGACACAAGGATGAGTAAAAGGAGCACTGAATAACAATTTACGCACGGAATAAGGTCGAATTCGGTCCATACCGAATACAGGATTATTAGATTCAAGAAATGTCGGAAGTACCTGATAAACGAAATGTCTTTCCTGTGTCAAGGAGGGAAAAAAGTGTACACACGTCCAGATGCCAATGAAAAGAGCGAAAGAAAAGATCTTGGCCCGCTCCCACTGGATGTAATTGAGTAGCTTCGAGAACTTAAGAAATCATAAGTAGGCAGGCCTGGATAATACTTGACGAATGTCCTACAGCTAACGATGCGTCTGGAATATCCATACTCATGTAAACAGCATTACCGATTAGGGTGAGGTTAACGAGGTAGCTCCATCTTCAGGAGACGTCAGAAATGACTGGTGGGAAGTCAGTGCTGCTTACCCAACAAGCCAGATGGTGACGATGTGGTGCGCTACTAATTCGTTGTAATCTTTGCGCGGCTTCTCGAATTTTAGAAGCATAACGAGTAGTTGTTGAGACCAATACGCCATCTGCATGAGATAGTAACGCTTCAGTTCCGGTACCATGTCCCAGTGGGGGTAGTCTTTATGCCTGGTTAACATCGGGGTACCTCACGTCTAAAAAAAACTAACCAATCCAGAAGTATTCCGTTCGGTACCACCATGTTGGCAGTTGGTACATGATGCGCTGGCAAGGGGTAAGCTTGGTGACTTTAAAGGCCATGAAACGGGGACTAACCGAGCCCCAGCACCCCATGATGAAGAAGTAGAACACCGCATACCCCTGTTCACCGAAACGGTCGAGTTTACCTTCTTTGCGAATACCGTAGTATTTAGCGATAGGTCGACAGATGCTGACTGTGACAAATTGGCGAACCATGGACCAGAAAACGATGTGATAAGCAATGAAGACTAGGTCAAACCAGCCTTTTTGGTATCGCGGGTCGTCAAGTGATGAGGTAGGAATATAATGCGACAGAAGGAAGAAGACGCTGAAAGGATTTGCACTTTGGGTATCAGGGTATGGCCCAAGAATGTGGGAAAGAATAGGCTCCAGGGACTTTCCTAGCCATGGGGCCAACACTTCCCAGTTCACGTACAACACCACAGGAGCGATGAGTAGCTTGAATGCTTCCACTGGGCAGTAGACGATGTCAGCCTGAAGAGCGTAGAAACAGCAAACGGCTCGCCTGGTTCAATTGCCCATCGCAGCCATGGGGACACAGGTGGGCGTGAAAACGGGCCGCCCCGAAACGGTGATGCACTTCGTTCCTCCACAGGCGTCAAGCTGCCCAACGGTCTATGCGTTGATGTCAATACCAAGAATTTTTCATAGTAAAAGGCGCACGTCTGAGGCATAAAGGGGCCGACAAGGTGGTGGGCAGGATCGTGTCTAAATAACAGTCAATCCCTGGAAAATCGTTTGTGCATGAAACCCACTCGATTCGATTGGTAATGACTGTGAAGGAATTTCCCCGCTTCCTGCTCTTTGCTGTCGATGGCGACATGTAGAAGGGAGCCTTGTTGACCGTGATGATGGTGGTGGTGAGAGAAGGGAGTTATTACACCTTCCGTTACCTGAGTTCTGTCGCGAGAACGGCATTTTCCGTCTCAAATGTTCTCTTTGCAACATCTCTTTCAGAGCGTGCAGTGTCCTGAATATCCCAGCTGCACGCGTCAGAATTGTATATTTTCGCATCGTGCAGACCTCCCGTCGCCGCCACCGTTGACTGTATCAAGCAATGAAGGAAAGGCAGCAAGTACACGTCAGTTGCCGAGTACTGCAGGCCCGTCTGTAGTTCCCACCAAACGAGCCTCAGTCTCGATACCTCCTCGAACGACCAGTAATCCGATAGGAGAGCCACCGCGAAAGCTGCAGGTAGTTGGTACTGGCACTGGCTCAGTACGAAAACCAAATCCGATACCTATCGCGTCAACTTCCTCTGTGAGTCAAATTATTGTCGTTCAGCTCTCGAAGCCGACCATTGTGGTCAAGTCTGTAGGCCCACCTGTCCTCAGAGTATCTGCCGCTTCGTCTCGTGTGGCTGTTCCGGTGCGACAGACCATGCTCCGAACACTATATGACCATTTCACGGTGCTCTACGAGAAAATATTGCCCAAGAATCCGGATATTGCTTCTGAACACGCGCTCCGACAAGAGGATGAGGTGTACCAGAAGTCGACCAAAGCATCGTATCGTGTTGTGAGTCCATCGCAGCATCTACCACGTCTGCTGTTCTCATCATTAGCAGGCCGTAATACATTGTGCAGCTTCATTGAAGCGACGTCAGATACCCGATTCGATATTCCATGCCTCCGTGGGTACTACGGATGATCTTGTAGTGCGTGCAGAGGCTCAAAATTCCATCAAGTCTCTTCGTCTTGTGCGTGCACACCTGGAGCCTCATCTTTTGTCTTTGGATACTATGCGTACTTGGGGTTACATTGTAGACATACCCGAAGGCGAAGGGGGTTCTGAGCCCAGTCGAGAAGGACAGACCGTAGTCTGTGAACGATGTCGAGAGCCGTTTCTAGTAACACCTCACCCGAAGGATGAATGTCTTCATCATTGGGGTAGACCGTATTCCAAGAAAACCAGTGGTACGACTATCTTTTATGAACCTACGAGACCTTACTCTGCGTACAGGTCAGCGTGAACGATTTTACAGTTGCTGTTCGAAATCTGTTACAGAGAACGAGGGTTGCATTCGGGGACCACACGTGTTCTATGAATCAGATCCCAATGCTTTGCACGCCCGACATTCGTTCTCATTTCTCAACTCCACTCCTTCGGCTCAAGAGATTGTCGCCCTCGATTGTGAGATGATCTACACCACAGGAGGGATGCGCGTTGCCCGTGTTTCTGTGGTTGATGGCACGGGTGCCGAAGTGTTCGATGAGTTGGTTCGGATGGATGATGGTGTCTATGTGCTGTCCGTACCCTCTTCTCTGTTGCGTGCTCTGATTTTATCATCTTTCTAGGGACTTCAATACCCGGTTTTCTGGTATCACCGAAGAAGCATACACCAAGGCGACTCGGTCCTTATCTGAGATTCGACAGGCTTTAGATGCGATTATCAGCTCAAGTACTATCCTCATCGGCCACGGTCTCGAGAACGACTTGAGAACCCTGCGCATGATACATCATCAATGCATCGATACTGCCATCATGTTTCCACATCCAGCTGGTCATCCCTATCGAAAAGCATTGAGAGACCTGTAAGCGTTGAGTAACAGCTTATAAACACCTGGCTGATAGATCTTTGTAGAGCCCGTGAGCATCTCGGCATCAGAATTCAGGCCGGTGGGAGTGCAGTAGGGCATTCTTCAATAGAGGACTCTGTCGCCACCCTGGATCTCGTACGCTGGTTCGTACTGGAGAAGCAGAAAGTGTCGAAGTCAAGTCTTTCCGCGAATCCCCGTTAATTCTGCGGATTGGCCTCTCCTCTTTACCCTTTAGTGACATTACTGGACTGCTACCAACAGGCAGAATACTAATACCTCTAGCATATCACCTGTGTAGGACTCCAATTGTATCTGTAATATGTAGCATATCCTCATCGCTTCGTCGATGACTTTTTAGTCGCCTTTCTTCTCCGTCCGCCGGCTTTGCTAACGGGGACATATTTCGCGTTACCGTTGCTTGGCGTTACGGTGCCACTGCGTCCAGAGTCCGAATCATCATCACCAACACTATACCCCTCATTAGCACTATCTCCAGGAGAATCATTAGCATCCGTCGATGACCGGGCAACCACTTTGTTATAGGCGCCACTGACGAGCGCCAGGAACCACGTTCTCATGATATGCGGCGACGTTGCGGCTGAGGAATCCAGCAATTCCATATCCCCAGAAGGGTCAAGCTGCAGAGGGAGGACGTAAGTAAGGTTTAGTATTGGCCGCCTTATACACGCACGATGAAAACATTCATCCCTTCAACAACCATGTCAATAGAACGACCCCGAATCTGAAGGGGATTTCCATCTCCATCGTAGCGAGGGTTTCCTCCAGACAGATTGACTTTGACCTATCATCAAGGACGAGAAGGCGATAAATATTGATGGAGAAAGCAGATGGCGGCTGACATACCTTCCTCTGGCCTTCAACAGGTATCATTTTGGGGCCCCATGCAGCTAATGTAGCATCTTGCCGAATGCGTTCTATGCGTTCTAAGTCCCTTCTATAATTCATTTTCTGGATAACATATTGCAAAGACGATGTCAGAATCGTCAAGAACACCAGCACGCTCTGATAAATGATACATATGAGCAATGCATATTGGATCAAATGGTATGATCAGTACTCACCCCAAGCCCTGGCCTGAACCGTGAATAGTAGTATCCTGTTCCTCTCCATTTAGGCACACCGTTCTTGTAAAAGAAGTCATAACTTCATACAAGTCGTAATGATGAGGGCCGGCACCTGGCACATTAGCAAATATGACGTTACCGTTTTCTACTCTCAGCATTCCTCAAGATGCTTGATACTACCCCCAAACGGGCGAATCGTTCGTGTATCTTTTTATCATTTGGGTTCTTGTCGGGACTATGAAGCGGAATCGCGATGAGAGATAGAGCGATGCAAGTTAGAAATGAATGCACTGTAGCTGCATGCTCATTTTCCTGTACGCTTTCGCGATTTCCGGCGTCGTAGCAGTGTGCGGGACATCGAGCCACGAGTAAAAAGTCGTTCCTTTGCCCTCAGAAGCTTCTATCGCGCTGACGAGGTCGAAAATTTCATGGTCTTCCTGTCACTGCATGAGTACGACCCACGTACATGTCCTTGAAGAACAAGCTCACTTTTTCCCATCTTCAATAACATGCCCACGTCAGGAAGAGCTGCCAACACACAGAAATCACTCACGCAGCAACAGTCGTTACCAGAACGACCAGGAATGTGAGGAAGAAAGCAAACCTCATTTTGGTGCGACCACAAAAAGCCAGCAAATGGAAATGTTCAGGTACGAATTTTCACGTGACTCCGTTTCTTCGAACTTGAACTTCACAAAAGTTCGAATGGCGCCTCGTCGTCGTTGCCCTGTATGTCAGTCGCGTCAATGGCACAAAGAGCCTTCAAGTGGTCTTATTGCGTGCAGTGAAGGACACATCCTTCAGGTAAGACTTATTCAATTCATTATGCCGTATGATAATTTTGGGGCGAACAGAATTATCGCAATGAAACTACTACCGAGGCAGAAGACCTGGGTGGTGCCCATGCTATGCTGAAACGTACCATAAAGTCAGGGCGAAAAAAGGCTGAAGATGTGGGTATTGGCCGTGCAAATCCTCAACGTTCGTCCAAAAATGCCAAAAGTTGGACCTGGATTGACAAAAACATACTTGCAGTGTATCATGGCGCGAGGGGAACGTATCTCTATTTCCAGTGCCTCCAAATTATTTTCCGGAAACAGATTGCCGCCTTGACAAAGGTATGGAATCTACCATCGGAGTTTGAGGTAAATTGTTTTCTCGGCCTTGATCAAATACCAGACTCAGTTCTGAAAGCACAGTTAGTTTGCCGGGATATCTGGACGTTAAACTTGACACTTCTACCTGAACATCCTCCGCCCGAGCCGTATCATTACGTTCATGGCGAAAATGCGGGCTCACAAGACGATGACGACCAGGATCCCTCATCTGATGAGAACGACGAAGACGGGGATGACGATCGCATTCTCGCCACTCTTCATGCGGATACGAGTTCTGAATCTGAGCTTGAAGATGAAGATGGGGACGGAGTCAGACGCGGAGAAGCAAAGCAACCACGGAAGAAGCGTTCGCCTGACAGGTACAGATCATTGACTAGTACCATTGCGGTGCTCATGTTAGCATGCTGGACAATGAGGATTCCGGTAATGTTTCGTGACTTTATCAGGTCAGTGTATTCGCTAGCCCCTTGAGCATCAGATTGATTCCAAGACGTCTTCAGCGCCATCGAAGCATACGATCTGCCGTATTTAGATCCAGTTCGGCTTTTACCTCCGACTATGGTGGCTCATTTGACAAGAGCAAAGATCCAATCATTGTCGATGCAGGTGATTCATACAGTTTTGAGTCGGTTATTTTTGCGTTACTAAATAATGAATCACTTGTATTCAAGCGGCCGCCTCGAACATTGACCCTCCATAAATTGACGTCAAGATTAACCAAGAAGATGCATGCGTTATTTGGTGTTTCCACACCAGAACTAAATGCAGCTCCACTGCTATGGCGTGTAACAAGGGTTTTCGGTGGAAATCGTGAGACTCCACTATTATTACAATTTCTATTTGAGGCCATTCAAAATTCTTCGAAGCGACATTGTATCAGTTGACCAAACAGCTCGCACGTTTACTTTCCCTTCCCCTGAGCGTCAGTTACGCGTTGGCGCCAGGCCTGGAACGGCTCAAAGAAAACGATCCGGAACACCGTATGTATGACCACGTGCCGGTGGAAGTTGGGTTTGTCGCAGTGACGATAATCGCGCTGAAGATGGTGTATGGATTGGATGGGGTACAGAGGTTAGTTAATACTTGGCAAGAAAAGAAGGTCGTTGATGGTAGTTATGCTTCCAGAGTGCGTCCCGAGCCTGGCGATCCAGGATTGAGCCTTCCGGCTATCGATGAGTATCTGGAATACGTGGGCAGGTTGTCTGAGGAGGACATAAAGGAGCAGAGCACCATGTTCAGCTCGGAAAGTCAAATGTAAGTGGACTGGCAAATGACGTTGGCAAGGCAGTTGACGACAGGAATGGTGAAGGTCGGTAGGTGATCTCGATGAATTAATGTTGGATGAATATGTTTCATTCTGCGAACGAGCGTTGTTGGGAGGCGAGAATGGTAAGTTATGGCAATATGACGTGACTGAGAGGCCTGATTTAGAATCAAAAGACGGGGACGGCATGGTGGCAAAGTATTTTCCCCTAAAGGGTCGCAAGTGGAAAGATCTGCCGGACTCAGAGACAGAAATACCATGCGGAAAGATGCAGGGATCAAGGCCAGATGAGGATGGACAAGGCGATCGGCCCGGGGAGAAGTACAAAGTTTTTATTGGAACGGATAGTGGTGGGAGCGTGGCGGCCGCTCTAGAAATGGTTGTGCGAAGGGGTGCCGGGTACATCAAGGTGAGCGAAGAGGACGTATTCAGCGTGACTGAACGGTGTGAACGACGTTTACTGTCCTGGTGGAAGAAACAACGGAAAACTAACGCAAACATTGAAGAAATTCGTACCTAACTTTGTCATGCTGAGTCATTGCTGTAACGTACTTTACTTCTAAAATTGGAATGAGACAGTTGCTTTTTTTGTCAGATTCTTTCTCGAATCCGACCATCGTCCGGCCCTTGACCATTATTAACGACAACAAGTGCAGCAACCCCGACGCAGCGACATCGACACCGACACCGACACCGACCAGAGTGCGTGACAGCAGTGAGCCCCCTTGATACTGAACCAGTGCGTCCTACTGATGATGGCCCGACCGTGATTCAGCACTGATTTGTCGACTTGCTCCCTGCACCGTCCCTCGCTGCCACCTGTTGCTCATCAGACTACCTTTTATTTACATAAATTCTGCTCCTATATCCTCCAGCCCAAATGCTCTTTTGATTCTCTCCGGCCATGCGTCGTTTTACTTCCGTCTTCTCTTCCAAGCGTGACAAGGGAGACTCATCCACCAGCAGCCATCCTTCTCACAGCACTACCAATCTCTCCAAGAAGACCGTAAAGAGGGCCAATACCTTCCACTCTCCAGTGTCCTCGTCCACCTCGTCGTCGCCTCACTTGAGCCGCGGAAGTGATATCGCTCATTCCTCTGCTTCCTCGACGGGCTCTGCTAGCCTTCAGACTCCGGATGACCTCCCACTATCCCTAGACCGGACTCCCACAAAAGCCAAATCTTGGATCTCATGGCTCGGGAAAAAGCCTTCGGTCATCAAGGTCAGGCAGCCCCAAACCCAGGAAATTAATCGAGACTGGCGTCCTTCTTGCCCGCCACCTTTACTCCGCCAACCACCTCCTGGTATCAGATCTCCCCCTCCGGTACACGACTCTGAACAGAGCTCATCCGAAGATGATGATGACGATTCGTTTCTCTCTGGTCACCCGGTCGAGGTCGACCCTACCTTCCCTTCTTCTGCCGTGCCTATCTCCCGAAAATACCTCCATAGTCTCATACAAAACGCCCTCGTATACCACCTTTCTCTCTCGCCTTTTGTCCAGCTCGATTCTCAGACTTGCCCACTTTACCCACGTTCGTGTAATTCTCCACGTTCCTTGTCACATCAAGAGTCGCTTCGTTCATCAATGCTCAAAGCACACCTCTTACGGCGTTTGCTTGACCCCGCAGACGCATTTACACCAGCAGAGCAGGATGCCATACTGCCTTTTAGTCTCAGATCACCTCCACTTCCCCTACTCCCCGGTTCTTTTTCTGATAGTGTGGATGAAGTTGCGCTACCAAAGTCTGCCCATGTCGTTGGGTACAGTGAAGGCCTGCGCCGTTGGATAAACCGTCCTTGCTTTGAACATCGGTTCGCTGTTTGGATCCGCACAGACGACGGCATCACACAGTGCCAAGTGACTGGGACACGTTTTGCCGTCGCAGACCTCGAGTTCTCAGAGACGCTCGAAGCTATGGCCGATTTCAGCCAGCACCTGTATCAACAACTCCCGCTTCCATCACAGGCAGTCGAGCTGTCATCTCATGCTGTAATTCCGTTGCCTCAGCCTTTGCCTGTGCCAGAGCAGGAACCAGAGCCGGAACCAGAAATGCTCAGTCCAAGCTCAGAGGTGCCGCCGCCGTCACCGTCAAGCAGTTCATCTCATACATCTCGTAAGTTGCCCACCCCTTCATTAACGTCGTGTCAACTGACCTGGACGTAGAACCCGGCCGAGTTGCCCCGTACCTCGCCACGCCGTCACCGCTACGCAATCAGCATGCCGTCCTCAAATCAACATCACCAGGGTCGTCTTCAGCCTCTGTACAGCCATCATCTTCTGCTCCGGCGAAACGTGGCGTTAGATTTGCCGAAGATGGCAAGGAGGATAAAATCCCCATTGGGTATGTCATGCGCATAAAGAAACAACGGGAAGCCAAGGCCAAGTTTTTGCGTGAGCAGCAGGAGAGGCGGCAATTTGAGGAGGAGAAGATAAGAATAGAGGATGAAAGAAGAAAGAGAGAGCAAGAGAGGATCGAGTGGGAGAAAGAAAGGCAAGCATGGGAGAAAGAGAAGCGGGCCATTGAGGAAGAGAGAAGGAAGAGACTGTATGCTGAAGAGCTGGCTGCAGCTAGAATGCGACGAGAGAACCAGCGGCACGGTGGAAGCAGCAGAGCCATTTCGAGTTCGAGTTCGTACACGTCTTTGAGAGGTGACGGAAATGGATTCGAACGTATTAGACACGATTCGATGAAGCAATTGCGCCCTTCCCACGATCACTTATACGTACAGCCATCACCAGCACGGCTACAAGGGTCAACCTCGTCACCATCGCGGAGATCGAGCTTTGTCGGTCAACCTGCCATACCCTCACCTATGCAATTTGGACAACTTCCACTTCCAATTCCGGGACCCGGTTCCCGTCCTTCGTCGCTATACTCGTCGTCATCTGAGGACGTCGGAATGAGTACTAAACGATATACTATGGCTTCGACCTCCAACTACCATAATGTCAATATGTGGTCGGCCAGCAACGCAAGTCTCCTTCCGCCTGCCGGATTTGACATGCCCCTTCTGCCGCCCACCGCACCGTTTATGCTCCATCAGTACCACCCACGTCAACCGTTGCAACCGTTATTGAGCCCTTCTCCATCCAAGCACAGTTTTAGCCGCAGCTCGGATCGCATTAGCCGTCCCTCCACATATGACAGTAGTCTTTCGAATCGATCAAGTTCGTCGTCGCCTCACCGGCAAGTAAACCACCAGCGCCGGTCAAGTGGAGATCACCAACCCTCTCCGATGCGACCACAGCAGCAGAGGGGGAGAGCGATAGAACCTGCTTCGTCTAATCGTCTATCTACTGCATCATCCCGATCGAATGTCAAAGTTGGATACACTGCTCCAAACATACAAAGAGGGGTCCCGACGAGGCGGCAGACTTCGTATTCATGATCGCTCCTTTTGCTTCTCATCTCACGACACATCATCTATATCACCATCGGGATCCCTCAACAACATATTGGTTTCCACCTCGAATTCTTTATTTGGATTCTACGTATCATGACACTTGAGCATATTCGATATGCTGCTGCACACACTCGTTAAACCTTACTATATTATCCCCTCCGATCGGGACGTTCCCCTCATACGTAGCAACGGAAACAGAAACCAAATCCCTCTCAACCAGTCGACCTTCTTACCATCTCACTTCTCCCGCTCCAGTTCTGCAAGGTCGTTCATTTACATTATTCTTTAGCATAATGCATCAACAAACAAGCCGGACCACAGACAGTTATCTGGACATAGCACTACAAACATACTCGCACGTTATTATACCTACGACTTCGTTTTTGTTTACGTTTTGAACATTTGCCCTGCATTTTTATGTATTGTATTCTTTTACCATTTCCTCGACATGACAGCATTTTCAATCCATCACACGTTTTATCGTGTTACACTACATACCATTGTTGTTACCCTTTTGCCGTATACTTCGCGTGGCGGGAGGTGCTATGTGTTTGTCTTTTCCATTTCATTCACAGCGACAAGCCCTGAATACAGGAGTATTGCTTATGGTGCGGGAGTGGAAATTGATTACAGACCGCCAACACCATCTCAGTGTGTTTCGCTGGTCTGACTAAGCCGCCGTTTTCTGTACCAAGTCTGCAGCATGTAGACTGTACTTGTTTTCATCTGAGTCTCATCGGAATCGATTGTTCGAGTTTATTCCAAGTGTTTTTTCCTATCTTTGCCAAGTCTTTATCCGACTATAGAATAAGCACTTCTTATACGTAGTCTACTGTAAAGTACAGCTATATACAGTACGTAAAAATGCGGGGCAAATGTTCAATCGATTCGTAGGCGTGAAGATTTTCTCTGTATTAGGAACAAAAAAACATAAATTTTACTAGTGTGTACGCTTTGCAGATCTTCGCTTCCACTGACGTGTTCTGATGCCCCAGCACCACCAGCACCCAGTCGACCGTGTTTTTGACGTTTTTGAGGACTGCCAAGGTCTGATGATGATTTCTCATGCAACAGCATTTTGACCATACATTGTGTGTATCCGAAACAGGCGACGATGATCAGAGAACTGACGAGGGAGGCGACGGTGTGTGGGATGGGGTGATTCTTTTTCTGCTGGAGCCTCATGAACTCACCGTAATATCCCCAGCAGGAGTCCAATTATACGGATGATGATATCTGTGTTGATCTCATCAATGAGTACGATCCAGAGGAGAGCCAAGATGGCCAGCAGAATAAACCAGAAGGGAACCTTACACAACATTTGAAGACTGCTCAAGAGCCTGACTCAGCAGCAGAATCTTCCTCATCTTCACTCGGAAAACGACGCCATACTTCCGTTGAGGATACTCCACGAAAGCTACAGCGGCGGTTCCCGTATGAGGATCCCAATAACCCGTTTATTGATAAGGCTGTAAATCCAGATGAGCCGATCATAATCGTGAGGTACTATCCGATGTATTGGCATGGCACTGATTCATTCGTATACCCAGGCTCACAATTCTCGGTATCACATCTGCTTTCAAGCCCGTAATCTTCGATATGGTATACAGTATGAGATAGCACGTCTCGTTTCCACGGATGTGATCGAATACTCTGATATCTTAATCGATGTCCTTGATCAACTCAAAGGGAAGTCGAACCACGACGGTGTTCCTCTCGTCACTCAGGCCCTTACGCAAGGTAAATATATTAAGCAATGATTAATTATCGGTGTTATGAGGTCTTATATTTCTATAGTCATTAACACGTCTTTTGGTGACTCTGCATTCAGCAGAGAAAAAGAGGCCAAGGTAAATTCTTCGAAGTCTCTTTGTCGATCTGGTTCAGATACTGTCCAGAATCCATGGAAGGAATTGGATTTAGAGGAGGAGGCCTTGAAGAAAAACCCCAATGGCTGTCTTGGTTTCAACGAAGTCAACAATGATTGGTATGGTGGGAAGGTAAACTTCAGAGGAAAGCTGAAGAAAACATCGGAAAAGGGATCCTCCCCTTCCTTCAAAATTGTCTTAGAAAAAGCCGAGCTGGGTCCTTCCAACCGTTTCGCTCGAAAATTTGGTTCAAAATCTTTTCTTCGCATCAAAGTTACCAAAGAATGTCTTTCTTACGAGAAGGAGCTAGTCTCATTCTTCAAGCACCCCTTCATCTTGAATGGTTCTGTGTTTCGAGCGTTCTACGAAAAGGACAAGAATGTATTTTTATTCATGACCGATGAGGTCGTTGAGGGTTCTGAAATCTCCAGAATTTCCCCTCAGAGATTTCGACCTGATAGGATTTCTCTGATTGGTTTTCTGGATTGGCATAATCCTATCATGAATAATATTACTCAAGTGAGTTTTTTTTTACCTTCATTAAATGAACACTAGTTGAACTTTTGTTAGACAATGGCCAAGTGGTCGGCACGATTCGCATTGGGCTTGTCTAATTCAGCCCCAGGGATATTGTTGAAGACTGAACAAATCAAGGAGATAAAAAATGTCGGTAAGTGATTATGATGCTCCAAATCCTCAGGATGGTGTAAATATTGTTCCATTAGTATCATCCCAGGGGTCGGATATGACTGACGGGGCAGGCCTTGTAAACAAGGCTGCATTGTTGAAGCTGAAGAAGAAATTTGACTGGGATGATTGGCCCACGGCCATCCAGTGCCGAATAAATGGGAATAAGGTATTACTCTCAATTATTTATATGCACATGTAACACTCACAAATATATGCAAGGGCCTGCTGTATCATTACCCGAGCGACGAACATGACGAACCTCGCGTCTGGGTTCGACCGTCTCAGACGAAGATACGTTACCCGGACTTGGCAGATCCAGCTTTAAGGATCATCGATGTCCTACGATCGTCGCACGCCCGTATCTCCTGCCAGCTTTCAGCAGAGGTCATTATTAATCTATGGCACAATGGCGTACCAGCTTCGGCATTTGAAACACTGCTCCAGAAGGGACTCGAAGAGAATATTATCACTCCATTAATGACATGGGATGGGCAGAATGCTATGTTTGATCTATGGTATGCTTTGTGTAAGTGGGGCGGGGTCATGATGGCTCGCACTGCACGGCGGGAGACAAGTATGGCACGGGTCAGGGGATATGGTGATCGCCAAACAGAAGAATTTGACATTGACGATGAAGATGGAATTCAGCAACTTGGTAGGGAGCGGTCCACCGCCTGGTGGAGTGATGAAGTTTCAGGGTGTCCTTCTGCCCTCGAGGAGACAGAAAGTTTCTCATCCCTCTGTTTGTAATTGGATGACTGATACTTCATTTTTTAGGTCATGTATCTTCTCGACTCGGGCTTTACGCCAAAGAATTGTTCAGTTCTGAAGGATAAACTTCACCAGGTCATTAAGTCGGCTGTCAATAACTACGTGAGATCATATCGTATCGACGTTCCGATGTCTGTCACAGCATTTATCGTCCCAGGTCAGCGACTTTCTCTTTCTGTGCAGGTATGTACTCAGTCAGTGTCTTCAGATGAGGACAGTGAGCTGGAGGAAGGCGAAGTGTTCTTCAAAAGCTCAAAACGTAACCTGATAGGCCCTGATGGGCTAGAGACTGACATGATACTTGGAGATGTTTTACTTACACGCTATCCATGCAAGCTTCCGACTGATGTGGTTAAGTGGAGATGTGTGGATAAACCTCACTTGCGAAACAGGACAGATGTAATTATTCTCTCAGTCAAAGGTACACACCGTGCGGCCGAAATTCTTGCAGGAGGTAAGTTGTACTGTTTTTGCTCTTCAAAGGTAACCTGTTGATCGTAAATTCCAAGGTGATTATGATGGTGACAAGGGTGTCCTTATCTTCGAACCGGAGCTCGTGACACACTTTGTGAATCCGCCTTTTGCTCTATCACTGCCACCCTATGACTTGAAAGAGAAGTGTTTTGGGAGGACGACCAATGAGAGAGTTGCGGATTTTCTCGTTCGGGTCCCCCGTAAAACCGTCAGCACGATAACATATATTCATGAAGTGCAGGAATTTCTCCTTCGAGGTCTCACCGATATCTCGGTCGTTGGAGCATACTCTAACATGCATGATGTTTTGGCTTATACGAAGGGGTATGACCATCCTGAAACTCTACGTTTGGCACACATGTAAGTGATCCTTTCCCAGTCTGACATGGCTCTTGGTTGATCTTCATAGGTTCTGTTATGTCCTTGATGGAGCGAAGACTGGTTTGAAGGTCTTGCCACATGTCCTTTCCAGTGATCGCAGGGAATACGCGCAAAAAATTCTTGAATGGAAGGAGTTTTCGAAGGATCCCAAGGAAACGTCTACCGATGAAACCAACGCTGCTAGAGCCAGGCCACTCGCTGGCAAAAAATTTATCATGGACATCATCCAAGGCTATGCGAAAAAACAAGGGGAAATTCAGCTGGGCATGGTGGAGCAAAAAATGAACTCCTGCTCTCCCTCGGCTGTGGACGAAGAGCTCACAGCACCATGGAAGGAAGCTTGTGTACTTGCAAAAAAATCAAAGAGTAGACAAGAAGACCTGGACGCTATCAAGGTACACGTGCAAAGCGTATACCAGAAACACCGCAGCCAGGTCAACAACATTCACGGCAGGAAAAATGTACACGCATCGCCGAAGAAGGGTGCTGCGTTTACTGATTTGCCAATTGAGGCTAGGCAAGATGAATTGCGAGCACTGTCCAAGGAATTTGCTGCGAAGCCTTTACCGAGGGATCTGGTGGCTACAACGGGGACGGAGGCTGCCATTCTTAAGGCATCGTATGCGTATCTTTACGACTTGGAGCAGCGTGCTGGCGCTGTGACGAAATGGACAAGGTTTCCTTGGGATGTGGCCATGCGGGAACTGTGTGGGGTTAAGGCTCGAGCTGCGGGGCGTTGGAAGGCACTGAACGGTGATTTTTATGAGAGAATGATGATCAAGGCTCGACGATAATTTCTGGGTCCTTTAGATCTTTATCTTTGTTGAGATTTGGACTGTATCCAGAGTACATGCTTGTAAGACCTTTAGTATTTGGATTACAAACTCCTGAGGAGTTTCCCATTGACTTCTCATATTTATACTAGACTACTCCTTTTCTAGTAGTTGCTACCTAATTCCTTCAATTTCCCTCGGATTCTTTCCTTACTCAGCATGCCGGAATGCCGGAATGCTCGAATTCTCTCACAGATTCCAACAATCTTAGTACTTATTTAATTTTTCCATCTATTGGCTGAAATTCTGCTGTACATGTACTTTTTCGCAATGCGCAATGATATCCTTGGGCACTCTTGTAGACCAATTGTAAACTTGGCTTGTACCATCTGATTACTTCGGTAATTACTACTCTCCTTAGGTTTGACGTGACGGGCGTGACGGTAACCCTCTGCAATGATCAACTACATCCTCCTCGTTTCGCGGCAAGGTAGCACCTGCTAAAGGCATCGTTAGACGACGAGTTGACATCTGTTAAACAGGTAAAGTCCGCCTTGCGAAATGGTTTACGACAATGCCGCCCAAGGCCAAGGCCAAGATTGTCAAGGATGTCACGCAACTTGTATTAGCTCGCCGGACGAGGATGTGCAATTTCTTGGAATACAAGGGTGCGCTGGCGTCATGTTTTGGAAGAGATAAAGAGATGCTAATTGTATTGTGGCTGCAGATACCAAGGTGGTGTACCGTCGATATGCGTCGTTATTCTTTGTGTGTGGAATTGGCTCAAGCGATAATGAGTTGGTGACGCTGGAGATTATCCACCGATATGTGGAAGTGCTGGATCGGTATTTCGGGAATGTGAGGGCAGCGCTTTCGTCGTTGAGATCCGCTTCCTGAGAGTGCTTTCAGGTTTGCGAGCTGGATCTGTAGGTCGATGATTACGAAGGAAGTGTCCCGCTGAACATGCATGTAGGATATTCAATTTCCAAAAAGCCTATGCTGTACGTCGGTGGCAGATACGCCGTTGGAGCAATGCTAACATGTGCTGCGCAGATATTGGATGAGCTGATTATTTCTGGGGAGCTACAGGAGTCGTCAAAGAAATCCGTGCTCCGTGTGGTATGCAGATTAGTAGTTCCGGTTCCATGTGGCCTCTAACATCGTTCTCAGGTAACGCAATCGGACACGGTGGAGGAACAGGAAAACTCGGAGGACACGATAGGACGACTGGGATCACGCGTCGGTTAGGACCCTCGATTGAATTGAAAACGTATCTTTGAATTTTATTTTTTTTGCAAGGTCCCATGATGTAGGGCAGGAGTGCCAGTGCCTACATATTATATATAATATGGAGATTATAGTTGGTGGAGCGGAAGCCCGGCTGCAATGCTCTTCCGAGTATTGGCGGAAATATATTTTGAACCGTTTTTGGGTGAAATGGAAGATGAAAATGAAGTGAAGGTAGCAAGGGTGGTAAAGTGGGCGTAAGTAGGGCACTCGGCAGCCTTTCTCACTGCCAAGCGTGCGTGATTCTCAGCGATGAAGCGGGTCACCGAAACAGGCGAAATTGGGACCAAGACTCGCCGTATCATCCAATCAGAGGCGGTGCCTGGCGGGATCATATCTAAATAAAAGGCCCCCATTTTCGGCTCGAATCCCATCCTTATAACCCTTTACCCAACTACCACCATCTCCCTCATTCCCGTCGCTCGCCATGGCCTTCGCCTACCACAATGATCTCCTTGCTCCTTACCTCGCACTCCCCCAAGGCGAGAAAGTCCAAGCCGAGTGTGAGGATCCAACTTGCTCTCTCTCGAGTCACATCTAATCTTATTTCAGATGTTTGGATCGATGGCGATGGTGGTCTTCGCTCGAAGACTACGGTCAGTGCGGTGCTGCCACTAATCCCGATGTCCCACTCATTGTTATTGTCTATCTAGACCGTGAGCAAGAAGGTCACCGACATTGGCACTCTCCGTATCTGGGACTTTGATGGCTCTTCCACCAACCAAGCACCTGGTCATGATTCTGATGTCTACCTTCGTCCAGCGGCCATCTTTAAAGACCCCTTTCGTGGCGGCGACAATATCCTCGTTCTTGCCGAGACCTACAACAACGACGGAACTCCCAACAAAACAAACTTCCGTCATCATGCCAAGAAGGTCATGGATCAGGCAAAGGACACCCAACCTTGGTTCGGTCTAGAGCAGGAGTACACCCTCTTTGACCTCGATGGTCACCCCTACGGATGGCCCAAGGGTGGTTTCCCCGGGCCTCAGGGACCCTATTACTGCGGTGCTGGTACGCCCATGACGTCTGCACCATTGGCATTGTGACCAAATCTTAATAATAGGCGCTGGAAAGGTCTTCGCCCGTGATGTGATTGAAGCCCACTATCGCGCATGCTTGTATGCCGGTGTCAATATCAGTGGTATTAATGCCGAAGTCATGCCGTCTCAGTGGGAGTTCCAGGTTGGTCCATGCGAGGGTATCTCCATGGGCGATCATCTCTGGATGGCTCGCTACCTCTTGGTGCGCATTGCTGAGCAGTGGGGCATCAAGGTTTCTTTCCACCCTAAGCCCCTTGCTGGTGACTGGAATGGTGCTGGATGTCACACCAACTACAGTACCAAGGCTATGCGTGAACCCGGAGGAATGCAGGCGATTGAGACGGCGATTGAGAAGCTTAGCAAGAAGCATAATGAGCACATTGCTGTGTACGGAGAGGACAACGAGCTCCGGCTTACAGGCCGCCATGAAACTGGTCACATCAGCCAGTTCAGCTCTGGTGTTGCCAACCGCGGAGCTTCCATCCGTGTTCCTCGTCATGTTGCCGCTCAGGGATATGGCTATCTCGAAGACAGGCGACCTGCTTCCAATATTGGTCAGTCCTGTCGCCACTGAGCATGATTGACACTGATGATCTTCTGAAACAGACCCCTACCGTGTCACTAGTATCATTGTTGAGACAACTGTCCTTGACAAGTAGATATTATGAGGGTAGACTTAAAGTAGAAGACTTGTACGGAAAATGTTATGCCTCGTGTCGTGTTGTACTCTCGATTTTAGTATGGAAGCACCGAGTGAGCATCCATCTCGCGCTAATTGTATAGTATCACTTGGGTTTATCCGGCAGCTGAAATATTATGTGCAGAATCATGGTGATTAATAGCACCGCAGTCCATTTTCCAAGGACACCATTTGCTAAACGACACACCTCTTATGTCCACGGGACAGCCACTACAATACAGCGGCCATGAGGCGGTGCACGATTAAGTACAACTTACGAGTTCATCTGTCGTCTCCCAACTCAATTCAGCCCATGAGCTCTTTCTGCCACTCAGACGAGGATCTTTAGCGGATAGCTAGACAGTACTTGGACGTAGGCGAACACATGGGGAATTATTACTCCTCAGATCCGACTTGGGCGGACCGTTATAACATTCGAGAAAAGAAAGTGAGTCAAGAAGAACAGCATCGGGAGGCTTGGCGTGTCAGATCAACGTATTATACAACTCTTGTATCGAAATTGAGGGCGTATACCCACAACCCCTTCCATCACCCGTTATACTGGGCTCTAGATGTGTACCACACAGTCCCGGAGTCGTTTATTGACCTAGCGTACTTAAGGAGTAATTTATCCCTCTCCTTGGAATTGATAGCAATGTCGGCAAGAAACGGTTCAATATCCTCAGCTTTCCAACGTGACCGCGAGAGGAAAAGATCCGCGAAGCGAGGCGCTGGTTCTACGGGCAAAGCGGAAGATGGGAAATACCTGAAGAGGTCGTTTCTTGATGGCGCCGTAAGATAGTTACCCTGGAAAATAAATGAACAAGCAGGAAGACGAGGTTGATTATAGCCGCACAGATAGAAGCTCCACAGACACGAGAGATTCAAAAGCATCACCGACGACAGATTTCCAGGTTGTCAAGAGATCGTCCTCGGCAATGGGATTGTCCTGCCCGGCTCAAATTAGGCCACTACACCGGTAAAAATGGAGGAGCAAACCTTGAACGGCCGTAATATACTTAAACCAACTTCTCGTACCACGCTTGTCACATCCATTTTCCAGATTCCTTGGCGTATCTCACCGAACCAGCCCATAACTTGAGTAGATACCGTCCGGGGAACCTCGTGCACATCCGCGAGTGCCGATGAGAGAATCTCGACACTCGTTGCAGCATGGGACAAGGAATGAGAGACAAGAAGGTTGAGAATCATCTCTAGTATAGTCTTGAGATAGCCAGGCGCGATAGGTCGAAGTTCACCTGTGATAGCATGAGCGAGTTGTGGAGAGCTCACAAGGATGTGCTTACCGTTGACGATCAGGATGTGCATGTCTATAAGTCCACGCGATAGTTCCATGTCGCTTGCCTGGATAACACTACGGGCATCCTCAAACATAACTTGGTTTCTCTTCTGTGTCGCGTCAATAGGAAAATCGCGCCGAGCAATCCGGGCAACTCACATTTCCCTCCTGATCATCATCCATATCCTCCTCGGCTGACTGCTCATCGTATTCATTTCCCCTTAGCATAGCCAAAAGTTTATGCAATCTGGGAACCGTAGGTGCCAGTTCAAGGATCTCATTCACTTGATCGCGTATAACGATGCTGTCGTCGGACAAGTCGAGATCGGACGCGTTGGGAGGCGTTACGACGAGAACAGAATTGGATAGAACAACCGAGCGCATCGTGTATGTCGTGTCGTTTGTACACAAGACGGCATCTTCGCCTGTCTGACCTCGAACTGTGAACCTGAAGACGAACACCTTAATTACGTTGACGGAAGAACGTTGATTGTCTTTTACCGGGGAGGGTTTGAACTTTCGATAGCACTTTCGATTAGCTTGCAAAGGTCGGATGGCAGTTCAATTAGCTTGAATGTACCGGATTCTGTGCTGGACGACGTGGAAAAATACAGATCGCATTCCGACATGATGGCAAGAGCAAACAGGATTTGTTTGTGGCACGGGAAAACTCCAAAACAGCATGGACGAGGTGATTTCAAGTTGAACCAACCTTTTCGGACTTGATATTCTTCAATGGAAGACTCTGCACCGCCTATCACAGCATAGATATGGATGGGCTGACGGCGATACCCTCTAGCGAAAATATCGGAGAAGGAAAGAAATACTTCCCAGTCATCGCTTGGTAGAGGAATGGAAGCAGCCGCCGTGACGCACAGGCCCTACTGACGAAAGTTCTTGATTGCGATGGAGCCTGTCAGCTTGCTGGATCAGACTCAGAGAAGATATAATGCATACTAGAAGTGGTGAAATACAAAAAAAGCTGGTAGTCTTACACAGCAATCATCCTGACAGTATCAAAGACAAAGGGAATTCTACATGATAAGAACGAACTAATGTTTGGATCGTGTCTTGATGGCTTTGGGTAGATTTCTGACTCCATACCCATCAGGGCGGAAATCGTCGTCATCGACACCAACAGCTTCAGACTTCCTCTTTCTCGACTTCTTTGAAGGTGATCCTGCATATGGTTGGGGTGCCACGAAAGGATTGTCCTTCAATGCGTAAACGGCGTCCCACAAATATGCACAAGTGTCATTGCGCATCCGAATATCGTCAAATGAAGAACGAACGGCATAACGGAGGTTGTATATGGCCTTGGCCTTTTTCTCCAAAGGATCTGACGCCATAACATACACCAAGACGCCTACAGTTACTTTTATTCACCCGGAAAAACCGACAGCGAAGATACAGACTCACACATAAAGACGAATTCAACCGGAGCCACTCGCTCGGACATCTTGCTGAAGGCACTGTTATACTTTTTATCTGAAACAATTTGACAGATATTCTTGAGCAAGGTCTGCATTTCGTTTTTTAGCTGTTCGCGTGGGGGATCCTGGCGGTTGAGCCAGCTTTCAAGCTTTTGGGCCGCTAGCATGGGTCGTGTCTGAATGACATCGCAGCAAAACATGGCGTAGGCAAGATTGGAAAAATCGCGGCTGCGTTTGGTGTCCCAGATTATGAAGTCGGATATGCCGCCGTCGACACGGAGGAACTTTTGAACAAGATCCCCGACCCATCTGGTGCGCATTTCAGTGGCATTACTTAGACTAACATCAGCACCAAAAGGACGTACTCGGAGTACGGTGTAGAAATTGCCTGTAGCCGTTCTGAAAAGTATGTTTAGTCTCATAGGATACTCAAAATGCAGGTCAGCTAACACACCAGCTGGCGTCAATGCTACACCCAGTTGTACTCTCTGAAATATATCCCTGACGGCGCTTTCAGTTAGAGCGGTATAGAGAACTACGATATACTTATTATTTAATAAATCAATATGAATTGGATACTATCAGGCTCACCGCATGGCATCACTTTCTTCGCAAAGAGATCTTTGTATCCCTGGGGCAACTCTGCGCGCGTACTCTTCGTCGATTGCGATGTTGTGTACCACCAATTCTTCCTGGACCTTTGATCCTTACCTAACTACACTGAGCAACGAGTGGCATAGGTGTGATCGACGTTAGGCATACATGGTATCTGAGTGCAAACATTTAGACACGTTCTTTGGACACAAGCAAAAAGACGTACTTGGCCATCAATAAACTTTTGTATGGATGTAAGACGCTAGAATTGATACTCAGAGCGATGTAAAAGATGGACAAACTCGAGTGCTCACTTGCTTGCCGTCCACGCAGACTCGCACTTCCTCTCCATCATCATCCAAGGTTACAGCAAAAACCACAGGTGGAATGTAGAAGTTTCGGAATATAGAATCTATCAGCAGGCTCTGTTTTGCTTCTGACCAGACGACATCTATTGAAAATGAGGCAAGGATGGAGTCGGGGTAGCAGTCCACACACCTCGCTGCCAGGTTGGATTCAGATCAACTATGCCTTCATGAATATAGTCTGGACATTATTTCAGTCAAATTTGTGCAAACAATGAAATTTATTCGCACCATGCAGCTGCTTAGTGGTGAACAGCTCTGTCGTAGGCTCAGGATGAGGTTCAACGATCTTGAAGGAATCAGGGTCATCGTCCTCGTCCTCATCATCGTAAACTTGGTCTCCCTCGTCAACATACTCGTCTTGGTCTTCGTCTTTGGGAGGCATGGAGAGCAACAGAGGGGCGTTCGAGCAGGAACGATTCGAACACGGTCACGGTTCCAGTTCAAGTTGTGTCTATTTTAAGCCTCTATTATTCTTACCTCCATGGCAAATCCCAAGATCCCCCTTCCTGAGTACCTAAAGGCCCTTACTACCCATGGCCTATCTATGCAAAAGGCAATGCAGATATCTGGTCAAATGTACGGTTTTGCTTCCAAGTCTAGGTCTGGGCACAGCAACGCTCACCGGAGGAATCCACAGATACAAGACATTCAACACTCCTGCTCAGCTTTCAGAATTATCTCAGCTAAAACTCAAGGCTTGCGGTATTGATGACAAGGACGACCGCAAAATGATCATGTCTGCTATCCGAAAGGCTGGGTATATCTCTGACTCACAGCAAGAAGCTGGCTCTAGTGACCAGCCTACGACAACTGTTGAAAAGCTGGTCTGCCTCGGTGCTCCTTGGCTTTGGCTCAGGTCTTACTTCTTCATATTAGTCCACTCCAACGAAGAAACGGAAACATGAAGCTAAAGACGTCAACGAATTCTTACCGGATGGTCCTACTGATGAAGCCGCGAAATACGGGAGCTTGGATTTCAACGAAGTATTGGATATAAATGTTAGTAATCCGGTTGTCTGCAGTACACTGTCATATTCAATCATACTCAGGTCCTCCTTAAGAAGAGCACTATTATCAATCGCGCACCTCTAATGACCGCGTGGGCCATGATTGTTTCTGAGCGACTCGGATTTCGGAGAGAAGAGGCTCTGAGTATTGGTGCGTTGCACGCAACGAATGACACGAATAACCTCCACTGATACACCAGAACCGTGATCCAAAGCCTCTGTATACACCGAAATGAATGCTCTCTCCAAAGGAGTGTCGCTAGGAATATACCAGGACGGTAAACAGAAAGGCTTAGATGCAATAAAAGGCGGTTCCCAGCCTTACGTCGAGTTGATGGGCAGAAGGTTGGTGCCAGGTCTTTCCGACTTTTGAATATTTCTGACAATCACGCTAGAATGTATGTCCTTCTGTAGCCTCAGATGCCGATCTCATAGCCGTTACCCAGTCCCCTCTATCAATCCCAGTCCAACCAATGGCGCGCCCTGCTCAACGGCAAACCCGCTCAGCCCAGTTACCCTTTCTCCTATATATCCCGATCCTTTCGTCAAACAACACCCCATATAATTGGGGCATTACGACTGCTAGCAGAAAGCTTCGCTCCGAAGGAACTCAATAACAAGGGTTGGGCTCTATATGCTGAATTTCGACCCTCGGTAAACGGGTGGGGGGAGAGATCCGAAGTTAAATGCGAAACCATACTAAGCTTACGGAATACAGCCGTGAAACCCGCAGAGACAACTGGCGCATCGAAGGAAGTGTTATCATCTCTCGACATTGTACAGTTCGAGGAATGTGCATCATCAAGCGGTATCCAAGCACCCAAACGACAGAGGATTTCTGACAACTAGCCAGCGGTCAGGGAAATGAGCTGGTAAATTGTAGGATAGGACGGCCTATAGGCTTATATGTAAAGTATTCTACGACATGTCCGATGTTCAAACGACAAAATAGTATCTTACCCGTTTAAAGATTTTTGATAATTGCGGAAGTGAACTCCGAGGTTGTGGCAGACCCTTGGAACAGGTTTACTATCTCTTGTTGGTTGTGGAAGGAAAGCAGCGTACCTCCCATGTCGACGGTTCTAACTTTTCCTGCATTGATGACACCGAAGGTCGCGCTTGCAATGTTGTTGGCGATAGAGTCAAGTCTAACAATAGCATGAATCTTCAGCGACTTCCAACGGGACAGTTTGGGGATACTGACCCCAGATGTCTCAACATCATCGTCGCACTTAGGATCATAGCAGCAGGGTTAGCCTTGTTAGTACCCATGATATCGTTCGCGACGTGGCGACATCCCGGTTCGAACAGCGCGTAATCCTGCCATGCCAATATTATTAGTGAAATCGACCAAAGTCAATGGAATATACGCTAACCCTTCCAACGTTACAACCTGGGACGATGCCAGGGCCACCAACAAGGGCTGCGCCGATATTCGAAACAATGGCACCGTACAAGTTTGGCATGACCATGACATCGAACTGGCCGGGCTTCGCGACAAGCTGCATCGAACTGTACACAATGATGGTATCATGAAAATGCATTAGAAGGAGAAGATAAGCTGACGTGTTGTCGACGATCATGTCATTGAATGCAATACCAGATGATTTATACTCCTCCGCGACGCGCCGGAACGTGTTGAGGAAAAGGCCATCACCAAGTTTCATGATGTTAGCTTTATGCACGCAAGTGACTTTCTGCATTGCCGTAAGAGTATATGACGGTTACTGAACCAAATGAGGCGTACCTTTCTGTTGTTTTTCAGGGCAAAGTCAAAGGCAAAACGCGAGATACGTTCAGCCTTGGCGCGAGTGGAGACCTTTAAGCTCTCGACCACACCGGGATAACTTTGGTGCTCCAAGCCAGAATACTCACCCTCCGTATTCTCTCGAATGATAGCAAAATCAACATTGGAATGACGGGTAGGAAATCCTGGTAGAGACTTGCAAAGAACAACGGAGGCATAAATATCCAGTTGCTGGCGCATTGCTACGTTCCAAGAGATGTGACCGGATTGAGAGATGGGGGTAAAAAGAATGCCTGAAAGGAATATAAGAAAGCGCCGAAAACTGGAAAAGAGAAGAGACGAACCCTTCAAACCCACTCTGTTCCTCTTCAGACTTTCCATGGCCTGCTTGAAGAGAGCTTCTCCTGATGAAGACATACCAGAGACATCATATTGTTCCCATTCAATGGGAGCGTTGACATGCTCGAAAATTTCCTTCACAGAGTCGGTGATCTCTTGGCCAATACCATCACCGGGTATAAGTGTAACCTGAGCGGCTCATATGTCGGCAGACACGACGACGACAGAACAGAAGAAAGCATACGGTATATACGCCGCCATATTTCGTTGGTGACTGCGAAAAGCCGTCAGCGTTAGGCGAACAGAAGATGACGACGTAAATATACTCTTTGCGTTAGTTTTGGGAAACCCGCCGAGAGTGTCGTGGCAGTTCTCTGACATGAATATGAGACCCAGGGCGCTTTAAAAGATAATAAAAACGTACGTGAGAGAAGGCAGGACGCGCAGATGCCGCAATCGCGCTGCGGAACATGGCAGACGTCGATGAAGGTGGGTAAAGGTAAAGTGTTCAGTTGTCGGACGAGACCGTATCCGAATACAAATTCACCACGTGACTTGTGGCAGCTATCAATCGGAGAATCACATGAAATTGACAGTTTGTATCACCACTTTTAATTATCTTGGGGCGAAAACCTGGGTCCGTTTGCTGGCTTTATATACACCTGCTCATCGGAGCACTACATTCGTTTTTCATGACCATAGACGACTCGCTCTGCCACCTTGGTATGGGTCACGATATCTCAGAGCTCGTCCAGCAGCGGCGCTCTCGTGACTGGACCTTCTATCTCGTCCTCTTCGCCGTCGTCGGTCCTGTCTGGCTCGTCGTTCCAGCTTGCTGGGGTTTCGTCATGTACGCGACAGCTACCCGTGCCCTCTGGGACTTTGGATGGCTGGGAAACTCCGCTTTCGCTGTTGCTCTGTTCGAGGTCTGTTCGGGTCTAAATTAATCAAAACATATAAAGCAGTTGTTGACCGGTCGTCGTACAGATTTTCTTTAGCATCTACTACAGCTATCTTGCATGGAGCTTGTCTGACCCGACGACAACGCCAATACGTAGCGTAGAGGAACTGCAGATCGCTTTGACACGAGTCATCAAGGCGGGCCTCGCCAATCTTTCTGAGGACGACTTTGACACAGAGTCTCTAGACGAGTCAAGACCAGGGAGTCCAGAAGAGGACATCATACAGCTCGACCGCGATGATCCTCGAGCGATCGACTTTCGCAATTCTTTCCGAACGTTTGTCACGCGTCATGTTCTTTGCATTATTTGCTGACTGTGATATTCAGTTGGTTTGGTTTCGTTCCTTGGTCCCAAGTCCGATTGCATGAGGTTCGGCAGTGGCTTTATTGGGCACTCTTTAATGCTGAGCTACCTCCGTTGGATACGCTCCCTGAAGATCGTCGTGCTGCGTTAGATGCAGTGGTCCAAATGTTCCAGAAGCGTGTTGGTAGGCCGGTGCCCGAAGGTCGTTCTCCTCACATCAAGACCGTGCGTCTGAGTGTGGATAAATTCAATGCCTGCTGGCGCCCATTTCTCACGTATGTCCTGGTCTTTATGCTAAATTACATGGCAAAAGCCCGTCTGCGCAACAAATATGGCGTTAATTTCTCTTCCCACGGGGGCCTGGAGTAGGTCTGCACACCTGTCGCCTTGTTCTGTTCTCAAAATTGCATTACAGATATGGCATTCGCATTCCGGATACCTGGGACGCCGCCTCTGGACCTCGGCCAATTGTGTTCTTCCATGGGCTTGGGCTTGGAATATCTCAATACAAACTTGCGCTATCTCGTCTTCTCCAGCATTTCAAAGACCGTCCCTTTCTCGTCATACTACAGCCCCACGTCAGCCAGGATATTTTTCACCCCAACTTTTTAAAGCCCATGACCAGGGAACAAACGACAGAGCGACTGGCTCGTCTTTTGGTTCACCTTGGTTGGGCTGACCTGGCAAATCCGGAACCGACAGAAGAGAAGGTCAAAGGGACCCTTGGAAAGAAAGGTGTAACAATGCTGAGTCATTCAAAGTACGTGTGTTGTTGTCCAATTAGGGATAAACTGCTAAGTTCAAAGCAGTGGGACATATTGCCATGGTTGGATGCTTAAGGACTATCCTCACATGATTACCCGGTCGTGTTTTGTTGACCCCGTCGCATTTTGTTGCTGGGAAGGAGGTATTTTCTGCTAACGATGTTTCCTTCACCATCTTGATTTCTTTGCAGACGTTTGCTACAACTTCCTCTATCGGCCATGTACCACGGTGAGTCTGTCGAGTTTGTTTCACGTGCTGTGTTCTCACATTCGGAACGCCAGGGTATCGACCTGATCATGCGTTATTTTGTAGGTACGGAGATTGGTATCGCAAATCTCCTCCAGCGGCAATACGATTGGTCTTCAAATGCCCTTTGGTATGAAGAGATACCCAATGCTCGCGATTACAACAAAACCTTCTTTGTTTTGGGCGGAAACGATATCATAGTGAAAGCTCAGGTTTAACAATTTCCTCGTTGGTTTTTCGGATTGAATGCTCAATTATCTACGGCAGCGCGTCACACAATATCTTACTTCGCACGGGATAAGGAAGAATCTATACCTTGATCCTAAAGGACACCACGGACAGCCTTTTTTAGTTAACGGTGAAAGCCACGACAAAATCATTAGTTGGCTTCGGCTGGCATAACGATAATTAATGTTACTAACAACGTTCAGATCTAATGCTGGGGTATATAATCTAATAGGAAAGAGGATAACAGTGGTTTTGGTAGACTGTAATGTAGAAAACGTCGCAAGTTAAGGACAACGATATATGGGTCTTGTATGAAGTATATCATAACCAAACTAGATGTGGAGGATGCCATTGAACCTTGGAAACAGCTTCAGAGCGTTTCCAGAGACTATTTCCTGTAATCTCTCTTTTTTCTCGCTATAAAATCGTTCCAGATGAGATGTGTACCACTGAGCCGTCTCAGTAGAAATCACTGCTCAAGGTATTATTAGTAATTAAAAAAAAAGATGAAAATATTACACATCTACCAGGAAAGTCAGTACCAAAAAGAAGACGATCCTGCGGAGCAAATGACTCAATCATAATGAGATTTGTTTCGTAAGAAGCCAGGGCGGTGTCGAAATAAAAACTTTTGAAGTCCTCCATTATCTCATCGGGTGTCAGTGTACAGCCCATGTAGGGTGAAAGACCAGCAACTCGGCTGGCAAGAATGACGGTACTGCCACCCATGTGAGATAATATAATCTTCACGTCACCGTACTTGCGCTTCTTCCCTTCAGATGAGAGATAAATACGTCCTTGAAATAGATATGGCATACTTGCTGACCTGTAGCAACGAGATGGGCTGCGGCTTTATAAGTCTCGTTTGGGACCTATATATATATCAGGGATTTAATAATGACACTGGAAACCAACAAGGACCGACGCACTTCAGTTACAGGAAGGCCTAGGAATTCACAGGGCCATGGAGTCGATGAAGGGTTCTGAGCGCCATGAACAAATACCACCGCTTTCCGTCGATTGAGCTCTTCCCAGATCGGATCGTACTTGTCATCACCCAGATACCCTGTAAGGGAGATGATTAAAGGGAGAACTCTTTATCAAGAGATAGAAAGCTCTCACTGCCGTTTGGTCCTTCACCGATAGTTGTAGAGAGACCGACTCCATCTGCATGAAGCACGTCAAAGGCATACGTAATTTCTATCAAGGCACCTATAAAACAATGTGAACGCATGTCTTCGATGTTTCCATGCGAATATACTTACCCTCCACATCGTCCAAGAACGGGAGATTCGCGAAAAAGCCAAACTTTCCAGGGTACCGTGCACAAATTTCTGCCGCATATTCGTTGTACTGTCTAGCCACTGCGCGATCTCCTTGACTGACGGAACCTTCAGAATACGCCGGGATAGAAAGAATTGCCGCGTCGATCCCTGTATCCGCAAGGCATTTCAAACTGATTGCAGGCGTCCATGGGAAGTTTTCAGTTGGGAATTTCCAGCCGACTGACCGCTGTTTCATGAGACCGGCGGCAGGGAAAAAATGGTGATGTACGTCGATACGAGGCATGGTAATTACAGGTACTGATGTGTCAAGAGCATCCTTCGATCATCTCTCTATATGCACAGATGACAAATCATGGCGGCTTTTGAAGACGCAAACGGGTTTAACGAATATTCTGTGACTGTACGTTAATGAATTAGCGGAGCCTCCACTACAAGGGTACGGATTAAAAATGCAAAAGGTCCCCCAAGTTTCACATTATGCTCTAGAAGACAGACGTATTAGCAGATGAACTAAGCCAGAAGACAAAAGCCTTACTTATACCATACCACGTCAAATTAACTTCTGAAGGGCGTGCAGGACTCATCGTTCCAGCTGACGAATCGCCCGCTCAAAGATGCAGGTGCTTGCAGAGAAAGGGCGGCTATTACACGACCAGGTAGATCTGGAGACAGAAGTTCGCCGCTGGTATGGTAATTTAGGAATTTCTGATAGTCTTTGGCAGACATGCTCTCGCCGCCGGTGGTTCTCAGCATAGCTTGCATCTGGGATCATATCAACAAAGAATCATATACGACTATCGTTGGGCCACTTACATCTGTGTCGACAACACCAGGCCTGAGAGCAACTGAAGTCACTTTCGATTCCTCTTCAGACAAGGTTCTGCAAAACAAATATCAAGTCATCATATAAAGTATTTTGTCATGGGGTATATGTACCTGCAAAGGCTATTCATAGCTGCCTTGGATGCATTATAAGGTCCCCACGCCGGTGTTCCTTTGACGGCAGAACCGGAACTGACAAAGATGATCCTACCACCGACATCGCTCCGTCTCAGCGCGGGCAGCGCTGCTCTGACAGCAGTGATTAAGGAGAAAAAGTTGACATCAAAATGCGTTTTCCAGGAAGACAGAGGGGTAGAATCCCCAATACGGCACATGGGTTCCACCACGGCAGCATTCAAAACAAGCCCATCAATATGACTGAAATGTTGTTCCACCTGCAAGATGGCCCGAACCAGCGAGGGTTCATCGGACCTGCAAAGCGAAAGTGAGGAGGTGATATAAATGGTAAATATCGCCCGCTTACACGTCGCATTGAATATGTAGAAGGTTGTCTGACAACAGTGTCTCTAATTCAGGTGTGCGGGTTCGGGAAATCGCGGCCACATTAACATTGAATGTGTCGAGCAGTATCTTGACGACGGCCAGACCTATTCCTCTGTAGGTTGAAATGAGATGAGTCTATATGTGTATGCGCATTCTGCACAACCTGGATGCGCCAGTAACGACGACGACTGATTTCCGAGTCGACATGGTTTGCGAGATTACCCGCCCGGGCCGGCACTTTCATGCGACCTTCCGAATGGAGATTCGGAGTTTGAACTTTGGTTCTCGGGATTTCTCCCCCAAAGTAATATTTTTACGCGTCTCAGAACGCCAGCTGGCCATTGTTACCCATCCTGCCATCGATATGGTCCCCCGTCTGGTCCTCTCTCGTTTATCTCCTGCATTTTCCAGTGTCCGGTCCTCGTCAATACTCACGCGCAATGCTTTTCGGTCAGTGCGCGGATATGCGACGGCCGACAGTGAACACACGGTGCGCCTGGCCGCCTCAGGCGAATTTTATGCGAGACATATTCTTATGTTTTCTTAGATGACCGTTCGTGATGCTCTCAATGCTGCTATGGAGGAGGAGATGATTCGTGACGACAGCGTTTTCATTCTCGGGGAAGAAGTGGCTCGTTACAATGGTGCCTACAAGGTGAGCTGCAGTGCTCTTTGAATGTTGCGTGTTGCCGACAATAAGCTCCCAAGGTCACCAAGGGACTGCTTGATAAATTTGGTGAAAAACGGGTCGTCGACACGCCCATTACGGAGATGGGATTCGCAGGCTTGGCTACAGGGGCTGCATTGGCTGGATTGAGGCCCATGTTTGTCGTTCACTCTTCTCCGGAGATGCGAATACTCACTTCACTAACCAGCTGTGAATTTATGACGTTCAACTTTGCCATGCAAGCAATTGACCAGATTGTCAACTCTGCTGGCAAGACGTATTACATGTCTGGCGGAAATGTCCCAGTACCCATAGTATTTCGTGGTCCTAACGGTGCTGCGGCTGGCGTGGCTGCTCAGCACTCACAGGATTATGCAGCTTGGTATGGATCTATTCCTGGTTTGAAAGTGGTTAGCCCATGGAATGCTGAGGACTGCAAAGGACTGCTCAAGGTGCTTGTGTTGTTTCGCATTAACTGAGTGACTACTGATTCTCGTTTAGAGCGCTATTCGGGACCCTAATCCTGTCGTATTCCTTGAAAATGAGATGATGTATGGTATCTCATTCCCCATGTCCGCCGAGGCCATGTCGGAAGATTTCCTCATTCCTATCGGCAAATGTAAAGTCGAGCGCCAAGGGTCAGACGTGACTCTCATTGCCCACAGCAAGATGGTAACACATTGTCTTGAAGCTGCAGATGAATTGGCGAAGGAGGGCATAAAAGCGGAAGTCATTAACCTGCGAAGTATTCGACCTTTAGACATAGACACGATTAAGTGTTCGGTCAAAAAGACGAATCGGCAAGTAGCCTTCATACGAATTTTCCGTTATGCTGACACGATTCCTTAGGCTCGTTATTGTTGAGGGCGGTTTCCCAGCTTTCGGTGTCGGAAGTGAAATTTGTGCGCAAATCGTTGAGAGCGAGGCCTTTGACTACCTAGACGCGCCTGTTGAGCGGGTTACAGGTGCTGATGTCCCAACGCCTGTATGTACTCTTTCTGCCCCTTTCTGTTCTTGGCTAATCAGACTGTCCAGTACGCCACGAAGCTGGAAGCACTTGCTTTCCCCGATACTAGCCTGATCATCAAGGTGGCGAAGCGCGCACTTTACCGGACGAACTGATGTTTATGACGGATACATACTGTTTTTCTCTGTCGCTGTTCTGCTGTTTCACAATAGACGCTATTTCGGATCCCCAACCTTTAAAATGTTTAGAACAGGAGAGATACCGTTCCTGCGGCTCAATGTTTTAAGACTGCTGCATAATTCCGACATGATGGCGGCGTATAAGTCTAGATAATGACTACGACCGCGACCGTAAGGACTTGACGGTGGGTCACTGGATCTTGACAAGCAGCCATCTGTGAGATCAAGTTCCACACCACATCACCGGCGGTCAACAAACTGAAACAGCTGGAGTTATTACGATAGAATGGGTTTCAGGATAGATGCAGTGGTTTCTGCCGTTGCCATTGGTAGTCTGAGGAAGATATTAGCACAGCCACCTACTTTTACCTTCCCTCCACCATCATGGGACGTCTTCGTCGTTCAAGAGTCCACAAAGCGCAAAGGGATGTCCACAGAGCCACAAGAACTCGGGTATGCCTATATATTACTGTCCAAGAACCTCACTCATGCCAGCCCAGGTTCGAACGAAAGATCTGGATTTAATTCAATTAATCGACCTCGATCCTAAAGTACGCTCTAAACGCTACACAAGACGTTGCTCTCTGACGATACCTCGTTCGTAGAATCGCGCAGCTCTCGAAGCGCAGCCTCTGGACTTTGAGAAGCCTGGATTGGCGCAGCACTATTGTGTTGAATGTGCAAAGTGAGTTCTGAATGCTGTTTGAAAAAAAAAAAAAGTGTTGAGATATGTCTGCAGATACTACGAGACCGATGTCGCCTTGCGGTCCCACTGGAGAAGCAAAGTGCATAAACGGCGATGCAAACAACTGAAAGAGCCAGCGTATACAATCGAGGAGTCAGAGAGAGCAGCGGGCTTGAGTCGAGAGAATCGAAGACCAGCGCATGCGGTCATCCAGGACGTCGCTATGTGACGCCATTTCAGGCCGGTCTTTTCTTTGCTTGTATCTTGTACGTTCGTATATCACACTGGTGATATTGTCATCTTTTCAACGGATCACGATGTCAAGAGAACCACTTGTACCTACGTGGACATAGTTTGTCGCAATGGAAAAGTAACAAAGTGTGTTTGCAAATAACCTCCTACTCGCTGTCCATCCTCGTATTTGATCCTGATGTCACCCTTGGCCGCGGACGCTCAGGCTGAAGCATTTTCCTTCCACCATAAGACGCCCACGATGCCGAACAGAAACTGCGTGTTGCATTGACGCCCTTCGTAGGGCTGGACAAGGGAACTCGCAAGCCTGCACCAATACCTTCTTCCTCGCCCAGCTCTGGCACCTCGACGTCCGGATCCACAGGTATCGAGTATGGGGTAATAAGGCCCCCATTTTCTTCATCTGAGTTGCTTGAAGAGGAGTCACTGCTCAAGAATCGTGCAATGCGCGCGAGAATGGGTTGTGGTTCATGCATCTCCGAGGGTCCTAGACCTAGCGCGGGGCTTGGATACAAAAAGCCTTCTTCTCCAGAGCTTTCCGAGTTGGAGCTGCTCTGGCTACCTGTGCTGTTTCCGGAAGACGCCACATTTATGCTAGGTATAGAGCCGGACGAGGGAATCTCAAGAGGCATAGTGTTAAGCGGCCCATTGAACTGAGGGCGCCGCGTGAACAACTTGGTCTTCTTCAGACATGTACCAAGTGTCTGTAGCGCCAACGCGTCGTCGAAGTTGTGGAAGAGAGATGCGCGACATGGGGGTTGATGGTGAGAATGGACTCGATTACACTCTGAACCTCGTAAGAGATAGGCAAGACAGTCCTCAGAGGATGTTGACCATAAGAATTCCGAGAGACCAGCAACGATCAGAGATCGGTCGTCCGGGCCGGTACGGGTTATTGGTTGCTCGGCACTTGCCGGAACATCAAAAAAGGTGACCGTCATGTCCCATCGTCTGGCACGTCCTCTGTGTCATCTAAATGTCCCACGCATACGCTACTCCTCCTCGTCCATCAAGAGAAAACCAACCAAACAAGTACCAATGCTACCCCCCCAAAAATTACGCGCCCTCATCTCAGTCTACCACGGCACCGAGTCCTTTGTCACTCCCGAAAATCTCTCAGAGCGTATCGACGACGCCTTTACCAGATCTGCCGGGGGTACTGCACTCAATTCTTTCAAAAAGTATGACAATCTGAGGAAACTCAGACTCGCACAGAGGGAGATGGCGAAACTGTGGGAATGGGACCGTCAGATATCTTTTGGGAATCCGGCTATGGAGGAGAGAGAAGCGAGGATCATCGAAGCACTGTATGGTGTGGATACAAGTGATCCACTATACTGCAGGTATCCTGGACTGGACCTCTTGCAGGATGCTGACCGGGTTCCCGCCTCTCGTGAAGACGCAAAGTCTGTTGTCTCTCAGGCCGAGCCGCTACCTGTTCCGGAGGAGTTTACAGAGGATTATTCGGCACTGGAGCTTGTGGGTAATGCTGTTTCAGAGACAAAGTATCGCACAAGCAACTATCCCATTCCCGACAAATTCGTGGAACTCATCAGGCGGCAAATCCGGCCATCCATACCAGATTCCTCTTCAGACGAGGTTCTCCTATGATGAATTACTCTATGCGATAGGCAAGTCACAGGTCGACTTCAATAGCTCTTTTCCCTGAATAACACACATCCAGGCAATGTCTATCACCCTATTGGCAGAGTTTTGCGGGACAGTTTGCCTTATGCAGATTTCTGTCCCCACTTCTACCTCCAATGTTACCTACGATTGTATCATAACGCTTAGCCATAAATATCGGAGATTTGACTACACTTTCGTTTTTCCATCACTCTGAGGCGAAAACAGTTAGCAAACGCCAAAGAACGACAGAATCTTTAGCAACATACAATTCTATGTCTATTAAGCACTTAAACGTATTCGCACTGCATTTGCGTGAGCCTGTAATCCTTCGCAGTCTGCCAGAGTCGCCACAATAGGACCCAGGACCTTGAGTCCTGCTGAAGACACCTCTTGCGATGTAATGTGTTTCTGGAAGGACAGTGTATTAACTCCGCTGAACTGTCGTGCGTAACCATTAGTAGGAAGAGTGTGATTTGTCCCAGAAGCATAATCTCCACAACTGTCAAGGCGTGTTAGGAAAAAAGTCACGCCTAATTTCTGCTGTTGACTAACCTTTCGGGCGAATATGAACCCACAAAGACACTACCGGCATTTTCAACTAGATCAACTCGACTGGCGGCATTCTCAAGATGCAAGATGAGGTGCTCAGGTGCGTAGTCATTGGAGAACACGAGGGCTTCCTCAACAGAAGATGCTCTGACAATAATGCTTTTTCCGATGGACTGCCGAACAATGTCGACTCTGGACAAAGCTCGTGCCTGCGAATCGACTTCTCTTTCTATGTGACTGAGATGTTTCTCTGTCAGATCAACGGCTACAAGGACGACTTGAGAGTCAACTCCATGTTCTGCTTGAGAAAGCAAATCGGCCGCGACGAAAGCGGCGTTTGCTGTATAATCAGCAATGACCTAAAGAGATATCAGTTCTGTAGATTAAAACGTGAGAAATGAACCACTCACAAGGACTTCGCTAGGCCCAGCTGGCATGTCAATACTAACGAGGGCATCGGTATCGTTCTGGACTAACATCTTTGCGGCCGTCACCCATTGATTGCCAGGTCCGAAAATTTTATCCACCTTTGGAACTGTATCAGTCCCATAGGCCAAGGCTGCAACGGCTTGCGCTCCTCCAGCTTTCAGCACAGTCGAAGCGCCAACCAAACTTGCCACATACATGACCTCAGGAGAGATACTGCCATCTGCCCGCGGTGGGGTCGCCAAAACGATTTCCTTGCAGCCCGCAACCTGCGCTGGAATACCGAGCATAAGGGCGGTGGAAGGAAGTACGGCAGTGCCCCCTGGGACATAAAGACCAACTCTTGGTATAGGTCGCGCAAAACGGGAGCAAACGACACCAGGCATTGTTTCGACCACGAGATGAGATCCACTTGACTGTGCCTCGTGGAATTTCCGAATGTTGGCATACGCTTGGTCGATGGCTGCTTTGACATCCGGGTCGATTTGCATTGTATCCGGGGAGAAGGGCGAAAATATGCACGTGGATGACAGTCGGGCTTTGTCGAATTTGGCTGTAAATTCGAGGAGTGCCGCATCTCCACGCGCTCGTATTTCAGAAACGATAGGCTCGACCTTTTCGATCATCTCGCCGGATTTGAGCACAGGCCGACGGAGTAGCTGCGCGCGCTCTCGTGCTGAGATTGTGCTTAGGTCAGAGGCTCGCATCCGAATGGGACCGTCCGGACCCGCCGGAGGTACCGATGAGACGGATGGAGGCGGTTTTTCTGCAGAGCGGTTTTTCGATGCAGATGACCACTGAGGTTTCGAATTCCCAGGTCTACGCGTTACTCTCTTCGACTTCTTGTCCAGGGATCGCTCGATATCTGCGATTGTGACACCTGCAGCGATACATTTTGTGAGTACAAAATATATCAAGTCAGCAGCTTCAAATGCTACGTCCTCCTTCGTCTCAGCGGAACACAGCTCGTCTGCCTCTTCCATAATCTTTGAACGCAAGAGCTGAGGATCATTGAACAAACGTTTCGTATACGATCCTTCAGGCGCAGATACGAGGCGAGAAAGAAGGGTGGTTTCCAACGCTTGGAATCCTTTCGCATCGCCAAAACATGATTGGCGGTCTAGATGGCAGAATCCTGCGCCGTGTTGCACAACTCGGAACTCCAGACTATCAAAGTCGCAGTCGAGACTGATGCTGATCACGTCCTGAGTCGCACCCGACGTTTCTCCTTTGCGCCAGAGGCCATGTTTTCGTGATTGGTAGACACCCTTTCCTGTTAAAATGCTTTCCTTCACCGATTCAGCAGAGGAATATACCAAGCCAAGTGAGTGACCACTCTGGCTGCAGACCACCGTGGGAAAGAGGCCATCAGGACGATCCGAGATTAAAGGAGCAACGAACGCGTCTCCGACATTTATTTGCGAGCCGGTGGTTGCGTGAAGGGTAAGCTGGTCGCTTGGAATGACTAGCGTTGCTTTGATGCCCAAAAGAGCGCGAATAGTAGATTTAGACGGCAAAGTAGGGGAGGATAGGACGTATATGTCGGATGCGGCGAAAAACTTGGATATTGAAGCAATCAAATCAAGGTCGACTGCTGGACTTTTAAGCAGGACCCCAGATATAGCGCTCCGAACCTTGTCGGAAACGGCACTGACGCTCTCGACGTCGAGCAAAAGGATGATTCTGTCATTGGGAATAATTCCTATGAGCTCCTTGGCCCATGTAAGAGGTACGATGACTTTTTCGGCGCCGTCGTCTAGAAACCCGGTGATGACTTGTAAATCAAAAGCTGGGCGATCAATGAGTACATAAGACCTGTCTGGAAGGGGTCCTGTAGGCGAAGAGAGAATGGTGGGACCTATACGGTGAAGAATAGGGAAGAGCTTCCCACTGGGCTGCTCGAGGAGCGGCAGGAAGGAAGGCATGGTAAGAGCAATGTTTATTCGGGTCAATTACCCAATATGTCCTGGTTCGGCAATTTCCGTAGTACTTCTCCCTTTCCTCTATCGCCCAACACGGCTTTCGCTACGATGCAAACTATTAACCGTTTCCTCTATGGCCCCACACCCGAAGAGCGGGTTCGAGCATGGAAGAGCAAGCTTCGGTCAGAGACCCGTATCCTTGACCGGGAGATGAGACAGGTTGGCTTGTTGCCCGTCCCCTAGCACACAGCAAGGACTGACTAGCGTGCAGCTCGATGTGGCAACAAACAAGGCTAGGCAGAGCGTGAAGCAATTAGCATCGAAAGGCGATGTCAAGAACGCACGTATATTAGCTCGAGAGGTCGTCCGCAGTAACAAGCAGAAGGACCGCTTGTCTGTGAGCAAGGCGCGGCTAGGATCCATTGAGACACAGTTGTCTCAACAGATGGGTATGTAGCGATTCCATGATAATCCCATTCCAGTATAACAAAGTGCCATTTCAGCTATGATCAAAGTAACAGGGTCATTGCAGAAATCTACTCAAATCATGAAACTATCCAACTCTCTGATAAAACTGCCGCAAATCAGTCAAACAATGCGAGAGATGAGCATGGAGATGACGAAGGTTGCTCTGAGATTCGCCTCAGTTATATCGCTTGCTGATATGCATTGGATAGGCTGGCATCATGGAAGAAATGCTGGGCGATACGCTAGACATGGATGAAGACGAAGAGTTGGAAGAAGAAGCTGATGCTGAGGTCGAAAAGGTCCTCTTTGAGTTGACGAATGGCAAACTGGGAGAAGCTGGGTCTGTTGGAACTGAACTTCCGGTGAGCTCCTTTGATTGGATGAACTGCATGATGTTTACACATCTCCAGCCGTTGGAAAGCAAGCTGGAGGACGCAGAAATAGAAAGGACGATGGAGCAGTATCGACAACAACTCAATGGCATTTTAAGTGGGTGACATAGGGGATCTGGATTTGTGTAATATATACCTAGATGTACATTATTCGTTTATTTCGGACTTGTAATGGTCATTACTCATCAATTGGCGCCGCTATATCTTATCTCCACACCACGTGGCATCGGAAGGAAACGCAAAACTTTCGGTCACATCAACCTTCTTTCCCTTGTACAGACATGTTCACTTCCAGGTCCTTCGCTGGCATTGCCCAGGGAGCACTCAAACGTTCTCAAGTATGCTTCCGAATGCACTTAATCTACTTCAAACTCATCGTGCAGCAGGGTCTCAGGCGCTACGCCACTGTCTCGCCGACAGCTGGTTTTGCCGGCCAAAAGGGCAGTAATGTGCGCTTTCACTACTGACAGCTTCCATGCTTGAGAACTCATGTTTATCTTCATACTATTGACAGGGAAAATATACCGTTACGCTCATTCCTGGCGATGGTCAGTTCCATTCTCCATCTTGTTTTCCGGCTTAACGTATACGTTCTGTAGGTATCGGGCCCGAAATTAGCCAGTCGATCAAGGACATCTATGTTGCCGCCAACGTTCGTTAGCGTGCCATATTCTTTCAGCTACAGCTTTCTTAATGAATATCAGGTTCCCATCCAATGGGAGGAAGTCGACGTTACGCCGATTCTGAAGAACGGAAAGACGGTCATCCCAGACTTGGCTATTACCTCTGTCAAAAAGAATACTGTTGCACTGAAAGGTGTGTTTCAAGACCGCTTACGTGATTCATTCATTCATTCAGTCTTCAGGACCTTTGGCGACCCCCAGTAAGCATTAAACACGTTATATATACTCTTACCTCGGAGTGACATGGTGGACCAGTTGGCAGGGGCCACGTATCGCTGAACTTGACATTGCGTAGGACATTCAACCTTTTTGCCAACGTCCGACCCTGTGTATCTATCCAAGGTTTCAAGACTCCATACGACGACGTGAATACTGTTCTTATTCGGGAGAATACTGAGGGAGAGTACTCAGGTATAGAACATGAGGTAATGAGACTAGGCCGCTATGTGGTGTTGAGCTAACGTATCACTCTCAGGTTATCGATGGCGTTGTTCAATCCATCAAACTCATCACCTGGGAGGCTTCCGAGCGTGTTGCTCGTTATGCCTTCCATTATGCGCAATCTAGCGGACGCAAACGCGTAACTGCTGTTCACAAAGCGAACATCATGTAGGTGTCTTGTCGCCGTTCACACCCAGATCTTACTTGGCATAGGAAAATGTCTGACGGCATGTTTTTGTCTGCTTGCCGAGAGGTCTCTAAGGGCTTCCCAGACATTGCTTATGACGAAGATCTGCTGGATCGCGTTTGCCTTCAGGTATGCCTGTTTTTCCTATATGCACAGACCCATTGCTCATGCCGTTCAGGTTGTGCAAAATCCAAGACCTTACTCCGACCGTGTCATGGTCATGCCTAATCTCTACGGCGATATCCTTTCGGACATGTGTGCCGGCCTTATTGGCGGCTTGGGATTGACACCATCGGGTAATATTGGTCGTGTAGGTCCCCACCGGATCACTCCCGTTGACAAATTCTCAATCTCTCCATCGTCAGGACGCGTCTATATTTGAGGCAGTTCATGGTTCTGCTCCCGACATCGCTGGTACGCAATTCGTTAGTCTTTGTTTGACTCCCGGCCATATTTACATCACTCCGTAATTACAGGGAAGGGACTCGCTAATCCAACAGCCCTTCTGTTGTCATCCCTGATGATGCTAAGGTACGCTTCGTCTTGAGAATTCTAAGAGAACTCTGGTTGATCTGTTGGTCGTGAAGGCATATGAATCTCTATGAGCACGCCGGTAAAATCGAAAAGGCCGCTCTGACGGTAAGCGATCAAGAGTCTTGAACGGATCTCAACGTCTCATTGTGTTGCAGACTATTGCGGAAGGTAAGACGATCACTGGTGACTTGGGTGGCAAAGCTTCCACAAAGGAGTATACTGCGGCCATCATCCAGAAGCTTCAGCAATAGAGCAGAAGTGCATGTACATACATCTGGATACTGGACTAGAGTACATTAATCGAAACGGCCGCCTAATATATTGATGAGGATACTGGAAACAATGGGGCATCAAGAGACATCACTCCCGCAGGGGACCATTAACGGATCGAGCGTGGGAAGATACGACAATCACAGCTCGTCACAGACAACTCAGTTACTTAAGGGCTGCGCTCATTCACTCCCGATAAGCACCACCTCGCATTCTTTCCCCCCACTCGCCCTACAGGGCAAAGCCATCCAATTCACAGATCTTGCCAACTTTTAAAGGTATTTCTTCCGCTCTACGCCCTCTCGCTGGCTCAGCGCTCACCAGGCAACAGCTAAACCTTACTTCAACATATAAGCAAAAACCCAAAAAAGACTTTATAACACTTTTCTCGTTTCAAACTCTTTACGAACGACATGACGGACGAAATAACGGTACCAGTTCAAGCGCGAAAAGATGATAAGAGGCCCGCCGCGTCAGGCAATGGTCGCGGTCCAAAAAGGAACCCTTCAATCAGCAAGCCAGCAGCTGCTATCGCCCAAGGTGGCCCAAGGCCTTCTTCAAGGTCGAGCAACAAGAAGTCGTCGACTCCTGCGACAGAGTCCGGCTCAGATACAGCCACGAGAAAGGTTTCTGAGACAGCGAAGAAGCCTGACCAGCGGAACAAGGGCCAGTCAGGCGGTCGTCCTCCAGCGCACCGCAAAGCGCAGCCTTCAGTTCAGAACGCGCGTCCCAATGGGTCCAAGGACCAGTCGTCGAAGCAGTCTACGCCCACACCATCCCAATCCAAGGAGTCGAGTGACGCTCTGTCATCATTGCAGAGGGTCATCGCCGACCTCAGAACTACGTCACCCCAGCCACCCGGTAGCAACACTTTCCCAATGCCTGCCGCTCAAGCGCCCACTTCTTCTCTCCCACTCAATGCCCCGGTCTTCCAACCAGGAGCTGCTGCGTATCCCGGGCTGAACACTGCAGACGTCAAACATCGCAAGGCAGCGTCCATGGGCGCATCTGGTCTCTCCGGGAATTTCAATTCCTTCGCACCTGGCCTGAAGGCGATGATGGAAGACGTTGAAGACGGCAGCATGCCCCTGGAAGATGGCGAGATTCACGAGACCTTCTACCCCTCCCAGGGACACCAGCCCCGTTCTCAGTCTCAGAGTTTTACTGCTCCTCGTTTCGCGGCATTGGCACAACAAGAGCAGATAGAAGCTGTTGGTCCTACTGGCCGCCCTCAGCTCGCGCCAAATTTTATGTTTGGTGCCAAGAAACGCGGCGGAGGGATGATGGGACCGCCAATCGATGAAGAAGACGTGGGTTTCCAATTTCCTCAACAGCAACAACCATATTCCCCCGAAGTCCCCACCCAGGAACCTATCCAGCACAGGAAATCAGACAGCGGTGAAATTACTGGTATCATGGCTGAGCAGGTACGTGGCTCCTTCTAATCCCTCTAAGGACCCGACTATATGCATGTACATCTTTTCAGATCGCCATTCAGAACCAAATCGAGGCGCTGCAACAACAGCAGCAGGCACTCTATCAGCAACAGCTCGCGTCAAATCAGGTCCTTTCCTTCCAGACGGCTGGATTAGCTCCGAACAGGACGAGTGTTCATCGACGCGTTCACAGCACTGTTCCCATGGGTGGAATAGGCGCTAGCGGCTTTGGAGGTCCGCAGCCCACTATGGGTCAGTTCGGTCACTACAGCGGCCTCAGCGTTAGCATGGACGGACAAGCCCAAGCTATGCCTCGAGGACATGGGCGACGGCACAGTGTCAACGTTGTCAACAAGCCCGGGGGCGGAGGTGGCTCTATCAGTTACAATAGCAATCCTTACGGACAACAAGAAGGGTTCGATGATGGTTTTGCCCCACCCGGTTTTGGTGGACATTCTCGTCAGGCTTCTCGAGCCGATTCTAGTTGGCGTATCAGTAAGATCAATCTCGTTCAAGTGATTAACCCGATATTTGTTTACAATACATCTTACAGATGGTGGTGTCGGCGGGGTGCCTACCAACAGCAACAATGGTTTTGCAGCAGACCTCGCTCAAGCTCAAGCCCAACTCCAGAGTCTGCAGCAATTCCGTGCGGCAGCCGGGGGCCATCATCATAAAATGCCATCATTCAGCTTCCCCAACATGTTGCCTAATATGATGGCAGCGAATATGATGGGCATGGGCCTTGGCGGTATCAATCTATTGCAGCAACAACAGCAACAATTCCAGTCCCAGCTCCAGCAACAGTCTAACCAGCCCCAACGAAAGTCCCTCTTTGCGCCATATCTACCTCAAGCGTCCTTGCCCCCTTTGCTTGCAGCGGGAAAATTGGTTGTTGGAATTTTGCGGGTCAACAAGCGCAATCGATCTGATGCATACGTCGCCACCGAAGTCCTTGATGCAGACATCTATATATGCGGGTCGAAGGATCGCAACCGGGCTCTTGAAGGCGACATTGTCGCCGTGGAGCTCCTGGATGTTGATGAAGTTTGGGGGACGAAGAAAGAGAAGGAAGAGAAAAAGAGAAAGAAGGAAGAGAACTCTGCATACGACGTTAAGTCGAGCGCCGGCCGCAAAGACGATAAGAAGAAAGATGACGTTGAAGTTGAGGGTCAAGGTCTTCTCCTGTTCGAAGATGAAGAGTATGTCTGATTTTAACGATTTTCCGACAGGATGTAACTAACCGCTTCTTCCTCAGAGTCACTGACGATGTTAAACCTCAGTTTGCCGGCCATGTTGTTGCTGTGGTAGAAAGGATGCCTGGCCAGTTGTTCTCCGGAACTCTGGGCCTCCTTCGTCCCTCTTCTGCCGCCACGAAGGAAAAGCAAGAAGCGGAGCGTCGCGAACGTGAAGGCGATCGTGGAGATGAGCCTAGGCGCGGTCCCATCGAACGTCCTAAGATTGTCTGGTTTAAGCCTACAGACAAGCGCGTACCTCTCATTGCGATTCCTACTGAGCAAGCCCCACCTGACTTCGTTCAGAACTCTGAGGCGTACGTTGACAAGCTTTTCGTTGCTTGCATCAAACGTCATGTACGTGATTCTTTGAAAAATATACAATGTAGCTGATCCAAGCTTGTATATTTAGCCTATAAGCTCGTTGCATCCTTTCGGTACTCTGGTTGAGGAACTCGGTCCGATTGGCGATATCGAAGTAGAGACGAGTGCTCTTCTGAAGGACTGCAATTTCCCTACAGAAGACTTCACGGACAATGTCCTGAAGTGTTTGCCGCCGATGCCTTGGTCGTGAGTCATTTCATCTCTTCCCTTCTTTTTCTCTCTCACAACGTTTCAGAATTCCGGAAAGAGAATTCGAGGTCCGGAAGGATCTTCGTGGTAAACGTATCTTTACTATCGATCCGGATACTGCAAAGGACCTTGATGATGCTGTTTCGATCAACCTCAACGAAGACGGCACCTATGATGTTGGCGTTCATATTGCTGATGTTTCTTACTTCGTCAAGCCAAACACTGCCCTCGACCGTGATGCTCGCAAGCGCGCAACGAGTGTGTATCTAGTTCAACGTGCTGTGCCAATGCTTCCTCCGTCTCTCAGTGAACAGTTATGTAGTCTTGTTCCTGGACAAGATCGCCTCGCATTCACGGTCATCTTCACCATGAATAAAGAGGCCAAGGTCTTGAGCAAATGGTTTGGCAAGACCATCATAAGGTTTGCTGAATATTGATTTATAGCGAACGTGACCGACGCTGATTTTGTATGCAGATCCGCCAGTAAGCTTAGTTACTCGGACGCTCAGAACGTGATTGAAGGCAAAGTTTTGGGTGGTGTTGTGATATCTCCTGAGCATAATGCCAGCGATATCGAACATGACATCCGGATTTTGGATGATCTGGCCAAGAAGTTGCGAGCCCAAAGGTTTGAGAATGGCACTTTAAGCTTGGACTCCCTGCGCTTGCAGTTCAAGCTAGATGATACCGGATTACCTGTTGACTGTTGGCAATATCAACATGTTGATGCAAATGAGCTGATAGAGGAGGTATGTGTCACCTGCCTATTGGTCTTCTTGGTCTTGATTGTTCACGTATCTTAGTTCATGCTCCTCAGTAACATCACGGTAGCTCAACATATTGCCTTCCATCTACCTGAGCAAGCACTTCTCCGTCGCCATGACACTCCTATCGAGCGTCGTCTCAACACCTTCCGGGAACGTGCGGAGCGATTAGGTTACCAGATGGATACTTCGACGTCGGGTACCCTCATGCGATCATTTGAAGCAATCAAGGATCCTACTGCTCGCAGGCTTCTCGAATTGCTCTCGTTCAAAGTGACTTACCGCGCGAAATACTTCTGTTCTGGAATGCTTGATATTGCAAAATATCATCACTATGCTCTCAACGTCCCTTTGTACACCCACTTCACGTCTCCAATCCGTCGTTATGCTGACATTCTTGTTCACCGTCAACTTGAGTCAGTATTGCAAACTGGATGTGGGTCACGTCTCCCTATAAAATGCCCTTGTTTTGACGTATTTCGCTACCTTCGCAGCTGAACCTAAGTTCACTATGGATCGCGATGCCGTTGCCAAAGTGGCTCAGCAGTGCAATATGTAGGTTTCCTCGCCATGTGTTATTGAGATGCAGCTTATGCACATTGCAGTAAACGCGACTCGGCGAACTTGGCTCAGGAACAATCAGCCCACCTGTTCCTTTGCGTTCTCATTTCCGACTTGACCCAGCGCTATGGTCCAGTTGTTCGTCAAGCTAAAGTTGTTGGTGTTTTGGATGCTGCTTTTGATGTCCTTGTGCCCGAATTCGGTATCGAGAAGCGCGTTCATGTTGACCAGATGCCCATTGACGTAAGAAATTTTGTTGTATCCACTTATAAAGATTATGATACATTCTTTTTTTCCAGAATCACGTCTATGAAGAGCACACACACACGTTGCAGATCTACTGGTCAACCAAGGACGTCATCAGCTGGTTAGCCGAGAACAGCGACGACGAGCATTTGAAAAAGGTGAAACAGAATGCGGAGCAGCATGCACTTAAGATGGAGGTTGCTTCACGCTCCGTCCATGACGAGAAGGCCTTGTTCGACGAGGACGAAGCGGATGACGATGAAATTGTTCTAGGGCGCGCCGAAGCGTCGGCGGATGAGAACGAGACATCGAAACAAAGGTTACTGTCGATCGCCAAGATGAAGCCCGAGTTCGAGGGGTTGAGGACGACACCCGCTGGGCATCTGATTCAGGATATCAGGGAGCTCATGAGCGTTCCTGTAAGTGTATTTTCACCGTGCCGATGCGTGCGTATTGAATATGTCTAAACAGGTCATCGTGACTGCTGATTTGACCAAGTCGCCACCGGTCATCAAAGTATACAGTGTCAACCCTTACGCCATCGAGCAGAAATGATCATCGGACGGCCGTAGCAAACAATCTCCATTTTAGTTCGGACTGCAATACGTGTACTTTTAGCCAACTTCCCTTTCTTTCTTCTCTCTTCTAACGCCTCTCTCTTTACAACAAGGCATTCTTTTACTGACTACGGTCTTCCTAGCTTTAATGATGTCTGGTGTTAGTGCCAGGGTGGTAAACTGTATTTTTTTCGACATGTAAGATTTGTTATTGACGTACGGGAAACTGAAAAAATTACTATACATACATATGCATATGGAATCACTTTGACATGCTTTTTATTCCGTTGTGGTCTGAAGCTGATTCGAACTTGAACGTTTAATTTTAGCCGTTGTTTTATCTTGGTGAGCTTCGAGGCCCTTTTATTGACCAAGTCCGATCCTTCTTTCATCATCCACAAACAGCTCTAATGCCTACCAGTATACACAAGTGATGCTATTCTCTCCTTGCCATCTTCTCATCAACGCTGTCGTGTTGAAGAAACGAGGTCAGCTTTTCCCTTCTCCTGCAGACCTGTCGAACGATCCCAACAACCCGCTTCGGTACATCGCGACTAATGTTCTCACTGCAGTCGCGTTCAGTACGTCTGCCTCCACACTGCAATCGTCGGCGACTTATGGAGTCATGGAAGGTTTTATGCTAACGACCGCCCTCATTCAAACGTATTGGATGAAGCGATGGGGTGCAAGGCGGATGATGCCAATGACTATCGGCGCATACAGTGCGTTTTTTTTCCCAATCCATCCTTCCACATGGTTATATCTAACCTCCATTCGCATTTGGGATAGGCACACGGTTCGGCCTACACACGCACCCAGAATCAAAGGGAATATACATCGTGGAATATCTCTTCGTTGTGCTGTCCGTAAGCTCTGGTTCTGTTGGTCCTTTATGCAAAGATGACCATTTCGAGACTCCACAGCCATACGCGTTCATTTCAGCCAACTACGTCCTCCTAGGTCGCCTTTCGCGGTACCTGAGAGCACCGGAGCATTTGTTGATAAACCCGCCACGAATCACGGCAGTCTTTAATGTGACTACATTTCTGATTCAGGTAGGTACCGTGTTGGTATAAAAGCTTATGGTGAACGAATGGCAAAAGGCTACCGGAGGTGCAGTGACGATTGGATCTCGTGTAAGTGGTCGTTCCTCTACAATCCGAGCTGAATGAAAACCAGGGCCCCTCAAGATATTCCTCGTAGGACTAGCACTGCAACTGGGGCGTTCTTCATCTTCACATGCATATTCCTGACGTTCCTACGACGCATGAACATGACATTTAGGAGGCCAACACAGCGGGACGGAAGAGGTGGTATGATGACTAGCGGACTCTGGTAGGCAGACTTTTTGTCAGCTATATTGGTATCCTGGTATGTGAGAATCACGTCAAGTACTGTGAAATTGCAGAAACGATTTGTGTACCGGACGATAGAACTTTCGGAAGGCTCCGAAGGTCGACTGGACAACGATGGAATCGTCCTTCTATGGTTTGGACACGCTGCCGCGATATACGTTCCATTTTGGCCCTGAAGATTCATTCTTCCAGTTCATGTGGAGCATGATACAGAACTGAAGTTATTGAACGGAGATGAATCATAAATTCCTTGTTTATACGTTGTATGAAAGCTTGATTCAATACACAGTAGAAAGGAGACCCACTTAGAGACCACTGAGAAATGCAGCCAAACCAGTTGAACTTTGAGTAGCCTTGTCCCGTTCCTCCCGTGTACGGCTTTTGGCAAGCATATCTTGCAAAACGGACTTGTTCTTTTGACGAAGCTTAGGCCGCGCAGATGTCGACGGGTTGGGAGTCGGGATTTTGGAGACGACTGAGGCGGCTTTGGCGACGGGCTCTGGCTCTGGGACTGCCACTACGGGGTCCCTATTTGTACGTCTGTTTCGTCTCCCATAGATGACAGCATTCCCTTTCTGAACCTCCTTGTCATTTGCAAACCTGCAATCTCTGCACCGCACCGTCCTAATCCTCTTTGATTTTCCTTCGTTGCATCCTTTGTTGACGCGTTGCAGCCGAGAGCCGCTGAGGCCGTCAAGAAGAAAAGTACCGCATCTCGAGCAGAAGTCTGGGTTCTCGAGAGCATGCTGGCGCTTGATACGTGTCGCATGAAGAGCAGATAGTGACGGCGAGACTGTGAGATATGCATAGGGCAGCAACTGGTGAAATTTTGAGGTGGATGGGTCGACGGATTGTGTATCCGAATTTGCATTCATGGTAACGACTAGGTGGTTGAGGACAAAAGCCGAAATTGTTGATTTGTCACAATTAATATGTCAATTCGTCCGCACCATAAGACACGAAGTGGATGCAAAACATGCAAGCGACGCAGAGTCAAGGTATGCACTTATTGTCGGCCCTTGTACAGTCGACTCAGTCGTTGCCAAAATAAAGTGCGACGAGGAACGTCCTATGTGCAAAAACTGTACGAGAAGAGGCATAGAATGTGTCTGGATCAACCCAGCACCATCTATCCATCCCCCTTCCACAGTATCGAGGCATACTGGCGCAGGTTCATTCGACCTGCTGACTCTCGAGCTCATGCACCACTATGCTGCCGCTACTTCCCACTCACTTTCTTCTGATCCTGCTGCCGCAAGCGTATGGCGAATCGTCATTCCCAAAATCGCGTTCAATCCTAAAAATCAATGTCTCCTCTGTGCTATTCTCGCCATGTCCGCGCTTCATGCTCACTACGCTGATCCCACGGCAGGTCAGTACGCTGTAGCTGCGAGCACCTACCACCAGCAGGCCAAAACGGAGTTACATAGGGCAGAAGCGGATGGAAAGACGGATATTGATGCCGTCTTTCTCACTTTGTCTCTTGTCGCACTTTATGAGTTCGCTACGTCATCCATAATCTCCCTATACTCTGGCGAGTGGCATATCACGATCCGTAGTATCCCCCTCAAGGTTGCAAAAAGCTGGCCACAGCTCCAGGATGGTGTTCTGCGTCCAATGCTGGTCACAATGGCGCCAGTGATCATACCTACATCTTTTGAAGAACCGTTTCCATCATCCTTATCGACCCTTTTGGGCACGGCGCACCCGTCACCAGACGTTGGGGAGTTTCATGACGTATCGGTGTACGATGCCTATAAAGATACGATACGTATCCTCAAGATATCATGGAAAGCCTCATTTCAGAAAGATTACTGTATGTATGCATCGTGTATGTGGTGGTCAATGGTACCCAATATGTACTTTCGCTTGTTGGAAGAGCGGAAACCGCGGGCACTCATCATCTTGGCGCATTACTACGTTATGATGAAAAGGGTGGCGGAGGATGGCCCGTGGTGGGTGAGAAAGCAGTGGGGTAATGAGGCAGCAAGGATCGTCTCTGCACTTGATGTGCGATGGACACCTTGGCTGGGATGGCTCTCGAGTCAGTTGGACCAACCATATGAGGGTCAGCCATTTCACTTCGCGGGCACGGATTCCATGAATTGGTTGAACGAGGTAGGATCATTGATGCCTCCTGCCCTGGATTTCATGAATTGGTGGAGTGAGGCTGGATCGTTAAATTAGGGCAGGAGGCATTATATCCTGCTATCTGAAATATACCACCGATAGATACGAATTTTCCAAGTATGAGCAGCAGCTGTACAATGTCCGAGTAGTAGATAATGTTGTAAGTCCGAGTTCACAACTGTAGATTAGGTTTCTCTTGCATCAGAGGTGCATTGTAACTCGGACTAGTCGCAAACTCTCTCTGTCATGTATGATCTGTTCTGCCTGGTGAAGCCAGGAAGCCAGTGTTCTAGGACATAATACATACGACTGACAATCACTAATAGATTCAAGCAAGGTCTGCCCCGACACGGCGAAATGCATATGCGCGGTAGCCATCAGGCCAAAGCCTAGGAAAAGTGCAAGTCTGACAAAGTCCCTCCCTCCTCTCCCTCCAGTAACGTGTGGGTTGCCAGGAGGTGCTTGTCGGAGTTCAGATCCAAAAAGCTCAGAATAACGTTTCCCTGAAATATATCATGAGTCTTCCTGCATAGCTAAAGAGTCGGGCAAATAGAGCTGTCGATATAACTTGCCAAAATCAACGGTTTGTCGAATAGCTTAGCCGGTTAGGGAAAAATCAGTCTGCTCCTAGAGATTTCATTACTTTCAGTGATAAGTATGTCCCTGCTCTTCAACATTCCAGAGACGATGGTATCGAAAGCAGTCCAGTGCAATTCATTGGATAAAGTTTTTGTTGACTAGACTACTCTCGCTCTCTTTGCTACGAACTCTTTTTGTCATATTCGTGACCGTTTCGTTTCAGTGAATTTATTTCCGATGCTGGTGGTGGTGTGCAAGTGCCCATAATGGTCCCATATACCCATTCATAATCCTCCCCCAAAGCGCCGCGCTGAGAGGCAATATCCCCGAGGCCAGAGAGCATAGCGAGACCGATCTGTTGCTGTTGGACGAAGTTGCCTGCTGCAACCATGCTATAGGGCTTGGTTATCTAATAACCATCAGGCAGAATCGACTACACGATTTGATACACATATCCGCAATGTGTGTGGTCTCCTCGTCTTTATGGTCTCCCACCTGACACCGGGCTACCGAGCAGAATGCAAGCGTAGTTGTTGTTCGAGATGTTGACGAATCTTTTGGTTGGCGGTGAACTCGAGGGCTTCACGAGGAATTTCGCACAAAAAGCGTCGAAGTTCTCTGCAATGCGGACAATCAGATGCCCTACACGCGAACGACAAGATATTTGTAGGAACTTGATCCTCTGGCTTCACTGGCATGGTAAGCCTTGCAAAAACTTCCAATGCATCGGTAACGAAAGTGACAAACGGTGGCTCTGCGACGCTGACATTCCATTGCGGAATTTTCTCGAATAGGTTCAGGACAATAACTGCGAGTTAGTTATTGGTGTAAGAGTCTGTGTCGGAAGCTGTGTCGACTAGGGCGATGAGATGACGCAGGATGTCCTTGCTTAGATCGACTCCGGAATCGATACTATAAGCAAAGTCGACCAGTTCGACAACAGGTACTGGAGCTGCGAATGTCCAAGGCGGCCTTCTGCTATGGTAGAATTTATGAACCACCTCTTCTAGACACCACGCCACAATTTCCGAGACAGGGCTCTGGGAGATTGCATCGGAGACGGCAAGATGGTTCAGCACTCAAGAGCCCGTGTACCACATACACCGATTCAAAATTTGCACCGAGTATCTGACGCTAGATGGTTGAATCCCCCAGAGCTGCCAACATCTCAAGACCCTGGTTCTGTCACTGTTTGTACCAACTGTGTACAACCACGCTTTTGGGTTTTTGGATGTATAAGGTCGACTGTGTTTCCTTGTTTCCCACTTTACACTGTGCTTCGCAGCCGAAGCCGCAGCGAGCCGCTTCTCTACATGTGGGCGAAAGCAGCTGCCGCGCTAAGATTATGGAAGGTAGCATTGTTAGTTAAGAAACCCCTTCACAACATTGCACTCGTAGCATTTGCCACAGCCGAACGACAATAATTGAGATACGACCTGCTCAGCAGGCTTTGCTGGCATCAATTTACGAGCGAATAATTGCAGAGTCTCAGCACAGAAAGAGAACTGCGGCGCCACAATGTCAGTTTTCCAGGTTTCCATCTTAGGGCATGGACAGGAAACCAACGGGACAAGTTCCTCAAGGACATAATTGTCGGATTTGTCGTCTTTCTCAATAAGTTCTTTCAAGATATCGATGCTGAAAGAATCATCAGCGCCAATGTCATAGGCGAAATCCAGAAGGTCGATGACAGATGGACGGGAGAAGGAATGGTAGGAGTATGACCGCCTTCGGCGTACGGTAATCCTTGACGACGTGCTCCACACTCTGTGCGACAATCGTAAGGATAGTCTTCTGCGCTGCCGTGTTGGTTAAAGTTGGGAGCACCCGGACATACAGACATCGTGCTCGAGATTTGACTTTCTGCATGCTCTCTGTAGTCAAAGTTTCGAACAGCTCTGGCGTTACTCTGAAGCGAGCTTGGTCAATCTCACATATTGTTTGATATGACGAGAAACCCTTACAATTGCGTCAGAAACTCGTGGATAGAAGAGGGCCAGGGTCAACGATTCAGATGCTTCTTTTCCTTGATCGAGAAACTCAGAAACTGCATCCTCGAAGAATCCCTTAAAAGGCGGCCTGAGCTCGGGGTGTGCTTCAATGACTTTTGCCATGTCAGGTACGAAGGCTTCGTAGAATCTCCAAGCTTCAGTATCCCGCTTCTTTCCGGACCTCATACGATCGAAAATAACGGCGCATTGGTCGGTATTAGCCGTAGCGATACACAGCTGGACGAGCTGGGCGATAAGGGCCTGGTCACCGTAAAATTTAAGTTCACAATAACCTATGCACCCTCTATTCATGTCGTCCTCGTCACGGAAGTTGTATGCTTTTTCGGGGTATGCGGGGGATTTCCCACTGACGTGCCGTACACATAACGATATCACCTCTGCTGCTCTTGCGATACCAGGCTTCTGGCGGTTGAGGGTCTCAATAATGGGTATCCGAACACACATTTCGCATTTCTGATCAGTAAGCTGCGGCAAAAGCCTGAAAAAATCTGTGTTAGTCCTTGAGCTAGAGGGAAAACCCTTGCACTGACGTATTTCGAAAGACGCTAATGTCAAGTTTTTTTGACAACGTCTATCCTCGTCAGGTTGGGCAGTTTTGAGGTTGGAAAAGACGAATTCGTCTTGAACTTTACGCCAAGCATTTACGGCGGTAACACCCTTCTTTTCCTTCGCCACAACAGAGATCTTGTCAATAAGGATGCCTCGAGTCACGTTGGAACTCGAGTGCTCGACCGCTTTGGTAAAATATAGTTGAAAATTAATTGGCCGCAATGTGTCATCACTGGCTACCGCTACGCACATTTCCTTGAGTTGTTCCCATCGATCCTGAATTGCTCGAACACAAACGCAAATTCTTCGGGATCAAGAAGGGTGTCGGCATAGGTGACCAGATTGCTCCCTCGAGCGATGTGGAGGAAAGATTCAACAACCTTACCTGAGAGAAAGTTCGACCACAGTCTTGACGGTTTCCTGAAGGTCTTGTCATCGGACCAGCGCTCCTAGCATGTCCTTTGCTCTTTGACGGCCAGGCGAGCAACTCGGCTAGCATAAGATTGTACAAGACCAGTGAACAGCGTCTCTTTATCATCGATGGAACGGCTCTGCCATGTTTATACGACCTTGCAAGCATAATCAAAACGTCGCCCATGGTAGCTTTGAGATCAGATGTGTTTGGGACGATCAAGAGGACTGTTCGATTCCAGACTAGACATTAAAGAGTCAGCTTAGCACAGTGGAAGGTTGGCGGACCGTCTACTATAAATCAGTGTCTTTGCACTAAATGAACAAGTCAGGGAATTGTCAACAAAGACTCGACTGGACTGTCAATATACAGTCCAATAGGCAATTTTTGTGGTTATGCCAGGAAGCTGCTGAGAACAGCCTAAATCTACGGCAATAAAAACGTTTGCCGGTCAGCAGCCTGAGCGCTTCCCTTCGTATCCTTCTATTCAATGTCATACTACTTCAGAAACGATACAACTACACACACGTACGTTATATAGAACAGGAAAACGAGAACGCTTGATGCAATGGTGCATTCTGATTTTCCATCTGTATTCTGCGTTCCCGTCTTCGCCGACTGATTCTCGAAGAGGCCCTTGGATCACGATGGTGGCACCATTCCACTCATTACTTCATACAACCCATCTATTTGCCTTTTGCTCAACTTTTCACTCCAGAAATGCATAATAGGTTCCCACTCATCCTTCGATGATGGCATCCCAGATCTCCTCCCGTCTAGTGTCTCACCACTGACTGATTGATACGCCCTCTTGAATGCAACCATAGCATCGCGAGGTAATGATGGCTCGTCCGGTGAAACGCGGTGTACAACAAGTAGAGGCGTCGGGGACAGATCTTCAATCGTGGGATACGAGAGAAGTGGACCACCGACAGACACTATCGAGCCGAATTTCCCTTTCTGTTCCTTCCACCAACTCAACCCAAATTCCGCCGCGACGCTTCCACCCTGAGCGAAACCAAAAAGATGGAGTCTGTCTTCTCGCCAGGCACAGTCGTTTACCAAATGCTGCAGGACCTGTTTCATCAGATTCAATGCGGGGGTAGGGTTGGGATATCGAATGAGCTCGCCGAGCGGGTCGAATGAATCATACCATTGAAAGGCTTCTTCGTATAGATACGGGATCTGGTCCGGCGCTCTGAGGGCGAGGATAGCGGTCTGCGGCAGTTTAAGGCGGTGACCAAGATTTGAGAATGGCTTGTGGGTGTCACCCAGGCCGTGAAGAAGAATGAGGAGATTCTCGTCGGTACCGTCGTCGCTAGGGGAGTAGAAGAAGGGGACGGGTATCCTGGAAGACTTTGGAGAGGGCATCACCCGAGGAAGCGCAGTGGAAGAGGTTTCATGTTCTCTGATGTACACGTCTGACATGGTACTATGATACCCACTGTTTACCCCTGTTTGCTGCGCATGCCGAAAATAAACAATGGACAAAGAACAAAAAGGCCGGCCCTGTTCCCAAAACCAAGATAAGAGCAAGGCGGCTGCAGTGCGCCGCCCTCATTGTACCCTCATTTTTATTCATTCCTTGTTCTCCACGTCTTTCTTGGGCTCTTACCACCATGTTCTCCTCTACCCGTTCCTCGCACGCAACTGGCCACACCAAAAAGCCCTCCATTGCCCCCTCGCTCTCAAGCACCATCAACTGGCTCTCTCGCAGCTCATCATCCGTGTCCGTCAGTCAGACTGCCCGACAAAAATCCGCTCGTTCCATAGAAATACTTTCGCCCAGATACGGTTCGTTGGGCACAGGCGCGACAGTCGTTAGGACTCCCGACGATGCATTGAAGGACTCGGGTGTGCGTCTGACATACGAAGACAGCTCACCTACAGAGGAGACTTACCATGGCTACCTCGCTGAAGAGAAGCCGGAGGATATTAATAGGCCACTCCCTCCACCGCCGCCTCCATTACCGTTTGAGCTGGAATCCGACGAAGAGGGCGAAGCTCTCGACTCGGATGATGATGAAGAACGCATTCGAGCGCTACCACCCCGCCCAACTCGTGCTTTACCGTCGTGTCCTACAATCTCTCATTCACAACCAGCCAAGATGCCGTCATTTACCGCTAGCTCCGATTCTCTTCCACCACCTCCCTTCCGTGCCATTCTGCTTTCTGACGCGCCAAGTTGTACCGTTGACCGGTCGAAAGTCGTCGTTACCCTTGAGACATGCACAAATACCCATAAAACTACCTTTGATACCCTCACATCTCAACCTTCACGTTTGTCTGAATTCCTTGCGGGCTTGTTCCCCCGCGCACGAAATATGTCCGATGCATCCTCTGTCTACTCGACAAGTAGTGATGACATGCAAGCTTATCGAACCTCTCTGCAATTGGCCTCGACGGCCTTCTCACACAGTCCTTTCCATCTTCATGTATTCCTTGACCGGCCAAGTGAATCGTGAGTCCTATTGATCGGCCCTCTTTCGTGTTCTGAATTACATTACACAGATATCCTCATATCCTGGCCTATCTTCGTTGCCATCCCCAATACCCCCGTCTTCTTCGTCTCGATATCGCAACGCTGTTAGATCTGCGAGATGAAGCTACGTTCCTCGGTCTGACCGGTCTTCAGGCACTCTGTGCGGAGGAGATCCAACGTCTTGCTACTGTTGTACCGCCCGTGCACAGCATGCGGGCCTCGGTGCACAGTAACTTCCTCGAGCGTGCTGGGCGTGAAATGCGGCGGCCTGGACCGGCAGTAGGGGCAGGCTGCGAGGCTGAGAAGAGTTTAACTGACAGTGGAACGGGCTACCGCTCTCCACCCACACCTCAGTCGTGGAAGAAGAGCCATACTCGTGAGTCCACGTCGACAAGTAGTCGTCGTTCGCGGGCTGGCTGGATATAGGCCAGTGTCATCTGTGATGGTATTTAATTATTTTTCTCTTTCATGCTCATGTGCCTTACTGTTCTTGACTGCTCTGGAATGCGTCACTGTATTATAATCTTTAATTCACGACCATGTATCCTTAGGTCCATAGCATATGTCTGCTTAGTCTGTCACTACCGTATAGATGCAACAACGTTACCGCTGTTCATTCTACCTTATCGTGACTCGAACGCTGTTGGACTTTCGGCGATCAAAGTGCCTTGCGTGTCCCGGGTCGCCCTGTTACTACCTACGTACACTCATGATGGCATGAAATGAGAATGGGCTCACTAGGAAGCAGTGGTGATGTTCTGCGGCGGGTTGTATGAAAATTTTCCAGACGTCAAAGCTCATCCAGGCACGAGATTTAGGGCCGAAACGAGTTGGTAAATATATAGGCTGAGTTTAATCGGAGCAAGGTGCATTCATTACCGAGCTTTCTGATTCTTTCGAGTGAACCTGAACGATCTAGTTATTTATTTAACGTTCATACATTTGGCTTCCATGGTTTTTTAACGCCCGTAGATCGCTGTTGGATGGGAGAAGCTATCTTGTGATCCTGTGTCGTTCTGGCTGTGGCAAAGGGGCGTTTCGAGTCTCCTGTTGGATCCGGGACTCGAATCGGAGCCGACACGCGAGGAACTGTGATCAAATCATGAATTACCGAGCCACTAACACCGCTCAATGACCCTTGAGAAACGTCGCAGAGAGAGATACTAGAGAAATGGCGGCGCCAGCACGACAGGGAGTGAGGGAATGGCTCGAAGAGAACGGCAGGCTCACCATATGGGGCTAGACCACAGGCCGGCAACGCCCCATGATCGTAGAGTGATCTCGTTTAGTCTCCCATGACTCTTCATTTCTATCTGGTCTCACACCGTTCCCCATCCTCTTCGCTTTAGATAATGTCAGCCGTAGCCTCCTCATCTGCTACCAACAGCGAGCGCAACGTCCGTTTTGACGATGAATGCGTCCTTATTCCCCAGTGTCCATTCAGGAAACCAGGCCTGCTCGTCACCAAGTCATATATTCTGCCCTGGTGGAAGCGTAAAGCTTCACCACATAATCGGGGCGACGGAACAAAAGAGAGCAACGATATCTCGTTGCCTGATGATAAAGAACACATAACGCTCAGAATCCCCTTACCAAGGTCCGTTCTATGCATGTTCAGGCTATTCACCAGATCCTGAAAGATATGTCAGTTTCCTAACTAAGCCTTCCCGGTCACCTCATTGCACACACACAGAACCTTTATCCCCTTGCCTTGTGCATCGAGAGCGACGATCTGCGTCAACCAACTCATCTCCCACTATTCACCACACCATACCCACTGCGCTCACTCGCACGGCTTCTCTTCCAATGACTGATCATACCGGAAAACCCGTCGCCACTGTGCCACTGCGCGCGTGTTGTCCCAATTGTTTTCACACTACAGAGCAGTCTTTACAGGAAGGTGACCAGTGGAAGGAAAAATTCACACGCGGGGCCAGAAGACTGAGACGTGCGAGTGTCGATTATTCTACTTCCACAAGTGTGTCGTCTGCTTCTACATCCTCAGACATGGATTTGAGCCTAGAGGCGGCGGAGGAGGCCTTGTTCCACCCACGGAGACATTCCGTATCGACAACGGAGAAGGCGTATCAATTGAAACGTGCCGCAGAGCCAGATACACTGTCTGGTCTGATATCTATTGTCTCAGTACCCACGAGCCCGCCTATTGTCGAAGAAGACGAGGAGTTCCAGGCTGTCACAAGTTGCAGTCTAGCCCACAGGTGATGGAGGCGCCACCTTCGTTGATTATAACTCAGACACCGCAGCGTCTGAGAGAATGAACGAACGTTGTTGATGGGGGCAGCATGGCTGCTAGGAGAAATCCCGTGGCTGGTCCGATGTCTTAGCGTGCACAATAGCATGTAGCCCACATTTGAGGTTATTATATATCCTGTTTCAGCAGCTGCCAGAATGATGCAAGTCAATGGATTGTAACTGTTCTACTTGCAGCCAAGAACCGTAGCCAGTAATCTATATGCATCATTTCTTTGGTGCCCAGAGATCATACAACTCCTTGTCTGCGGGATCGAAACATGTCAAAAGCGCTGCGTCAGAGCGAACCAAGATCTTCCTGATCGGAGTTCCCATGCGAAAGGATGAACGCGAAGCTTCTCGCGTGAGACGGCTGCTTAGGCCAGAGTCGGAGAATGCGGTGGAAAGCGAAGCGGAATTTTGAGACTGTTTTATCAATGTTATTTGCGAATAAAATGTTTCAGTGCAAATTTCCTCACTTCATTCGGAGAAGAAGAGACGGTCCTTGCACGAAGGGTAGAGTCTGGAGTGATGGGGTCAGCTGGTAGTGGCTTAGTTGCATACATACAATGAACACAGTAGCGACGTACGCGAGAAGGCGGCAGGCGGTGACGTGGAAAGGCGAGGCGAGGGCGAAGCAGACATCGCGGTGCGTAGACAGTCGACAAGAAAAGTACAAGCGAGCCAAGAATGGATAAAGAGCGTGACATAGCCCCCGTGATTTTGTCACGTTCGTGAATCAGAACACAATTTCTCCACCTTTACCTTTAACCACCACCTCCTATTCTCCAGCTATGAACCTCTTCAGAAATCGTACGTATTGTGATTTAATTTGGATTCCGTGATGCTGATATTGTTCTGTAGTGTTGGGACGGGTCTGGCGTTCGTGTTCCATTAGGATCCATTGATTATAAGCCACTAACTCTTAAACCTTATAGAGGATCCTAACGCCGCTGAAGGTACGTCGAATATGCCTTGCCACTATGGTATGACAAACCTTTTATCGTAGTCGTGAAGATATCATCAGGGCAGCTCTATCTCATCCGACCAGGCAACATACGCTCATCTCGCGAATGCATGTACGACTCGAAGTCCACTTCTGACGCTCTCCTTTTTTAATCAAAACGCCAGATATAATGACGCCATGGCGACTATTCGTCGCATTCCAAGTGCGGAGCATAATTTCCATCTAGTGATCACCAGGGTGTATGAAGAGGGCGATCAGGAACTGCTAGAAGATGAAGATGAAAGTGCGTCATTGTCGCCTTATCTGTGTTTCTCACAACCTGAATTCCCCCTTTTCATAGCTGATGAAGAACGCTCTTTTCTCATCGCAGATGAACTAGAGTTTCGCTCGGGAGAAACTGATGGCGAACCAACGTTTATCTGGCGGGACCTCGAAGGGGACGTGGATGAGTTTTACGAATACGTGGCTACAAACACGAACGCCCCAATGAAGGTGTTCTTTGAGACATGCATGTATCGAGCCATGTATGAGCGTAAGTATAAAGTCAGTGGGGACAACATCTCAGAAAAGGAACTAGAGGAGTTCATATGGAAGTAAGCGTTTTCAAAGGCTTTACCATTCCGCGGTTTTACTCTCACTTTGTGTCATACAGGCCGTCTCAGATACAGACGAAGGCGCCTCCTTCAAAGAAGCATGAGACACACGACGACCTCCCTGCTACTCCCACACCTGTTGTTTCCGAGGCAATCGCTAAGGGCAAAGCGAAGGCCGAAGTTGTTAGCAAGGAGCCTACTTTGCAGCTTTTCTCTTCCGAGGCTGAGCTGTGGCTGTGGTGCCCTGACGAAGTCCAAGATGATGGTAATATTGGGATGTTCTTTAACCAGGGAATCGTCACTGCCGAGATCATTCAACATAAAGGGCAATACAAATTTTGGTTGACGGCCAAGACAGACGACGACATTGTCCTCGCCCATGAAATATCGACAGATATGAACCATAAATCATCCACAAAGATGTTCTCTCTTACTTGGAATCATTGGGACGGGGAGGAGTCATCAAGTTGGCTGGTGAAGTTCCCGTCGGATCCGGAGCTTTATAATTCGTTCCTTGAGCTATTCCTTCAGGCACTCTGGGAAACCAAATTCCAGAGTCCATTCTCAAAACAGAAGGTGTGAGATTTGCCGATACTCAACTGTATATTGTTTTATCGGTCGTATTTAGGCGGAAGATCAAAGGTACATTCTGAGTGCCGACGAAGACGTCGTCATGATCGACATTGAAGACGAAGACGAAGAAGAGGTATTGTCTGAACTAGAGCCTGAGGATGGTTCGACTTGCTGTTCATGTCATCCGCGGTATATGTTACTCATTATATCCCTTTAGACTATGGTTCTGAAGGCGAAGAAGAGGACGATGTGCCCTCTCAGCTACCAGGCGAGAAGAACTCGATGCTGATGGTCGGATACAAAGGGGATCGTTCGTATGTCTTGCGAGGAAACAAGATTGGGGTCTTCAACCATACAGCGGACTACAACGTCAAATATCATCTATCGATTGGCAACATAAGTACTACAGCGGGGAAGGCGTTTACACCTAAACATGTCAGTGATATTTTGGTATATATGTTCACATGTCTGATGGTCTCGAAGGTTATGCTGCACGAACAAGACTCGAAGATGATTCTGATGAACCCTGCAGACCCCAATTCCTTGTATAATATGGACATTGAGCGCGGCAAGGTTGTGGAAGAGTGGAAGATTCACGACGACGTCACAGTTTCCCACATCGCTCCCGATAACAAATTTGCTCAGACTACACACGAGCAAACGCTTGTGGGAGCGTCGCATAATGCGCTCTTCCGAATCGATCCTCGAGTCTCTGGAAAAAAGTTGGTCGACAGTCAATTCAAGCAGTACGCGGGGAAGAACAAATTCTCAGGTGTCACCACGACTGCGGTGGGGAAGATTGCGGTTGCAAGCGAGAAGGGTGATATACGGCTCTTTGATTCGATCGGGAAGAACGCAAAGACGGCACTGCCTCCGTTGGGTGACCCTATCGTGGGTATTGATGTGACGGCCGATGGACGGTGGATTGTGGCGACAACCAAGACATATTTGTTGTTAATTGATACGCTTATCGGAGAGGGGAAATGGCAGGGTAGCCTTGGCTTTGATCGGAGCTTCCCTGCAACATCCAAGCCGATACCTAGACGGCTTCAGTTGAGGAGCGAGCATGTGGCCTATATGAACCATGACGTTTCGTTCACGCCAGCGAGGTAGGCGTGTTCCGCTGTTCGTGCCGACATACCTGACAAGACTTTGTGTGTAGGTTCAACCAGGGCGAGGGACAATCCGAGAACGCGATCGTGACCTCGACTGGACAGTACATCGTTGCATGGGACTTTTCCAAAGTCAAGAAAGGGATGCTGGATAGATATGAAATCAAAAAGTACGAAGACTTGGTAGTTCAGGACAACTTCAAGTTCGGCGACGATAAGGAGATTGTAAGGGCCGGATTTGTTTCAGTGCATGTGTGTGGCGTACTGATTTGATTTGATTTTAGATTGTGGCGTTGCAGAATAACGTGCTGGCTGTGAACAAGAAGAGCCTAAGAAAGCCTACTCGGTACTCGCTATCCGGACAAGTCGCCAGTGCGCGAGGACATTCGAACATTGTTAATGCTCCGTACTGAACGCAGAGTCGGATGACTTACGATTTTACGGTTTCTTTTTCGCGTTAAGATTTGTTATCTTTTACATCATTACATGTTTCCCCCTTGGATATCCTATAGTAGTAAACGGTGTCGCAGCGAATGATTTAACATGTATCTCGACAGAGTATTACCAGCCTGTACTGAATGAGGGATAATACAATGCATCATTATCGGCTCTGCAGGAGACGAGACCGCAGCGGTGAAGGAGTTGGAAGCTGATGACAGTCAGTTATGGGGGGATGTAGGGGCGAAGAAGCCAGGACGCACGATATCCATATCCTTCGCTACTTCTGAAAAATCTTGGGGAAATTTCCATCCCTGGCGTCAACATAGCGGCCAATTCCCAGATGCCAACAGATGCGAGGAATGAGGAGAGTCATGCCGAGGCCTATTGTGACCCATAACATTGGGCTCCAATTCCAGACATCCCACTTCTGTTCGCCCAGGGACCAAAGGGTTAGGTAGAGATGCATCAAGTCGCCGATTAATAGGGGGCAGAGTAGGGCAAAGGTAAACTTTTCCTGAAGGGCTGGGAGAGCATGAAGGTGCTTCCGGACGGCGGAGAGGAGGAAGAAGTTGATGACGCCGACGAGGGCGCATACGTGGGCGAGCTGGATGACGGTGACAAGACTGGCACGAGGGAGGACGTCTGGCGGTGGCGAATCCGTGGGCCAGGCAGCCTGACCGTCATGAGTCTAGATGGAGTCACACTGAGTGCACGGTCGAGAACAGCAGGCAAGAATGAAGCTCACGCTCTTCGGGTCGCTGTAATTGGGGTGTCAGCGGAGAGAAATGGAGCGAGATAAGACGTACGCTAATGCTCCAAAGAAACCAAGGATGCAAAGAGTGGGCTCGTAGGCAGCAAATATAAAATAATAAAAATCGGGAAGGGCAGACTTGGGTGCCATGGACGGGGAAATGAACGACGAAGGGGAATATGTACAGGACGTCTGGAGAAAAGATAAAGAGGCCCTTGATTGCCTTTGAAAAGGGCTTCGGCTCAACGGGACGCTCGAAAGCGACAGGCCAAATTGAACTGAACGCCTGCCCTCACCAAACATCGCCGAACGCACATGGCCGTTCTCAACCACGTAATCACCGACTGTCATCATACCCGGGCCCCGTCCCTGGCCTGCCCTCATGCGCCGTTATTTAGCCAAGCCCATCCTCGACTTTTTTTTTGGTTTTCATCTTACATCCAGGTCCTTTTGAAATACCAAGGTCGCCACTGAGCGTCCCCATCGTGCGCTGTACCTAATGGTGAGGACCGAGAGTATTACGGGGATTATAATGCTCAACTGATGGATCGTCGGTCCCAGGACTGTTGAGCTTCGCTTTCTTCTGACATTTTTTTTGTGCTACATGCGGCGTATTATGATAAATATTTAAAGACAAATTTTGGAGGTTCTGCTCTCATTCTATCCTGGAACCACCACACGTCAGGAAGACTGACATGAGGCACTAGCATCTAAAGAAGCTGTAGATTCCTCCCACGATAAACTCTCCGAAGACCGGGCCGACTGCCGACTCTTTGCTTCTTACCATCATGGACGCTGGGCACAAGACACACAGAGATTCATCCCCGCAACCATCTTCCATTGCTTCAGTAGACCGCCCACCTGACAGCCATGAGGGCATCCCCCCTTCAAAAATATACCATCCATATTCAATCCATATCGTGGCGCTTCTCATCCCAGCTTCGATGTTTGGCCTCCTTGCGAGACTCGGATTAGACGCCCTGGCGACATATGATGGGCAGAGCATCTATCAATTAGCATATGCACAGGCCGTGGGCTGCCTTGTAATGGGCTTTGCCGTCCATCTGAAGGCACCTTTTGGTCAATTGTACGTCCATCTTTAAATTTGCCTTTCGTGGCTCATCATCTCTTGGCACAGTTATGGACCACTGTATACTGCTGTTACCACTGGTACACCCCAGCCACCCTCACTTTTATCCTTTCTTACTGCAATACAGGCTTCTGTGGCTCCCTGACGACCTTTTCCAGCTGGCAAGTCGACATCTTCAAGTCATGGCTCAACTCGCCAGACTACCAAAGAGGCCGCCTTCGAGATGTGCGTCTTTTCTGCTTCTTGTCTTTATATGCTCTAGTGGATGCCCCCAGTTTATCGATGGCCTCTGCAAGACTGTGTTTACGCTTTCCATCTCCTTCGCCTCCCTTTCCTTCGGGTCCTCTATCGCTCGCCTATTAGCACCACATCTCCCTAAGATCCATCCACCAAACATGTTCATCCGCTACACCATTACCGTCATAGGCTTCCTCACCTATGCTGCCGCCTTCCCATTGTATTTCCGGCTTGATCCCGAATTCAGACATCAAGCAACCTCAGCCCTGCTCTTCGCCTACCCCGGCGCTCTCTCCCGCTACGTTCTATCCACGCAGCTAAACCCCTTACTGTCATCCTTTCCCGTGGGCACCTTCACCGCAAATTCGCTTGCAACAGCGTTCCTGGCCATCTTTCATGTTTTGCAAAGAAAGACACCGAACGTTTCGTGGTCTGCGTGCTCGACCCTGCAGGGCCTGTCTGATGGGTATTGTGGATGTTTGTCAACCGTGAGTACCTTTGCGGTCGAGGTAAAGATGTTGCGCCGGTGGGCCAACGTGCGCTATGTCTTGGCTAGCTGGGTGACTGCTCAGCTGCTGTTGCTTGTTATCATCGGTCCTGCTTTGCTTTCAAAGAATGTATCGGAACAGACGATGTGTTCCTTTGATCCTTGAATGCCACCCACCTTGTCATAATTGAATTCAGGACGGCGTCTAGTGCACCCGCTCTTGATGTCACCCACATATACTTCTGTCATTAACGTGGACACATTCCCATCGGTATGGTTTCAATGGAAGAAGGTTCAGCTGCATTCGGTTAGAAAAAAAAAAAGGGCCCTCGGTCCCGGACGCAACCACCGGCTGCGTGACTACTACCCGCGAATTCATTGGACTTTCCCAGGCTAAATAGCGTACCACTTTGATACCCCAGTTGCTGTTCAACGTATGATTCTACTCTTGGACGGAAGCTTTATGAAGATGGAAAACCTATATGATATACACGATACGATAGTCTTGCCCAAAGACCGCATTGTGTCTAGAAAGCAACCTCGACCAATCTCGGCCAAAGGAGCGCTGTATGGAGGAGAAATTTTCTTAGGCCTTCGTGTGATGATGAGAATGGGGACTGGACCTGATATTCCGTCATCAATTCCTTCTCGTCGACTCATCATCGGCTCTGATGCGTGATGAAGCAATGTATATTATTTCTGCATAGAACGGGGAAATAAACCTGTGTCAATTTCATTGTCTGGAATCCGAGCATACGCATATCTGGACGAATGACGACGCCACTGAAAATTGCATACCATTATCTTGGTTTTGAGCAATGACGGAGGTCATTTTCTTCGAGCTAGCACATCGATTATTAGTTAAAGGGAACAAAACAGCTACTAATTATTGGTCGTGACGGAGCACAGGGAGATGGGAGAATCTCGGGGCGAATATTACTTTCCCGCCAGCACGCGGAACGTTGTCATACTGTCTTTGGCTGCCCTGGCCAATAATAATCCAGATCAGTATAATGCACAAGCAGACCCTGATATGCTTCGCGGGTTCGAGGGAGAGACCATTGTTAGTATCCCTTTGTCTCTGTTAAATCTGGGTGATTATCGTCTCTTCACTTTACGAATAAACTAAGAACTGTACTGTTGATTTGAACCCTGGCCTTTCCTTCTCATTATTCTCAACCTAAGACCACAATCTTCTGAGACTGGACATCTAGTAATTATTACTCGCGACGAGGCCGGCATAAGGTTTCTCTTCACGTATTCCCCAAGAACACAAACCGTTGAATAAAGATTACTGAAACCATGCAAGTAAAGAGTTCTCTGTAGTTTTTCCCTAGTTCTTATCTGAGAACTGATAAGCGACAGTCACGCCCCTTGTGAAGCCCTGCATCGCAGAAGGAATGGCTTGCGGTCAACGTGGAGAATATCCTGTACCGTCTGGGTACAGTATACATCAGCACTGGATTGGCTGCAAGAAAACAAAAGGCCACCCAAGCACATTGCAAGCACAGGAATTTGCCTGATCGGAGTTTCAATACCTCGTTCCCACTCACTGCTTCGTGCCCTTGTCCCGCAAACGTTCATTGCTTTCCCGCTAGATGCCTCGGAACCCGATACAAGTGGACACCCTACCAGCGGATGCAGAGCTAGAGGAAGATGAGGACGGCACCGGCGAGGGCGACGAAATCATGGAGGAAGTCGACGACCAAGAGGATGGATACAGTGAGTATTCCTTCCTTTATTCTTTCCACCAAGCCCTCCATTGGCATTACTGTTCCAATGATATAGTTTGAAATCTTAATGGCTGCTTTTTTGTTATGATTCACTTACAGCTTCGTCAACACCCACTTCAACAGTCACTTGGATCAGTTGGTTCTGTTCCCTACCGGGCCACGAGTTTTTCTGTGAAGTTACCGAGGACTTCATAGAGGACGATTTCAATTTGACGGGCTTGAATACGATCGTGCCGTTCTGGAAGGAGGCGATGGAGATGGTCCTCGATGTAGAACCAGGTGCGTCGTCGTGTCGGTCCTTTTTTTTACTCGGAGCTGACTCGAATGGTTTGTAGACGAGGATGCCACTAAAATTCCCGATGTATCGATTGTAGAGTCGTCTGCAGAGATGTTATATGGACTTGTTCATCAACGGTATATCTTGACTCGCGCTGGGCTGCAGGCGATGGTACGATAGAGCCCTTCATGGAGACGTCGCGCGATCATTCACTTACTGTCCTTCCCGAACAGATTGACAAATACGAGAATAACACTTTTGGGACGTGTCCGCGCGTTTACTGTCGGTCAATGAATGTCGTGCCATGCGGACGTTCGGATACGCCTGGGCTCGATACCGTGAAGTTATTCTGTCCCAATTGTAATGATATCTATGTGCCGCCCAGTAGCAGATTCCAAGGCGTCGATGGTGTGCTGTTTCATCCTAGTCTTGGTTGCGAATCATACTAATCATATTCTTACCTAGGTGCCTTCTTTGGAACAACCTTCGCGCATCTCTTCTTTCAAAGCTACCGAGAACTTGCCCCTGCACCCTTCTACAAACCCATGTCATCCGGAAGCTCTTCAGCGTCACCCAAAAGCAGCAATGGTTCAAGTGTTCCGGCGTTTGTGAACCCCAATCCTCATGGTGGACAGAAGCGGGCGGAAGGGAGTGTCTACGTGCCTAAAATCTACGGTTTCAAGGTCAGCGAGCGGGCAAAGAGTGGGCCGCGCATGAAGTGGCTGCGACTGCGTCCAGAAAGTCCAGAAGAGCTGGACATGGTTGATTGGCGAGGAAGATGGATAAACGGCGACTATGACGGGGAAGGTGATGATGACGAAGAGGACGAAGACAGACAAATGGAAGATTTTGGCCCGGTATTTTTCTCCGTTTTGAATTATGATTCTCACTTTTCTGACACGCTCGTGTTCTTAGGATGCTATAGATGAGGATGAAGACGAAGAGGAGGAGGAAGAGGAAGAAGAGGCACCCAACGTGATGCAAGGACAGCAGCGATATGGACGAAGAGTAATGGACTTTGTCTCGGTCCAAAGCATGTCACATTCTGCGCGGACTTCTCCCGCTTCTAGTGTTGCTCCACGTACACCGAAGGAGTCTCCACGGGTCAATCCATCGCTGTACCTTGCATCGCCACCAATCAGACTGGGCTTTCCTGGAGGGCAGGTGCGCATGGTGCGGCAGTATGCTCCTCGCTTCGAAACGCTGCCTGCGACGGCCCAGGTTTGACTGATTCGTTGGCACATATTTCTTTGTTCTTTCCATCATTCTATTTTGTATACACCCGTTTATTTCGCTGTTAGATACCATCCCCATCCTGTAGGCCCTAAAACGATCAGGAATATCATTTAACTCTGTTTCCTTTTTTATCATTCTTCCCTTGGGGTTTGTGTGCTAGCTCCTTCAACACGCGGTTACGTCTGAGGTAAGTGTCACCGCAATCTTTTAGGCAGAGGCGTTGACTCCCTCTCTTCCGTGCTAGGTCCGTAAGAACACCAGTACTCTCTAGGCCTTCTAGCGACCCACCGCTCCCTAAAGACCTCTACTACATACCAAATTTTGGCCAAGTGCGCACTCGGTATCAGTTTGTCATTTTCAATTCGATGATCGGACTTAATCCGCAGTAGATCTAGTCTTATCTGATAAGGCACTATCTGTTTGATTTCCATCGAATCCAGCAGGTATTCTGACGGCATAAAAGCTTGGTACTAACCATGCCCTTCTTTTCTCATCCCCCGCAATGTTGAAGAAAGAAGAGCTTGATACCTCTCGCAAGAGCGTCACCAGCGAGGATCGCGTTTCTCATGACGGTTCAACTGATATTGCAGCCCATACAGGTGTCGAAGCTGTTAAGGCTACCCACAAGGTGTATGGCAAGTACTCGAGGTGGTGCCTCTTCATCGGGTAGGGACTTTCGACCCTTGCCAAGAAATCTTTTCGCTGATCCTTTGATGCCCAGTATTGGTTTAGCTTCGTATATATACTCCCTCGATAGTCAAACGACGTACTCGTACTTGGCATTCGCGGCCTCAGCCCTCAAGGACCATAGTTTGATCAGTACCATCCAAACCGCTCAGGCTATCATCGGTTAGGCTCTCTCTTCCTAAACTATACCAAATACTGATTTTTTTTTTAAAAAAAAAGTCGCATGCGGTAAGCCTGTGATTGCAAAAGTTGCGGACGTTTCGTCCCGAGGATTTGCCTATGTCTTCGTTTGTGAGTCGACCACATTATTCTCAATGTACCTATATTCTTATATCATGACTAGTGGTGTTCTATGTTGTCGGTGCGTATTTAATTGAAAACGTCCAGCAGTTTGTTTCAGTACAGACATTTATTAGGATACATCGTCATCGCTTCGGCCCAAAATATCCAGACAGTTGCAGGAGGGATCATACTTTACGCCATGTTTGTGTTCCATTTTATCAGTATGTGTCCATCGGCACTAACAGTGCATGCAGCGGATACACAGGTCTTCAGCTCCTTACTTCCATCATTATCGCTGATATCACTACCCTCCAATGGCGTGGATTCGCTGTTGGAATGACTTCCATGCCATTTATCATCAACGCTTTCATTGGAAGCAACGTAAGCACTCAGGTGCTCGACGGTGCCGGCTGGCGTTGGGGATGTAAGTCTGTCTTGTATTCAATCGTTACTAGATCAACTAATAATGTTTTGGCGGTTAGATGGGATGTTTGCAATTCTGATTCCCGTGTCTCTGTCCCCACTTATTATCACCCTTGTTTGGGCTGAGCGAAAGGCTAAGAGGCTCGGATTGGTCCCGGAGAAACCCAAGGCTAGCAAAAAAAAATTGTTTTTTAATACCTTTCCTAACTCCCTTGCCTTCCCTAGTCTGATAAATCCTTCTTGGAGCAAACCCTTGAAGTCATATCCCAACTTGATGTTGTAGGATTGGTGCTCATCGGTACCAGCGTTGCACTTATCCTGCTCCCCTTGACTCTTGCTCCGAGTGCCTCCGGAGGATGGAATAATCGTCGGTCGATTTCTTTACTATCGACGTGATATTTCTAAAACAACTATAGCTTCGATGATTGCAATGCTCGTCATTGGCTGTGTTCTCTTCCCTGCTGTAGGACCTTGGGAGTTCAAGTTTGCGAAATACCCTGTGATCCCATTGAGGTTCATCACAAATTTCACAGTCGTCGGCGCAAGTTTGATCGGTTTCTTTGATTATGTATGTTCTTCTTCATGCATCCTTGATTATTGGGTCACCCTGTGTGCTAGATTTCATTCTACCTCACTTACGTCTATTTGTACTCCTTCGTCATCGTCGTTAAGCCATGGTTTAGTATACTTTTCTTCCGGGGTGCACAGTTCTAATACGCCTCCGCAGGTCTCTCATCAATGCTACCTACTTCATTCAAACACAATCCGTCGGCCTGACGTTCTTCGGTATCCTGTGTGGCCTCGCCATGAGGTTCCTACATCGTTACAAAGTATGCAGATATGTCTCGGTCTCATGATCTCTGTTCTAATTATTGATTATTGTCCCAAAAGCTTCTCCTTGTTGTTGGTCTTGCCATTCGGCTACTGTCAGTACCCCCTCCATGTCAGTTCATCTCCAACCACTGACCCGCCTTCCCTGACCTAGTGGAGTTGGTCTCATGATCCACTCCCGTGGCGCGAACGGCTCTGACGTTGAGATCGTCTGGACTCAAATCATCCAGAGTATGGGTGGCGGTATGTCTGCCATTACCATCCAGACGGCCGCCCAGGCGTCTGTTTCCCACAAGGATGTCGCTACCGTCACCGCCATAGTACTGTTGCTCACAGAAATCGGGGGTGCTATTGGAGACGCGGTTGGTAAGTACAGCTGCTGCCGAAGTGTATCACTGATGCTGATCCGGATAGCCGGTGCAATCTGGACGAACCTGATGCCCAGAAAACTGTTGAAATACCTCCCGGACGTTTCACAGGAGGAACGTGATGCTCTGTACTCCTCTATCACGTCTGTGACTGCTTATGCACGCGGTACGGAAATTCGGGAAGGTGTTATCTCAGGTACAATGTTCCTGGCTGCATTCACACGTCTTTGGCTGATATTTGGTTCCAGCTTATGGAGACGTCATGAAGATCATGCTCATCGTGGCCACTGTCATGAGCGTTATCCCTCTCGCTATTTCGCTCTTTATGCCAGACTGGCATTTGGGTGAGAAGCAAAATGCTGTAGATGAAGAAGATTTGGCTGGCGAGGTCGACCATAATGATGCGGCTGAAAGCCGAGCTTAATGAAGTTTTAATACTTCTTTTGGTAGTCCTATGGTTGGCTACGGTTATTTCTAATGAAAGTTCACGCCTTGATTTAATTTCTTCTGAAAGTACGTTGAGCTAAGAAATAAGGACGATCCAACACCAAGGATAGACCTCATGTTAGACTCCTTGTAGAATGATCAGATGTAATCTTATCTGATAATTCGTTATCTGATAAGGCCCAGGAACTTGATTGGTCGAGGCACCACCTCGCGTTCTGGAGCGGCCGGCGCTTTGCACCGTTCATCTTGCATCCGGGGTCTATATGTACTAGGAATTAGATAAAGTTGGCCAGAATACATATTGGTCTATGTTACAACCGGTAGCAATGCAGACTCTAAACTCTATACATCTTTCAATGTTGTATAACCAACATCCACCCATTCCCGCATTCTCTGACCATACCGAATGATTACCCAAATCATCCTATGAAATACAATAAATGAATTAATAATCAAAGGATAAGAAAGACGCCTACACAAACGCAGACCATGCAATGACAGTCGCAATCACGTCAGTTGCGAGCACGCCTATATATTTAATCGAGGGCAAAATCCCTGACGTCGCGGCTGCAAGCACGATCGCCCTCAACCCGCTTCAAATCCGAAAAATGAGTGGTCTGATCCAGGGAAAAGATGTATACGTACGTAGTAGCAGCCATGACCTCCGCGCTCCTCTCGTGCACCACATCCACGATATATGCGCTCGCCGGAGTCAGTACCAGGTCCACGCCGATCCCATTCATGAGGAAGCAGAAGAGGTTTAGTATCAGGCCAACCTTACCCTGGACAAAGTGCGTTACCAGTCCAGATAGTAGGACTGACAGAGGAACGGGGAGCATAGCGCCTGGAAGAGCGGCCTTGAGGCGTGCCTCGGGTCGCCAGATGTCAGTGCCGTATTTGGTACGGGAAGCGATGACCACGCGGTCTGAGAGCCAGCCTGCTATGGGGGCGCCGACTGAAGATATAAGGATTCGAGGCCATATACGCTAAGTAGTGGAGGACTGACTTATGTTACCGAGTCCGCAAGGGATAAAGCATGCGCCTATGAGAAATTCATTGGTGATGTTATACTTGACACCCTAGTCGCTGTGTTCAGTGATTGGCATCAAATGCAGGTGACACCACGCACGATGGTGTAGGCCACGGGCATTAGTAGCACTGGCGAATGACGGTCACAACGTGTCAGGATAGAAAAGGCAATCATACCATAATCTGTTATTAAGACGGCTGCTCCGGCAAGTGTCTGAGGTATATTAATGGCTGGATCCAAAGTAAATGACCAAACACGCTCACAGAAAGTACAAGGTTCGGACTTCGCAGCAAAGTCAGAGACGCAAAAGGATTGAGCCATACCCATATACAGCGCTTGGACGATTGGCCTTCAAGTTCACGAAGCTTGTCGATCCCCCGGGATCCTGGGTGACTTGTCTCTGGAAAGAACAATAATATGGATAAGAAAGCCAAAAAGCCCCAAATAGCAAGAGCAATCTGCGTCCATCTCCATGACGCATAATGCGCGCCCCAACCTAGAAGGGAATCATCGATATTCACATTGAAAGGCGGCCTAGATCAAGAACTCACCACCTGCAACGGGTGCGAGTGCCGGTCCCAAAAGGGATGCCTGCGCAGGAGGGGATGAATCAGCAAGAGGTCTGTATTGCATGCGGATAGGCGTACACCGAAGAAGATCCCCATGGCTGTCCCGCGTTGGGTGAGCTTGTAGATATCGCCTATAACCGCAGCGCCGATGGACATGCCTCCAGAGGTGCCGAGTGCTTGAATGAGGCGCCATATCATCATTTCTGCGACACCGTTGGAGAGTGCGACGCCAATGGAGCCGATGCAAAGGAGGGGGGTGCCTATCAGGTAGACGGGGCGGCGGCCATCTAAAAGAACATCGAGTCAGGCCAGTAGGAACACAAAGGAGGAGCCACGTACAAAACGAGGAGTAGGTAGCAGACACCATAGCACCCAGGGCCGACGCAAGAATGGAGAGACTCACTGCAAAGCTGCGCCAAAGTCAGCGGCCAGTACGTTATTACCGTAGTATATAATACCAACCTGATGGTCGGACCTGTTGAATTGAGATCTACGGCGATTTGTGGTATGGAAGGAACAAAGGTGCCAGAGGCGAACACTAGAGACGTAAGTTGGGTATCATGCATGGCTCGCAACGATGGCCGTACTAGGAAGCAAAGCGCTCCATGAGACGAGTGCTACGATAGTCCTCTTCCTGGCTGGCGTGAAGCGACTGTAGACATCTTCCTCACAGTGATAATCGGGGTCTACCTCTAGAAGAGGAATCGTCTCGGAGGACATGGAAGCTGGAAACAAAGAGAAGGCAGTCAGGGATCATTCTGCGCAGTTTGGTTGATAGGCCTCGGCTTCCAAGCGAAGAACGACAACGGCGATGGCTGTTATTGAGCACACCAGGTTTCCTGGGCTCAGATACGCGTCTCGCGGTGTCCAAGAGAGATATCCGACGCGTCCAGATGTCGTCGACATTGAGGGGTGAAATTCTAGGAGACGATTAGATCAGACGATCTAATCGGAGTGTGGGAAGATTACGCAAGCAACTATACAGCTGCAGCCACACAGCACATGACAAGACAAGGGTTAAGCTAAACTTTTACGGTCGCTGGCAGACGATATCCTCAAGACGCCGACAAAATGACCCGAACCAGTGAGTGCTGGGTTATTTTCGACAAATGCAAAGCTGATCTGGTGAATGCAGACCTACGGACTGGCCTCAACAAGGGCCACCCCACGACGCCCATCGCAAAAGCCGTGCGCCCCAGCCAGCGCAAGGGCATTCAATCGGCCAAGACCAAGTTTGTGCGGTCTATTGTTCGTGAGGTTGCTGGATTCTCAGCGTATGAACGTCGGGTGATGGAGCTGCTGAGGAACTCGAAGGTACGACAGCAATAAAGTCTGCGTTGCAAAGATTCTGATTTATTTTTCCAGGACAAAAAGGCAAGAAAGTTGACGAAGAAGAGGGTTAGTAAAGTTTTGGGCTAGTATGGTAACTGTTAACGGACTTTTTTTTTTTTTCTTTTCTTTTTTCACAGCTTGGTACGCTTTTGCGGTCGAAACGCAAGTTGGAGGAGCTGTCGACGATCATCCAGGAGAGCAGGAGGATGGGACATTAGGAACTGTTCAGGATTATTATGTGAATCGATGTGTTCTATGTTCTATGATCTCGAAAAGCAATCGATATGCAACTGTCTTGCTGACTGGAGACTCGACGGGTCACCAAATATGATATGCCGATGATGACCGGTCTATGAGTAATAATAATAATAATGCGGCTGAAATTCGGCTAGTGTGCAGTTTGTCGTACGAGCAAAGTTTCGTGTAGTATAGTGGTCATTCCCTGGGTAGTCGTTCTCTGGTCGCCCGTTGCGGAATGCGATACGATGCGATGCGGAACTACAAAGGCTCAGGGATGGAACGACGAGCGGTATGGAGAGCTTCGTCCGAGCCCGGCGCCAAGAGCTGACATAAACGTGATGAGTCAAGTTGGTGTCGTAATGGATGATAGAAACGGATCCGGCGGAATACATTTTTAGTGGGCTGTTTTTTTCGACAGTCATGTCAGATTCACTTGCTCCTCCTCCTCTCAACAGAAATCGTGCTTCCTCCACTACGCTCTGTCCTGCTCTTACCATTCGCTCGCTAGGCCGTCGTCGCTCGGGGTCATTGCTACAGCCCCAGTTACCCCCGTGCGACTCGCAAATACCTGCCCCCGTTGCAGAGGCAGTCGTCGAACCAGAAGTGCCCCTAGAGCAGACAGAACTGCCATCTCATATGCTGGCGGTGATCGCGTCGCGTGTTCTCCAGTTGGTGGATGATTCTAGGCACAAGGTGTCCTGGTCGACGCGCTCGACGCCTAGGTCTGCTTCCGAGGACGAGTACATTCTACCGCTGTCGGCTTCAGCTGACAAGACGTCGTTTGGCGATGTGCTCGGCGAGAAATCATCAGCGTCGCCACCAGCGTGCAATTGGCTTCAGCGTCTGCCACCAGTGCGTACACCGTACACCGTACACCGGCCTTGGTTACGTTTCATGTTCTAATGATTATTGTCTCTAGGTCGAATTCTCCATCATCCTTGTCATCTCTCTATTCCCGCTATCAACAGGGCTCGTCTTCCTTGCCCTGAGGACGCTGCCGATATCGTTCTCATGGCCGCAAAATCTGGCAGATCTGGCAGAACTCGGGCGCGACCTGCACGGGTATTCGCAAAGCGGCCCTGGCCAGCTTGCCCATGTTATTGGTATCCTCGCAGTGACTGCTGTCTGGAAGCATGCTTGGTCAATCCCCGGTAGCGTTATCTGGGTCCGTGGTATTTATTTTCTATACAAGTCACGCGATACTTATTGTGCGGGTAACAGAACGTCCTTGCGGGCGCGTTGTTCTCGCCCGCGTATGCTACGCTTCTTCTGACTCTTCTCACTACGATTGGGTCGACATGTGCAACACTGCTGTCCAAGCCGCTTGCACCGTTCCTGAGTCATTTTTTCCCAAAAGCGCTGGATCTGACGCGTTCTGCGCTGCAAGGTGGGGGAGCGTCAAAGACGGAGAGCGAGCCGGAAGGTCGGACAACGTCAGCGTGGATCCGTTTATCGATCCTGCGGCTAATTGGAGTGGTGCCCTGGTCCGGTATTAATATAGCGTGTGGTGTGTGTGGTGTGTCTGTAGCGGATTGCATTCTGGGCGCATTCATCGGTTCTCTTCCGTGGACCGCTGTTACCTGCCAGGCAAGTACTCTATAGAGCTTCTTTTCTGCTTTTCTCATATCTTTACGACATCACAGATAGGGGATATCCTGCAAACCGTCGCATCCGCGCCTTCTCCGACGCCTCAAACGGTGTCCTCCCTGCTGCTCTCGCCACAGATCATGGTCAAACTAGTATTCCTCTCTTTTCTCTCATTGGCACCGATATTGGGTCGCGAGCATTTGCGGGCATGGTTGAGTTCCGATCAAAGCCACCTCGGCACCGCGGAATCTGAGCGAGTCTCAAGATGGACCTGGGTACAGGAATGGAGACACAAAATCAGGATTCCTTCCCGATCTCGAACCCGCGAGCGGCAGCAGCGGTTCACGAATCTGGCTGTTCTCGTCCACGAGAAGCGCGCGATGCAAGATGTACTCCCGTCATGATACCCGTCCCTGACGCGCCTTCACACACTGACACATATCATTACTAGAACCCCATACTATCGACGATCTTCCGCTAATAATGCCCCCTTTATGACCTGGATTAACGAATCAGTTGATATGATATTTATCCCTTGCCTTCCATTATACCTATCATCCTGTATTCTTGCATTTCCTTCTGACAACTAATAAAACCACCTACCTACCTTGTCCATCGATTTACGTTGGCCGCTTAACACAGAAGCACTTCAAAGCCCTGGAAAATGCGACGACAATGATAATGCTTGGCTAAATAAATACATGTATATGCAACCCCATCTACAGAAGATTACGAGTAAAAATAATGTGTATATGTATATATATATATCTTAAACACCAAGTCTGGACAAAACGCTTAGTCTCTATACAAGCCAACCAAGAAAAAACCATACCTTCGTTTACTATGTTCATAGACAACGTAGGATATCGATACTGCTGGGACGACCTGAAAACCTGACGGTCAGTTCATATGCACCATCTACCTTTTGAGCCACACAAACCTTTGCTAGCGTTGGAAACAAGCCCCGATAAAACCCTCTCCAACCTTCTCGTGCCCAGGTCTTGCTCGCAACGTCAAACACGCCCGTATACCGTTCAGGATGCCCTGAGCTTCCAGACGCCTGCAACCGTGTTCTCACCAGATTCATCGGATACACGCTTGTAGCGCCCACACTCCCTGACACACTCCCAAATGCCAACAGTGCAAGCATTCCTGGTTCATCTTTGCCTGTTGAGCGCAGGTATGCCAGCTTGAGCGCTTCAAAGGTTGACATGTCAATAGCCGAGTACCTAAAATAACTTTTGTCAATGCTGTGGTCCGTGTAGTGAGTGGGTCAGGAAACGCGAACGGGAAAACTCCGACAAGACCAACCTGGAGGGAGCACCGTGAGGAGGTGCAGCCGAGAACGTTGGATACAAAAGCTTACTGTTAGACCACGGTAGTACGCTCTATACCCTCCAAGCCTCCATACATGACGCGCTGCGGAGATTAATGTCCGTCGCGTTCCAGTGTTGCTCATCATTTGCGTCTGTGTGTGACGGACCACTGTTAGAAACCTGCGAAATGAAAACCCTCAGTCCATGACGTACTTTCAGCGTCTCGACCGGGTATATACCTAACACCACAACCAAAGTCAAGTAAAAAAAAAGATCGACGTTAATTAACTGACACGACTTACACAGCTGACTGCTTATTCCCCCAACTCCACCAGAAAGAAACCGACTGACCCCACTGATCTCTCTAGGATCATCAACATGGTCCCAATACGCTGCGAACATACGTTTCTTAACACATGGAATAAAGAATTTAGTCGAAAGACAAATGATGCCTGCTGAACACTGACAGCAGACTCATACGCGAAAAACTTGATCGCAGACTCGGGGAATATTTTGGCAACAGATAGCCCATTGCCTGTCCAGAACGCGAACACACCGCCCTCGGAGTATATCCGTCCCACAGCATGTCCTATAATATTCACACCGCCTCCCTGGGCAAGCGCAGCTCCACCGAGATTCGGTGGGCGAGTGATAAGGAATATTTTAAGTCGATCAAAAGGCGCCGTACATGTCCGCGAGACTAAAGTCCAAGAGCTTGAGAATGCGTCGTGTCGTCTGTATATAATAGGAACGACGACGCACCTGCACCGGCAATGCCGCCTGCTAACAGGAATTTGAGAGCTGTGCGCCCTTCGAGCCAACCATGGCTGTCGTCAAAGGCATCGTCGTCGTCGTCTTCTTGCTCTTCTTCGTGTTCGACGACATAGCTGGACTCTACGGGAGGAAGGGGTTGGGGTATCGCTGGTGCTTGTGTACTATTTGGCATCGTTTTACTGGGACTGTCTGGGGGTTTGTCTTCCGCGCTTAGACTTACATCACCTAGCATATACTTGGTAGTATCAAACGACGCGTGTTGACAAAACACAAACACTAACCTTCCATCGTAACACGGGCCACGCCTTTACCATCATCTCCGAGAAACTTGTTCATCTGGTAGTACTTGTAAATCTCAGTGGTAGAGATTTTCCGAGGAAGTAACAGGAGAAAGTCTCTGAATTCAGCAAAAGTTACAGTCCGAGATTGGGGAGAGGATGTCAAGTATGTCATGAATTCCGATAGTGTGTTTGGAGATAATGTGACACCTAAAAACTTGAGATAAAAGTGGTGGTGGTGGTGGTGGCCGGACTACTGACCTGCGTTTCGTAGTGCCGATTCTAGTTCCTCTGCTTCAAGGTGACCATTTCGGTCCAAGTCAAGCTCGTCATGAAATATTGCCCATAATTCTACAGGTCCGATTGCGTCAGAACAACAACATTCCAGACGACAGAAAGATGACAGACCAACTTCCTTGGCTTCCGCGTACTCAACGAATTCCTTCCACCCTCCTACTCGACACAGCAGCTCATGTTCGTACGCAGCTCGCAGCTTCTCCGCCTTTTCAGTCGATTCGGGGCCTTTTCCCAGTGATTTCACGCTGGGTTCCCGATCGAAATTGTATCCACGCACCCGGATGTGCCGCCACAGAGCCAGTAAGCGACGTTTCCTGTTCTCTCTGCCCTCTTGCAGGCGAAATTCTGCCAGCGTACGCGGCGTGCGCTGTTCATGCTTGTCCCGCCCGACTGGGGGACTTGGCTGGGCCATCCAAAGGGGGGGGGGGGGGCAGTGACGCGTATGACGACGAAGCAGCGAGGACGATTTCGAAATTCGTTACGACCACGAATGATATCGACGGGATTATGAGAGCGAGCGTACTCCGTTCTAGATACTCATCGGTAGGCGACGGGAGTGCTAAGTTGGCATTATGTTTATCTTTGCTTGTCTCCATCAGCTCAAGACCAAGTGTTCCGCCAGCGGATGTCCCATTAAATACACACACAAACTAGATGTACATGCAACACAATGTCTTTTCACCAATTGTCCCCCCTCCTTAGCATCTGAACACCCGACTCCAGATTCCTGAAAAACAGCCACGGCTTTGAGCCGGTTTGGCCACGGGCTTGGCTACGATGAACATCGGAAGAATGGTGACACCATGCACCAATGGCGACTGGCCTCGAGATGCCGGGGTGCTCGTCCCCGAGTCCATCGAGCTCGTGCCGAATGTTGATCGGGATTTTTCAGTCATGAATGAAGGCTGTGTCGACAATGTCGGGACTCTGTACTTTTCACTCTGAGATGATTCATGAACATAATTTTGGGAACCTCTGGCCTCCTGCCGGGTTTCAAAGTTGGGGTTGGGCTGATCCTCAGGCCTGTCCTTGCGATGAATGGCAGGCTTAGGCGGTGTTGGTGGCCGATACCTCTAAAACGGCATGAACGATGTCCGTGAGTCAAGTATACGTGTACACTCACCTGCCGAAACACGCGCGACCCTCGAACAGGACTTTTGGTTGAGTAACGAGAGCGAGCGTCACTAGGCACACGCGTGCGACCGCTCCTGGGCGACTGTAATAAGATTAGAAGAATAAAGACGATGAGAATGCAAGTGGTTGCGACTAACCGGGGAGCTGTGGTTGTTGGGTGAAAAGTAGAATCTGTCCGAATTATCCAAAGAGTGAAGCGACGTTGCACGATAAATAGCTTCGCGCCATCCTTCAGGTAACTGGAACGTGCTCGTGAGTGTCCAGCGAAACGATAAAGTGGCGACGACCTACTGGCGGCATGCTCTGTGAGTCCACTGCAGACATCGACGAGGCATATGCAGGTTTCGTGCCCTGGAAAAGGCCAATATTGGGAGACGACGGAGGCGAAGGAATGTATGCAGGGACGGGCTTCCGATGGGCCATACTTTGGCGAAGCTGAAAACGACGTGCTGCAAGTTCGGCACTCATGATGATTGGGCAGCAGAAGAGGGCGTCCACTTGAGAGTAAAGGGAGAGAGGAGTAAGACGCAACCAATAGACAGTGGGCGTAACCCAAGAGTACCAGACCGAAGAAGAGAGAGACCGGGGTCTGCCACAGCGGGCACTTGATTCAGGACAAAGGGCGGCGCCTGAGCAACTGGAAAGGCAATGATCGTCAACCACCGACCGTCACCAGCATGGCCACCAAGAGTAAAAGGGCGCCGTTCCCAGAATATGATTCGAACAGTCCACGATGGTAAGCACTGTGCAGCGTGGCCACAGCAAGGACCCGAGTCAATATGAACTAAGCGCCGGTTGGCCTCTTTTGGGGTCCAAACGTGACGGCAAGGAGGCAAAGAACGAACGAACGAACGAACGACATCCTATATATGCAGATGTGAAAATCACCACGAGTCAAACTAACTCGCGAGCGTGTCAGCTTCGCGATTATCATTGAAATAAAATAAAAACAGCACCGTAAGGTTGCCGGGCGACAGAGGGGGATGGCTGCCGCCAGCGAACGGCCTCCAGCATTGTCTTCATAACCGTCGTCGTCGTCGTATAGGAAGGAAAAGCAACTCGGCCCACCCTGAAGACCCACCGGCATTTCGGCAATACGACTTAGCTTCTAATTGGCTTCTAAACGCGTTCGAATTCGATATTAAATTCGCGTTTTCCCATCTTTTTCTTCTCTTCCTTTCTACGTCAATTTTCGAGGCAATTTAGAGCTACTATGTTTCCCCAGACAGCTGCTCTCGCCTGCCATCGACAATTCGAATCCAAAATGATGTTCAAAATCCGTTCGAAATTACTTGTTACTGCATCCGATCGAGGCGTTCTTTTATGCTCCCTGGGATGTCACCCTGATCAGATTCTGAATTCTTATAAAAAGGCGCGTCCGACTGCTTCTCACCATCCCTCCCTCTTGCTTTCTTTCTTCCATCTTCTCTCTTTTACTTCCCGTGCTCGCCATGCCTCCTCGTGCTGCACCATCCAGTGGTCGTGGTGGCGCTGCTATCCGTGGTCCAAGAGGTGCTGCTCCTCGTGGCCGTGTTGGCACTCCTGGCGGTATCTCGGTCGGTCTTCCGTCCTCTGGTGAACATATCTCCACCATCGGCGTGAAGCGTCGTGGATTTGGTGCCAGTGGGCGCCCCGTGAAGATCTTCGTCAACTCCTTTGAGTGCACCATCCCCAAAAGCATCATCCACCACTACGATGGTATGTGTCGCGTCTGATCATCGCCGTGACTGCCGGTTTTCTGACTCTTTGTGTTTTCTTTTCTCAGTCGGTATGTCCTCTCAGAACGGTGTTTTTGCGCGCACTCCCTGACATTATCCTTTCACAGTCATCTTGCCTTCCGAGAAAACATTGCCCGCGCGTTTGAACATGGAATTGATCAAGGAACTTCAAACTGTCACCGCGCCAGCCATTTTTACTCCTCGCGCTGTATATGATGGACGTAAAAATCTTTTTGCCGCTCGAGAGTTGCCGTTTGATGGCGCGAACTACATGGAGGTATGATAGCTTCCACGCCATGACTCTTCAATTATGACGACGGTACCATCCAGTTTAGCGTCACTCTGCAGCCTGCAGACGCCTCAACAAGAGCGCCCAAAGCCTACAAGATCAGACTCGCCAAGGTAGCTGAGATCAATCCTGAGTATGTCTTTTCCATCTCCAGCCTCGTTCACACATGGCTCATCGACGATATATAGGGTCCTGCACCGCTTCGTGAAGGGTGATCAATCACACGACAACAGCGTATTGACTGCTATCACTGTTTGTCTCTCGTATCTCGTGTCTTGGGTCCGTCCTTACCCTATATCATTTCAAGGCGCTGAACGTCGTAATTCGTATGGAGCCGTCGTTGAAGTATCCTTTCAATGTCCGGTCCTTCTTCACCAATCGGGAGACTCTAGATATCGGATGCGGTCTCCAGTTATGGCGCGGCTACTTCCAGTCGGTACGTCCCGCCATGGACAGGATGCTGATCAATGTGGACATCTCAACGGGTACGATGTACAAAGAGGGGAGACTTCTCGATCTTTGTCTCCAATTCCTAGAGAATAATTCGCCGGAATCCATGTCCCCCAAGCGTGGTTTACCTGATCGCGAGCGACTCCGTCTTCAACGTTTCATCACTGGCATGCGCATCAGAGTAATTGGTAGGAGCCTAAACCCCAAGGAGATCTCAAAGACCGATCTCAGAGGGCCTCATCGAGTCATCAAGAAGCTCAGTGCTGTGGGCGCTAGCTCGGTTACATTCACCACTGCAGATGGAGTCACCACGACGGTCGCGGATCATTTCAGGCGCAGCGGCTCCGAAATTCACCTCAATTATCCCGACAACATCTGTGTTGAGGTATAAAGACGGGTTTTCCTAATATTTCCATTGTTCTCATTGTGTCCTTCCGTAGGTTGGATCGGGCGCCCTGATCCCGTTGGAATTATGCTACATCACTGAGGGTCAAATTATGAGGAAACAAGTCCCCTCGAAGCTGACCTCAACGGTCCTCTCATTTGCAACGAAGAAGCCTCGTGATCGTCTTGCGAGCATCAGGAATGGTCTCGATGTTCGTCGTCTCCTTCTTTCGTGTGACAAGCGCTTACATGTCTCATAGGTATTGGCATATGGACAATCGGACTACGTTCGCCACTTTGGGATGAGCGTCAATTCTGCCGTCGGGCCTTTGCAGGTTCAGGCGCGCGTCTTGCAGCCACCTACGCTCAAGTACGGCCAGGGTAGTAAACAGGCAATGATTGTGAGTTGTTTTTTTTTTCGCCGTATGCCATACTTTAACAAGTTTCTTAGGTTCCGCGAGACGGGGCTTGGAATATGTATGTTTTGTGCTTTTTAACATTTCAGTTGCATTTGATGATGCTCTGGCAGGGTCGATAAACGCTTCTTCCGTCCAGTTCAAGTTGGTGTTTGGGCTGTCGTCATCTACGAACAACACAATCGTTTTGATGAGAGAGCTTGCGCAGAGATGATCCAGAGTCTGACGAAGAGCTGCCGGGAAGTTGGTATGTTGTATGTTCGGCTCACGTTTTTCATCGCTCATTGTGCTTTCTCAGGCATGGGAATTAAGCCTCCCGCAGTCACTATATGGCAAAATGGTCAAGGAACTGTCCAGAGCCAGCTGCAAAGCGCAGGCATGAAATGCAAACAAGCAGTCAACTCGTTCCCGTCGCTCATTGTTGTTGTCTTGCCAGAGCACGGAGATGATATCTACACCGCTGTCAAACAGTGAGGTTTCAAAAGTTCCTTTTTTTCCCTGTTACTGATCATCGTCTAAGTTTCGGTGATGTCACGGTTAGTCAAAAAAGCATAGGTCTACCTCGTTCTGAAGTAAGATTTCGTAGGCCGGCGTGGCGACACAATGCATGAAGAGCAAGAAGTGTTTCGGAGCCAAAAACCAGTACTTTGCAAACGTCTGCTTGAAGTATGTGCACAACTTTTTAAAATCGTGTTGCATCATAAATAATCATTCCATTTAGGATGAACGTGAAGCTCGGCGGTATCAATGTCATTCCTGAGCCCACCTCGGTCAAACTTTTGACTGATCCGGCAAATCCCACCATCGTCATGGGTAGGTTCACGTCCTCTCTTTGCCTGACATAGCATCTGAACATTTTGATTTCCTTCGTTAAGGAGCGGATGTCATTCATCCAGCCCCAGGCTCCGATAGTCGTCCCTCATTCACAGCTTTGGTCGCTAATGTGGACTCTGACACTGCGAAATATATTGCAAGTATGTTTCTGCAACATCTTTACAAAGATGACTATCACTAATTTTGATCAAACAGCCACTCGTGTTCAAAACTGCCGTCAGGAAATGATTGAGGACCTTCAAGAAATGAGCAAGGTGCGGGTGACGCTCCTATTGTCTAAAGTTTCTATACTGAGATCAGAATTGTAGCATGTTCTGTCCAACTATATGAACTATCGATCCCAAGTTGAGAAAAAGGCTCAAGGAATGGCGGAGCCCAAGCGTATCTTGTTCTATCGCGGTATGATCTCCTGTGCCACCTCTGTTCATGGCTTTATGAGTACTTTACAGACGGTGTCTCCGAAGGACAGTTCCAAGAGGTCCTTGATAAAGGTTATTTTAACGATTTCGTCTAATGACGAGCCACTGATCCCGCTTCAACAGAACTCGGTGCTCTGAAAAGTCTGTCGCGCTTGGTTATGTTACTCTTTTTTTGTACTGAAAGTATTTACCACAGGGGCATGTGAGGAGCTCCGGATTCGACCCAAAATCACTATCATTGTTGTTGGCAAGCGCCACCACGTTCGGTATCTTGTTCGTTACTCTTATGCAGGCCTGCACGCTGATGTAAATGCAGGTTCTTCCCAACCAACGACAAGGAGGCAGACCGTAGCGGCAACTGCCCAGCAGGCACAGTTGTCGACCGTGATATCTCACATCCGACGGAATTTGATTTCTATCTTCAAAGTCACGGCGGACTGTTGGGAACTAGCCGACCTGCTCATTACTCGGTTTTGTACGATGTGAGTCTTCACTCTTGTACGTGGTGCGGTGTTTAAACGCACACTTTCACAGGAAAACGCCCTCTCGTCCGTTACTTCACTCTGTATGTTGACCTATAATACTTACTCCTAATACTCGATCAGTCCTGATGCCGTTCAATCCCTGTCCTTTGCCTTGTGCCACGTCTATGCTCGCTCGACGCGCAGTGTGTCCATTCCTGCGCCTGTATACTGTCAGTCAGCTTTCTGTCCATTTCATATGCTTTGACACCTTCTTTAGACGCCGACATAGTATGCTCCCGTGCGAAGAACCACTATGATCCTTCGGGTAGTGTCGACTACTCTGAGTCTGGCGACGGCTCCAAGGCCGACGAATCTCTGGAAGCATTCAAGTGTGGCTTCAAACCCCTTCATGCCTCCCAATCCAAACTGATGTACTTCTCTGTACGTTGTTTCGATCTCTACGATATGACACATAAGCTGACCGTTATAACAGTAATCTGTATCCTGTAGTGTTTCTCGTTTCTCGTATCACAAAAGCTCTCAGTCGCTGTCATCTGCTATAGCCATCAATCCTTGCGCTGTGTCATTGTAGCATCCACATCACAATATCATTCACCGTAGCTACATCCTTTCACTGCTGGACAAAATCGAATCAAAATGCTTTGCATATTTATATCTTTAGTATCCAAATACAATATGGTTTTCAAGTGTTCTTACTGCCAATTGCATAATTTCCCATTACATACATGTCAATTCTGCTCCGATGTCCGTCCTCGGTTCAACCACTCAAGTCCTCCATTCAAATAAAACGTCAACCAGGCGCAGTAGGAAAAAGAAGGTAGGTCGACTGGGATTTGGTTAGGTCCGTGAAGGAGTTTCTGGAGCAAGAAGGTTATTTTTACTCGAGAGCCACCTAACCGACAGATTCATACCGTCATGTAGTAGAAGGTGGTTCTTGTCAGGATAGCGCTGTCAATGAGTGCTAGGCCAAGCTGATTCTTAAGATGAGTACTGCCCTGAATGTGTGCGTTGCGAATATATCTTTTTTCCGTTGAAGAAAAGTGGGCTCCAGATGAAGTTCATAGCTAACTGAACATAGTAGAAATAGGACACATCAAATCATGTTGCTGATCGTGTCGAAGGACTCGATGCACTGTCAAGGGTGCTGACAGCAAGGTGCGAAGCATATCCCATAGCTATTCCATAATATTAGTCAGATTTAATCTGAAATTGAAGGTCTTTTTTTTTTTGTTCTCAGCATTTAATTAACCACAACAAGTAAGCTAACTACTAAGATGCAGTGGAGGTACAGGGCCTCAGGATTCTCTTTCCCTCTTGTTCCAGTCCCTCTGCTCTTCCTTCTGAGTTCTCTGGGTGTTTTGGCATGTAATGTGGAGTAGAATAACAGACATGTATGGTCTTTTGCACCCTCATAGTGGACTAATTGATTCATTTGATTCTGCAGTTGGCTAAAGCCTGAGGTGTTTTGCAAGTGTGTCTTGGGTGCTGGCTGTGTTGGACATGGTCTATGGTGTGGTGGGTGCATTGCAGTTACCCATGTTCATCTTCCATGTTGCCCTCATCTTCTTCCCACCACTCTCCTCCTTCTTCTTCCTCTTCTGGCTCTGAGGTGAGCCTCTCATTTTGTAGTTGTTCCATCCAGGTGAATGCTCCTGTGTTTTCCATGAACTCACTCAGTGCTGTGATTCCTTCTTTGGTGCCAAGGATGTCTGATAGGTATACAGTCCTTGACACATTCTGGAGGATCCCCCATTGCTCTTCATAGAGGGGGCATTCATGCAGGATGTGCTCCCATGTCTGAAATAACTCTCCACAAGGGCAGTCAACATTCTTACTTGGCACAAATTGTAAGTAGTACTCACCTATGTATCTGTGGCCTGTTCTGCACTGAAGAAATCAGCCAAATATCTCTTTTTTCACTGCAAGATCTATGAGATGGGGTGTCAGCTTCAGTGATGGCAGTATTCTGTTTGCTGTCACATAGTGTTATGACTAGCAATAGGATACCACCTTAAGCAGTGGCATTGGACAGTGACAGTGGCACTGTGCAAACCAAACAAACCAGACTACTCTAACCTGAGAGCATATCATCTTATAGTGTTACTGAAATGCCTCAGAAAAGTACTGGAAAAGTGTGATGATTTTTGCCTCTTAAATCAGGATCTGCCATCATTTAGTAAGCAGATACTTACTAATCCTGACCTCAGGCTGACCTTACAAGGATGATGAAGACATAACAACACCATGGCTATGCCTTATTCATTGATGCACAACAGATGACAAGAAACAATGCAGTAACTATCATCATCCCATGTCTTGAATACAATAGAAACTGTGGCATATAGAAAACTCACCATAGTGATAGTATAGCAGAGTGACAATGATGAACAAAAGCAAGGACACAGACATTGTTATCTCAGACAATGAGCAGAGAGCATGAAAAGCAGACAATAGTTGCCTGTAGAGCATAGGGTTCTTTAGACAGTATTTAAGGCAGTAGTACACAGTGATGTACTCCAGCTAAGGTTTAATACACCAGCTAAACTCCCTGACCTCCTGGTGTAAATACTCTTGCCTATAGTGGCAGACTATCTCTACCAGCCACACTCTTTCATCTCTTTTTGTGAAATCCTTATTGTTTATCTCATCATTCTCATTATACTTTTATATTAAAATCAGGCTCAGACTCAGAACCTAAAATCAGATTCCAGCAGAAGCAGTGCTGAATATTTGTGAGTGTTTAATGGAAGCCTAACAATTAGCTTGAGACTTTACATGCCCTGGTCTGACAGCACTTTGCCAAGGACTAGCATATGAAACTCATGCTCAAAAATATTGTCATCACCTCTATTGCAGATGCTTGCATGTTTATTGCAGTAACTGGAATTGTCAGATACCATATTGTATAGTTATTGAGAGAACAAAGAAGAAGAAAGAGAGAACTGGAGAAGTGGAAGAGTTGATGAAGAGTGGATCTTCTCTATTGAGCCCTTCAATCAGCACTCTATGCACTCCTGAGTCAGAAGAGCATCATCATTTGGCTACTGGCCTTAAAACTCACTGACATCAGCAGTATGAATTATATTGTCCAATCTTCAGGATCCAAAAGTGTATGAACTAGAGAAGGAGGAGTTGAACCTCCCCCTCTTATCATCTGACTAGCCATCTCTGATAAGAGAGAGTCAGTATGAGGGGATAATAGCTATATAAGCTGACCTCCAATCAGAGATGTGGCCACTCTGTTAGGCCTAAGTGACATGTGATCAATAACACATGATAAACAGGTGCTGTATCATGTTCATACAATCACACCTGAGTCCAATTGATGTGTTTAGAGATATTATATCTCAAGGTCAATACTAGTTGACTTAAGTAGAAATATTATGGTAAAGAATAGTTTGAGACTAGAGATACATGATGCTGTCTATGCTACTTATATACTATTTGTCTCCTAGATAAATATAGTAATACTAATTGTGAGTGTCTGTGCTGTAATACTCATTGTCATAGAGTATTGTAGTTATCTACAAAAGAGTGATTATCTCATTATCAGAGCATTGCTATATGTCATGAAACAATGGTTGGTGTGCTAACTAAGGTCATTCCATGGTCCTAAGTGGTGGTCTAAGTGCTCTGATTAAGCATAAATAGAGGTAAAAGTAGAGAAAATAATAAAAAATCATAATATTAAGATTATCATTCTGATAGCTTAATTTAGAGATAGTTCATACTCCTGGATGGCATCATCAGCATTTATATGTTTCTCATTGACCCACTGGTTTGACTCTGGGCCATATCCTCTCCAACTGATTAGATAGTCAATAGTAGTCATTATGTTTCTGTCTTGTGCCTTGATTCTTTGTGTTTTATGGTCAAGAATTTGGTCAATTTTATAGTGCTCTTTATCATTGATAAGGTCAGGAGGTGGTGAGGGTTATTCTTGATTTGAGAAGGCAAAGGCTACATATGATGTTAGAAGAGATTCATTGAATGTATTGTGAATATGTCAAGAAGTTGGGAGATAGAGTTTGTAGGCAGAATTACTGACTTTCATAAGCACTATGAAGAGACTGGTGTGTTTATCAGTGAGCTTCTTCTTTGGTCATAGTAGATGGAGATTGGTGGTATCAAGCCATGCTTTGTCATTTATTGCATAGGTGTATACAGAGCAGCAGTGTTTATCATATTAGACTTTTATAGCAGTAGCAGCTTTTTCAAGGGCAGTTTAGATTTCAAGGTGGATCTTTGCTATTTCAGTGGCAAAGTCTGATAAAGCAGAGGTGGTGGTGCAGTGCTTAGCAGTGGTGGCAACTTTGGAGTGTTGTCCATAATTTATGAAAAATAGCATTTTATTAGTTGCTGAATGAACTTGGTTATTGTGTTGGAATGCCACAAGGATGAGCTATTCTATCCAGTCATTCTGTTAGTAATTGATAAATATTTATAAATATTTCTTGAGTTCTTGGTTGATGCATTTTGTTTGCCCATTGGTCTGAGGATAATAGATGGTGGATGCATTGCTTGAGATTCTGAGGAGTTGATATAGGTCATTGAGGAACTTTGATATGAATTGTGGTTTTTGATCAGAGATAATAACTTAGGGCATTCCATATTTAGAATAGACCTCATCATAAAAAATCTTGACCCATCCTTCTGATGACAGTTCAGTGGCAGTGGTGATTAAGATGATGGATTTCAAGAAGCAATCAACAATAACAATGATCATATTATAGCCATTACAATCAGATAATCTGATGATTATGTTGACTGAAATATAAGACCAGGGAATGGTCAGGATCTCATTTGAGTGGAGTGATGTGGCTTGGGCTCTTGTCAAGGATTTGGCCTGTGTTAAGCCCAAGCATCACGTGAACTGATACACATGATAAACAGGTGTTCCTTCGCACTTCGAGGAATCACCTGAGTTCACTATATGTATATCCGAGCGGTGTGACTCAAGGTCAGATATAGACTCGAGGTAGAATGGTACGTGTAAACTTTAGCTCGAAGCTGGGGATTACCAGCGAGAGCTGTCCTACTTAAATACTACTGAGTAATGTCTAAATATACGACTACTTATTGTGCGTTGCTGTATCCTTTGTGCCCATTGTACTAGGGCATCGTTACCATACATAAAAGGTTCGTTGTGTGTCGTCGAGCGCCGTCTCCTTGTCGGAGACAATGGTGGATCTGGCTTTGTGCTGACCAAGATTCCCATGGTCCAGTGTCATGACTAAGCACAAAATAGGGGTTAAGAAAGAGAAATAGTAAAAATCGTAACATTACCCCCTCGTTAAGACCATCGTCCCGATGGTTTAATTAAGGGAGAGTTCATAGTCATATATTGCTTTGTCAGCGTTCATATATTTTTCGTTGACCCACTGATTGGATTCTGGGCTGTACCCCTTCCAACTGACGAGGTAATCGACGGTCGTTGTCATTCCTCCTCCTTTGGCTTTTGTCCGCCGGAGTTTATGATTGAGGATGTGATCAATTTCGAAATGTTTCTCGTCATTGATCAGGTCCAGAGGTGGAGGAGGTGGCCATTCCTGGTTAGGGAAGGCTGGTGTGATATAGGGGTTCAACAAAGTTTCGTTGAAAACGTCGTGGATTTTCCAGGTCTGTGGTAGGCGTAGTTTGTATGCGCTTGGTCCGACGGCCTTTATTACAGTGAAGGGGCCGGTCTGTTTATCGTCGAGTTTCTTTTTTGGACGTGG